AGGTGACGTCGGGGTTACTAGCTTTTGATTGGCTGTCTGGACGCCGGCAGTATCCGCAGGGGAAAATAAGGGTTTGGGTTGCAGCTGGAGGGTCACGCTGAGACCCTAATCTATACGGATGAGTGACTCTCGCCATAGTGTACGCGACATGTACAATCTAGATCTATGCCAAGACCTATGTCAAGCAAGTCAAGCAAGTCTCAATCTACGGCTTGACTTGATTACTCATAAAAACCTGGCCGACTTGACTTGGTGACTAACCGCATTTGGATCAAGTCAAGCAAGTCAAGCAAGCCGGACTTGCTTGTGGCCACCTCTGGTCCTCACAATTTTTATACGGATATCTCCTTAGAAAGTAAGTCGTGTAGTCCACCTTCGAATTTCCGTACATAGTCGAATGCGGTCCTTCTACGAGACCATGTGTATCACGAATATACACAGCAATTTCTTTTAGCTCGCCTGCATCTGAAGGCCTCTGAATCTGCCTAATGACAGAGCTGACAATCTCAGAGATCCTGTGGATAATCCGTCTGCAAACAACGTTCAAAAGCGTCGGACTTGTGTAGGAATCAAAGACGATTCGGACATTCGAACGGTTGCTTGGAAAGACCTTTTCTCGAATGCACGGTTCATCCGCTAGAACACTTGCTTGTGATTTATGCACAGCGCTAGACATAGGTCACACCTTGCTCCAAAACTTGGGCCTCGGCGTCCATTTCGTTGGGAATGAGACGAGGGGTGTCGCCGTCGCCAGGGTCTTCGAGGATTCTTTGGCCCTGAGCCGATGCCGCTAGGCCATTCGTTTCGAGTGCAATAGCATGAAGCTGGTCAAAATCTGACGGCGGAAGTACGCGCGGTCGAGCCTCCAAAACGAGTTGTTGAGCAGTCGTATCGTCGAGATGGTGGAGGCCACGGAGATGACGGCGAAGATCCTCGCTATCCAGGAAGCCGCGTTCGCATTTTGAGCAGGGATATGGACGCTGATTGTCTAAGAAATGGGCGCGACGATGCCTGTTACGGTCCAGTCGGCGTTCATACGACCTCTCACATGACCCTACGCCGCACCTATACACATCTTTGATCTGTGTATTACGTTTGCGCCATTTTAAAGTCTCATTGACCCAAGCAAGCTCGCGAGAACTCGCTTTGTCGGACTCGGGCTCTTCAGCTTTGATAATTGAATCGTGTTCTCCTAATGTCGCTTGTCCCTCACTTAGCCAAGTCCCCTTCTCTCTATCGATTTCGTTTTTTAGATCTGTTGAACCATAATCCGTTGAACACACCACCGTCGAAGGGACTTCCTGCTTGAGAATCACTTGCTTTTCTTCCAAAGGATTATGTTGGGTGCGGCAATTTGGCACAAGAATTGTCAGCGCCATTTGCTCCATATGTGAGCCAACATGTTTCTTGAGATCTTCAAGCGAAACCATATCCCTCAACGGACTATTGAGGTCCCGATTGGGTCTTTGTCGTTGGACTTCAGGTTTCCATTCGCAAATATGACATGCCGATGCCGATATCTCTGCCGGTTCCTGTTCACTGATCTTGCAGATTTGGTTGATTTGCTCGCTATTGAATTTCCAAGCATGCTCTTTGTGCAAATGACCTTCGAATTCATCTAAGTGGTCAAAGCTCATTTCGTCGTGGCAGTAAAGACAAAGCCAAGTTTTGAAATGATTCGAGAGATAGTGATCCAACCATGCATCACTTGTCTCAAAGAGCTGTACGCCACAATGTTCCTCGAGACAAACGTAAGCTTTAAGGTCACTGAAGACGTGGCTAACCCACTCTGACTGCGAGGTGAAAGACACAGCCTTGCAACAGCAGGGGCAAGTAAATATAGCCTCGCCATTGCTCACATCCCTTAGATCGCTCACTCGAAGCGCCTGTGGCATTAGAGTAGCTGCTGATAATGCCAGATCGGTAAGGCTCATATCAGCCGCTACTACCTTATCGTGCACGGCTCTCCTGGTGCCGTGTCGCTCGATGGGATCGGCACGCGTTTTGGCCGGAGAGATTGAAATTTCGGAAGGAGCAGCATGAAGTCCGGTATCGTCTGCGAGTGCAATGCAGCAACGAAGCCATTTAAGGCGCTGCTTGCTTGCTTTCGCTAGTCTCAATCTCAGCCACTCGAAAGAGGTCTGACGAAGTCGAGGAAACAGATCAAAAATATGATCAAGATCATCGCTGACTTCGTCTTGCTCGATCTCTGCTACTTTGAAATCATATCCATCGCAGTTATTTTGTTCAATTGCGAGATCTGACGTTTTGAATAGCCATCGCATAGTTTCCCTGAGACCGTTGATTAAGTTGACTTGCAAGACATCGTGGAGTGACGCATCGAGATCTGGACTCTCGTCGACCACTACAGGTGCCTCGTCCCGGGAAAGCAATTGGACTACAGGTAGGACTTTGTCAGCTCAGATACAAGCCTCAGAGTGTACGAATACTTCTTACAGTCTTGCAAATCGTCTCTTAAATCTCCCAACAGACCAAAAAGGCGGAGGCGCAGCTTAAGTGTTGACTTTACCTGATATTCCAAAGACTTCGGATCGTCCGCATCATACAATGCGCCGACACTATCCGACCAGATCTTGAACCCTTTCAGGACGTCGCTGAGGCTTGAATTTTTGCGATCATTCGCGACCTTCATATCGTCATTTCCGGCTAGGCTCTCGAGCGCGTCTAGTATTTTCCGAGACCGGTAAGCTAAGCTTTGCTCTTCTGGGACCACAAATCTGTGATCAAAATCTTGAAGGATATGTTGCAACGTGCTCGCGGAGCCTTGCCCTCTTGCCATCGTGGAAACTTCATCAGGATCTCGAGGCGTATTCTGAAACGAGCTCGCTGTATCTTGCCATTCTTTTCTCGAGGCCGAACGGCCGTCAATGAATGACGACTCATACATATTCCCGTTTTCGCAATGATGCAGCGACAGACCAAGTGATTCTCGAAGTTGGAAGTCTAGTGCGTAGGGAGTCAACGGCGAGCATGCAATATACCCCGCGCGACATGACCTGCATGTGGTGGCATGAGCAGGCGGCCTCAGCAGGCGGCCTCAGCAGGTCATTCTCGATGCCCATGACTCCCCCTCGAGATCATCCGAAGAACTCATCCCCCGTCTATCGCTTGGCTCATTTCTCATCGATCAGCAAGAAGTATGGCTGATATCGCAGGCTTGGTGCTGGGCGCGATTCCTTTGGTGATCGCAGCCATTGAGCACTATCAGACATGCTTCGAAGCTCTTCGCTGCTGGCAAGAATTCCAAGATGAGCATCGCAAGTGTATCCGAAGGATACTGCATTTCGAAGTTCAGTTCGAGTTTCTTCTTGTGCGTCTTTTTGGAAACCACGTGGAAGGCCGGACAGAGTTGGACCTACTCAAAGCTGGCTACAGGAGCAAGAGCTGGGACGACGTCGAATTGATTCTCGAGGTTCGTCTGGGTCGCGCTGTGTATCGACTGTTCTGCGAAACGTTACGCGACGTCTGCAAGGCAGTAGAGGGCTTGAAAACGGTATTGCAAATCGACGATAAGACCTTGTTAGATCCAGAAAATCCGGTGCACACTGCGACTTTTGCTGCTGCAGCTCAGACTACTGTCGGAAGAGACCAAGGGATGTCCAAACTCAAGCCCATCGCACGAAAGTGGCAAGCCGATTTGAGATATGAGTCTCAGCGGTTCCACTTCGTCCGGAGAAGGACTGAGCGCGAGAAATCTCTCGATCAGATTGAGACCCTCATGGATGGACTACGACAGATCTTGATCGATCATGAAGAGATCGCAAGACGCTGGCCGCAGCTTCGAGCGCAGCGAGAGATACCAGTCCTCTACGAACATGCACAGAACGTGTTCAGGCTTGTTGAGTCGGTGTGGCGTTGCCAATGCGCGTCGAAGCATTGTGCAGATCTACGCCTACATCATTTAGAGCACAACCTTGTTCAATTTGATATTCTTTTCCGCTACGGCGAAACAAAGCAGAGATACCAGCAGGCTCCTTGGATTCTTCACGAGACCACGGTCGAGGAAGTCACAGAAAGGGAAGAGGCTGCGGTTCGCGCTCCATCATCCCGACCGGCGAATTTCACTAGCGTACCGATACCATCCCCGCCAGCGAAGGCCCAAGCAGGACAACCCTCGCCAGTCTCTTTCTCGTACAAAGGGCGTCGTCGAGCTAACTGCGCAGGTCCAAGTGGATCAGCGACCAAGATCCTAACACAAACTCCAATCCCTCTTGTTACGCTTCCGATTCTTCCACAACCGCCAGATCCGATCGACGACCTCTGCGAAGCAATCAGTCGACACAGCTTCACGCCATGTGCCGGCGTTCTTGCACCAATACGTGAGAGAGACATCAAGTACAAACTTAGCGCTTGTACTCTGGGCATCCAAAGAAATGAAGAAACCTGCAAGCTCGAGTCGCTCTTATCATCTACATCAGAATTGACGAGCCGAAAGCAACGATATGGAATAGCCTTAGCCATCACGTCGTCCCATCTGCAAATTCATCCCAGCCCCTGGCTCGGCAGGATATGGAGCAGCGAAGATATTCACTTCTATATGAAGAATGGTGTGCTGGAGCTATCTCGGCCATATCTCCGACGCAAGTTCACCCCCGCGGATCCCACCGAACCTCCCCGAGGCTGCCGAGATGACACGTTCGGCTCACTCGGGATCCTCCTGCTCGAACTGTTCTTCAACATACCACTGGCGAAGAGTCCGCACCGGCAGAAATATCAATCGCCGGACGGGAAACCAGACTTCGTGATGGACATGGCCGCCGCACAGATGTGGGCGGACGTGGACATGGAGAAAGGTAACATCGAGAAGGAATATGCCGGTGCAGTCTTGTGGTGCTTGAAAAAGCGGACTTTGCGGCCCCAGGATGAGTCGACATGGCGGCAAAAGCTTCATCGTAAGGTTGTCTTGCCGATACAAAATGTGTACGAGGCGCTTGCGTAGATGGAATATTGATGATGTGCAGTATAGTCGTGCATACTTGTCAAGAAGTGATTCAGTATCCTATTGTGCTCCTTCTCAGGAACGACTGCTCAGAGCACCATTGTTGGGCATCATGGGCCCCTTCTAAACAAAATACATGTCCCCCGACAGCACGCCAGATTTCGTCATGGATTTGGCCGCCGCGCAGATGTGATTGGACATCAGCGTGGAAGGCGAAGCCGGGCAGGAATATGCCTGCGCGGTCTTGTGGTGTCTGAACAAGAGAACATTGATATCACGGGAGAAGATGTGGCGGCAGGATCTGCACCGAGCGGTGATTCCTCCGATTCAGAAAGCGTATCGGGCGATGATGGCGACGACGACGACATGTTCATGACTGTTCTTGGTTCCGAAAAAGGTTTCGGTATGGATTACTTGTCACTTGGCATTTTTCAAATGTAGAACAACTCACATGATTGTACTCAAACTATTCTGCTCAGTTCACTTCCCCGGAAAAATTCTGGATTTTTTCTAGATTCAAAAACCAGTTCATCAATTTACCACAGTGCGATCCAAAGAATACTGTTCCGCGATATGTTCTTTCCCCGGAGCAGTAGGGGATCAGGAGGAGAAACGGATGAAAGAGCGTATGATGATGATGATGATGATGGTGACCAGGCGCGCGCGCAAAACGAGGTGGTATCATTAAGCTTCTCTAGCCTAAAACGCAAAGTAAATAAACAAGATAGAGGTAATTGATCCGCTGGGGAAACTCCAACAGGATGCGATGCATCTGTGTCTTGCGAGCTTTCCAGCAGCAGTAGCCAAAAGGCAAAAGAAAAAACGGGAAAAACATCAGAGGGTAATCATTCGCGTCAAAAGAAAATCATCAGGAGGCTTGCCGGCAGCAAACCGACATAGAGAACGTCTGTCTCGTTTTCCAGAACCGCAAGGACACCTTTCGGCTCAGCTCGGCTTTTTCACGCATGCAGCGGCGGAGAAAGAGAGGGAGGAAGAAAGTCATGGAGAACAAACAGACACAGAGCGAAAGACAAATATGCCAAGCTCTCGCAGCTGTACATGTCTCCCATCTCATTTCTCATTTCCGCTTATTCTCTTTTCTCTGCGCAGAACTGCGAAATGCAGGTGAGCGAGCGAGCGAGCGAGCGTGGGTGCGTGGCGTTTCTATTTGTCGGCCTTCTTGCTCTTGCCGATGGGCAGCTTCTCCTTGAGTTTCTGGAGGAATTTGCCCTTCTCCTTGGGCTGCGCCTCGGCGGTCTTGGTTTCGGCGGTGGTGGCGGACGGGCCGGCGGTGGCGGAGCCGGTGTTGGCGGCGGTGTTGGCGGCGACGTCTGTGTTTGTTCGTCAGCATGTGTTGTGGAGATTAAATGGAGATCGCACGCTCATGGCATGCCCACATAGGAAAACATTGTTCCAAACTTACCCTCTTCCTTGACGTCGGGGACCTCCGGGATCACCTCGCTCTCGCCCCAGGTGTCCTCGCCAACTTTCTTGCCGCCGGCGGTGGGGATGGCGTCCGGGTTTGTGCGGGTTGCTGGGTTGCCGGAGGCTTCTTGTGGGGGCTTGTCGGCGGCGCCGTCAGTGTTGACCTCATTCTCGGCATCGGCCTTCTTGGAAGTAGGATCGGCAGACTCGGCGACCTCCTCCGCGGTGACCTTGTCAGTTGGCTGAGCTGCAGGCTCGGCGACGGTAGTGCCGGCGGCGGCGATGGGCTCGGTGTTGGCAGCGGTGGAGGGTTCGTAGCCAATGTCCTTCTTCTCCTCGGTGGTGGTGGTCGCGGCGGTTCCGGTGTATTGCTGGACGGTCTCCGTGGCGGCGGCGGCGGTGGCTGTGACGCTTGCGGCGGCAGCGGTCACGGCGGCAGTGGCCGCACCAACGTATGTGTCATCCGCAGCAGCGGTGTTGCTCTTCGATCTCTTGTCGAGGCCGAGGAAGCCCTTGAAGGTGCCGATGACGGACTTGCGCTTCTCGTTGTTGGGTCCGGTAGCGCCGGTGGCCGTGGTGTTGGGGTTGGGGACATCCTTGTGGGCAGCGCCGCTCACACCGCCTGCGCCGGCGGAAATGCCTCCAGACGGGTCCTCGGCACCGGGGTTGCTGGCCGGTGGCTCAGTAGGCAGAGCAGCGGAAGTCGAAGCGGTAGCATCAGCGGGGACTATGGTCTCATCGAGCTTCGCATTGATGTGAGCGATGCCCTCGTCGTGGATTTGCTTCTGCTCAGCAGTAGCAGCGGGAGCTGCAGGGTTCTTGTCAGCGGTGTCGACGGCGGCAATCGTACTCTGGATGGGAAAGAGAGCGAAGTTGACGGCGTCGCCGGTAGGGATAAAGGCGGAGGAAGGAGTGGTGTCGGTGGTGGTAGAGGCAGCGGTGGCGGGGACTTTCTCACCAGTTCCAGTAGTTTCGGACATGATGGCGATGATCAATGGAGTTGCTGTCCGAGGTGGTGGTGAGTTGGAGATGTGTTGTCGGAGGGAGAGTTGTCGAGGAAGGCGAATGCTTACCTGAAGGATAGTGCAGGGACAAGACTCTTTAAACCAAAAGCTTGAACAGAGACGAGGCTTGGAAGTGGAGGAGCTCGTGTTGGAATTCGTACAAGGGATGTGCGCGAGTGACAATACTTGCATGACTGGCGGCGGTCTACCGTGCTGCATTGCGCTGAATGGAGCGAAGCGCCGCCCACCACCCTTTTTTTTAATTGAAGTTCATCGAGTTGGGAGAGCGCGGGGAGCCAGCCACCAAAATATGACCATCGTGAGATTTCATAGGCCCGGGCACTCCTTCACCGCATCACTACCGGAACATGACAACCTTGGGATGAATAAATTTTCACCGGCCATACCTATCTGACTGAAGTTAAGATAGACACTAGGTATGCTTGCGATATGCTGCAGGCAAATCCAGGTGCTCGCGTAAACTGTTTGGAGGAGCGCAGAGGAAGCTCAACACAGGTACATACATCAGGTACCTCGTCAGCGATAGCTCCAGGAATAATGTCCATGTGCAGGAAATACGTAATTCTGCATAGCGCCAATAAATATCCTTCCTGTACGGATTGCCCTGGTGGTGGTTGCCCTGAGTGAGGAAAAGGTCATCATTCGATCACCTGTATTCTCACGATAACCCAGTGACCGTCGGAACGGATGATAGATTATTATTATGATTATTATACAGGAGGGAATATGCACTCGTCTGGGTCCAACAGCAGAACCCGCACGCACCTCATAGTCCATAGAAGGATCCCTTGAACCTGTGCAATTTTGACATCAGATAACCACACCCCACAGAAAGATGCCTATCTTCAAGCCCATCACGAGTGCCTAGTGCCTACTACACAATTGATGGATCACACACCGAAATCCGAGACATCTCCACCCGATCATCTGATCCACCCACGAATTGAATCCAGCGACGCGAGCCTAGCTGTGAACCAGTACCCTGACGTTCATCATGAGCCAGACACCCCACCAATCGAAAACCACACTTTACAATAGAAATAGGTACAGTAGATACCTTCCCGCCTAGGCCCTGCGTCATGTGTGTGCGGTGCTAGAGCGCAGGTACACTTTGCGCTTCGCGATAAGGAAAAGACATAAGGAAAGACAGACAGAGAGCCCCACATGCTGCATACGCAAGACGATGACGACGGACGCAAGGGTAAAGATGCGTCCCTGAAAATAGTGACGTCTCACGGACACACATAATTTTGCGGAAGTCCTCAACGGGATTCGGCGTGATGTCGCTTGTTCAAGGTCGCTCGCCAGGCGGAGCGAAGCACAGCCAAGTTGGGAAACAGTGAGTACTCAGTCCTTCACGCCGCCAAGTTGTATCACCCTGAGAGAGAGGTGACTGGCAGATTTGCGCACCGAGGAATAACAATCATAAATCGTCTCCGAATATACTGCACGGAGGTGGACTGTCACGATTTCATCATTCAAGAATGCGTACTTTCCTCATCCACCCGGATGTATGTGCCTAATGCAGGTGTAGGTGCTGGTGAGAGAAAGAAGGTTTAGGGTTCGGTCGCAACGGCGGCTTGGGTTTGGGGTTATTACATCACATTTTCGATACGTAGAAATCATTGCCGTCTCAAGATCTACTCTTGACGATTGATACATATCGCTTTGCGAGATCCTGGATCTGTTCGAGCGACTGCGTATGAGATCTGGGACATGCACCAGGTTATCATGTCGGAGGATGATCCATGAATATTCAAAGCACCACAATGACTCATTGTGAGCGAACGCTTGTGGGCACCGCCACACTTCTCAAGGCATAAAGGTTGATCACGATTTACGTCTTGAAGTCGTCCGTTGTTTCGATCTGTTCACCACTTGCTACTATCCTGTCTAGAAATATTACAAGACTCGTCGAATTGGAAGTAGATTATCACCTAACATCCCTTGAGGAACCACCCAGACAATTCTCACAGTTCGCAGCAAAAGAATGGCCGAACAAGCCGCCCTCCTCTCGAGGCAAAAGAAGCTGTCTAAACTCGATCTTTCCTATCCCTTATGGCTATTCGACATCGATAACCCGCGCTGGCCGCGCCGTCTAGACTCCCTCTTACCAGAAACCTATCCCGCCCAACTCACAGGTTGGCAAACTTCCAGCTCGGAGTACGGTATGCATTTAGACCGACCGCAGGACGTGACCCCTTCGAAAGAAAACGACGTCAAATCGAAGGCTAAGAAGCACGATTTCCACACTCTGGGGAAACTCGCACAGGAAGTCCTCCAACAACTCCGTTTCGATGATAGATTTGATCTGACGTCATGGCAAGCCGTCGTTCGCCAAAGACAAGATGATGGGAGTGAGGAAAGTACCGTCAGTCTCGACGCATGGGTCTTCGATCGAGGTGAGCCAGGCTGGATCGATCCTTCGGAGCTCCTCAGAATCGAGCGGAAATGGGACCACGTTCACCTCTGGAACCCCACAATCAACCTAAACAAACTCCCCGATTACACCGAGTCATTCCCACCCCTCTACGGCATCGCGACTCTCATCTCCTCCGACGCCGAACTCCTCCTGGCCAGCGGCATAACAAAGAGGGATCCCGGCGAAGTCATTCTCCCCGCGGAATTTGAACGGCTGGATACCGACTCGCCCCTGAGGAGATTGCGGGGCATTGTGTGCACGCCGACGTACAAGGAACCCAGCGAGCAAGGGATCATGCTGAACCAGGGCCCGGAGTCAGCGCACAATCAGCGTTTATTGGCGGGAACGGCGCTGCAGAACGCAGCCTGGGGGGAGATTGTTGAGTTTCGGAAAGGCGAGAGGAAGAGCCCTTTGCCGTTGAAGTGAGATGCTCGCTTGCTCCATCCTTGTGGCCCCGGACGAATGAAATGTGATGCGATGTATGCTTAAAGGGAGATGTGTACATGGGATTCGGTTCTGCGTTGGCGTGTTGTTGGGGGAATTCTCTGTGCGTAGGACGGGGATCGGAAAGACGGCAAATCGGTGATACGGACCGACCAGTGGTCACAACTGTTCAATGAAGTAGATATCGAGCAAGCGCTCAAGTCGACGGGATCTGGCGCGACGGTATCTCACCGCCGAAGCTGATTTGACAAGTCGCAGAATAGACCACCGTAAATCTTTCCCAAACGACCTATTAACAAAATTCACCTATTTAGTCCTACGCAGCCCGGCATTCTGGGTATATCGGCGGCACAGGCACGCTTGAAACCACTCATCCTTCATCGGTTCCAAACATTGTCATATCAGACACATACGAGGAGGTCCCAGCTATACGGCAGCAGCGGAAAGGAAACATCATCATCATCGTAATTTCGTCACGACATAAAAGAGTCCACCCTCATCCCAAGTTATCACTCCCCCTGATTCTCCGAAAAAAAAAAAACAAAAACGCCCATAAATGCTCAAGACCACACTCTTCCTCCTCACTTAATCCTACGTAAGGCTGTCCTAGATATTTCCGCCGATTCTTCAATTTGCAGGTGGTGGTGGTGGTGCTCTAGATCAGCGTCGTCAAGGCCGCGCCGAGGAGTCTTGAGTTGACTTTTCGTTCGCGTTCTGTAGAGATGACAGGAATGTTAGCCTAACGTTCGTCCAAAAACATGGTTCTGGCTGTTCGACAGATGATGTCCCGTTGAGAAGAGCCTCTAGGAGAAGGATACAGTCCCGGGGCCGGATTTAAAGAAGGACGCGGGGGCCAGTTGCAAAGAATTGGGCTTCCGGGGATAATGATAGAGCTCCACTTCGCACCTCCCAAGGTCGAGAAAAATCGCTTCAATGGGAAGTAGAGTCAAGCAAGAATTCCGTGATATGATTCTGAAGAAGGATCTCTCGGGGTTGCGGAAAACATCTGTGCGGGAAGCATGCCTTTGTGATCCTCTCATGGCCGATACGATATTCATCTGAAAGTTCGTTCCGCCGAGTCGCGTGAATCATGAGATGCAGGGTGCTTGCACATATCCTTTCAGATGAGGCCTCGAGGTTTGGCGGATGACAAGGCGCATAATCCAGGACGATCAGCATGCTGCTGGAAGGGTGAAATAGTTCGACTTGTAAAAGCAGCGTCTCCAGGACTCCGGGAACACACGTCACAAGCAAACAAACTTCATCAAAATCAACGAGCATGCCGAACTAGCGCCATCCTACCTTTTCGATCCCTCTCAATCCTGATTTGCGTCCTAGGACTCTGGTCCTCTAAACCCCCCAGCGCCACCACCTCTCGGACAGGTCTCACACGTCCAAACCACTCAATAGCCTTGAGATCCTCTTCACCTGCACTGGCTCTCCGACGACGAACCGCGAGTGCGAGCTTATCTTCAGGTTGACGCTCGACGATGAGTGCTTTCCGCTCGAGTTCGAGTTGGCGGATCTCCGCATCAATGTCGCGGTCGGAGCGGAAATTATTTCTCTCGGCGAGGATGAGTTCGCCGCCGCCGCTGCTTCGATGACGATGGTGGCGAGATGGCTCGCGGACTTCGAGGATGGCGCCAGAGTGATGGTGCTCCCGACGACCTCTCGAGGGAGAGACTTCTTGAATGCGAATGTTGGTCTCGTCACGGTGACCTCGCGATGGAGAGACTTCTTCAATTCGAATTTGGGTCTCGTCGTAGTAGGTTGGCGCCTGAGATCTCGAGCGGGATATCTGTCTCGAGATGCTGCTATTAATACCAGGCGAGAGGGCTCGCCTTGATCGCCGATCGTCGACTAGACGCTCAGCAATGACAGTGGGTGGGTTAATCCATTCTGTACGGGTAATCTCCTCGCGAGTTCGTGATCGATCGCGATCTCCCATAGGTGGTGGAGGCATCGGCGCTGGTGTGGGAGCGTGAGATCTTTTGTCCTCGTTATTGTAGCGATGCTTCTCTGTTGGGGGGATAAGTCAGCAAGTCATCGCTCCACAAGGACAAATGCAAATCAAATTCTCAGGCGCCGCCAGAAACTTCAGAGCTTTCGAGAGGGCAAGGAAGGGAAGCTTACCTCCGTTACGGTACACCTCACTGACCCGGATGACCTCGTCAATCTGCTCCTTCTCCAAGGCCACACGTAGGACGAAGAAATTATCTTCTTCGTCGAAAGCATATCCAAGATCCAAAATGGCCTCGACTGCAACCATACGCTTAGGCATGCGGGTCTTTCCCTTTTTGAACTGTCGCTCCTCGCGCACGCTCTCCTCAATGATCGCAGTTTCACGCACACTAGGCGCACGGATCTCCGTCTCGAGATGAATGCTCTCACGGACGCTCCCTGCACGGCTCCTGGCTTTGGAAATGACTGTAGGTGCGCGGGTCTCTTCGTGGACACTGGGAGCCTTGCTGCTCTTGGCCTTCGATTTCCGGGAGGTCTTGGAGATGACAGTCGTGGCCCTGTCAGAACTGGAACTGGAGCTTGAGCTGCTCGTTGAGTCTCGCCGAGATCTGGTCTCCTCTTTCTTTGACTTTTCGCGGCGGTGTACGGATCGCTCTCGTCGAATCTCGACCTCCCGATAGTCATCGTCATCGCGTCGGCGTATCGGTAGAGGGACTGGAACGTACGGAGGGACTCGATATTCGTCGCGCTCGTATCGAGTCGACCTACGGTCAAAAGTGTCCAGGCTGCTCTGTCGACGAAGAAGCCCCGGGCGCGAGAAATCCCGGCGTCGCTCGATATCGAGTTCGTCCCGAGGCTTGCGATATGTGGTCATGGCCCCCGAGACGAGCTCTCTCGGATCGATGTCACCAAAGAGCTCGCGATCCGTTCGTCGCCTGGGCCGAGAAGTGTACTTTTCATCCTCGTAAAATCGATCACGCTCTTCATATTTTCCGCCAGCGGGAGGTCTGCTGCGCTCGCGTTCCGCAATGAGAATCTCTGTCCTGCCTGGCCGGTCGCGCTCGACCACACGAATGTCTTCCTCGTATCTACCTCCTCCGCCTCCTCCGTCACGACCAAAACGTTCGAAGCGCGCACGATCCCAGCGCTGTGGAAGTTCACCATAGGCAAGGTCGTCTTCGCGGGCGCGAGACATTGTGCGAGTGGACGATCAAACTTCCCCGTTCGAGTAGATGTTGCGATAATATGCTGAGTAGTCGCAAATGCTGAGCCTCTACGACAGGTAGAGAGTAATAAATACGAAATACGCAGAATTCAAAGAGAGAGAAGTGTTGTCTCTCTGCCAAGATGGTGGCAGGTTAGCATGTAGTTCGTCGGCGCTGGTACCACGATGCATGTGTGCGTCACGTCACACCCCACTTTGTCCAGTCCCGGCTGGCACAAGTACGTCGTCGTGCAGCGAACGTTCGCAGCTGAAGACGGCATCGAATTGGACGGCCTCCCGACCGACCTGGTTTCTAGAAAGAGCAATATGTCCCATCTAATATGCCATGGTATGTCATGCGCAGCCCATCCATACATACATGACATGCACGCAATGAGGTCAACAGTCCCAGCATCCTGGTGATCAGCGCAATCTAGACGCCGTCGGTGCAGCCCAAAGTGGGCGGGGCGGGCGGCCTCCGCCATTTGTGCCCGACACATGCGAAGAACGCCGTCAAGAAACGATTAACACCTGCATTCATTCTAGCGGACCTGCCGCACGATCTCATCATCACATGGCATCTGCCCTGAAAATTGCACCGCAACAGTAATCCTGCGCCAAAACTCGCTGCCCAATCTATATATTTCATCAAGGTCTCAAGTGTCCAAAGCCATTGCAGATCGAGGGCGTACATTACTTCATGTCCGCTGGCGTAAGCGCTTGTACAACGGATGTGCCGTCCATAAATCTGTAAAAGACACCAGTGCGTCAGCATATGATTTCAGGTTTGCGCTTCGTGAACAAGAGATGACCGCGACAGTTCTGCGACAAGAAGTGAGCAACATACCTCGTGCGGAAAATCCGATTAGCATTCCCAAACATGCCGTCCTTCAAACTGACCACGATGAACTGACTGCCCTTGAAGCGAGTTCGGATCAATCTACCGATATTTTGCGTATGTGAGAGATCCAATGCCGCATCGACCTCGTCGAGAATGTACATCGGCGCAGGTGAGTATTGCAGCAGCGACAGGATCAGACTCAGTGCGATGAGTGATCTCTGCCCACCACTAAGCTCTGTGAGACTGTGCTTCCAGACTTTACCCAGGCAGACTTTAACCTCGAGACCGTCCGAGATGGTCTTGCCTTCAGGAGGGTCCAGTTTCGCGGTATTGCCTGGGAGGAGATCGTTGAAGATGAGGCCGAAGTCGGCATTGACCTTTGACCAGGTTTTGAACAGAGCCTCCTGTTTGTATTCATCCAGGGCGAGGATGGTATCTTCAATCTTCTGCTTGTCTTTAATGATTGTGCGCATCATATTCTTGAGTGCAGACTCTTTCTTTTCGACACTATCGATGGTCGCCATGACGGCCGGGTTGATCTTTTTCTTCATACCCTGGAAGCGCTCCGTCACACCGACAAGATTGGTCTTGCATTCTGCCATATTCTGGTGATGGAAATCGTAAGGTGTGCCTGATCGGCCAAATGAAGTGTGTTCTTCCGCAATCCAGTCATGCTCCTTCTCCAGATTCGAGACAGCCTGTGATGCGGCCTGCTGGGCTTTGGCGAAATTGTCAATGGCGTGTCCCAGCTTCTGCTTCTCGATAGCTTCGTCCGAGATCTTTTGCGCTTTTTGTTTAGATGTTTTCTCAAGTTCGGCAATCTCGTTATCGAAGCTGCTGAGCTTCATGCGTTCGTCATTTAATGCGGCCTCCGCCTCAGATTGGCGCTCCTGGACTGTTCGTAATTCTGTCTGGTGTGACCGGAGTTCTTCTTGTCCGCTCTGCACTGCAAATTGTGACTCTTCCAATTCCTCTTGTGCTGTGGCCAGGTCACTACTCGCTTGTTCGGCATCGATGTTGGCCTCGCGAAGCTGCTGCGCTAAAGGCTTGATCGTGCTTTCGGCTTTTGCCAATGCTTTTTTGAGCCTGTTGAGATCAGTCTGCAGCTGTTCGAGCTTTGCGCCCTTGTTCGAAGCAAAGTCTTTCATGTCCTTTTCGACACGTTTCACTTCCGCCTGAGCATCAGCCTGACGCTGCTTGGCATCCTCTATGGTGGATTTGAGCGCAACGATGTTTTCCTTCATCTCCTGCACGGATGCAATAATGCTACTTGAGGAATTGCTTGAGATCTGTGACTCTGCCAGGTGAATCTCATGATCCTTCAGATCGAGCTCCTGTTTCAGTTGACGTGCATTCTGCAGCTTTTGGGCATCTCTAGCGATGACCGCTTCTAAATCAGCGAGCTTGGACTCCTCGCTCTGCAATTCTTGAGTGATCGCATCGAGCTTCTGAAGCTTCAGTAGTACACCATTCCCTGACGCTGCTGAACCTCCCGAAAGCGTACCGCTCGGATCATACACATCTCCTTCAACAGTGACACTCTTGAGGCGCACTGCAGGATCGAATGTAACTTTCTTGGCGGTAGATGCATCAGCACAGATCAACGTGTTGCCGAACACGTACTCCATTGCCTTTTCCACTTCATGTTCGTATCCAATGAGATTAAGTGCTAGATGCACCATACCTGGCGCAAGTTTCTTTGCGTGCTGCACTTTGTCTGCTGACGCTCTTGATGCATCAATCTTGTCCAGGGGCACAATCGTTACTCTTCGTCTGAGCTTGCCATTTTCGATCAGCAAGGATGAAGTCTGCGCAGAATCTACCACAACATTGTACAGACGTCCTCCTGCGCAGATCTCGAGCGCCGTACTGGCTTCTGTAGAATCCACAGGCAATCTGAAAAGCTGTGCGACAAGACCCTTGACACGTCGCCGGTCGAAATTGGCTGTCGGATCGCTATATGAGAAGTCCAAGCCTGCTACTTGGCGTCGTAATGCTTCAGCATCCGCTTGTAGCACACGTATACGCTTCTGCAATTGATTGCGCTCTGCTTGTTGCTGCTCTTCTTTTCCGGGTTCGAATCCGAGCTTTTCCAGGTCCTTCTTTATTTTCGCCGCTTGTGTTCGTAACGACTCAAGCCCCTTGAGTAAGCTGGCGTTCTCCTTTTCGGCCTTCTTGGCACGCGGCTCATCCTCCTTGATCCGAGACTCCAGATGGTTAATCTTCAACTTTGACTGTTCAATCTCTGTGCTAGCTTTACTGGCATTCTCGCGCGCTGTTGCCAGTTGACCAGCGTACCCGCCGTCAGAGCCGGCGTTCGATGAGATACCGGTCAAGAGCGTCTGTAGCAACTCTTCCTTCTTGTCTACCTCAGAGGTCTGGTCCTTCAAACTTGCGCTGGCTTCTTCAAAATTTTGCCGCAAACTCTGAGAGGCGCTTGTCTTTTGACCGAGCAATTTCTCACACTCCTTCACTGAAGCCTGTGCCTTTTTAAGCCGCTCTTTCTCTTCTGCTAAGGCTCCATTGGCGAGTTCCAGCTTAGTCTGCAGCCGCTCAACGTCTTCCGAATATGTTTTGACGTCCTGCTCCAATTTAGCGAATCTCCCTCCTTTCCGAAGCTCTTTGTCGCGAGTCGCGCGGACCCTTTGTACGTCCTCCTCCAAGACTCCGATTTCTCGCTGTAACCTTGAGGCGTTCTCCTCCAGTTCGGTGGATCTTTGTTTCTTCGCCACAAGGTCTTGGGCGCTCTGCTCCATCTTTTGCTTCAGTCGCACATAGTCATGTGCTACAACAAGTTTTGTCAGGCGCTCAAGGTCGTTCTGCGTACTTTGAAATTCCAAAAAGACGCGCTTCTCATTTCGCAGTTTTTCCAGCTTGGGCTCAATCTCATCCTTCAGCAATCCTTCGAGCTCTTCTACCTTAGCCTGCTTCTTGCTCATGGTCCGCAATGCCTTCTCCCTTCGATCCTCGAACATGCGCGTCCCCGCCGCTTCTTCTACCATACCCAAAATCTCCGTGCTCTTCATGTTCAAAACCTTCGTTATCCGACCCTGCATAATCAAGAAGTTCGGGTTGTTGATGTTCAGCTGCACGCTCTGAAAGAGGTTCTGCACAGTTTGTTGTTGTGCACGATGTCCATTGATGAGATATTTACTGGTGCCTCCTAGCACGATTTGCCGGGTGACACTGATGCTTCCATAGTCCTCAAAGCCAATCGGTGACTTGGCCTTGTCGCTGTTGTCGAATACAAGGGTCACTGAGGCTTTGGTGATTCCAGCCTGTCCACGTTTGTAGATGAGATCGCTAGCACCTCCATTTGCTCGTAAGAGCTCAAAGCGACCGATGCCCAAGCAGAAACAGATGGCGTCCAAAATGTTTGATTTGCCGGATCCATTCAATCCGGTGATCGCGTTGAAAGTCGGATCCCACCCTGATATGACCGTACGCACGGCATATGACTTGAAGCCATCGATGATTAGTTCGGTGATCCTCATCGTGAGCTTTCGATGTGTTGTATAGTCGTATCACCTTTGCTACAGACGACCACGTCGGATGAGATCGCGAACATTGACTACAATATTTACATTTTGTTTGCGCCTGTAAACACAACGCGGGGGCGGGCGCTCCGACAGGCTTGTGGACCCTTGCCCTGGGTCAATAACACGCGAAGACGCGTCAAAGCGCATAGGAGGACATTACTTGAATTATTTATTACTCGTCAACGAAGCATTTTGAAAAGACACGAGCCCAGGTATACTTTTTCATCTGTGTCTCGATGTATCGCAGCTATCTAGCAAGGAAATCGCCTGCAGCTCTGTAGATGGTCACAATGGTCTTGAAGAGGTTCCATTGCGGGATATGAAATACGAGACATGCACCTGGCTGCGCAACAATTATGACTCAAGGTCGATCTGACAGGGCATGTCTTGCTTACGCTCTCGGTGTTTTCGTAAGTGATGGAGGATGCAACTTCTCTAACAACACACTCCCGCCATGAACGCGAAAAAGACTCAAATCGATGAGTTTGACGAGCATGTCCTCCTCAAATATTCGCACCGTCCACACTATATACTCAAGAGACTGATCCCAGTCAATGAAGCCGACGCTCTAGCAGCGTCGCAGATCAAGCGTGAACATGGTAGCTCCTCTCTAGGATCTCTGGACGACCTACCGCGTGAGCTGATCGATGAGATCTTGTGTCAAATGGACCTGCAATCGCTCGCACGTTTGTCACAAGCTTGTCTACGCGGCAAGAAAGTGGTCGACGAGCTCCCTGCGTACAACCAAATCGTCTCCAGCGCAAGTCACATCTTTGCAACCCTTACTCGCGTGCAGGTGATCGGGCTTCATTCCGTCGCTAAACTTCACGCTACTTTACGGTCAGAGTCGTGCATCTCCTGTGGGCAATTTGGCGCCTGTTTGATCCTGCTATCCTGCGAAAGGTGCTGCCATGCCTGTCTCGCATACAACCAATCTTTGTGGATGATCACAGCTGAACGAGCGCGGAGCTGCTTCGGCTTGACGGAGGAGCAGTCCCTATCACTGCCATATATGCGAAGTGTTTCCGGCCCATACCCCTATCGAGGCATCAATGCCAATCTCAGCCCAACACTACTCACGAGCGTGCGGGCGGCTAAACTTCTGGCAAATAAGATGCGGAGTGGCGTCGGCGAGGCATTGATAGGAGAGGTCGCCACTCTTGGCCTTGGTCCACTGGACAAACGCATTATTGAGGCAAACTGGTTGCGGCGCGCTCCATTAGAACCCCTCCGGTATGATCCATTGGTTTTATCCACAAGAAACCGGGACATGCCGCTCAACCCTTGGAGAGGCATGGGCGCCATCTACTTTCCCCAACTTACCGCGAGCGGGTCGTTGGAGAATGGGTTGTGGTGCAAGGGTTGCACCGTTGCGAGTTGGTCATGTCCATTGTCATTGATCGACGAGGAGAATATTCCACCGGGTGTCGTCCCTGATGACTGTGCACGGCAACCATTCCTACGAGGCCTAGAGTATCGTGCCAGAACAACCGCTGGGTTCATAGAGCATGCTCGACTTTGCCCATGGGCGAATGACGAAGAGATTGGGAAGTTCGCGCAACACGTTCCCGAACCTTTTTTCGCATGCAAGGAACCGTGTCCATTATGTAAATGATGATTCAGCTGGCCTGCTGTGTTACAATATGGCCCGGTGTCAATCATGGATGATGATGTAGAAGTTTGATGCGTTAAATACGTTCAAATGTACGAGGATCTCGAGTGTAATGCATGCGCCACGCGTGACCCAGGGCCAAACAGTCGTTGTGGAAGACAGATACTGAGTGGATTTCTCCTCGAAGGTCTCATCTTTAGTGTCCAGTATAGAGCGACACGCAAATTGAGACTATAATGAAGCACCACAGGCGAGCACGATGTCATATTTTTCATCGTCACGCATAAGCAAGTGCTATAGAACATGAAGAATCTCTCATTGTTGTCTATGTCCTCGTGGAACGCTGGTAATTCGGGTGCGGACAACTTTAGGGTTGTTACACGAAGTCGCCTCCAATCCAGGAGTTACTTCAGGTTCATTCTACGTCTACATCCAAGAGTAACATGTAGACTTCAAATCCTTGCAAAAATGTGCGCCTCTCACCTTCCGCCTGCGTACATAGATCGAGTCAATTCAGAAGAAATCGAGAACCGAACCAGGCGACCCGTGACATCCAATAGAAACCTCCCCCACGGATCACACGAACGATTCCTTTCAAAACCAGCTGACGTTCTACCACCGTCCAATCCGCTAGGTTCTCCCATCAACGCTCTCTACAGTCCTGATGGCGGATAAAGCACACGCTGGAGCAGAAGGCTTCTTCGACCTAAGCGGTGAACTCCGCAACGTAATCTATCGTTACACGCTCATAGCAGAGGACGGTCCCAGCAACGCTGCGCTCCTCGCAACAAGCAAGCAAGTATTCTTCGAAGCAGAGCCAATCCTCTTCAAAGAACGCATCTTCCAGGTCACCGTCGACTTACGAGGTTGTCATGTCGATGGAAAGGAACTGCGCGATTGGAGAAAGATGGAGACGTGGCCACCATATCTCCGCAAGGCTCATCATGTGGCGTTCAAGGCGACGATGGATGACTGTATGTGTGCGGAATGGCATGCAGAATCTGGGTTTTACGCTATGGGTAAATTCCTCGAGAGGAGTCATAGTCTCCGAACGTTGTCGGTAGAATTCAGACGGAGCGTCGATGACTTTGGAAACGACAGATATCCCATGACGATGATCTGTCCCCGCTGGCTCTTCCACCAGCAGGATGTGGAGGTCACGATCGTGGGAACCGAAGACGTTCCACAAGTGGAATTCATCCGAGGACCCCGAATCGCCGCGGCCGAGAACCGGCCACACTCTCTCGAGGATGCGCATGCTTGTCTCCGGCGTGCGGTCCAGGATTTCACCTTCTGGATGATAGTATCGATGGGCCCGCGACCGCACAATACCGAGTACAGACCCCGAGGCTTCGAGAATCAACTCACGGTCACGGAACTCTGCACGCAATACGATGCGATAGATCCTGAGATACATAGTCAAGATGTCAATGCGGAGCTGAGACTCGCGGCGATGCTGTATGAATGGAAACTGCATTCTGATAGGACGGCAGCCTCCTCGCCCGCGCAACCGGCGTGGGATCGTGGTTGGAGGATAGATTTCTATACCGTGTTGAAATATGCTTTCGCGGCGATCAGTCTGGGTCGACAATCTGGGCTGGCGGAATGGAGGGATCCGCCTATGGCCGATCTAATGTTCCTGACCAGAAGCTGAACCTGAGCGCGAGCGAATATATCCACATGAACGAGAAAAAGGAGTCACGCTGAATTTCGCACTATCGCTAACCGCAACAAATATCTAACACCATCAAAAGAGGAGTCTACACCTCCGCCCCCTCCTCTCCATCCGCCACGCGGGCATATTCTCCCCGATACAGCATTCCCTTGCGAGGGACTTCATACATGTTCGTATAATCGACCGTGTCCCCACCTAGCAGGGCCTTGCCATTAGTTTTCGATCCGAAAATCGGTCCATCGCACCAGAAATCCTGGCAATTACGAAAAATGCCGCGGGAGAAAGGCTTGGTCTTGCGGGGGTGCTGTTTGTGTTTGTCTTTGTTTTGTGCGCCTTTGTAGCCCTGGAATGCGATGGCGATGAAGGTGTCGACGCCGAGAATGGCGCACGAACTGCTGAGGAGGCCAGGCTTTTTTGCTGCGGCTGCGTGTTTGTGGGGGTGAGGATGGGAGTGGCCACCACTTGAGGTTTGACCGGTGCCGTCGACGACGTTGGCGGCTTCGAGGGAGGTGGTGCCTGATGTGGCGGCGGCGAGAAGTGGTCCCCCGTCGGGTGCATGACGCATGTTCTCATATGTTGTGATGTTTTGGGATACTTGGAAGAAGTGCACGAAGAGGAGCATGAAAGTCCATGTGAGCTGGAGACCTGCCCAAGCGCAGGTCACGATCACGAAGGGATCCTTGCACAGCTGGGCGCAGTAGTCGTCCTTGAGGATGGAGCACTCATATGCCGTTGGCGGTGGGAGGATAGTGATATCTGTGCGGAGGTTACTATGTTTTTCATGCAATGAATGACTGGTGAAGGTAACTCACAGGCGAGTGTAAGTTGAATGAACAGGATGATACCAAGAATCATGAACATGACATAAAGCACGAAATGTTTGTGGTTATTCACTGCAACACAATTATCGACCCAAGGGCAGTGGCTGAGAAAGCAACAATGTCAGCATTCATGCGAGATCAGAAGTCGCGGGCCTTTATGGAAACTCACTGGTCTTCTCTCGCGACACATCGTTTGCACCGCCAACAATGCTTGCTGCGTAAAGGCTTGCGAATCATACATTGTGTACAGAAATGCTTCTCGTTAAATGCGTTATGCTCTACAAGGTCGTCAATCGTTTTCTTCGTGAGGCCTCGGCTGGCAGCCTTGGGAATGAATCCAGGGTCGGAAGTCATGGTCGAGGCGTAAAAGTAGGTGCAAAGGATGTATGACAGGAGGAAGGAGATGTTCAAAAGCGGATGAGAGGAGAACGTGGCTGTGTGGAAGAGATGTTAGTGAGAAAGTCGACGTGTACACTGATACCCTTCCACTTACTCGGCAGAACGCGGAAAAGCCAGCACATGCCCACCCAGAATAATGTTCCCGCAAAGATACCAGCAAGCACTGGGGTGTGATGAAGATTCTTCATATCGTTGGGCGCCCATCGCAGCAATTTTCCCACCAGGTATTGTAGTGCATATCCGATCAAGAGCACGCCCGGAATCGAAACCCAGATGACGAGATGTGCCAGCATGTACAACTGCAGACCACCCAAAAAGAAAGGCCATAAGAACAAGAAACGCTTGAAGAACCAACGCTTGTCCTTGACAAGGGGAATTGGGAAGCTGAGAGGGTTGCCAGACTCATCGAAGCCGGCGTTGACCAACGCTCGATGCCACTGCTTCTCACTTTTCATCTTCATCGCCGTCATCGCAGGCGTATCACCCTCCGGTTCGTCGCCCTGAGGTTTACTCCGGACGAAACGATCACTGCCATGCTCGATGAGTTTCTGAATGCAGGGAAAGCTGCCCTTGACCAGTGCCCAGTGTAGCGCGGTGAAACCCATATCGTCTACTGCGTGTACGTCTGCACCGAAACGAAGCAGAGCGTCGATACATGCTGGAAAGCCTTTATACGCAGCCCACATCAGAGAGGTATGCCCTTGCGAATCTTGAACATCTACCGGCAGATCGGCTTGATGTAGAAGCAGGGTCAACTGGAAGACATTGCCATCGAGCGTCGCCGAATGGAGGAGGTTATATCCCTGATCATCTCGTAGTAGGGGATCCGCACCATGTGAGAGGAGTAGTGAAATCACGGGGAGGTTGAAACGCTTGCTCGCCCATAGAACCGGTGTAGCCATGGCATCGCCGCCTTTCGCATTGACGTCTGCGCCGGACTGAAGGAGGAAATGACATAGCGCGACGTGACCATTGATCGCGGCCCACTGTAACGATCTTTATCAGCCCACACAGTTCCAACTTTCACTCTATTCCCACAGGTCTCGCGATGCGCCGCACATACATGTAATGCCGTTATGCCCTGCTCATCCGTCGATTTTGCATTATACCGCCCGGAATCAAACAATTTCTGTATAGCTCTTAACTCCCCTAGACGAGCAAGTTGCATTAAATCCGATTCAATCGGCAGCGGCGGCGGCGTTGATTCGAGATCGCTGAGTTCCACTTTGTCCAGGCCGTCCCCGACGTTGGCGTCAGATGCGGCGCTGTTGCGCGGCGTTTCGTGGACATCCTCGTTGGAAGTCGTGGAGGGTTTCGAGGCAGGCATGGCGCGGTTGGGAGGCTGCTCGCTATTTTTATGGTCGGCCGTTCAACTCATGACAATATGGGGGATGTTCTGTGGATATAATGGTTTGGTGCGCATGCTCTCGTGGAGATGCTCGTGTGCCGCCGGCTCAGCCTCCATTTCGCGACTTGCGGCTTTTGTGAACGGCGTGGCTGGCGGGAGACGCGTGGAGGCCGAGATGACGACGACGTGCCGAAATTTACCCTCCACGAACATCGGCAGCTCCTCCGATACAGACATCAACGCAAACCTGTATTATTTCATACCCGGAAGAGCGAATGTGCTCTAGATACATGAGAATGGAAGAATTGGCATATGAAATTATAGCCTGTCTCTAGATGTGAAATTCTCATACAATTGTCAATCATCGTCTGACACAAAAAATCATAAATCCACTAAAAACAACGCCACAAAGTTTTAGAAAGATCGGCTTCCAACCAAGAATGTACAACGCCGAGACAACATCAGTGCACCTTCACTCCGATTTCTTTCCCGCCGTCTCTCTCCTCCTCCGTCTTCGCTCTCGCGCATTGGCTTTTAGATTCTCCTCCGTGACGTAATCATCCGGAAGTTGGAAGTCTCGCTCTTCGGACAGAAGTGCTTCTGGGAGAGGCAAACCAAACGCGGTCACATTCCGGCCGGCATGCCGTGAATTGCCAAGTGCAGCGTCGCGAAGGTGGCGTTTAGCGTAAAAGCTGGTAATGGGAATTTCGGGAGAGGGAGGCGCAGGAGGGCGAAGTATGATTGTGGGAGTGGAGTTGGGCAGGCGGGATGTCGTTGCAGGAGTGATTGCGTGACGTTTTGAGGACGATGGAGCTGGAGTGTGGAGATGGGCGGGTAGGCTCAGACGCTCTTTCGCCCTCGATTTTAGCTTGTGTGAGCCTTGACGCGAGAGTTTGCCTGTCGATATTCGCAGGGCATTGGCGGTTTCTTGCTGGAGTTGATGTGCCGCAGAGGCATTCAGATCGCTACTAGGAGGTTCAACACTGCCCTCACAGCTGCTATCATCGGCTTCTTCAGCTTCGCGCGCCGCCTCCTCCGCAGCCGCAGCAGCAGCCTCCTTCTCGAGTCGCTGCTTACGTTCTTGTTCTTTCCATTGCTTGAATTTATTCACAAGCGTTTGCACTTCTGAGATGAAGTAGTCACGCTTGAGCTCATATCTCCTCGCTTCGCCGTCGGTTATGCCTGTGATGCCGAGAACTTTGAGCCAGTCGTGGCCTTGTAAGCCGTCAAGCAATCGATCGAGTTGCACCTTTTCATGCATTGCACGGTCCCGCTCGATGTTGCGGAGCTGTTTCTCTCTGCGTTCCGCACGCTTGTGTGACTTCATGAAATGGGCGTCCGTGAGTGGATCCTCTGGATCCTCCGGGAGTGTCTTCGCGATGACATCAAGACTCAGACTCGAACTACCATTGTACTGGCTTGCAATCGAACGTGCAGAGGTAGGAGAAGACAGAACTCCGTTGAGCGATGACTTGCGGCCTTTGTGAGCGATTGGTGATCCCTTGGTGCTGCCTCTGGATTTATTTGGCGAGTCTCCAACGCTACCAGCCTTGTGTGTATCGTCCGTGACGTATAGAGTGGTGTCCACGGTAATGAGCTCCTCCTCGCGAGGCGCATCGAACATGATGTCCTCATAATTTGCAAAGTAAACCGCAAGCTCGCTCTTCAACCTGGGCCCGTCATCCTGTGATCTCAACGTCCTCTTCTCGTCCGGCTTTTGTGATCTCGGCGCCGATTCCACCTGTGGCGACTGTGTTGTTCGCCGGGAAGCTTTACCGGTCGGCATTGGCGTAGGTTTAAGCAATTCATCTTCGTCGTGATCAGCTGTGGGAGCGACTCCTCTGGTGCCATTGGATAGGCGTGGCAGCTTGCCGGTGGGCTCGGTTGCTGGTGGATTTTTCTTCTCTAGCGGCTGAGAACGTATAAAGCCGTCAAGTGTTGTCTGACCGCCCGTCGTTGAAGTGAGTAAAGTGCCTGTATTGCTTTTTGCTCGAAGGCTCAGTTTCAACCTCTTTGGCGGACGATCACCATTTGGTTGGTTGGCGGCATCGGCAGTCGAGTCCACAGGATTGGCTTTCTGTGGCGCGAGGGGAATCAATCTGGGAGGGAACGCGTCGCCGTTCTCTCGTTCTCCATTGCCTGTATAATTTTGCTGTGACGCTGACGCATCAGTATGCTGTTGATATTCGTGGTGCGGTGTGGCTCGTTGTGATTCTCGTCGACGGTCGTCGGGCATTCCCGCGGGCGCATTCAGACTTTGTTCATCGCGGGAAGAGGTGGCAAGGAGTGAGCCAACTGTGCGCCCGAAATGCATCTGCTGGGACATTGGCAACCTCGACGCGCATTTCGAGCGATTGAAGTGCTCCGAGCAATTGGCAATTGTGGCAGAATATCGTGGGTCGAGAGCGTTGGATGAAGGGGACTGCAACAACCTTGGTGCGACACAACACGCTCGCTGGCAAGTCGCTGTTGTTGTCCGCTGGTCGACCCCTTCGCTTTCTTCGGTGACGTTTCTCCACACACGTACTGCAACCTACCTCTTTTGTGTACTGCTCCTGAAAATATTTCAAGTGACTACCTAGGTTGCAAAGAATTCCACGGTTGAAACGATTTACAACTTTTGAACTCGGTCAATTGAAGATAGAACTATATGCCCAGCAACGCGCATGTCAACTCTTTGGTAAATGATCACACTGCAGAGCGAGTCAACCGCACCCAGGGACCATGGCACGAGTTCACCATTCAGACGCAACAATTCTCAGCTATCTTGGCAATCTATAGTCATTGGAATTTTTACGGGAGTCAATAGAGATTTTCAGCTCAGACATCATGCACCAAGCAGTATATCGCCAGTTCATTTGCTGTTACGATTTAACAAAAGCGAGCTCTCTTTTTGCTTCATCTGGGAATCATCTCGCTTACGACAAGAATTTGCTCGCCAGGCTCAACAGACCGCTGGCTCCTCCACCACTTCCTCCAGCAGCTGCTCCACCGCCGCCCATCTGGCTCTTCATGAACAGCTTGAGAGCCATCTGAGCTGCACTAGCGACGGCATCCTGCTTTGAGCCCTGGGCATTGCCCTGAGCCGACTGTTGGTCGAACAACTTCGCCGCCTGACCCATGGCGATACCAATGAGCGCGTTCTGGCCACCACCACTGCTGCCACTGCTGTTGCCACCGCTGCTGCCGCCCTGGGTGAACATCTTCAAGGCTTGCATGGCGGCGGCGCTACCAATGCTTCCAGAGCTGGCGGAGCCACCAGAGTTACCGCCGTTGTTGTTGCCGTAGAATTGCTGGTGGTTTTGAACCGCAGCTTGTTCGTCAACATCTTCATTCTGAAGCTGTGAATGCTTGCCAGTCAGCATGCCCAGGACACTGCTGAAAATGTCGCTGTCGGCAGAGTTGCCTGCGTGTTGGCTGGCCTGCTGCTGTGCGCCGGAAAAGTCATCCGATCCACCGTATGTCTGACCAGGTCGGCCAGGGCGTGAGTCACTGCTGCCGTAGTTGTCACCCCCTGAGTTGTGCTGCTGCGGGCGGCTGTTGTTGTCATTGCCGCCGTAGTTGTTTCCACCCTGGCTGCCATAGGAGTCATTGTTACCACTGCCTCCATAGGATGAGCCGCCTTGAGGACGACCACCACTTCCGTAGGAATCGTTGTTGTTGCTGTTTCCGCCGCCATACGAGTTGCCGCCTTGCGGCCGACCTCCGCTACCGTAGGAGTCGCTGTCACCGCCATACGAGTTTCCACCTTGGGGTCGGCCACCGCTACCGTAGGAGTCGTTGTTGTTGTTGTTGTTGTTTCCGCCGCCGTATGAGTTGCCGCCCTGAGGTCGACCACCTCCGCTGTATGAATCGTTGTCGCCGCCGTGGGAGTTACCTCCTTGTGGACGGCCTCCACTACCGTAGCTGTCTTGGTTGTTGTTGCGGCCACCATATGAATTGTTGTCGTTGTTGTTACCACCGCCGTAAGAGGTACCTCCTTGCGGCCGGGCCCCGGCGCCGTAGCGGTCGTTTGATGAGTCGTCTCCTCCGTAAGACATGTTTATGCTGCTGGCGTGGTCAGTACTCATTCAACGTGCCGGATATGTCCACGAGTACGTGCTACTGCAAAACAGCAGAAGATGAGATAGCTTGGGTAAATGTTGTCGATGCTAGCTCAAGGACTGTCAAGTATGACAACCGCTTTGTTGCCTTGATGCTGAAGTGCTGGTACAGTACTCACATTTTTGCTCGAGAATCTTTTGATTTCGGTTGATGATTGTTTGCTTTCCCAAACGAGAAACTTATTGATAGCTACGAGAAGGAAAAAACGCCCGTCACTTATGAATATATCCTTCCCAAGAAATGGTCTAGATTGTTCGGACCACCAAGCTCCCTCGCCGAACCATTGCTCGATCCAGAGAACGTGAGCACATACGCAACGCGCGTTGTGCCCCGCCACGGTACGTCATGCCAGGGTCCATCGAGAGCGCTCGGCGCCTTGCATGAAATTTACAGCTGATCGTGAACCTGTTTAGCGCCGCCGACCACGACGTCTAATGGTAAAGAGCCCTGGAGTTGTAGTATCTTGCGGTAGATTCAGAGTCGAGGATAGCCAAGCTATGGCTGGGACCAGCTCATTGATCGGAGGAATTTACACTTTCAGATTTTAAAATTCAAGTTGCTTGTGCATTCCCAGGACGTATCCGCAAATGGACGGGAATCAAGATGTTGGAATTGCCCTCTCATCGTTGTCGGTACATGATGCAGACATGATCGAATCTTCTCCAGGATCACTTGATCATCATGTCACGAGTAAGGGCCTTGGAGCTCTTGTTTGCGTCGCAGGTTAATTACTCCAATGCAGGTGTGCAAAGTGAGCGCTTTCCGCGTCATGTGCAATGTCATAAATCCGGTGATGCCTTCCGCTGCGAGGCCGAGAGTTAAGTTTCGTTGTACCGCGCATATGAAAGTTGCCGGGGTGGGCTCAGAGGAACCAAAAACTGGGTTTTATTACAATGGCAAGTACACGCTGTGCTCAGCGACAACTCACACTGTCTACAACATCTCGAAAGCAATCGTCCTATTCAATCCACTCGCCGTGACTCTGATCAAACTCACCAACTCTCGATATCCATTCTTCATCCAGACTGCTTCTACACCCAACATCCTGAGACATTGTAGCCAGCACCTCGTCCAACATGTCTAGCCTATTGACCACCGTCGCCCTCTTTACCGTAGTCCTCTCCGCCTTCGTCGGATACCTCTACCTGTGAGTCCTCAATACCTCCTCCACGTCAACACCCCATCCATCATCCGCGCATGAGTACAGTGCCTAATATCTCCGCACGCATCTCCCAGTTTCGGTCTTCCCTCCACCACCAAGCGCAAGATCAACGATGCCGCCCTCAACGCCATGGGCGAGAACAACAAATCCACGAACATGGTCAAGGACGCTCTGAACCGCATTCCGGACTCCGACAGCGCCGACAAGGATGTCCATGACAAGAACGTCAGGGAGGGAGGCGTGAGCGACATCACCATGGCGGGGGTCCAGAAGCAGAATCCCCTCGGCGAAGCTGTACGTCTGGCTGACGCGACCAAGAAATTGGCGTGGCAGTTTTCGAGGCCGGGGAGAAGGCTTAGGCTGACTGGTATTTCGCAGGTCGGCGAGAAGACGGACGAGGTCCATCGTCCGGTCGCTGGGCGCTAGGCTGCGATGATGGAGAAGCGGATTTCGGCTGTTCTACGGATCTGGACTGCGGTGACAAGCCTTGGGAACGTTCTCGTCGAGGGGACATGTTCGAATGGTAAATTTGACAACGTCAGATGTGCACCAATTTTCGATGCACGGTGGGATGATGGTCATATTTCACAACCTCGGGGTTCATTTTCGATGACCTGGGATTGAATGCCAAAGCTTTCCTGCCTTGCGTTTCCTAACCTATTCTTCCAACTTTGAGTGCAATCCGTTGTCAATTTCAATACTAATCGTCACCATAGCCGCAGAAGAGCTTTCTCTGATTCTTGATCAGAGTTGCTTGGCAATTGGGCAACCGCATTCAATGTCTTTTGTCACCTTCACGACAGTCTCACACCACATCATTTGCGTGGCGAAAGAGCTCCTGTAAGCTGTACACGCCCGAGTTGATCACATCATCGGTGACTGCCTTCAGGAAGAGACCAGGTGCTGGCAAAATCTGTCCGTTCGCCTCGCATGGGGCCACCCCTCCGATCATGTTTACCGTATTGGATTGACTACCAAGTAGTCCGCCAGAAATCTCCCTGAAGTTGGGGATGTAGAGTCTTTCATTTTTCCCGCACACACGCTCGATATTGTCGATGGTCATTTCGGGGAAACTTTTGTCGTTCGATATTTGTCAGTTTTATTTTCCCGTTTGGAAAATTGCCGGCGATGTTGCAATTTTGGTGGGACTTACATTTCGAGCCAGATCTTGGTCGGAATCAGATGTATGGTTCCTGGTCCCATGTGCAGGCGAAGCGCCTCAAGCTTACTGCCTGTTTCGATGGCCTGGCGGAGCTCTTTGTTCTTCCACGCCGCGCGTTTGGCCTTTTGACTGTTGAGATGTTTCTCGGTGAAGATCACGTATTCGGAAGGGACTCCGTATGCAAGCTTGGGTTGGCTGCTTGGATTCTCTAGTTCACAGTATCCAACGTGGAGCTGGATGCAGAATAGCATCGCTTTTGTTTTCGCCTCCTCTTCGGCTTGTAGCTGTTCATCGGTTGTCTTGAGATTGATGAGGGTTTGGGGCTCGAGCATGGCTGCGAAGAAATGGAGGCATAGACGAATCCGCCGGAGAGGTGTTTTTTTGTCGAAAAGATCTTCGGCCATGGTCACGAGCCATGATCTAGGGTCAACATTGGTAGAAGGATTGAGTAGCTTCTTGCCAAATATGACTTGATCGACAAGCTTGCATGCACGTGTGTCGATGTCATCCTCGATGTATGTTGATCTTGGCAGTGGGTCTTGAGCTTTTGAGATAGCGATCAAGCGATGTATCTCGCGCTGATCCTCGCCGTCAAAGCCGAAGTGTGAGTCTTGTCTGACGTGCTTCCTCTTGAGGTTGTCTGCATGGGTGGCACTGATCGACTGAGTCTCGTCACGCTCGTTCAAAACTTCGATCTGACCTTCTGAGCAAGGAGCGATAGCATCTTGAACGACACTTGGAATCGAGATGATCGTTTGGTGACTTCCAAGAGCGCTCTGTCGCTTGACCAGCTCTTGGAGATCTCCGGAAAGGCTATCGATACGCTCAGACATACGCTCATGTTGTGCTTCCAATCTTGCCAAAATCTCAACGATGCAGTGAAACAATTGATCCCCAACATCGACTTGGACTTGCGGCCCTATGTGTGGCCCCTGCGTTTGATCGTTCATCGTTGCTTGTCTCCAGCTTTCATTGCAAATCGAGCTGACGTGATTGCTTTTGGAGGATCAAAGTGGTGATTTTTGCAAGTTTGACCTTAGAACTGGCAGTCTACAGGATCGACTGATCATGCTCATCACCTGCTGATTGTGTCGTCAATCTTGCGATGTCGACTTATCGTTGAATCTGTAGCTCATTATCATGTGATCGTCACGTCGATGATTTTGTTGGCTGTGAGCTCCTTGCATGTGTCGACGATTGTGACCGATGCTACTATGATCGCTCGCTGTCAAGTTCTCGCTTAGTTGTGACACATGCAACTGTCGGAAAACAATTGGCGGTTCGAGGTACCTTTGCGAATCTGTCACCAAGTATGCCCAGGTGCGTTTCAGGATTGCGACCCTTGCGGATGAGCAAGCGCTAACATTGAGACTCTGGAGTTCCATTTCACTGGACGCGATCTAGATACCTGCTAGGTACGTGCCTGGGTAGGTATGTGAGTCAGGTTTGGTCTCCAAATCCAGAGATGTCACTCGTAGATCTATGAACTTGTATGCCTCATGATTGTGCTGGTCTCCGGGACTGGCAAAAAAACGATTAGCTACGTTTCAGCTTCGCGCATCCTGTCCCTGGCTCGTGTCGAGCCAGGACTACTACCCTCCAAGGCTCGCATTTTTGGGCTTGGACGCGAGCAACCAGTAGGAGTACAGGTGGTTTCTCGCCGAACGTAGTGAATCAGCAGCTTTCATTACTCTGCCCAGACACAAAACACCCCTTGTACTTCATAAGGCTGAGATCAATGGATGGTATAGAGATCGACTTCTTCGTTGTGGGCTCGTAATGACACCACTTCGGTTTCAGATTGTATACTTGGGCATGCCTTCTTTGTCGTCAGCTGCAAAATCGAGTCTCTTTATTTCAGCAGCGATGCATATGTCACCCGATCATTGAACCTCGATACTTTAGGCAACCAAGTCGATGATTACCAGCTGAATCTTCACGGAATACTGTTTTATGTCTACTCAATCAGAACAATTTTCGTTTTGGTTTCTCCTCTACCACCCGGACATTGGAAAGATTTGACATCACCTCCAGTCAGCACAACACAGTCACATTCAGGAATTGAAAGGCCGGGAAATGACCATTGGCATCTTGGCTGAGCGCTCAATGCGTCAGACAGAGCTCACGTACATGTCTTCCTGTCTTTTTTGTTTTGAGCAATCAGCAGTAGCAAAATTGTTTGGATCCTTGATCCACCTATCTCTTTCGTGCCCTAGCTAGTCAGTAGCCACAGAATCGACATAGTCATTCGTACGTCCGTATCTTAATTGTGCCCATTTTGGCCCTACCCATGCCCTTTCGTGACCACCACCGCAGCTATTAGGGTCTGCACATTGCCGCGATTGATTCGTTATAGTCATGAGACTGCATCGCATCCGCGGCGGATGTAAGTCCTCGATTCTCACACCCTGCGGATTGAAGCAGTCTCTTCAGTCAGCATTCCTCCAACATCAACGATCTTCACATGCACGATACGGAGAATCCACCAAGCGCCAAGTGGAACTTCCATCCTGCGAACATGGCGACAATATCGAGACCGAAAAACTACGACGACGCCTTGAGTTTGCAACAGGGAACATTGATTCTATTTTCAACGCCAGCTCTCTGAAAGAAAGAGTCCCATCATATATTTCCATCAGGATCAAGCGCTGCCCTGCGCCTTCTCGCTAAAGATCCTCTCGATCATACCCCGACAGATGGGGTGATAGAAGTCTTTATTCTTCTCAAAAGTCTGCTTCGCGAGCTTCTCGTCGCAATCGATGAGTCCCCTATACAATGGACGCACGAATTTCATGCGTCCGACCTGCCCCAGCAATTCCGCCGTGCGGGGGTAGACGTCGGCATCTCGTGCTTTGAGGCCAAGGACGAGGTAGCGCGAGACGATCTCGACGTTTTGCGAGTCGGTGAATTTGTAGATGGCGCCCATTTGGCTGACGAGTTTGGGGTGGAGGGGAGTGGTGTTGGTCTGGAGGGATTCGAGGAAGACGACGATTTGATTGCCGGTGAAGTCGGAGATGTCGGAGGCGCTGGGTTTCCAGGACGAGCTCGATTGCGATTGGTCTTGCTGCTGTTCGTTGAGAAGGAGCCACTTCGCGGCAAGATCGTAGCACATGTCTGCGAAATCGGTGTTGAAGGATGGCTTGGGCGGATAGCCCGGTTTGTAGAACCAAGTGTCCCAATCGACTTTGTTCAACGCGGCAGCGGCTTCTGCATCTTTGGCGAAGAAGGAAAGAAGGGTCGCTTTGAATTCGTAGCTGTCTACCGAACGCTGCTTGAAAGTCGTGAAGTAGTGCGGAATGAAAGTATCCCACTTATTGATTCCAACAAGCTTCTCCAGGTAGTAGAGAAAGGTGAATCCTTTCTCATACGGGATGCTTGAGAAAGCGTCATCCGGGTCTTCGCCTCGCAGGTTTGGGATCAGCTTCGTGAATTCATGGTCTTCACCGAATTGTTCAATTGAGTCGGCGAGAGCTTTCCAACCGATGATGGCGGAAAAGTCACGATGTCTCTCATCACCGTGGATGGCAACTTGGAGACGGCGTTCGAGATAAGTGGTCCATCCTTCGTTCAGCCAGAAGTGCTCCCAGCTCGCATTGCTTACGAGATTTCCGGACCATGAATGGCTCAGCTCGTGCGCGATGACATCAACGTTCTGTCGGTCGCCGGAGACGATCGTGGGAGTGGCGAATGTGTACACGGGATTCTCCATGCCGCCGTATGGGAAGCTTGGAGGAAGGACAAGAACGTTGTACGTCGTCCATGCGTAAGGATAGACTATCTTCTCCGCTGCTTGAATGTATGCTTCGGTGTCCTTTTCGAATTCCCACTGGCTGGCTTTGAGCTCCTCGGGACCTGTCCAGACGACAGATCGCGGACCGATGGACGCCGAAGCCAGGTCACCGCTGGCGAGAGCAAACAGGTACGAAGGCATCGGGATCTCTTGATGGAATGTATAGAGAAGAGTTCCGGATTTGCCGTCCTTGCCGGGCAGAAAGTCTCGAGCTCCTGTAGGAAGACCTGAGGCCAGCACTGGCAGCGGCGAACGGATGTTGAAAGTGTAAGTCGATTTGACATCCGGGGTATCTTGACAAGGGAATAGTGATCGAGCATGGATAGCCTGGCATTGTGAAAACATATATGGGAATTTCTTGTTGCTGGTCTGAGCCGGAGTAAGCCATTGTAAGGCCGTGCAGTCCTTGGTTGTGCTGACGCCGATGCGTACTGTCACTCCATTCGCGTATGGTTGCTTCAACTTGATAGTCAGAGGTGAGCCGTAAGCACCAGTCCTGGAAGAAGCAATATCAAATTCAACAGCAGCAGCCTCGACCTCTACAGATGAAACATCCAGATAGCTAATCAAAGCATTAGTCAAAGGCTGAATTTGCAAGAGAATGTCCGTTCGATGAGTAGAGGCCCGAGCAGTGTCCATACCTTGTGTCGAGAACAATGGTGGTTTCCTCCTTGGCCAAGCTCTCGAGCGTGAGATCAACGAAACCCCGAAGCCGCTTCGCCTCGAAATCAATTTCGAAATTGGCAGTGGTGTGCTTAGTCCTCCAAGCATTGTAGTTCGACAGTGTGTTGGGATCACGCGGCGGATGAATGCTTGCCGCAGCTGCCTCGACCGCAGAGGAGGCCAATGGCCTGATGACCATTTTGCTGATTGGTAATTGACGGAGAGACTGAGCGATTCGGATTTCGGGCGGGCTGCTCGGTAGAGACGCTCGTGATCTGGTGATGGGAGTTGAGCTTGATGTAAAGTGCTTGCTGTTATTACTGTTGTAAATTGAACGCTGACGAAAATGGGGAGTCTTCACTACCGCGCGCAGAATGTAACGTCGGCAAGTGATGGTTGCTGCAGATGTGACGTTCATATTTAGTTATGCCCTCAGGCTGTCGATTGCAGTACACTGTGCAGTATACATCCACCTGCGGCCTACCTCACCTTGCGGCCTACCTAAGTACCTAGGCACATTTTTCTTAAGATAAGACCCGTGGACTACAACGCAGCAGCACACCAAACCGCAAATAACCGCAATAGGACTCTCACTCGCTATTTTCCTAGAATTGGGTGCCACCCTCCCTGCCTCGCGGGTGCAAATTTCACCTGCTCCCTACCAGATTATGAAGTGTAGCAGTATACCCTCCTGTCAATCAATATGACGTCTACTCAACGCGTATTGCTATCTACTGTATACCTAGGTCGGCTGTGGAAAGGCAGACTCACGCGACTCATCGTTGGTTAGCATGTATTCTGCGGGACAACCCCAAGTAGCCCGGCTGGAGGGGTGCGAAGTCCCCGCACCGTTCAGTGAGCCAACAGGTAGCCTGAGGCTGTAATGGTCACGTGGGTTTGCGATCGGTACGCGACTGTCCGTGCACAATGCCGGCTCGGTGTTGTTGACGAAATTCGTGCACGTCATGCTTTGTACACCCGTACACGCGTCGGCACCTGCAATTGACGAAAGCCCACGCCAGCCATTTTTGTACATCAGCACTTCCATCGCTTGCCACTTTATATGTTCCGCGGGATGGTCCAATCTTCTACGACAACTTCATAAACTTAACGATATGGCGCGACTCCGTAAGGCGGCAGCTGCTCAACCTGCTGCAACGACGGCACTGGCTGCGCGTCACGCGCTTCGCGAGAAAACCAACACGACACGAGTCAATACTGCGAGTCGCAACGATGATAGTAACACGGAGAATCTCGTGAAGGATAAGAAGGCGGCGCGCTCGCGAACCCGCGCCTCGCAATCGAAAATCGGAAATGAGGAACACATGATGACTGGCGGACTTGGTCAAAGAGGCACTGGCACTGGTACTGAAGAAGAAGGCGTGGACGCGCGCACCGACAACTTGACGACTGCAGCCACCGCGAGAGGTCAGCGTCGACCTGCGCGCGCCGCTCGAAAAGTCATGCAAAGCGATCGCGACAAGCAAGTTCTTGCAGAAGTGAGAAAACGTATGGAAGCGACCGCTCGGGGGCAGCGCACCAATGGACCAGAGGCTGTGGCCACTTCCCAGGCAAGCGCACCCTCCACGGACATTCTCGTACACAAATCACCTGGATTGTCGTCTCCGCCCGTGCAAGATAGAGCGCCCGTTGGAATTGGTCGCAGGCGCTCTTCGACGGTCCAGCCTCCAGGATCCGTGTTGAGATTGCAGAATACACCGGCGCTCGAGAGCAGCCTACTCGCTCTGAAGAACTTTAGGCGAAGGCCGCGACAGCACAGCATATTACACATGGTGCAGCAAAGGACCGCTAGTGCAAGACCTTCCGCCGCGCATGTTACTGATAGGGAGCATTCCACCCTCTCAGGGTTAGATCTGGGACTTGATACGGACGATGACGACGTCGATGATTTCGCACCAGATGCAGAAGGAACGCCGATCAAGGTGGCGGCTCCGGTCTCTGATCTGACCAAAAGCGCGAACTTGAGGGAGCGAAGTTCTAGCATTACCTCTGAACATGTGGATCAATCGACCACTGGTCGCTCGAAACGACAGAAGGTTGCGGTACCAACCTCTCAAGTTCCCGATTCTCAGATTGATCAGGCTGATGATGATGATGACGTCGTAATCCCTTCTTCTCGGCGGTCAACAAGCCCGGTCGATCGTGAAGTTCTGGTCATAAACTCAGAGACGTCTTCGCTTTCCTCCACCCCGCCCACAGAGCCGCCCTCACCAATACCGGGCTGTGCCTTGCCGAATGATGATGCTGTCATTCCATCAACTGAAGAAGGACACCGGGTTTTACACAGCGCGGAACACGATTTCGACGACGAAGGTGTTGATCAGACCCTGGCTGATCCGCTCAGCAGCAGTCCGCAAAGGCCAGGGCCTATGAATATGGCTCCTGGCGGGACCCAGGCTGAACCTCTCTCTCAATTCTCCCCGCCACCCGCTCACCGAACGGCCAAGCGAACGCGCAACGTCAAATCTAACACTGTACTGACTGCTGCGCTCACTTCTCTGCTCCCAAAACGAAGACGAATAATCGGTCCACGTGCTCGAAGAAACAATGACGATTTCGATGCGCAATCGGACTCGGATCAAACTGATGTCCATCAAGATACCAGCCTATTCGAAGACGAGGAAGACGAGCTAGCAAGATCAAGCAGGCGGCCACCCTCCCGCGCCGCCCCACAAATGACTCGTTCCGGACGAGCCGAGGCGTCGAACAGATCCGCTGGTCAACGAAAGGCGGCATCGGCCGCAGCCAATGCATCCAAAAACACTGCGAAGACAACATCTACAACTTCCAAGCCCACCCGGAGAACATATGGTCGTGGCAATACAACCTCGGACCAGGAGAATGAAGAACAGATCGACGACGGTTCCGAGGGCAGCGGCGTCGACGTCTCAACGACAATGCACGAAGTCGCCCAGGGCAAAGAGCTCGAGGACGCGCGCAAGAAATTCGCTGAGGTCGACGATTGGGCAATGGAGTTTGAGAGCATGAGCGCGGAAGACCATCGCAGTTCCAGCCAAGGATGGCGGTGATTGCAGACGTTTATTTGTGGACGGGAATAGACGTATTGAGTGGCTCAATGCAGACGAAATAGGATTGAAGCAATTGATCGCGCCATGATGTGAGTGGACACGTACGGATAGGAGTCTGGCCCAAGCTGCACGCGAGTTGTCTATTTCTGAAACCTGAGATTTTAGGGGGCTCTCCTATAGTGGTCCGAGGTGTGTTGATATGGTGTGTGTTTCCTTTTTTTTCCGGGCTGCCTGGATAGGCATTTCACGACGAAAATGTAAACGTTCAATTTCTCACCGTCGTTGACAATTCATCATCCCTCATGAATTTGAGTAATCCCGTGAACCTGCAAATTACGGGCGCTGTAGAGCAAACGCAAGCTTACCACAGGTCGTCACCACCGCTCACCAGCAGCGTGTAGAAATCATCAATACGTGCAATGCAAAGAAGAGATTGTTAAATTATCGTTTCCGCTGATCTATATGAGAGATCGAGGATCTCTTTTCCAGCTTTCACGAGAAGGAACCCGCCGGCTCGTAAAAGCAAGAAATGGGAATTAGTCCAACTTTTGATTTCCAAGTCATTGTCCGCAGCCAACTGTGGGGACAAGCAGAAAAGATCGATGGGGGAAAAAGGCGACGGGTGGGAGACCCCGCTCTCACGCGCGACGTTTACTCGCCGCGTTGTACTGCGGCATGAACGCCGCGGAATGATCGCCCACGCTGGCCTCACGGTACCGCTTCTGTCCGTGGCCCGAGACGAAGGCGCTAGTGAAAGCGTCCTGCCACATGACGGGCGTGACGGCCGGGGCGACGGCGACCGGGAGGTTCGGCTGTGGTGGGAGGGGCCCGTTTCCGATATCCAAGGGGATGGGAGGCTGTGAACTGTAAATCGCCGTGGGCGAATGTGGGACGCCGCTGACGGAGGGCGTGGTGGGTGTCATGTGACGGTAGTCCGAGACTTGGGGAGTCGACGGCTGAGCGGGTGCGCCGCCGAAGGCAGTGTTCCAGGAGTCGAAGATACCCGAGGGATCCCAGACGGGGGAGGCGCCGTCGTTGCTGCTCACGTCGTCGAGATTGTACCGCGTGGCCACTGGGAAGGACGTGGCGAGAGATAGGCCCTGTGCTGCTGGGTAGGAGGTGGTCCGCGGCGGGAGGTCGTAGTTGGTCAGGTTGTAGGCTGTTGTGTGTGCTTGGCTTGTGACGGGCTGGTGGCCTCCTAGCACAGCGTCGAAGGTGGTGCCGTATTCGCTCGTGGGTGTCATGGCTCGTGCGATGGATGAGTCTTGTCCGGTAGACCAGATGGGTGTTGCGAACATTGGAAGCCCTGTTGGACCCGAGTTGGTGCTCGGTGGTGTCGGATGGCTTTCAGAGGGAGGAGGACTGCGGAGGCCCAGGGTCGCTTTCAATTCGAACGCCTGTGAGGTGTCTGCACTGAAAGCTTCACGTAAAGCGTTGATCTGAACCTGCATTTCAGGACTGGAATATGGAAGACAATGTTCTACCACACGCATATGCCGTGCGAAATAGAGCCGGGCCTGACTGTTGAGAACAGGATCTGGAGACGTGATTGCAGCCTGCGCGAAGCATTAGTAATTGTCATCGCGCTTGGATCGTTGTTCCGAAAACTTACGAGGTGCAACATGGTACATGTCAGAACACAATAGATTGTGAAATTGATACCGCGCTGCATGAACTGCAATCCGTGGAAACCAAAGTCGCGATGAAGCGCTTCTTGGATTCGACACATCAGCATGGCGGAGTTGAGGCAGATTTCGAGGTGAATCTTCCAAGCAGGGTCTCGTCGCTCCAGCATCGCCTGGAGTTGTGGCCGATGATGCATGATGATCACCAGATGAAAGTATGTGTGGAGATATGCCACGAAATGATCGCTTCCGATCCACGGGGCGCGTCCATCATCAGAGTAGTGGATCTGCATATCAATCGGGAGACTCTTAAGCCACTCTGGTAAGTCGGCATTGTGTCTTACGAATTCGTCATCGAGCGCCCAGTCCTTTTTCAGACGCTTCATTTTCTGGAACAAGGCGTTTGATATCTTGATCTGATGTACCGCCTGGGCGAGGAAGGTACATCGTCGTGTACTTTCAAATTCAAATCGATCGTCGTTGGACATGGCTGTTGGCAGGGTCAATTGCACCGTTTCCGGGTCGACGGCAAAGTCGCTTCTGCCCATCGGGGCGCCGACTAGCATTTCCAAAACGAAAAGTGACTGCCAGATACGCGTGTGGACCAAGCAATCGGACCGGCTGAGGGAACAAGAGTTTCCAGTGCGATGAAGACCGTAATGATCTTCGAGTCCGAGTTCCACAGACATGGAATACATATACTTGACTGCCATCCAGGAACGCCAGTAATATCCTCGTTTTGACAATGACTCCCTTGCTTTGGTTAAGAGAATGGTGGCTTGGAGTGTGCTGAGACGAGAGACATCTTTGAAGCTTTCTTCATGACGAGATGCTAGAGCCAGCCATCGCTTCGCGACCATTGGCTCTTCCAAGAAGCGAGCAACGCAGGCAAAAATACCTTCCAACAGCAGAGGGGAAATAGCATCTCGATCGTTCTGCCATTGGTGATAAAATTGAGCCCGATCCAGGACTGGGATGTACGGATGTACATATTCAAAGTAATAGCCGAAATAGTCCAGAGCCCGCTCGTCAGAGGGCATCATTTCAGGAGGTATGCGCACGGTGCTATCGCTCGTCACGGAAGCCGGCAATTCCACATCGGTTTCTTCGACGGCCGGCGCATCTGCAAGTGCTTTCTTTTGATAAGAAATGTAGGGCGCCTCGGAGGTGATGTCTATTCGGAACTCGCCCATGTGACCGGTCAGTTCGCGAACGCCCGCGTCAATCTCCTGGGGATCGCCGGCGGAGCTGACGGAGACCGCCGTGTCTGATCGCATCAACGGTGGCACCTGGCGTGCTTGCGTGAAATTGGAAGAACGGGGCGGCGAGTTGTAGAAATCATCATCGGAAAATACCGGAGCAGAGTGCGGCGCAACCTGCTGCGCGTATGCCTGCGAAACATACGCTGCTGCATCGAACTCCAAGGGCGAAAGAGGATTTGATGTCGGACCAGGCACGTTCATCGATCTCGGTGGCGGCAAGCCCGATGCCCATTCCTGCACCAGATCTGGACGGTCGGAATGGAAGCTGTGTTGAGATTTCGGCGTCGATGCATGGCTCGTGACGGGGAACGTAATGTTTTGAAAGGAGAATTGGTGATTGCTGGTCAAGCTGTCCGGCGTTGGAGGCTCTTCGTCTTGATCCAGGGTAGGCGGGACGCACTTCAGCTTCAGTCGCACACAGGACCCACACGGCCAGGGACCATTTTGCGGGGCGCCGTCACAACGGATCTTGCGTTTGCGACAGCCGTCGCAGGCGCGCATAACCTTGAGTCTTTTGTGTCGATTATATTCATCGACGAAGACATATTGTTTGGTATGCCCGGTGGGTGGCGGTGTTGCAGATGCGGCTACAGAGCTGGCCATATTTGCGGGAGAGTGGGGATGAAAGAGGAGAGTAGGAGAAGAGGCAGTAGGGACCCGCGAAGAAGGCGCGCGATCCGGGAGACTTGAATTGCGATATTCCTTCACACGAGACGTGTTGTCATGGCTGAGTTCTTGGTGCAGCCCCAGATGACCCAAAACCCGTCGGGGATTCCGATGTTACCAGAGGCGAGAATGTGTGCCGTAGGACAGCTGATGAGAGATGTGTGGAAAGAGTGAAACGCTGTTGCTGTAACGCGCGCGCGGGCATTGCCGAGCGAGGAGGTCAAATGTCACGAACAGGGACGACCTGCTGCACACACAGAGAGATGAGTGAGAGTGAGTGAGAGAGACGCCGGGTGCGTGTGTGCATGAGAGTACGTGTGTGTGTGCGTTTCCAACACTGCGTACGGCGACCGGCTCAACATTAATAACAGCAATAATGATATAACAGGGGATCGGCGAAAGGACGCCAGCTGGGGGGGTGGTTTAACAATGATTGCACTGGATGATACAGTATCACTCATGCGGCAACTGTCACAAAGAAAGTCAAGGTTCCCCACATCAGGCGCGGGTTGAACGAACAGACCAAAGCCGGTGGTGGTGCTAGTACTGGCTGGGCGGACGGGCGGGCGCTCTCTTCACATCAACTGTTGTTGCACCCGGCGCGCGAAATGGCACCGCGCGCACGGCCTGACAGCGGACACACTGCGATACGATGATCTATTTTATTATCGTCCATGCATTACATGGATTTGGTTCGTAATAACACACGCACGCACGCGCTGGATGAACTTTCCTCCTCAGTTTCAGTCGCATTGATTGGTATGGTCGAGGAAGTACGACACACATGTCAACATGTCCATGCACAAGTTTCCAAGCATGCTGTCCACAAGCGAAGGATGACATACTTGACGTATGCGACCAACTTTGTGTGCTGCTGGGATGTATGATCTTCCCTCCTCCATCTCTTCCTTCCCCCGCTCCTTGCAAATTTCCTGGGCAGCGATCGCCATTAGGGTTGGTTGGGTTTGGAATGTCCCTGGTGCAGAAGGCGGTAGGCACGGTAGCATCCCCAAGTGCGCCTCATCCATACGTAAGTGGCCGAATGAATTGCGGCGCATGGGCAGGGGCCCGCTCAAATTCCCCTTACAAACTACCCAGGTGCCTCAATTGTCCTCTGCTGTACTCCAGGGATGCACCGTACTTTATCACATACCTGATCACTCGCTGCAGCTGCTCATCACGCCCATACATTATCTGGGCGTGCTGGGGCAGGACACTTCAGAACTGATGGCTGGTCCGTCCGTGACGCCGGTGGAGCACGTGCAGATGCCACCAAACGCCAGGGTCCGCCTGCCACCAACAGCCCACCCAGCACGATGAGATCTTCTAAAGTTCGCAGGCGATGATAGTTAGTGACATTTGCAGCTTCGATGACAGCAACTTGTGTCTAGCCTTGTTCTAGATCCTAGGCTTTCCACAATAAGCACCTTCATTATTTGACTCGAACCATGAAATCTCGTGTGCGGGCCTTCAGGCACGAATCACCGCATCTGGCTAGGCATCTCGTGGCCCCTCCATCACAGGCGAGATCTACAAAACTCCAGCTTTGTCGCGAGACTGCCCGAAGGACAGGGCATATGATGCAAAGCCGTTGTTGAGGATGTCACTGGCATGTGTGATGTGGAAGGTATCGTCGCGAAGGATTACTTGCAGGGCCGATGAGAGTCGCGCAACTTGACTCGGAAAATCCAAGCGAATCCTTCGTATTATGAAGCCATGGCGGCTGCTCCGTCGGCTTGGGACCGTTGATTCGCAATGGCCCGCAAGGGTACAGATAGCGGTGGTGGCGGCGGCGGTGGTGTGGAATTTTTCCTGGCAGCCGAATCCTCATTCGTCCTGCTTGTATATTGATTGTGGCCCGATACAAGCAACCGCAAACCGCTGTCGCCATGTCCTCGACAGCGCCATATATTGTGCTGATCCGACTCCGACTCCGAGTCAAAGTTGATGTGATATTTTGCCTCTGACGAGTCTTGGAGACGATTACCACCCCGGCTTTTGTTACGAGACACAACGTGTGGGATGGGATTATCAGGAATACAACCATGAGATCTTCTGTATATTATTAATAAGTGGGCCATGAATTTTTAGTACCTCACTAGGTTCACAGCACCAGCACCTGTGGATACCATACATGCATCCATGGATAGTCGTAGCTTCCATGATTCTTTCTCGTCACTCTCCCGAGCGCAACTTTTTGATTTATCTAAGAGGCTGAAGCCTTGAAGGTATAGTGCCAGACCATCTACGATCCCTGAATAACCTGCAAACACCGTCGCCAGCCGCGACTCTGTCCCAAGGACACCCACCTCGGAACACTCCACGTAAGGTTCAGCTCCCAAACTGCCCACCATGGACGCCGGCAAAGATAACGCAAACCCAACCATTATCAATCCCTCCGATCTGCCATCACGCCGCAAGACCGCCGCACGGACAACGAAGAACTCCCAAGGAATCTTCCGCGCTCTAGCGCCCATCCACGTCAGCGATCCGAGCGATCCGTGGGCATCGCCGACGGATTTCACATCGTCGGACGACAGCGACGACGCCTTCGTGAGCGGCGAAGATGAAGCCCGCGACGAGGCGGAGGCTGGCGAGCGCGAAGAAATCGACGAGCAGGAAATCTACGACCTGATCTCCACGATCATGGACCCGGAGCACCCGCTGACCCTGGGCTCGCTGGGCGTGGTGAACCTCTCCGACATCAAGATCTTCCCGCCGAGCTCTCCGCGCTCGCGCATCAGCTCCGTCCAGGTGCTGGTGACGCCGACGACGTCCGCTTGTTCCCTGACGACGGTCATCGGGCTGGGCGTCAAAGTCCGCCTGGTCAATGCGCTGCCGCCTCGGTTCCGCATCGATGTGCGCATCAAAGAGGGGACGTCGGCATCCGCCGATGAGGCCAACAAGCAGCTAGGCGACAAGGAACGTGTCGCTGCCGCCATGGAGAATCGAAATCTCATCAACATGGTCAACCACATGTTATCGTCGTGTGCATGAGTCGCGGATGTCTTCTCGGAGCACCTGGTCCTTTACTAAGGCCCTTTGGCAGGTCTCTTCAGATGTAATCCTCGAAGCTAAGCGGCCATATTCCCAAGTTTTCAAGCGCGGCTGGCCGTGCTAATCTTTCGGAAATCGCAATCACTATTCCCTCTCCATCGGGGACGACCAGGCTATGGTAAAAGCAGCTTGAAAGCTCGTGACAGGGCGAAGTGAATGATAATGGAAGTCGCCTTCATAACTTCGCTACATACCTAGGTAACCTTCAACAAGTGACGCCTTGAAAATTTCTACCGTCCCATGTCGACACCAGTGCCAATGACAACCCAAGATATCTTCAATACTTTCCTCTACAACGCCGTTATACAAACGCCATCCCAGTTCCCCTCGCGCTAAATCCGAAATGCCACAAGAAGCTTTAGCTCATCATAATGAGTCATCATAAATTGAAAAGAATTCCTAATTTACCCCTGGCTGACGTGAAGCCGAAGGTGACGCAATCCCCGACTCGTCTATCCGAGCACCCTGAGTCCTATTAATTTCGGAGACATGTTGTTGCTCGATGATGACTTTATTCGCCGCGCCACTGGGTGGCTGATAGACGGGCGGAGGCTGATACGGCGGCGGAGGAGCAGGGTATGCATATCGGTCATGCATCGGGTATCCCTCGTGCACGGGACCATGCGGTAGCGGTGGGTATGCGTTCCCGTATCGCCGTCGGACCATGAAGGAATGGTATGGCAGCGGCTCCAGTCCTGCGCGAAGGCGCCTCCGAGCGTGGTAGTAGCCGCCGACGAAGAAGGTGATCAGGGCGACGAAGATCAGGGCGACGATGGTGTAGCGGACGGCCATCCATTGCTGGACAACTCCAGTCAGTATCACTGCCTCATGGCTGCGATCGACGGGTGATTCTTACCGGCGACCACCAAACGCTGTCGTAGGAGTCGTAGCCGCCATTTGTGCTGGATTGTCGTTTGAATAGATCAAAGGTAGCCGCGGCCGGCATATTGACACTGTCCGATACGAGGCCGGTTGCTCGCTTTGGGCTTGATAGAGCGTGGTGCTGTAAGCGTACGACTCGGTCCTATTTTCGCGCAAGTCGTGACACTGCGAGCGAAGGCTTCCCTAACTAACGCAGTGGGGTGCATGTGATGACGGTAGATCGACGAGTAGCTTCGCGAGACGATGTAGATACGGTGAATACGCTTTCGAGTAGTTTTCGGATAATGAGAGTAGTTTCATGCAACTCCCCTGCGGATTTCACCAGGTCTCGAGCTCCGCGGAGGCGTCGACGGCATGATTTGGCCGCGCCGTGGATGAAACCACTGCCCTCCGGAGCCGTGTCTGGGAGACGCGTGGGGGAGTGGTCAGATTTGTTTGTCCCGCTTCTAGCCACCTGAGCAGCCCTAATCAAGAGGCTCGGAGGCGGATTTCAGCGGTGGCTATGAGGAAGAGAGTACAGATACAGTAGGATCCATGCTCTTCTCCTGATCACTGATCTTCATGCACACGAATCTTCTGCTTGGCATGGCACCTCATCCTATGAATCCACTGTGCGGTGCCACTGAAGCCAAGAGGCGTCGCTAGATGACGAGGCGCGGGTTGCCACCTCCTGTATTACCATGTTGTGGTACGGGCCACGCAACGGCTGGGGCGAGGTTGGTGCCAAGATACATGCATTAAATGTCGAGACAGTCACAGTAGGCGCCTTTCAGTTATCATGTTTCCCATCACCATACATGGACTGCACATAATCTCCGGCTTGTTAGCTACCGGCCGAATAAATGTAAGTACAACGATACCTCCCATGCTTACGTGCAGATACATATTGGGAGATCGGACTCGTACGGTCATCGTATTGCATCCGCGAGGCAAGCACATGCCAGAACTGTCCAGGCGTGGCACGCTAAGGATCTGCGGCGTTTGCCGTCGCCCCGCGTCTCTTCATCTTCCAGAAGAACCTTATTCTGCTTGTCGACACCCACATTTATTACGCTCCCTGGACTTTTCATGTGGCGTGGGACGGCCAACATTTGTTGCAACTCTGTCCACTTCGGCGAGTGCCCGTGCGACTGCAACATTCCGATCCTGCATGACTATCATTGTTCCGTTTATGATGTAATGCCAATTTCCGGCCAGCATGTGATGGGCATGATGTGAGATCGGAGCAAAGGTCGCGCCTTGCTTCAAGGGATACTCATGGATGCGAAATCTCCGCTTAGGTAATCCGACGGACAGACATTCCCAGCTGGAGGTCATCAGTTTCCCAAGTCTCCACGAAACCATTGTTTCTCATAATTTGTGAGACCGGTGTCCTTCCGGCCGTCAGCCTTGCAAGCACTGATCGCCCAGACACGGCATGATGGTAAAGGTGGAACAATATTCTGCCTCACAGAAACGAACCGCCAGAGAAACGACTGCTAAAATCAGCTGCTTTGTTTAACATCTCCCGTTTTTGCGATGCCGAGATGCGAGCACCGCTTCCCATGTCTTTTTCTCGGTCGAACGCTCGTTTACTTGGGTCGTCTTCTACTTCGTCCGGAGCTTTGGTCTTTCGATGCTGGTCCATAAGAGAAGGCCCTCGATGTTTGTTCTGGTTTTATCACCTCGTCAGTCACTCGTTGCTGATCACACTGAATACCGGCCAGGGTGGTCTCACCAATGTTTCTCGTAAATCACGCTCTTTCTGCTGGTCATTCGATCGCAGATTGGCTGTGGCAGACGCGTTGGGTTTTGAAATGCCCATCATTTCATCCTGTAGCCGCTTTTGTTTTTGCTCTGATGTCTCATGCCATGTCGAGTTGTCTACTGCACCACCGACTGCCGTCTTCGCTCCTTTGCCTGTGTTGAACCCTCTAGGTCTCTGTTTTGTGGGATCCATCCTCGACGCGAGACCATCCTCTGTAGGCGGCATTGTCATCCATTCATCTCGTTTCAACTTGGGCAAATGGGTCCCACCAGGAGATCTACCTAGGTCGCCTCTTGACCCCGAGTCATTTGGCTGCGGTGAAGTACTGTCAGGAACGTTGGACGTCTGTTATTCAATAATCAGTCTGGGGAGGTCTCGATCTTTGGAGGAAAGCTTTACGCTTGGTGCAGCCGGTCCGAAATCGTCATCGTCGGAATCACTGCCATCTGATAGCGGTGGCTTCGAAGCGATTTGAGAGGGCCGTTGTGGCATTTGTTCTATTGGTGCGGGAGGCATTGCTGGCCCTGCGATTTTCCGACGTTTCTCCTGCCCTTCTGGCACCTGTGCAGTTGATTCTTTTGCGCCGGAAGGCACCGAGGGTCCCTTAGACGCATTTTCCTCTTGTTGTCGCTTTCTCTTCGCGAGAAGGTGGGGTGGAAGCTGCGCGCCTATGTCCGACATAGTATAGATGTGTGGTTGGTTGTTCTTCGATGTTGTGTGTTTGGAGACGCATCCGTCGATGTTGGAGGGCTTACGACAATCTTGTTCGCCAGCTCGAATGACGATTTCGATGTATTTGCCTCAGGCAGAAAATGCTTTTACACTTCCTCGACGCTGACATCGTCACCAGGCCTCATTGATAGGATGCAATTGTTCGATGCACGATCGGAGACTCGACAAGACAAATGCAATAACTCGACCTGCACGCACGGTTTCGCGGTTTTGGGAGAAGGGTGTTCGATCTGGCGACGAGGAAAGCTGCTGGGTCACCGTCCCATCACTGATCTGGGATCGTCGTTTCCGGCGCAAGGACCTATGCTTCATGCGCCTCGCCAACTTTCGCGCGAGCTTTGAAGGAAGACAATAACATGCTTTCGCAAAGATCATATCGATGAGCTCCTTCTTAGGAGCTGCGGACGCAGGCGGAGAAAATGAAGATGTGGAAGCTGATGAGTCCTTAAAAGACTCTGAAGCGCGGTCAGTTTCAGGACAGACAAGACCTCGCGAAGCTGAGGGTGGTGAGGATCCGCACGAAGATGGCCATGCACAGTCTTTATACAGAGAGGACGATGAAGCCAGCACGGACAACTTGCCATCCTTCATTGCAGTAGATGCGAACGGCGAAGGGCCCATTGAAACCTACGATGATCTCCTACTTTTGGAGAGGGAACAAAATTTGGACAGCGATCACTTGGAGCCTGATCTGCAACACGATTCCATGCCGCGTTCACAAAGCCCTTTGGCGAGCATCGCCGATTCTGGATCCATCCCAGACGATTTGCCTTCTCAGAGTGGCCAGCTTTTGCCCTCGCCTGGACGCAATGGCGTTTCGCCTGTGCGCGGAACCCCTTCGCGCATGCCATCTGGTGCCCTTCAGCCATTTGAACGACGCTTCGAAGCCCGGCCTCTTCTGTCACCCGCTTCATCGCACCGCGCCAGCTCTCCTGGCTTCCTCGTCCCACACTCTCGTCAAATTTCACTGTCCTCTCAGATTTCCCAAATATCAAGTCAAGACGAAAACACCGAAGACGGCTCAGCCGAAGCGCCGTGGGATGTCATCAAGTGGACAAAGCTTCGGAAAATCACCACACAGGCATTCTCAGAGGCTGGCAAGCGGAACTTCGGTCGTCCGACTTGCATTGCGGTCTCTGCACTCATCGCTATTGGTACTTCGAAGGGCTTGGTCCTGGGGTTTGATTACCACCAAACGCTCAAGATCATTATTGGACCAGGAAGTAAATCTGTCGAGTGCGGCGCCGTCACCGCGCTCGCTATTGCGGCCGACTTTTCCACGGTGGCGAGTGGGCATGCTGACGGGCATATCTTCACATGGGAAATCAACCGACCAGCACAGCCATTCCTGCAAATACCGCCGATTGATCGCTCCGCGCTTGAATCGCCTCAGCACGAAGATGGACATGTGCGTGATTGTGCAATATTGCATATTGCGTTTCTCGGCACCAGACACACAGCAATCGTATCAGCAGATTCTGGGGGTATGGCATTCTCCCACATTGCTTCTCGTGGGCTAGGACCAGTAACGAGAACAATCAATTCAACGCGCCTACTCGGACGATATCCCGTGATAGACATCCAAGCCGATCGCCTCCGCAAGCCTAGCACGGTTCTTGGGTTCGCTCCGTTGCCGCTCGGAAACGTGGAATTGGCGACTGATACTATGGGGTTGACGGCTTTGCTGACTCCATACCTCTTGGTCATTGTATCAACCACGCCGATCGCCCAGACTCAACACAAATCTCCTAGACCGAAAGAGATATCTCCTCACAGCACTCTGAGCGGGTGTTTGGCTTGGTTTCCTGCTGTCAAACTCAAGACTGGCGAAGGAGTTTCAGATACGAAGTTAGTGTACTGTTGGTCCAATATCGTCAGCATTCTCGAAGTCAAAATACTCAACAATGAAGCGGCGATGACCGCACAAAAGGCGCCCTCGCTAGAGTTTCACCTTCGGAGTCGCTGGCATGCGGAGGAAGCAATAGTGGCTGTGCAATGGCTGGGAAGATCGGTTCTTGGGCTGTTGACTATCAGTCAAAGACTATTGATTGTCGAGGATCGCACGTTGCGTGTGGCCGACTCTGTCGATTTATTGCACAGACACATCTATCATTCCGACTTGTTCTCCGACCAGCTCGCAGAGGTTGTTGAGCGACTCAATACTGCGGATCCTTCATTGCACGGTGTCGTTGCAGATGCTTTCTTCATGAGCTTTCGTGCTTACAAGGGTCGTACGTTCCTGCTAGGCTTCAATGACCTATCCGTGGGGACGTTATCCAATTGGGCGGATCGTTTGATTGCCATGATGGAGGCGGGAGACCATATCGCTGCTCTTCGCTTAGCGACTGATTACTATTCAGGCAATGCAAGTAACATCACCATTGGTCTTCCCGAGAATGATGGTGTCAGACACAACATGGTGAAGGAGAAGGTACTCGCAATGATAACCGCATCTACAAGCTATACGTTCTCAAGACCTGATGGACATGATAGCGCACAGGTGCAAGTTCTTGCAGAAACCTGCTTTGACACTTGCGTAACCATGGAACAGACGGACTTTCTGTTCTCCGAAGTTTTTGATGCTTTTGAAGAAGCGGATATGGAGTCGAGCTTCATCACCGCCATGGAACCCTACATTCTCGATAACGATATCAAAGCTCTGCCACCAGAAGTGGTCAAGACACTTGTAGGACATCTCATTTCTGAAAATCAAGCGACCAAACTTGAAGAACTGTTGTGTTTGCTGGATCCATTCTCTTTTGACCTGGACCAGATTACTGTGCTTTGTCGTCAGCACAGTCTATACGATGCCCTCATATATGTGTGGACGCAGACGATAGGCGATCATGTATCACCATTGATCGAGTTGCTAACCCTTATAAAATTGCTGCAGTACGGATTCGCCAACGAAGACATCACGGATAACCCGTACTACGAATCAGCTGCGAAAATATTTCCATTCCTCGCCTATTCGCTCACCGGCAGACAATACCCCCGTGGAGCGCTAGCTGATGGTGCCTCTGTAGAACAAGCGAAGAGCGAGATATACAGTTACTTATTCTCTGGCGTCCCCACTGCATGGCCTCCGAACAGCGACAAAATTTTCTTGACGACAGATCGGCACGACGATGAGCCAGCATACCCTTATCTGGATCTGGTATTGAAATTTGATGCTGCAAGCTTCATGAGCATGTTGAACGAGGCTTTCGAAGATTCTTTCCTCAACGTTGCCGAAGATGAACTTGCTTCTACGAATAGTCCAGCCGTCAACGTGGGGAATGGCCAGGGTCAGAAGATGACCAGACAACACATAATTGAGATCATGCTGGATGTGATGCGGCAGGGCGACTACAGCCATGAGCACATGATTTACCTGGACATGTTCATTGCGCGGTCTCTGCCTAAATATCCCGGCCAGCTGATTCTTTCCGGGACGTTGCTAAATGGTGCCCTGGAACGACTATGCAGACCTCCATTAGACGCTCTACGCGACGATTGTCAGCTCAGTATCGAATACTTGTTGTCTGCGCACCGGCCGCCCAGTATCGCGGCGTTAATTGACGCGCTGCACAATGCACGTTTCTTTCGAATTTTGAAATCAGTCTATCGCGGCGAGCGCAGGTTCGTGAATCTTTTGGAAACCTACTTTGAGGATACGGATGATCGTGAAGGTGCCTTTGGCTGCATCGACTATATCCTACATATCGATCAGGAATCGGGGCTGAAACAAACACCATCCATCAAACAGACGATCGCCCGACATTTTCAGGATCTTGTCAATGTTGATGAGACATTGACGGCGTGGACGCTTGCCAAGTCTGCGCCAGATCTCTTACAGCCCTGTCTCGACGTAATAGAGGATACACGGCAGCAATTCGTGTTCCTTCGAGCACTTCTAGAACCGGCACTTGCCGGCAGGGACCCGAGCCCATCTCCCTCTCCCGATGCCTATGGGCCGGAAATGGTCGAGCAGTATGTGCGAACAATGTGCGTCAACGACCCAACCCGGGTTGCGGATTATGTCCGTGCTCTGCCTTCCAGCGATTTACGACTCGATGCGGTTTTGCCAGCAATGGAAGCCAGCGGTGTTGTTGATGCGGCCATTTTTGTTTTGGCGAGAGATGGGCTGGCCCGAGATGCCATGGAGAGCCTCAGTATTCATCTCCGCAACCTGGAAAATGCTCTGACAAGTCTGATAGACGCATTCACTGCCAATCCTGATGTCGGTGATCCGTACGAAACCGTCAACGAGCTGATGGAAGATCTGGAAAAGTACGGCAAAGTTGGCATCTGGCTGTGCCGGGGGCAAAGCTCAGTGGTGCAACGTGCCCCTCGGCCGCGTATCAATCTCGCGTGGGACATTGAAGAAGGAGACCTCGATGCAGACGAATACCTTTGGCTCAATCTACTTGACATTGTGGTCCAGGTTACTCAAAACATCATAGCTGCGCTCAACCATGCAGCAGAGAACCCTCCACCGCTCGAACACCTGCCTCTTGAAACAAGTCAGCTCGCCAATCGTTCGAGGGCCAATGTGCATGAAGTCTTCACGGCGGTGCTCGCAACGACCGCCACAGCCTCCAAGCAAGATGCCGCCGCAGTTTCTGGACGGAGTACCCGAAGAGCAGACGACATGAGTTTCCTGCGAATCCTGCGCGCCTTCCTCACCCGGGCAGCCAAGACCACGCCATCCCTCGCCGAGCTCCGCACGGTCCTAGCGGACATCCTATCAGTATACTCCTTCGAGCAAGACGTCCTGACGCTATCCAACCAACTCTTGGGCTCCGATTTGTTCGCCGAACTCGACAAAGTCAAACAACTACGACAGCATGGCTGGCGGCCGAAAACCCAGGTCTGCGAGAAGTGCAAGCGGCGTGCCTGGGGAACCGGCATTGGAGAGTCGGTATGGACAGAATGGGTCGCGCAGGAAGAAAATCGCGCCAACGAGCGGATGCGAAAAATGCTTGAGCAGACTGGAAGCGAGGAGGCGAGGAGGCTGGAACGTGGAAAGGGCAAAGCTTCAAGCGCCCCAGCAGCCAGTACAGAAGAGTCGCAGCGTTTCACCCTGGTGGTGTTCGCTTGTCGGCATGTCTATCATCGTACATGCCTGGATGCGGAGATGAAGAATGCGTCTACTCATGAGCGGGGGATTTATAAGTGTCAGATCTGTCCCTCACGGGGATGAGAGAGAAATGAATCGCCGGGGAGAAGTCATGATTCTTGTATTTTGTTTTTCATTGTGGCCATGGCCTATTCCTCTCACTGCTCCGATGCCATTAATCGACGATAGATAGAGATTATGTCAATTCTCGTATTTCAACCCAGATTCTTTCCTCACAGCGCCGTAGATACTGCTGATGTCGCCTCGATCGCCCGCGTGCTCGACCACAGCTTTCAAATGCTCATCCGCCACTTCGACGGCCTTGAGCTTCGCACCACAGCTGTTTGCGAGACTCAACGCATGCCCAGCATCTTTCCTGGCCAACTTTGCTGTAAACAAGGGCTCCTCACGCTTCCAGTAGTCGCCCGACATCATCCTCGTACTATACGCCGTGTAGGGGCCGGGAAACATGACCTCGACGAACTGATGCAGATTTTCCACTCCGAGGCCGCACTTTTCCGCTAGAGTGTGGCCTGCAGACAACGCTTCGACCATACCCAGAACGAAGGTGTTGCCGATGATCTTCAGCTTCGTCGCTTTGCCGTACTCTTGGTCGGAGAAGTTGATCTCGGCTTTCGCCATCACGCCCTTGCAGAAGGGTCGCACGCGGTCGACTTGGGCGGTCGGCCCGGCGAGCACGGCGATCAGTTGGCCTGCGTCGGCCATGGCGGGCGCACCGAAGACGGGACAGGCGACGAATTCCGATCCAGCTTCTGTGATTTGTTTTCCGATTCTGTTGGATGTGTCCGGGTGGATGGTCGAGCAGTCTACATACAGCTTGCCCTGGGAATTTGGTGACTCCAGGGCTGCGTCGATGGACTCCTCTACGGCTGCATCGTTTGCTACACACAGGAAGACGATGTCTGCATCTTTGACAGCGTCGGCGATCGAGGTGGCCACTTTGCCCTTGCCGGCTGGGAGGCTGTCTACGATCTTTTCTGACCGCGCGGTTGTTCGGTTGTAGATGGCGACGGGACCGCTGAAGGTGCCTTTCTCGGCGAGATTCTTCACCATGCCGCGACCCATGTTGCCGAGACCAATCCAGGCGAGACGAGGACTGGCCGAGGCAGCCGCTTTCTCCGATGTTCCGGCCATGCTGTTTATCTTGTATTCGGAGGTGTTTCCAATGCAGTATTATCGTGTGTGAAGCGCGTGTGGTTCAGTGGGGAGGTCACCACAGATTTGCGGGCTATCGTTTCTGGAGAGGAGGCCTGAACTACACTTATATATGTGCAAATGTAGAGCATATCGCTCAACGATCTTGACTCACCTTGCGCAGCCATTGGTATCTAGCTCAGATCGAACTCAACGATGATCCAGCCAGTACCCGCCCGATCCGTTCAGACGATGACGAAGCATCCGACCATTGGGTGCTTAAGTAGATCGACCTCGCATGACTAGACACGGGTCTAACATCTAACAGGTTGTCAGGTTGTTATCGCCCTGGAAAATCTGACAAATTAATCACCATTGCCCTTGTGTTGACCGCCCGCGCATTCGATGAATTATCTGGACAATTTTTGTTATGCCTCTTTCAATACCAAAGTACTCGTCACCAGTGTACATATACATACAGTGTCATCGGAATCAATCTGCTGTGAAATTCCTCAGGTTGGACATCAAAGGGTGCTGTGATAAGCGCCTCAGGCTTTCAGCAAGCACATATCGGCATTATACAGTATGTGTCATGGAGGGGTTTTTCCAATGAAAGAGCGGGCGGGATTCCACTCCTCCTACGCTGCCCCGCGGCCACCGCCAACGCCTGCAGTTTTGGGATGAGCCTATGCACACTATTTACACTACGGGAGAGTGCCCAGGTGAGGCAAACCAACCTCTACAGGCCTGGGGTCTACTGTATCATGAGATCTTCCCGAGTCCGCTTATTGACGGCTCAGATTGTGCCATAGTTGATAGAATGGCGCGGGTCATTCTTTTGCTGTTGATCTGCATGCTACTGTAGATACAAACGTATATCAATCACACACATACCACGTCTGCGTCCTCGCTCTTTCGTCCGCTGCTTCACTCAGACCATCGCACTGCGAAGTCCTTCATCTAACAGCCAGAAACGCCCACGACAACCTCGTCGTCGTCATGTCTCATGTCGTATCGCCACCGCCGCGCAACCCGCCGGCGGTGATGCACTCAATCCTCGAGAACATCGGAAATACACCTTTGGTCCGACTGAACCGCATTCCACAATCCATCGGCGTTTCATGTGCGGTCTATGCCAAATGCGAATTCTTCAATGCCGGTGGAAGTGTCAAAGACCGGATTGCTCTCCGCATGGTTGAGGCTGCAGAGAAGGATGGTCGTATCAAACCTGGTCACAGTGTTCTCATCGAGCCTACAAGTGGCAACACTGGGATTGGTCTTGCACTTGTCGGTGCAGTCAAGGGTTATCGGACCATCATCACATTGCCTGAAAAGATGAGCAGTGAGAAAGTCAGCGTGCTCAAAGCATTGGGAGCTGAGATCATCCGAACACCGACCAGCGCCGCATGGGACAGTCCAGAGAGCCACATTGGCGTGGCGAGGAGGTTAGAGAAGGAAATCCCGGGAGGTGTCATTTTGGACCAATACAGCAACCCCAACAATCCTGCAGCACATGAGTTTGGCACTGCCGCGGAAATTGTTGAGCAGACACAGAACATCGAAGGTACACTCGCAGCTGTCATCGCCGGTGCTGGAACCGGAGGAACAATCACCGGCATCTCTCGCGGCATTAGAAAGGCACATTCGGACAAGGTCAAGATTGTGGCTGCTGATCCTCAAGGATCGATTTTGGCTGTGCCAGCCACCCTGAACGATGAATTCAAAGACAAGCCATACAAAGTAGAGGGCATTGGCTATGATTTTATTCCAGATGTGCTCTCTCAGAAGGAAGTCGATCTGTGGTACAAAACCAACGATCGTGAATCGTTTTACTGGGCGCGACGACTCATTCGAGAGGAGGGACTGCTCGTCGGTGGCAGTTCTGGATCTGCCATGACCGCCGCAGTCAAGGCCATCAAAGATCTCAAGCTCGGTCCCAACGACGCTGTCGTCGTGATACTGCCCGATAGCATCCGCAGCTACCTCAGCAAATTTGTAGATGACGACTGGCTTTCAGCGAACGATCTCCTCTCGCCATCACCGCCAATCACCGCTCCATCAACGCCTCCACTCGAGCCGCTAGACGCAAGCGGTCAGGAACAAAAGCTGGTCGTGGGTCAACAGAAGCCCTCCGAAGAGTCCAAGCCCGCCCACAACAGCAAACCGTTCTCCCGCGACGAATACGCCAGCGCTAGAATCTCCGACCTCCGCCTGAAACCCATCCAAACGATCGTCTCCTCAGCAACCGTCGACGAAGCCATCGAGCTCATGCGCGACAAAGGCTACGACCAAATCCCCGTGACGTCCTCCAGCGGCCAACGGCTCGTCGGCCTCGTCACCCTGGGCAACTGTCTCTCCTACCTGTCCTCCGGCCGCGTGAAGATCTCCAGCCTGGTGCAGGACGTCATGTTCAACTTCGACCACACGGACGAAGTCAAGCCGCTAGAGAAATACCCCTCGCAAGCGGACGAGAGCAAAGGGAGCAAGCGCGAATTCGTCGAAATCACCCTCGACACGCATCTTCGCTTCTTGGCGAGGTTCCTGGAGTGGAATGCGGCGGCGGTCGTGACGGAGCGATCGGCGGATAACACCCTCAAGGCTAAAGCTGTGGTCACCAAGGTGGATCTCTTGGTCTACCTGGTCCGGCAAGGTCGTCATGCGGATGAGACAAGAGCTGCGGCGTAGAGAGTCATACATTGTGCGGGTTTCCCGGCGCCAGCCTCTCTGCACACGGCGGAATTTCTCATTCGGGTGAGGCCCGCCCAATTCATTTATTGTTGCGATTTGATTAGATTGTGCTAGCGGAGGGAAGGGCTGGATTCATCCCTTGGAATACGATTCTAGAGAGCGTCGACATCGGGGACTTCAACGTCAATAGACAGTATGCTCGTAATATATCAAAAAGTTCATCACACAGTTCCATCCAGGATTCGTTCTCATAGGGCAGGTGGCCGGATTTTCAATGTACATTTATTACAGTTGTCAAAGGAGTGATCGACGACTGGTTTCCGCAGAGATCTCACGCACCATCGAGCATGCCCGCCTCCCTCAACTGCTTCATGAGTTCCGGCTCGACATATTTGCTAACGGTGACATCCTCACTGAGACCCTTTCTCCTCCTCGTCTTGAGCACGAAGTCTCTCGCCGTTGCCGATGCCGAAGCCGGCTCCAACGGCCTCAGCTTGATGTTTTTATCCAAAGGATCGCCTGGTACGACACTCCAACGATCAAAGACCAACGAAACCGTCGCTTGGCCCTGCGTGTGGATCCGCAGATCGGTCTCGAAGCCGAAACTGTCAATGACGGGGATTAAGCCACGCACGGAATACAGGGGGGTTCCCGCGATTGGCGCGTCGCTGAGGACATGGCCGCGGCGACGCGCGAGGACTGTGTACAGCGATGACACGGCTTTCGCGTTGCCGAGCATGGTGCAGGAGTACACGGGCTCCATGAGCCGCGGTCCGGCCATGAGGAAGGAGGAATAGCAAGCCCGGCGGGCGGTCGGGATGAGCTGGCCACCGGCACGGTAGATAGGTTCGGCGGCGAGGTCGATGTCGGTGATTTTAAATTTGACGTTGCGGATGGGTTCCTCGCAGAGGGGGCCCTCGCGCGTGCCCCAGGCGAAGCCCTGGCGGATGCTGTCTTTGACGCTGCGCAGGAGTTTCTGGTCGACATCGGAGGGCAAGGTGTCGTTCTGGAGTATATTGGGGCTATTGTCGTCCGGTCCGAAGGCCCAGAGGTTGCGGCTGGCCAGGATGTCGTAGCCGTAGTTCTCTTCGAAGAATTTGCCGACTTTGCGCACAGGGTCTTTGATGCTGACTTTTCCGGACTCGATGTCTTGCGCGATTCCTTCGTCCAATGGTTCGGCTACGATGGTGATTTTGTTCTTTTTGTTGGGTGTTAATGCGTAACATTTCATGGCACTCTGATCCACACATGTCTCGCAAAACCGCGTGACCGGATCGGAGACTTTGATCTCCATCTGTGCGTATAGACGGCGAAGATCGTGAAGCACGCAGTCCATGTACAGCTCACCTGTCCCTAAAACAACGTGCTCGCCACTTTCTTCGACCTTGGTCGTTATTAGAGGATATGACTTGTTGATCTTGCGTAGTCCGTCGAGCATTTTCGGCAATTCTGAAGGGTTGATGGGCTCCACGGCGATTTTCATGACGCTTTCGAAGAAGTGCGTAATAGGCTTGAAAATGTAGGCAGGTTCGTCATCAGAAAGCTTGGGAGCCACGACCGTGGCGCTCTTCATAATTGAAGCGTCAATGCCACCGAGCAATACAAGATTGCCTGCAGGAACGCCGGAGACTGGGACATTATATCGACTTTCTGCAATCCATACATTGTCCACAGTCGCGTTGACCATGTCTTCCTCGTCATCAATGCTGTAATTTTCACCGAGTACTCGAACTCGATCTCCTGGCTTCACAGTTCCGCTCATCACGCGTCCGAAGCCATAGAAGCCCTTAGCGTCTTGGGTGTTGAAGAGCTTCGTCACATGAATGACAAGTGGGCCATCAGCGTCACAGTCGAGCATCGCCTTTGCCGTCTTCGAGTCCAGCGGGCCAGTGTAATGGGCTTCCAGCTTCTGCTGAGCACCTTCAGCAGGAGAAGGAATGTGCTTGACAACCATCTCGACAAGGCCGGTGGCATTACCGAAGTATTGCCTGCAAACCAACTTCAAAAGGTCTTTTGCGTTACTCTTCAGCTGAGCGGGCTTCAAAATGATGCCGAGTCGGCCGAGAGCTTTCTTAAGGGCTTCGGGTGAATCTGACAGAGTGTGTGAATAGAGTTTGTAAATCGGCTCGAGGACAAAATGGACAAAACTTCGCCTGGCGGCATCTTCGTTCGGTCGCCGCGAGAATTTTCTTGAGCGGGGATTGAAAAAGATATCGCCCCATAATCTCCTGCTGAATTCGTATGTGTCTAATGGTTTTTCGGGTGAGTTTACAGGAAAGTGTTCCGCGTACATGGCAGCAAAGCTAGGGAGTGTGAAACACCATTCCATGCTGCTGCAAGCGAAAGCCACATTGCCTTTCTCTGGCGACACTCGATACTTCTCTCCCCTACCAGGCACGGTATCCTCGATTGTGGTGTTCACTTGCTCCACCACATGCTTGAGTTTGAAGTAGGCATCAGCAGGAGGTAACTTTAATTCGAGGATGAGCCTGTCCATTTTGTTGATCAGAAGCGTCAGAGGGAGATCAGCGAGAATCGCGTGCTTGATGATCATCTCTGTCTGAGTTTGAACCCCCTCCACCACGTCGACGACGAGAACCACGCCATCCACAAGTCGCATCGATGCCGCAACTTCGTCCGCGAAATTCACATGTCCTGGTGTGTCGATGATATGTAAGGCGTGACTTTTGCCTCTCGTATCCTCCAACACTAGGCTCATCGGGCTCGCCTTGACTGACATCTCCCGTTCCCGTTCCAGGATGTGGGTATCTGTGTAACGAAGCTGTTCGTCCTTTGCCTTTCCAGTCTTCCCTCGCGAGTACGATGACAGATCGTGGGTCTGAGCTACGAGCATATCCATGATACTGGTCTTGCCGTGATGCAAGTGACCACAGAGTGCGATGTTCCTCACTTGGTTTGGGAAGTTCATCATATCCGAAAGATATCTTCGGTCGAAGAAGACGGATGGCAGATCCTCTTCCTCAACGGTGAACTTTTTGTTGTCAATCGGCGCCACAATAGGTTGATCCAATCCTTGTGTATCTTCCTCTTGAACGAGCGTCTCGACGCCTGGTCCATACACCTGCTGCGCTGTGGGGTAATATTGTTTATCCTGGTGCAGTACTACTGCATTTGATGGTCCATCCTCGTCGAGATCCATGAGCTCCTGCCCTGTCGGCGCGCTCTCATCTGCGTCTTCATCCTCGAGATACCGAGCACCGTCAAAGGCATTGTTGGTCGGTTCATCTTCACTCTCCTCTTCCGGCTCCCCGATGTAATTTCCGAACTCGTCGTAAAGGTCATCCATATTTGAGGACGGTGATTCTCGGTGAGCTCACGCGACCTTGCGTTTCGACAGCACGCTCGTATGGGGTATATGTGTTTTGCCGAGCTTATAAACTCATGTCAAGTGGCAGACCAGAGCGCGCGACGGTCTTGAAGAGGTGCAAAGTGTATCCTCCGGTGGGTATCGAAGCTGGGCGCAAGATGATGTCGAACCGAGATAATTTTGTGACGCCAAATTTCTTGAATATCAAATGGTCCACGCGCGCCTCCGCCCATGCATTCCAGGAACCCGCTTGCGGGTAAGCGCGGCGCGTGAGGCTCTGCTCTGCGCTGGTCGAGGATGAGGAGGAGCTGACGCACGGATCGTGCCGACGTCAGGGCAAGGCAGCTACTGTGCGCACGAGATGGAAGAACAGGTACTGTAGCAAAAGTGGACTGGACGATACTGCGCTGCCCTACTGTGTGTTCTGTGCCCAAGTTTCATCATACGTGGAGCCGGAGGGCATTGATGTTACGTTCATGGAATAGTGGGGGCGGCGGTGTTGTCAGCGAATCGCAGACGTCAGGGTCCTTGACGAAGTGCATTTATGGTCCGATTTCTCATCATGGTTCGATATTCCAACAAAAGCCTAGTCCATTAGTTATATCCTGGAGGAGGTATTCGGCCCTTTCACCGCTCAAGCTCCTCACAGTTGCACTTGACTCGGAACAATAAGAAGCAAAATATTCCCTACGTTTGTCGACCAGATACAACAACTCCTCACACACCACAAGCAAACATGGCTCCTCCGCCAGTATATATCCTCTCCGCAGTCAGGACCCCCTTGGGCATGTTTCAAGGCTCCCTGTCAAGCCAAACTGCAGTCCAGCTCGGCGCACATGCGATCAAGAGTGCTGTGTCAAGAGCCTCGATCAAGCCAGAGGAGGTGCAGGAAGTCTACTTTGGCAATGTTCTCTCTGCAAACCTCGGGCAGAACCCTGCGCGGCAATGTACGATTCATGCGGGACTTCCTGAATCCACTGTCGCCACCACTGTGAACAAGGTCTGCGCTTCCTCGGTCAAGGCCATTGCCCTGGGAGCTATGTCGATCATCACTGGGGAGAACGAGGTGGTGGTCGCTGGCGGCGCGGAGAGCATGTCCAATGCTCCTCATTACCTACCCACTCTTCGTCTCGGCGCCAAGTTCGGCGATCAGACACTTGTAGATGCCGTTCTCAAGGACGGTCTAACAGACGCTTACAAGAATGAGCACATGGGTCTTCAAGGTGAGGAATGCGCTGCAGACCACGGATTTGGGCGAGAGGAGCAAGACGAGTACTGCATCCGCTCGTACAAGAAGGCTCGTGCTGCAGACGCAAATGGATGGTTTGCAGAGGAGATTGCACCCGTCACGATCAAGGGCAGCCGCGGCAAGCCTGACACAATTGTGGACAAGGACGACGAGCCCAAGAAATTCAACGAGGAGGCTACACGGACGCTCCGACCAGCTTTCAAGAAGGATGGCGGCACTGTCACAGCCGCGAATGCCTCCCCACTTTCTGATGGCGCTGCAGCGCTCGTTCTCGCCAGCGAGGACTACGTTCAGAAGCATGGATTGAAGCCTATTGGAAGGATTCTGGGCTGGGGAGACGCTGCGCAAAATCCATCCAAGTTCACCACGGCCCCTGCTCTTGCTGTTCCCAAAGCGCTGAAGCACGCAGGCATCAAACAGGAGGAAGTCGATGCATTTGAAATCAATGAGGCTTTCTCCGTTGTCGCGCTGGCCAACATGAAACTTTTGAATGTGAGCGAGGACAAAGTCAACCTTCATGGTGGTGCTGTCGCCTTAGGTCACCCGCTGGGAGCCAGTGGAGCTCGCATCGTGACAACCTTGCTCGGTGTTCTCAAGCAGCAGAATGGCAAGATCGGCTGCGCGGGAATTTGCAACGGAGGCGGAGGCGCAAGTGCTATCATCATTGAGCGACTTTGAGTGTATTCTAATGCCATGTACCTCACGTACCATAAGTCAGGTTTCCGGCTTAGAGCTTGAGGGATCTGTGATCTGATTGGATGACCATCATTCCGCTGGCGATCCCATCAGAACGTGTTGATACGCTTCGACCAATTCTCGTGCCTTGACGAGGATGCCAGCCGCCAGCATCCTCACTTTGGTTTCTTGGTCACTGCCATCCACCACCAAGCCGCCATCTCCAGTGCGTTCGAATATTACCTCAACCCACGACTGCGTTTCTGCCAATTGTTTCGAGTTCTCGAGGAGAAAACGATGGTGCGAGCCTTCGTTGGTTTCGAGTAACGTGAGAATGGAGAACAACACGGCCTCCAAGACACTAATGTCGCGAGCCGCCTGGACACGCAATGAAAGCACCATGTTCCAGAACGCGATCGTGATGTCGGATAAATGTAGCGTTGCCGGCCCAGATGCGTGCAATAGTAGGGACAACGTTTTTAACACAGTGACCAGCAGGAAAGATGTCGAGGCAAAAAGACTGCCGGTTCCATATGCAGCGATGTCTTGCTGGTATCGGCTCATGAGCGGAAAAAAGAACGACTCGCCAAATACTTTTGCGAGTTGATTATGTTTTGGTTTCTGGTTGGTCCGGTGGTTATCCATGCGACTTGAGAAAGTGCGAACCTTGACGGCATTCAAATGAGATGTCTGCTTGTCAGCCGCGGATAGCGCCATTGGTTCGATTAAATGATGTTCCAGCTTCTTGCTCGCAGCATCTAATGACCGCACAGCATAGTTGCGTGTGCTGTAAGTCGCGTGTAGGCTTTGCGGTAGACGCTTGGTTGGAAAGTCGACAGTCTCAAGTGGTGGTGCCTGGTTGTAGACATCTTGATCTACAAGCCCAGCCAGCTCTCGGCCGCCAAGTCCGAGAGCGCTCAGCATGATGCAGCGCTGTGCTATCGAGTAATCGCCGACAAATGCTTGTTTGCTCAACCAGGGCGCCATATGGGGTACGTCGCTGAGAAGCACCGCGATCAGGCCTTGTAACTTCATCATATCAAAGTCTTCCGTTTCGAAGGGGTCCTGAAGGCCACAAAAGATTGTAGCGATCTCTTCGGCGTGGTCCGTCACTTCACGACCGAAGTTTGCCTTCCTTCGAATCAAGCTAGCACCGTGCTTCACAGCTAAGCCAAACTTCTCTGGGTCTTTGTCATCTCGAAGCATTGTCATCAAATCTCTGATGTAGACAGGCGGTCTCGGCTTGTTTCGCTTCACCAAAGTCGCGTCTTCGTCACTATCCTCTGGATCAGAGTCTGGCTTAGCGTATGTTGGTATACCGTCATCTTCGTCGTTCTCGAGCACTTCTGTAACTTGGGCGCCAACGATCTCTGTTTGTGCTGGGACTGGTGGTCGAACAGGACCAAAGACCGGCTTCCCATCCAATATTGGCATTTTTTCCGATTTGAGGTCGATCTTGGGGCGAGCTCGTTTTGCACCAACCCCATCAGTCATCCTGAGAAGGGAAGAAACATCTTCCATTTCATAGACTTTGTCTTCCATGTCTATTAAATCAAAATACCATTGGGCTTCCGTGGTGAGCATATCGTCCGTTCCAAAAGACATTTTCGAGCCGGCCTTGTCAACTTTACTCGACATGGCAGTGCCAACCACCATACCAAGCCATCTTGCTCGCTGGTTCGAACTTTCCAGGCGATTACTGACGCCCTGCATGTGACCGGAAGAGCGAGCCGCGACAAGTACTGACATAGGCGATGTACGATGTAGGTAGCCGGCGGTGAGCAAGATCATCTGGGCAAGACACTCTTGATGATGAAGCGCAGCATGTTCGATGAAGAGATGGCCTCCGAAAACTTTTAAGAGCTTCTCAAGGAGTGGCTCTAACTCGTCGTCCGCAAGATCTGCTAATGTGCAAATGCAAACTCGCCGCACTCGAAAGGACACCGAGCCAAGTAATGCAGCATCGCTGCAAAAGTCGGCAAGCAACGCCGTCGATTCTTGGCCATCCGCCAGAACCTCTCGCAAGAGAGCTACCGCGGTGGATGTCTCTAGCTGGCCACGCTTCGGAGTAGATGCGTTATTTGAGTCATCTTCAAGAACAGAGGACAGCCATCGTACGATGCTTTCCAAGTAGAGTCGCTTCCTGGAGACCGGTATGGATTTGTTGAGAGCGATGAAACACCTACGCCTTATCCCAACGAGGGTTGAGCTATCACACATCACCCAAAGTAAGCCTGACACTAACCGAGTCGTGTAATTCATGCCGAATGCTTTGCCCAACAGCTGTGCGGCGGCCTCGACACCGGTGTGGGAGTTTCCCGCCTGTACTACGGAGTCTAGGAGTAGAGCACCAATCGCTCGCCCGAGTCGCGAAGAAAAATGAACTCCCGAGGCCAGCCATGACGGGGACTTGTTCCCACCCGCAGCTTTTAAAACGTCCTCTGCTTGTGCGATGGTGGCAGGAATTTTCCCAGATCCGACCAATGTCACGAAATTCTTCCATGCCAGATGCGATTTCAGAGAATCGGGAGTAGCTTCAGAGAGATGCTCCCAGATTTTTAACACGAAAGTGTCATCTCTGAACAGATTTTGCACAATATTCAGTAGGTTCGTGAGGACATCCACATCGCCCTCTGAAATTTTGGTACGCGTTGATGATTGGTTGAGTCGACCTATATGAGCAAAGATGGCATTGATGCCGGCCACATTGTCAAGGCAGTGGAGTACGGTATCACGATTCCTCGAACTCAACGTTGGCCAAAAAGCTGGGATGATGTTTTCGACCAGAGCACCAATTATTTGTGCTTGGAGGGGACCAAGTGAGTACAAGCTGAACGAGATTGTTTCGCCATTTGCATGTGTGAGTCGCCGGATAACCTCGATGAGCGAAGCCTCGTCAGGTTGTCCACGCAGTATAGTCAAGCAGTCCTGAGGTGTAAGTTGTTGGTCCCGGACGCGCGAAACTGGCACCGACACGATCTGGGCGTTGCGTTTTCTAATCTCAATGTCGTCGATTTGGCGCGTCGAAATCTCTGATAGCTCGAGTTCCTGATTCTCATTTTGCCGTAAAATTCCCGAGATCTCTGAAAGACCTGCCATACTTTCGAGCACATAGCATGGCTCAGGTCAAAACCGAGCCTCAACAATGCACACGACAGATGTCGATGTTCCGAATGGGTTGTTATATGACCCAGGTCTGGGGCGTGTTAGGGTTGTAAATTGACGGCATCGAAAGCCACCGGCTGGCAACTCCGTCAGTGGGGCACGTACTTCACGACACTTCATTCAACGACAACCTTTTTCACATCTGGGTCATTCTTGCCAATCACTTGATCAAGCAGAAATCATTGCAGCAGTGTGCACCATAAAAACCTCGGGCAACCATCTCGCATCATGACCGCTCAAGCCGAGAAACGTGCACGATATCGTCACTTGGACAGAGTGTTGTGTCGGCCCGGCGCCTTCACAGATCCCGACATCTTTGTGCCCGGCGAGGCCAACTTGACAAATCTGGACAATCTCCGGATACTCGTCATTGGAGCAGGAGGTCTCGGTTGCGAAATACTCAAGAACCTCGCATTGTCAGGCTTCACCAATATCGACGTCATTGACATGGACACTATTGACGTCAGCAACCTCAATCGACAGTTCCTTTTCCGTCAAAGCGATGTCGGCAAACCCAAAGCACAAGTCGCGGCCGAATTTGTCATGAAGAGAGTCCCGGCTTGCAAGATCAACTACTATGTTGGCAAAATCCAAGACAAAGATGATGATTACTACATGCAATTCAACATTGTGGTCTGTGGCCTGGATTCAATCGAAGCTCGGCGCTGGATCAATGCAACGCTGGTAGGCCTGGTCGATGGGAACGACCCAGACTCTCTCAAACCATTGATAGATGGTGGTACTGAAGGCTTCAAAGGCCAATCGCGAGTCATCATTCCAACAATGTCATCCTGCATAGAATGTCAGCTTGATATGCACGCACCACGTGCCGCTGTGCCACTTTGTACCCTTGCAACAATTCCACGACAGCCACAGCACTGTATAGAATGGGCCCACATCATTAAGTGGGAAGAAGAACGCAAGGATATTGTCCTCGACACCGACGACCCAGAGCACATCACCTGGCTGTATCAGACCGCACTCAAGCGTGCTGGCGAATTCGGGATTCAAGGTGTGACCTATAGCATGACCCAAGGTGTGGTGAAGAATATCATCCCTGCCATTGCATCTACGAACGCCATAGTCGCTGCCTCGACGTGCAACGAAGCTTTCAAAATCGCAACCAACACGGCTCCTTTCTTGGCCAATCCTGCCAATGTCCCCGCTGGCATCGATCCCGACGAGTATGATCCCACCGACGAAGATGCGCCAGCTCCGAACAATTACATGCTCTACACTGGCGACAACAGCGTCTACACCTATACATTCGGCCACAAGCGCAAGCCTGACTGTCCCGTCTGCGGCAATCTCCCCAAGGATCTCCTGGTGTCTAAGTCACAGACCTTGGGCGAATTGATCGAAAGCTTCGCCGAACGACCCGAGGCACAATTGAAGAAGCCAAATCTGCGCACTGGCGAAAAGTCTCTCTATTACTCTAGCCCAGAGGGTCTCCGAAAATCCACCGAGCCAAACCTCGTTAAGAAGCTGAGTGAGCTCGTGGAAGATGGCGAAGAGATTGGAATCAGCGACCCGGCTTTTGCCATTAACTTTCGATACAAGGTACGCTACGAAGCGTGAGTGCAGTGAAATGAGGGACGCCTGTGGCCCATCTTCAACGAGTGCATCTCTGAAGGACGACCACCCTGCCCTGATAGCCAGTCGTGAATCACGTACGCAAACCAAGGAACGGAAGATGAAAGGTTCTGCACCAAGTCAATTGTACCGTTGGGCTTAGTTATACACGATTGTTGCAGTGGACAGGTGAAGCATTAGCCAAGGAACAACAATATACCCAGAAACCCCCAACGCCTCGCTTAACCCATCTCAAAGGAATACAATAATGAAGAAAACAACCATTTTACAAGAGAACTTCCACGAGCGCGACGCAAGCGGATCGGTGAGCGTACAACACTCATGTCGCTAGGCTAATTTGGCAAACCCTATCCCTTCTTACCTAACTTCAAGGTGAACTTCTTTTTCAGCGGCGGCGGTTCGTCATTTGCAGAAGAGCCGACTTCTGCTGCCTTTGAGGACGGTGGCGGCGGACGAATGGCGCCATTTGACGGGCTCGCAGTGCCTGGAGCGCTCGGTCTAAATTTGATGGGATTTGCTGATGATGCTTTTGACTGAGACTCCTTGCCGGCTGAACCGTAAGATCGAAACGCGCCAAGGTTGGTTGAAGCCTGATTTTTTGACGTGGCGAAGCTGGATGGAGGGCTGAAGGAGCTAGCTGGCTGGGTCGTCGGGGATTGGAATGTCTTTGCCTGCGCAAGTGACGCAGGGTGTTGATTGGGGACGTTTGGTGTATTGGAACGTGGTAGCGGTGGTCGAGCCTGCGATGATGCTGGCGTTGATCCATTCGGGGCGGATTTGATCGTAGGCTTCGGGGCTGCCAAAAGAATATCCTTCGCTCGTCGTCTTGTGCTTTCATTACGCAGTCGAAGTATTGCCACGACGCTGTTCTGCGCATCTACGATTGGCCGCGGTGTAGGGGTGGATGTTGTGCGATGGTTGGCCATGGGATTCTTCGGAGTGGAAAGTTTGCCTAGTTTGACTACTTTCGGAGTTTCTTGAGTTACGTCGTTTGACATTTTGCGCTTCACTCCGCCCAGACTTAGTTTGAATCCAGTTCGTTCTGTAGTCGTCGGCACAGCTGAAAGAGGCGGCGACATCTCGGCGACAGGCTGCGATTGCGCGTGTTGTGCTTGCATGCTGGTTTGTGAAATCTTCAGCTTGAGGCTGTCGATTTGCGACTGTTGATTCTTTTTCTCCGAGATGTACTTTTTCGTTGCTGAAGAGAGAGGCCCAGTATACCGGAGATGGTTGGCCTCGAGCTCGACGTAATCCTCGACGCTCAGGCCAATGCGTGGGCTTGGCTCTGACAGGAAGGCTCCTTCACGGTAAAATTCCATCTTGCCTTTGCCCACATGACGACAGCGGTATGGCCGAGGCAAATTCAAAGTGACGACGGCGGCAGTCACTGGTTGGACTACCAACGCTGCTACATCACAGAAGTTGGCGACTTCGTCAATCGTGATGTCGGGCGATGTTATAGCGTACCAGAGAGCATCTCGAAAGATTCCGCTTTCTGGGAGAGTGGTTTTGAGCGTTGCGATCGCCCCTTCCGGACTCGCTTTGCGAGCGGCATCAATCTCTTGCAGCGTGACCGTGTTGACGACGTCCTGTTCGAGAATTAATCCATCGGTAGTTGGAGGAGGCGCTGCCTTGACAGGTTCGACATCATCCAGGGCGATATGACCAAGTGCTTCGCCGAAGAGGCGCGTGAGTCGATCCCGAAAGTAGGGAGATGCATGATCCACGATGGAGTGGATAAGATGCTTCAGTACCGGCATTTTTCGACAAAGGCCAATCTCGTTGAGACAACGGAAAGCTGCCAGTCGGACGTTCTCGGCCGTGCTGGGCCGGGTGTACTGCAGCAACTCCATACGTTTGTCTTTGACGATCCCGGCCTTGGTCAACTTTTGCAAGCACTCGATTGCGGTCGTCGAGTAGATATTCTGATAAGTGACCACCCACTCGTCAATGCGGCGGTATCGCTCAATTTCTCCCACTGCAGTCTGCTCGAAATCAGCATCGGGATTCTCCACGTCCATCCCATCGAGGGCAGGCTCTTCTTCTCCGAAGCTGAAATCATACGCCGGCTGGATCTCGCGATGTGATACCACCAGTGATTCGGTCAGGCACTTCATCAATGTTGCGACGTAGTGACAATCAGAGACCGGATTCTCAGAATTGTCATTAAATTTGAGCTTGTCGACGAAAAATTGCTGCAGAGCGCGTGGCACTCTATTGTCGGCGTCGCGGAAAGTCGCCATCGCTCGAGGGATGGCGCATTGAATGAGAAAAGTTACCCTGCTTGAGAAGTCGTTGGGTCGTGGCATGACTGAACCCTCATCGCAAAACATGTGAGAGAATGCCTTCTCCAACTGGTACTGACCAATTTCAGATAATTGGTGGCCACCTTCTTTGTCCTTGGCAAGGATCGCGATGCCTTCCGCGGCCATGACGCGAATACCGTGGAAATAGCGAGTGTCCATCAATGTTCGAACCATAAGAGTGAGCGAAACGTGATGCGGCGCCATACCCAGGATGAATTTCATGGAATCATACTGCGCCACCAGGTCCCTATCCTGTTGGAGCTGTGAGATATACATGTGTGACGGCATGAACAGATGAATCTTGCCGATCCACTCGAAATCAGCATCCATGCGGATCCATTCATAGCTCTCTTGGCCCATTCGTTCTTCGTCTTCGGCGCTCCACTCTGCGAGTTTCCAATCCTTTAAATCTTGGGCAGAGTCAAGAACATCACCCAGAGAGTAGAGGAGCGGTTCGTCGCTGCCATCTCCGTGTGTGGGTCCGTCAGCCATTGCGCGTTCCTTCTGCCTTCTCGATCGCTTCAGTCGTTTGTACTTTGTGTTGTATTGAATCTCCAATTTTGTGACAGCTTCTCGGATCTCGACGATGTGCTCGTAAGGGGTTCCATCGGCCTCGTGGATACGGATAGTCATGGGACCTGTGAAGACAGCCTGCATCTCTGGGGCCCACACCTCTTGCACATATTCCTTGATTTCCCTCATGAAATTGGATGGCTCGAATGCAGGCTTCGTGACGCGCTGCAATTGCATCTGGGTGATGGTCATCTCTACGACTGTCTTCTTCTTGTTAAATCTTTGCGAAACTGAAAAGATGGGACACCCTGCGCCCTTGACCCATTGTTTAAAAAACGATTCAAGCTTGTTGTGGCCATACTTTTCACAAGTTCTCTGGAAGTCCTCGGTGGTGAGCTCTGAATTCACGAGTGACCCGGTCTTCGCATTTAGGAAAATCCTGTTGATACTTCGCGTTACTCCTGTGGACCCGCTGGATTTCACGAGTCGGCGGTCGAGAATTCCGAGGACGAGCGAAGATTTGAGGTCAATAAAGTCGCGGATCGAGGAATCAAGATGTTGCAGGGGGCCCAGGTGCCAGATGGAGGGCCGATCAACGTCTAGCTCATAGACCTTCTCAGCAGCGAGCTTCTGCTGCCATCGATACTCATTGTTGCCGGCAAGCTTCTTCATGAATAAGTCGGTCATGAAACCAGCTATTCCAGAAGTGACCCATGTGTCCTCGAGCGCCTTCGGAATTATATTGACGCCGCTCCATTGGTTCGCCACGGCACGAACAAGAATTCGAGTGTGTCTATCTAGTGGCTCGATGATTTCCTGTGGGAACAGAAGTCTCTCACTGCAAATTGAAAGACCCGCAGCGTCCACGGTATCTTGCACTAAATCATCCACGAAAAGCGTCTGGTAACTTGTGAATGGAAAACGGCCGTAATTGGCGGTTAAGTAGTCGATCGCTTGACATGTGGGCATGCAAGTGTTCTCGACTTCCTCACTACGACCTGGTAGACAGTATCCAGTGGCCACCTTCACAGCTGTCTGTCCGAGCTTTTCTTCATCTTCGGTAGCACGGAACATGGTAAGGTCGACGGGTTCGAACGGACCGACGGCAAAAGCGATATGTCGTGCCGTTACCGGCTCGTTGAGCGTAAACACAAGCGTATGCCGGGATTCGTCCTCTTGGTCAGAGATGTCATCGGACAGCTCACCAACGCAAATCACAGCGAGGTCTAGCGCCGCCTCCTCTGGACCAAGATCGATGAGAAAATCGTCGGCTGGAGACGTATCTAATTTAACATTGGGCTCGGCAGCCTTCGAATCCGATTTTGTACCAACAGTTTTGGTCTTCGCAGGAACATCTCGCTTTGTTGTCTTGAACGCATCGCCTAAGGTTCTCGGAGTTCTGATGGCTATTTCCCAAGTGCACCGGGAGGACGTATCGTCAAGACAAGGGAATATGCACGATGTGTTCCCAGAGAGCGGCGAGGCTTTGGAATAAACGTAGGGATATCGTCGGTCACCATCGTGACAACCAATCCAGTGCAAGCCATCACGGAAATGTTCCACCTCAAACTCGATCGTCACTTTGATGGGAGCGAATTGGGGGCCCTGCTGTTGCGCTCCTGGTGTTACAGCACCATCAGCAATGGCAATGAAGTCCGTTTCCTGCTTCTCAAGGCTCGGCACGTCATTATAGACTGGTAGAGTGGTAATGTTGTCCAGCTGCAATTCCTGGATTTTGAGCTTCGGAGGTATCGCGATAACCAATTCAGGATTTCGCGTAGACTGCAGATATTTCTCAATTCTCGTCTTGATCATTCCATGCTGTTCAATGTTGGATTTTGGAGGAACCCGTAACCGACTGTATGGATCATCCAATTCCCACCTTGCAGCAATCCCTCCTATCTGAATCGCCAGAGGGCGAGATTGCCGGCAGTGTAATCGAATCTCCCGTACATCTGAGACCAGCGGCGTGATGGTTATTTCCGTGCTTCCCTTGAGCGATCGATTGGGGAAATCGAGGTCCAGGTCAACTCTCTGTTTGAGGATAGCATATTGCGACTGCGCTGTATCGACGAGCGCAATAATCGGTTCAGAATCATCAGGCATGTTTGAAGCGGCATTTCCCGTATCAAAAGGCGATCCGCAAGCCGCGCGTGTCTCGAGGCGACGACGTCGCGACGACGAGCCTTCTAGCGATTATGACAGCGTTGCCAGCTGTCAGACCTCAACATCGCGATCCGCTGAGAAATTTCTTTTTTGCGACGGATGCGGTCTGGCGAGAATAGTGGGAGTTGATACTGTTGGAGATGGTGGTGGTGATGGTGGTGTATGAGCGCAAACTGCCCGTCATGGCACTTGAAGCAGCGTCACCGCGAATCTTCAATACCGTGCAGCTTTGGCGATAGACCGCGTTAAACTAAAAGTCACGTGACACAAATGCTTGCAGCGACGCTCATGGGCGACACGTCGAGCTCTTTCCAGGCATCCGTCAAATCGGATGGGACACGAGAATGACTCTTCAGATATCGATCTCCACATTTTGTGCGGTACATTTTATCTCCATCGTTTAAATTGAGCCATCGAGTCCCCCCATACGATCGAACCGACGACTGGGCTCGCGACCCTTGTATTGGGAACAATTGTGTAGCCACACTTGAAAACAATGAGAATGCGCTGCCTCATTTGTATTCTAAGGTCTGAAAACGCACCTTGGCTGCCTGTGGCCATCAAGACTTTCGCAATCTCAAATGGCAAGGGAAGAACAGCTTATGGAATTGCGCTTTGGCCTGGCCACGAACGGCCACTGACGCTTGTGTTCTTTTCATGTATTTGTGCTGAAATTATTATTACTATATACATTATGTTGCCTTCATGTATTGGGCGTAGATATCGCGAACCAGTCGCTGCTATGGGATGACTTTTTGGGACATTAGAATCATGATGCCGTGTCTTGATTGTGAAATGAAATCGTGATTGCAGGGGAAATGTCCTCCCTGCAAGGCTCGTACGGGGTGGCCTGTGGTGAAGCATCCGTCTAGCGATGCAATAAGCAGTGAATGGTCCGTGTGCATCCCGAGGTCGCTATCGATACTCAGCTCGCACAGGGTCCCAGAAGGCAGGTTTTTTTGGTAATGGTGCGGCAGTGTCCACATGCAAAGCCTCTATTGTATCTTCCGAAACTAGTGTGCTAGAATGCTCGACCGAGTGTCCCGGCTGGAGCACAGGCAAGCTGTTGGAATTGCTTTCCGGTCGCCCAGATCTAAGTCCTGCTTCTTGATCTTCGTCGACCAGGGATCCAAGAGCTGATGGCATAACGAGGGGCTGAGAATTGGTGTCGTCACCGGAGGTGCCGCTCGCACTCGCAGGTGACGAAGACATCTGCCGTCTCGAGTTCCTTTCGTCACGATAGCGGAACACGTGCCAGACCATCCAGCGGATAATCCAGTTTCCATACGCTCCATCAGTGTCAGGATCCTGCGCGAGGTCATATATTATTCTTGTCGCTGGACTCGCTTCGCGATGAATGCGCTTGAGTTCATCACGCATTGCCATCTCGTCAATCTGTGCAAAAGTATAGCGTGGGGGCTTCAGATTCTGATCATCACGAAGAGAAGGGATTAAGGATTGAGGCCCAATTGTGAGTCGACGCCAACCCTCGCTTGCTTCTTCCTGCGTTCATGGTCAGTGAAGAACATTCACATGCTGAGTACAATGTGGCGTTTTACCTTCATCATAGTGTACAGACGACGGTGGCCTCCATTTTGTTCATCAAGCCCAAGTCTCTTGAATAGACTTGCTTTCGATTCGCTCTGTGCCACTGGCTCTAGCATAGATGGACTCATGCTCTGCGGCTTTTTCGTCTCGTGTTGACTCCAGTGCAGTCTCAGCGATACGGTTTCAGCGATACAATCTGTAAGCCAAGAAATTATCGCACGCTCAATTTTCCACAGTATGAACCAGGTGATCGCTGCTTGAGGTACATCGTCATTCAAGCGCTTATCAGTGAGAAGGGACCGGTCTGTTCCTGAGGTATGTTGTCATTTAGCATGAGCCGAGGCTGGCTTCAGTGCTCGGTGTTTGTGAGGACAATGAATACAATTGTTGAGGCAGATCTACAGCGATCGGGACACCCTCCGAAAATGTGCGTCATAGCTTTCGGCAATCCGGCAGGTTGTCAACTCTGACGGTGACATTGGAACAGATGGTAAATGTTGCCGATGAACAGATGGCGTCGAAAGATCATAGGGCACATACGCGCGACAGGATTCCTAGGAACAGTCGCTTTTCGGGAGCCATACGCAAATCCGTCATGTGCTGTTGATAAGTCAGCCACCGCCAAGCAAAGAGACGACCAAAAGCCAGGGTTCTTATCTGGTTCAGCTGCCGTCGGAGTGGAGTCCTCTGGGTGTGGCTGGGCCCCGATGCACCTCCAAATGTCTGGGTAACATCGCCACTTGAAGATCGCGAAAAAATTGTGGAGATATACACCATCTCGCTTAAGGATATGACGCAGGACAAGACTGAGCAGCCGAGTGCACCTCAGAGTCTGGAAGCAGTGTGGCAGTTCGGTGGCTTGAGTACAAGGCCATTCGCATTCAGGCACGAGCCAGGCACAGGCCACATGTGTTATTCTCATATCCGGGGCGATCAACAAAATACCATCGCGAAGTCGTCTCTTGAGATATATAGAGGCAAATCTGGGGTCGAAGCGCAGGTGGCACATTCTGCGCAGCTCTGATCGGGAGATTCACATCTTTCTGGTTGCACTCTGAACAGTCCGTATTGCTCTGACGACGATGGACACCCTAGGCGTCCAGACATCCTGCTCATACGTGTTGGAGAGTGGTGACAACAACGAATGGGCCTTATCAAATCGTTGCTGACGGTTGCTCGCTCAACAGATAGACGGCTACAGCACGGCCAGGAGACCATACAGATATCGTAAAGATCAAGGATCATGCATCCCCATTGATATTCGTCTCGTAGGACATGAGGCCGAATTAACCTCTTTCAGAGCGCGCGCTATGGCAGCTGATGTCACAAAATAGGCTCTTCGATATCGAGCGAAACCTAGTATGAGGACATCGTGAAATGAATTACTTGTTGCGTTTAAGCCTATCGCTTTTTTCAATGGCGCAAGCGCGACGACTCGAACGGAAGGTGTTGCAAAAAAAAAAAGAAAAAGGCACCCATTAGCGTGTGGTCCAGCGGATGCTCAAGACAACAGCCTGCGTCGCAGTAGCTTGTTTTGCCGGTGCGGAGCGCGAATGAGGATATAGATGACGCCTTCATCCACGTCAGCTGTGTCATCATTTACCCGCGGAGGTATCGAGTTGCGCGCAGCTCGAACCTTCGCGTAGTCCGTCATGTTTCTAATCCGAAAAGAAGGAACAATGCCTTGGAAGGTCGATCTCCAGAAGCCCGAATAATCCTCGCCATGTCACACGGTCGGCGGCCATTCGCCGTAGTCTCTTTGGGATCTGCACAACAACCCAGACCTTTGGGCGGGGAAAGTTTCAGCACTGGTAAGGGTCATCCCCGCGTGGTGCACAGCCGCACGTGATGCACACCTCCAGCCATTTTCCACCCTCAACTTCAATAATTAATAACTTTACAACGAGTGGTTCAAATGACCTCAAATTTGAACAGGGCGCAGTTTATAATGAATGTATTTAGCTGTCCAAGTGATATTGCTCTAGATGCTTTGGTCGCCGAAGGGCGCGGCCACTCCGCTGTGACACCAGAACTGGCTCCGATAGGGATACCGGCTCTTCGAGGGCTACAGCAGGAGCAGCAGGTATTGCCACGACCGCAGACTGCTTCGTCTGCTTCGGACGAGCCTTAGTCTTCTTCGCTGACTGCAGAAGGGTCGTTTGAAGCTGTACTGCCGCCGCCTTCGTCTCTTGGAGAGCGCGCTTCTCCGCTGCCTTGCTTCGAGCCTCCTCCGCCCTCACCTCGGACTGCTTCTTCCGCTCTAGACGACGTTGTTCCAGCTCATGTTGCTTTGCTAGCAACGCTGCCTTCGAGGCTTCCTTCTGAGCTGCTTTTGAAGCCGCTACAGCCACTGCTTCGGCTTCCTTTTGAACCTGCAGCTGCTTAGCAGTCATAATCTTCTGAGGCGAGAAGAAGGTTGACCCTTGATTATCCTGAGACCTCACTTCTTCGAAGAGCGCCTTCCCACGCTTCCGCTTCTTCTTCTCATTAATAAGAGCTGTTTTGAAGCTATCATTTTGAACCTTAAGCAGCGCGTTCTGAGTTTGAAGGGCGTGTAGTGTATTTTGCAGAATAACGGCTTTCTTCCTCGAATCCTCGTCGTATACCTCTTGAACCACGTCTTTGAAGAGCGCTCTTACCTTCCGAAGGTCAGAGGCAGACAGTATTGAGGTACTGGAGCCCTGAGAACACGGTCGGCTGGCTGTAGCAACTGCCTGTGGTTCTAATGGCCGGAGGACTTCGGAGGGGTCAAATGGATGAATACCGGTCCTTCGCCACGCAGAGCACACGTTGTCCACGGAGAAGGCCTTAATAAAGGCCGGCCAGAAGAGCCGGAAGAAGTCACGCTTCGTTATCGAGCTCAAGCCCTGGCAGTCCCTTATAAACACGTCCAGCTCTTGACTGTAGTAAATTGCGAGCGGCGAGAACAACGCGACGTCTAATGGCTGTAAACGGTGCGTAGAATGAGGTGGATACACTGCTACTAGTATCCGGTTGTCACTGCAGTATTGTAAGAAGGCCATATTGATATGAGAACCGTGTCCGTCGACGAAGAGCAGCCGCCAAGCCCTTCCAGCCTTCGCCTTCGTATATCGGTCAAATACCTGAGTGAGCCACGCCAGTCCGAGTTGATTATCCGTCCAGCCATTGGGCGAAGACGCGAAGAAAGCCTCTTCGTGTCCGAAGTCCTGTACCCACGACTCTTGAATATTACCTGTTGAGGCCTTATAAATTAGAGCAGGTGGAATCCAGCCGCCGTCAGCGCAGATACAGGCTACAGTCGTTACCCACTCGCGGCTACCGTCCTGTACATTGCCTACGAGCTTCTTCTGCTGTACGGCCGCTTTCGTGAAGACTCTCTTCGCCTTCGAGAGGAAGCCAATAAGGAAGCCCTTCTCATCCATATTATAGATGTTCGCAGGCTGTACGCTGTATTGTTCAATTTTCTGTTCAATAAGGTCGAAGTACGCCTTGTATTCATCATAGTTATCCGCCTTCTGCCTCGCTACATCAAATGGCCTCAAATACCGTGATTCAAGGTCATTCTTCCACCTGCTTAGGAAGCGTCCCATCCAGCTCTTTCCAGGGTAGCGGCCACTGATATCGTGCACAAAGGTATGGACCATGGCCGGAGTAGGTGGCAAACCACGTGCAGTGAGGTTTTGGATGTATTTGACGAGCTCACCCTCCTGCGCCTTTGTCAATATTTGCTGGTTCTCATGTTTATAGCTTCGAGAATTTGTCACGCCATTGAATCGCTTGCTGAGAGTCGATCGGTCCACGGAGAACAGCCTGGCTGCCTCTGAGATATTCGGCTGGTCTTGTTCTTTCAAATAAGCCACTGCTCGTTCAATTTGGTCCCTCATTGATGAAGTTATACGCGTTCAAAGCTGATGCTTCATTTGGAGTCCATTCAAAGCGGACTGTGCATCACGTGCGGCTGTGCACCACGCGGGGATGACCCTTATGCAGGGCTACCAATTCCAGGCGTTGCGTGAGATAATCGTCCCCGCATCAGACTTGATTGAGCCCTGCTCATCTGAAAGCTAGTGCGGCGCGAGGGATAGATGCTTGGAGAAAATTGCCCTTCGGAGATCGCATGCGTAGTGAAACAGCATGGAGCAACCGCCTCTGCTTACAGAACGTCCAAGTGGGCGGCTTTGTGAGCATTCTCGATGACGAGCTGGCGTGCCTTGACCCTGAACCAACATGGAATCTGGGAAGTTTAAACCTCGTACACAACAAGCGTTCAAACATCAAGATGCCCTGGCTGGATGAATGGAAAGACGTGTAGGAACCCCGTCACACCCTCTGGACGAGCCGCATCCTGGAATTGGAGCATGGATTCTCAATGCTGGACGGCGGACGCGACATGCTTGTCTGAGCCCAATGCTCGGCTCGAGCGGTAGAAGATTATCTATTTGTCATTGTCCGCCCAATTTGCAGACTCACCTAATGAGTGGCATCTCGAGGGAATTAAGCCTTTAATTCATTTATGCAACATCACCAAGCTTCGTCGACCGGCCAACACATGTCTTGAGAGAAGTCCAGAGCGACGCACTTAACGCAAAGCAATGTGCTCCTTTGTCCAATACACCTTCCGACTCTGTGGACATTACTGCCACGTTGAAGAGCCTTGCCCTGAAGCAGAGTCCAGGAACCCGCCAGCTCGCTGTCCTGGAGGTCTTGAGCCAAAAGTGTATTGCATCGACGAGGTTTGTATCTCATGGCAGAATTTTCATCACATTTTGACGCAGATAGCACCGCAGACTGCAGGGCCATGCCCAGACCCCTCTAAGCACCCGGAGATTTCTCCTTCGAGCACGTCTTTAATGTGGGCTGCCCGACTTGGAAAGACAACGATGCAAGGCGAGGGAAACGCATGGTCGAGGAGTCAACAACAGTGACAGAAGGTCAAGCTGCTGGCAGGAGACGACGACAATGAGCTCCGCTTCGATTTCGACCATATCGAAAGTCGTTCCCCGCGCTGTTCTTGGGAATTCCACCACCACCAAAATGCTTCACAGACATCATAACCCGTACACCAGACACAGTTGTCTGCGAACTGATCCGGTGCTCCCTTGGTCCGCAGCCCGTACTTCACATAAGCGCAAGGTCTTCGCTGATAGGAGGGATTCTACACAATTTGTATCACATCATCTCGCTGAATTTCACACAAACATATATGTCACAAATTTCATGTACCTGTTGTCACACGAGCGATCTTCGTTCTCGGTGTATACCATGACGATTCAAACAGTGCGAGAAGCAATGGATATAGTATCACATTATTGCTCAAGCCCCAACTACAAGTGTTATTGCCTCGCTGAGCTCTCAGGTGAATCATGCTGAGGCATGTTTCTAAGGAACAAGGCTTGTAAGCGGACGATCCTATGCGTAAGAGACCTGGAGAACTTACCGTAGACACGTTGAATTCACCCTCTGACACTGTAAGCATCCACCAACTCCGGGCTCGCACCTTACTTTCTTCTCGCGACAGCGATCGCAGGCTGTTGCGAGACGCTTGCGTGGAATGTTGGCTTTCGTCAAACCCCACCATTCATTCACGCGCTCTCCATTAACCTCGTATGGTAGGCATAGTCCGCCTTCGTAAATATGGAACTTCTGCCCGTTGATCATCTCCACTCCGATGTATCCCCTGTTCTTATAGCCCGCTGCGGCAGGTAGAAGTCCAGGAACATACTGAAGGATTGTTGGATTGCCAAGACTATCATCCGCTCGGTTTGCGAGAGATTCATGTGTGAGAGGCAGATGAGGACTTCTGCTCACAGGGTCGAATGATTGACGGTCCCGTTCATACTCTTGCTTGATACGATCGTCATGCTCCTCCGGACCGTGAGAGGCTGCAGCGTATCGAGCACAGTCTCTACCATATCTTGCGCTCATATCCGCCTCCTCACCGGTGGATTGAATTGATTCATAGCCAGGCCGTACCGCAAGACCTTCTTGGCCTCTTCGACCGGGCGATGTGACGGTCCAGCCGGCCAATGAGGAGTCTCTTCGAGGCATAGCAGAGTGTTCGGGCAATCCCATGACTTTAGGGAGCCCGTGTCCCGTCAACTGGGTCGGAAATGACTGTTGTGGGCGAGCGTGACGATCCACATTCGTATTGCCTAAGCTATCGGGGTGGGCAAACGCTCCGTTCAAGTCCCGCGGGCGATGATAGGCCACATGCCCTTCAGCGGTCGCTGTACGCTGCCCAGCTTGGTCTTCAGTTCGCGTCGTAGGACGAGCCTCGAAGGCGGTGGTCGTCCTTGCGTCGTACCATTCTGCAATCGGTGGCAAACTTAGAGCTTGCGAACCAAGACGATCCTCTGGCTGCATTGGTGAGTTTCTCTTTGATAGTGGAGCGTTTTGGCCCGCGGCAACAGGCGGGCGAACAAGTGGTGCTCCTGTACAATCGAGTCCGTGTGGAGAGCTAATGGTCACGCCGTTTTGTCTTGTAAATATTATATCAAGATCATGTTAGGTTAGAACAAAAGTGGTAATTTGGTTCGGGTCAACGCGAAAAATTGGCAGGGAGCAAGGTCGAGGGCCGTCATGAAACACTTCTCAGCTTTTCATGGTCAGGGTCACTGAAGAGATGCCCGAGTTGGCTTCTGAATACCAGAGAGGTGTGGCGGCTGCGCCCATGTGCAGCATCAAATGATGAGCTCGGGACCGACATCTGCCGTTGAAATGTGAGGGAATCTTTAGAACTATTGCTGCACCCCAAATTCCCCTGCTGACAGGGATCTCGTTTTCAACAGAACAAGGATTGCCACGAGTGTACACCCATTGCGCCGCCGCACGATTGATCATCGAAAGAACAGAAACTAGATTAACCAGATCGAGTCATGTGGTGAATGGCACAAGCAGTGGACAAAGCGGACGAGGCACTCCGATTAGTCGCCAGCTTTGTGAGTATTCCCGTACTGTACAGTACAGGAGAGCCGTGCGGCGTTGGCGTCGCAACACGGTGCATGAGCTGAACTTTGCCGCAAGGCTCAGCCTGGGCTTCGTCGAGGATTACTTTCTTTGTCGCAGAAGATCGACCATGGTATCAATAATGTTGATTGCAAATTCCCGAGCAGTTGCCATTGCTGGGCTCAAGATCTAAGTGCCCAGGTGAATAAGCGTAATGACGACCAGGGCATGATCGCCGAACGAACAAAGACGGCTGGAAAAGCAATGTCCTAAACGACTGTACGGTAGTGGCTAAAGGACAGTGCAACGTGGCGACAACACCGTCGATGCATGGTCGGTAATGATCACTTGCAGTAATCGAAAGAGTGTGTGTCCATGACCCCTGTAACGATGGCCCAAGTCACTTGGGGATTGCAACCACTGCAATATGATTCGTTCAAGTGCCGGTGGAACCTGATAAGTATCTCTGTTAGGTCGGAGAGAGTTGTCTCACTTGTGTTGCCGCTACTGACTAGTGGGCACTGCGTATCGCCTGACGGGCTCCAACCCATGGTGCCGAGCGAATTCCCTCAAAGGCCGCTACGTTTCGCCCGTCAACGGGTTGCATGACATCGACGCCTCAGACGAGAATACGACACATTTCCCTTAGCAGGTCTGCGCGACGAGGCGACGAAAGCCCATACGGGAATTGGATCTCGAGGGTGCCGTGATTACCCAGCTGACGCCGAGGGTTCACATAGCGCCGCAAGTCTTTCGTGGGAAGCTCGGAAAATAATGTTCAACATGTGCAGTGTGCAGATGCGCTAATCGATGCCAAGTCTAACAACCAGCCTGCAAACTTATTTATGCCCTTGTAGCCGTAGGCCCCATGGCTTTTATTACTCCAGCGGCCCAGGCTCGCTCTCCTGTATCTCGGACAAACAGTCACACGCAAATAGGCCATGATGATGTGACCACTACAGCTGTAGGCGCATGATGGCGTTCTGGACGACAGCGGGGAAACCTCGCTCCCGTCCCAGTCCATGCACGCTCTACATGGTGTGCAGTAGTCTCTCGCGGCACAACCGAAGTCGAAAATGCGCATGTGTTTGTAGCTGCCAGCACGGGGATTCGCTTTCAACGCATCTTGATCATGTCGAGTTTGAGTCCCGTTGGGACAAGGTCTGCTTCAGAGGTGACATGAAATGCATAGATATTTCAAGAAAGGATTTTTCTTCGACATGTCCATAGAACACCAATTCCATATCGTCGAGGCCGAACGACCGTGATGGTGGCTTGTTATTTGAAATGCACGGCGCCGCAAACAAACCCGGCCGCCTCCCTTCCTCTTTGCATCGCCGACGGCCGATCTGCATAAACAGATGAGTCTATCATTTGTGAATGTGTGGCACTTTTTGAGATGTACTTGCGCCATGTCACGACCAACAACAAACAACGCTGCTCGGCATCATCACGCCTATCGGACGCTTATTGTGAAGCTCATCACCACGTGAAGGTCGGGGTCTCTGCCGGGCTAGAACTGGAAAATGGGTCGAGCAGTCGCTACTGTCGGCTTTGCGCTTCCACCGCGGCTGATGCTGGACCATTTGCGCCAAGAAATCTGTTTACAACGGCGCAATCCGAATGAAGGAAGTCTACCCATTTTAGCTCCAATGTCCCGAGGCAGTCGAGGTTCCATCTCCGAGATGAACACTGGGACAGTTCAAAATGCGGAGATTGCTCCGTAGTATGGCGCAATTTATGTGCTTCAACCGTGGAGTCCATTTTGTACCATGTTTAAAACTTGTTAGACCTGATGTGTGCTACGCAGGAAATATGTATACATGTCCAGGTGCTCAGGAGCGCTTGGCGATGGCAATTGCCACCGACTCGGAGCATGCTCGGGTTTACACCTCGCCAGCGCTGTCTCTACGGCGGCTACACGCTAGGAAGGCACAACACCACTCGTCAGACACGTTGTGGCCATAAGCTTTTCACCCCTTGAGGATGACTGTCCATTGACGCTACCTGCTATTCGTGGTTATTGCGCTCTGGAGAAACGATGCTGCCGATCATCGATTTTCATGCCTGGCCAGTGATAGAGGGAGAGACGAAAGGGTGTGGTGCTGCTGCATGTGCCTCATTATGTTCATTTCGCAAGGAGCAGACCGTGCGTCTGAGACACTTTGCCATGCATGTCGCACGCGGTGCATACTATCCCCTCAATACTTCCAGCATGTAGTTCCTCTTTGCCATCTTGGGCGCGCGGTGGCTCCGAGGCATTCGTCAGCCGCGTGTCCACCACGATGGCCTACAGTAGCACCGTGCTGCCGTAGAATCAGAGTCACCTTGAGGAGCGAGACGACGATCGTTCTTCATCATTGCGATGTCCACGCCGATCTGTAGGGTTTCCCGTGAGATTTGGCATTGTCCCCTCACAGCGACATGGACCTTGTGGATAAGATGGTGGGACTTAGGCTTTCGCCGATCAGGCAGGCTGACAGCTCTTGTTATCGTTTCCGGTACAGTCCAAAACAATAGTATGCCCAGGTGAGATGGTACCGTAGTGTGTCAGCTTCATCACAGTAAAGCGTGACATCACGTGTGGCATAACCACACACCTGCACAGTGAGGACTTGTACAGTATACCTAGGTAGTTCCCACCTGCAACGTTCACAATTCGTTAGCTCTCGCGACGCCTATCTCTTTTCCCAGCTCATCAAACTCCAGCAATTTGTTACACAGCAAGCAATCATCCGGATAGAGAGACAGTGCACCCACGATCACAGAGGTCGTCGCTAGCTTTGTCAAGACGAAACACTGATACCAACGGGACACATACTAGGGAAGTTGCAACGCTCGGAAGTAGACTTGAGGAGCATTGTGGGACATACAAAATGCCGACAGTTGGCGGATGTGCAACCAACAAGAAGCGGAGGCGGGCAAGAACGTTGGAAGCCCCCACTCCATTTCATGCACCTGAGCACCTCGAGGAATTTCCAACCGAGTGCTGATTGGCTCCGACGTTATCGAAGTGCCTTGGCACATCAGCAGTGTGCAGGTGTGCCCGTGGAGGATCTACATGCGCTCTCCAAAGCCACCACAACGTGTGCCGTTCTGGAAAAGAAATGTCGAGGCGAAGAACATGTATTCCACCGGAGCTCCAAACGGCATGAATCGGCGGTACAGACTTCAGAGACGCTGTGATAGAAAGCAAGCGATTATATGGTTGACATGTGAACTGATCGAAGGGTCCCGAGGTCCTCGTGATGGGTGCTGATCTCAAGCTAAAATTTGCAAGCCGTTGACGCCAGTGTCCCAAATCCCACTTCGCCCACACCTCTTGCGATTTATCCAGTAGCCACAGCGCGAAATTCGGAACATGGTTACTAGGTGCTTCCGATAAATATGCGTGTCGGGGCCGGTACGGCGCCAATGTCGAGCACGTACGTCAAGGTCGTTGTGCGAAATCCTCATCTCGCGCGACAGAAATATGATTCGCCTGCTGGCAAGTTCTGAGCACGAGATACTGATCGCATACACATCATTCGGAGTATTACAACGTGGCCAGACTTGTCCTTCTGGGAGGCGAGAGGCGAGGAAATTCAGTGCTCAGCAAAACTGCCCGCCAATGCGTATGTAATCGTGGCTACCTCAACCCAGGATAAATTGGGCATGACACCAAACTTCAGTCGTCCTGTCCCGAACTCGCGTTCCCACTCGCAGGCGTCTGAGGAGAATCACTCTCCGACTTGCGAGAGAGCAGATCAAGGCCTTGCTGCCTCGGAACCAGCGACGGGCGTAAGAGAGCGTCGTGCGAGACCTCCACCACCAGTCTTTAAAAACCCTTGGTTGTCATTGGAGACTGGAGGAGTCACAGCTGAGATCGATGCCGTTCTCCACAGCTTCCCGGTGCCACCATCACCGCGACTCGACAGTGGATCATTCATACTCGGCAGCTTCGACGGTAGAGCGGTCGACCCAACATCTTCCAGACAGCAATCGGCGCAGACCACAAGCGAGCACCAAGGGTCACCAACATGGAGCCCGATATACTCAGCCCGAACTTCGACTTCGAGCAATCACGAGGACTCCTTTTGTCGCCGCCAGTCTGGCGAGAGGCTGAATTTCTCGCGGCCGTCGCTCCGGTCTTCGACCTTGAGTCACAGCGGCTCGCATCCAGCGCAGCAAGCTAGAATGATGTCTGCGGACCATGTAGCGAGCGACGTGAAGGAATCACAACCTCGGTCGAGCTGTTGAGACTTGGGTCGTTTTCTGAAGGTTATATGTTGATGGATTACGAGCGTTGCAAGCCTTGATAGGCTGATGCAAATCAGAATGTCGACACTCCACGCGGATTCCAATCTACAGATCGCAAACATGCTTTTGCACTGGACAACTTTGTTGACGAAGAGCGATTTTGTGGATCCTGGGCCCAGCCTGTCGCAAACGTCACCGCAGAACTGAGTGCTTAAGCAGAAGTCATTCTCAGTCAATTTCTTGAAAGTACCGCTGCTCGAGGAGAGTTCTCTTCTGATTATCACGTCCGCACATACTTACACGGGCGTGCCAGGCATCAAGTCGGGGCATCACTCGATAGCTCACGCAGGGGTCGAATGATTGCGGCGCAGAGATACCCCTTAAGAGGCGATGATTAGGCGCCGTGTGGAGTACCCTCCTGTGATGCATTCCAATTCAAACAATGCGGTCCAAATCTTCCAATCAATTACACAGTTCGGAGCTGCCATCGATCGCTCGGCCGCCCGCACATGGTACTGCTGGCGAATCGACATCAATTCTCAGCTTTGGTACAGAAGAGATCAGAGAGAGCCATGCTCGCGACAAATTATACGGGGACAACAAACAATTTCATAGGAACGAAAGCGCAAGAACACGATGGTAATGGACTGGAATTTCTCCTGTCGGGAGTCCCTAAAGGGAGATGCTCCCTGTACTTGTCATTTCGAACTCGCTGGGAGCGGCAGAGCGGTACTACTCACTGATGAGAGGAGACTCCCGCGCGCGCTGGTAATTGCGAACATCATTGTAATGGCCTGTAACAGGAGCAGAGTTGAGCCCTGCAACAGCAGCGACAGAGTCAGCCTTCGAGTAGGAACTACAGCAACTATCGACGCTGGAACCCTGGTGGATAAGCACCGATTCTAGATAAAAGGAATAAACGAGCCGATGAATTGGCCGAATCTAGGAAAATGGAGGGCTCGACATCCTATTGGAACGAATGGAAGTGGAAGAGATCGTCAAACTTATCCGTATCCCATGTACGAAGCCACCTCCTAAGCATAGTGCTATCATCCAACTATTAGACTTCATTGTTGGTACTCTCTACATCAACTAGATTGATAAGATCAAAAATATGCTAGGTCGGCGTCTTGTAAATAAGCTACGAAACCGCGTTTACGTAAGTACGAGTCCTTCAATCCGAAGTGCTTAAGTACTTCCACGATCGAAACATTCCAAACAACATTCCAGGCGTCAAATCGCGTGCCGATGGGATCCTTCTTGATACCATCCACTCACAAGCATCGGAGGCGTTTATCGGCTTCGGAGGTTGGAAAGCCAAACTTGAAGAGACCGCCCGCAACATCGATGTTTTTAGTCTGACCAAGACCGCGGCTGCTCCTTCGTAGCTGGCACAGTTTGTCAATTACGCGGGTGATCATGGTGAGATTGTCGATCGGCGGGATGTTCACAGATGCAGAGCTCCCTTCCCTAATCGCAACTCTTACGAAGAGACGAATCGCGGCCACGCGGATGAATGGGTACCAGCAGCTTGAGAGCGTATCGAGAGATTGTTGCAGCCGAAGACCTAGGTAGCCGCGCCCATCGCTGCGACACTCGGTTGCTCTTCGCTAAGTGGGTCATTCAAACGTGGTAGATCGCGGCCTTGAGACCATTCGCTGTGAGACAAATACAAGCATGTTTCGCCTCGGAGAATCATCGCCAGTCCAAAGATCCTCGCTTGTCCTTCTACAGCATTGAGTTCGAACACACGGCAATTCTCCAGTTCAACGATCGCGGCTGCAAACAAGGCGGACAGATGTAGGTTTTTGGGATGCGAAGGGAAACAGCAGGAGCAGAGTGTTTGATCAATGCTGAAACATTGTGCTTACCTGCGAGAACCATGTGCAAGAGTCGAGCGGTAACGACTTCTTCGTGGGTGCGGAATCTGTTTGGAGGAGGACGGTGCCACACTGGGCCGTGATATTTTCTATTGCTGTGGGTGTGTGACAATTCCAAAAAAGATTGTGATGATGGCGATAGCGCTGGGCATAGATGACCGCCCCAAGCATATTCGACTACATCCCCGACGGACAGGCCTCGACCGCTTCATGGCAACCTTGAGAGCTTTGTCGCGTAGCCATGACGGAATGTGGCGCTTTCCACTTCCACGTGTGAGCCCGCCGGAATTGGGCGGATGTATCAATTTAATTTAGCAATTCCGCCTGCCATCGAACGGATGATGTACTGGAAAAGTCTGAAGCACTCAACAAGAGAGAGACCATGACTGAATGAACAATCCTCAAGTACAGTCAGTCTTCATCAAGAGAATCAGATCAATGCGCGAGGCTGGTCTGGCCTGTCGTCGAGAGAATCTTCTTCGCATACAGAGCAACGGCAGCCAATGAATGTGGGCGGCGGCGGCGGGCAACTGAAACTCATCGCAGCCCTAAATCGATCGTGCACAATTATCTCGATTCTCCCCAAGTGCCGTAGTACAGTGGTACCTGGGCGATACAGCAGCAGCACTTTCGTCGATCGCTGTCTGACGGGCACGCGCGATCGTCTCCATGTGCTTACAAAACACTGTCTCGTCGTCTCTGTTCCGAGATCATCAGATCTCTCCCGCCACTAACGCCTCGAAGCGTCTGCTGAGCGCAGACTCCGACGCTGTTCATGTGGGACACAACCAAACCTTTGACATTCAAGATTTCGGCTGGCGGATTGAGTGTTGAACGACGTCCTGCACCAGGCGAAGTGCCGCCGACCAAAATGCACTCCCCCGGGACCGTCAAACAAGGCCGTGTGGGCGATGACGACGGCGAAGACTACTTCTCTGCCAAAGGAAGCGATGATGGGTTTTCACCGACCGGACGGCGGCGAGCGTCTCTCTCTATTCAAATCCCACCGCCACGGCCAAACGCCGATCTTGCGCTGGTCGCATTGCAGTATTTACCCATGCCGATTCTGGTTCTGTCTAGTCGGAAGACAGTGGTCCTGGCGAATGAAGCGATGGGACGCTTGTTGGGAATAGAACCCGAGTCTATCGAGGTAGGAGAGGAGTCTGGGGAAACCAGTGAAGGAGAGGAAGGACAAAATCAGACACATCGATCCAGTGCGAGAAGCGCTACAGACGTCTTGTACGGAACGTCACTGGCGCAACTAGGCATGGACTTGCTGCAGAATGGCGCTGCTGTGTTTATAGCGTGGGAAGAGTTCCTTGACACCATTGTCCTCGATGGCGCCAACAGGGCAGCTGCTCGTGGCCTGGCAAAGCTGGCAAGCGAGCGTCAGAGAGGAGATGACGGAGACGTGACACCCACGGGCGGGCATCTGGAAAGATCATCGTCGGAGTCATCCAGCGCCACCCTGATCCGGTCGACACCGAATCAGACGGAAATTCACGACGCCGTGGTTGACGTTCTCTTCTCTTCCGATAGAGATCCGCGAACAGGTTTGCCTACCACCGCGCGTGCAGGGCTTTCCGACCATGTCCTCTCTAAGATGATCGTGTCTGTTTGGAACACGGAAGAGGACCAATACTTCACTCTCACATTCACAGCCGCTAGCTCGGATTATGGCACTTCTCAGTCATCGTCTAGCTCAGAGGGGCCGAAGACGACTAGCCGCACAGTCTCCAGATCCGCTACTAGTTGTTCCCCAAGCGTTCCCTCCGGCCTCAGTTCCGGGTCCAGCAGCAGCTCATATTCTGCGGCCAAAAAGCCAGCCGTACAAAGTCCGCCTCCTACGACCGCTCGGTTCGCTAGTCCGCTATCAACGTCGGTTGCTGAATTCCCACCACGTGGCCCGCCAGCCAAAACGACATCGGCGAGTGCACCATCCCTTTTCTCCAAGAGCAGCAAGCTCAAAGAAGCCTTGCTCGACAGCATGAATCTCCCTGCATATGCGCTTTGGAAAGATGAGAGCTTTGGCCTACCCAACAAAGCCGCGATCAAACTGATATACCCTTGGATTGAGGATGGCAATTACGACACGAGTGAGCAAGCCCGAGATTTCTTGTCACACTTTGTGCTCTACAAGGATGACTTCAGTGAAGAGATCCCTTTGGAGGAGTTTCCCATCATGAGGCTCATGCGAGAGCAGCAATCATTCGAAGGATACCGGATCGGTATGTATAGTGTGAAGGATGGCAGTCAAATGCTCTTTGACGCCAGTGGCGAAACTCTCCGAGATCAAAAGGGAGAATTTATTGGCGGTCTGGTTCTCTTTCACGACGTCACCGATTACGCGCGAACCATCACTCGTCAACAGCAGCAGAACGAACGTCAATTTGAGCACATTTGCAATATGATCCCGCAAATGATCTGGCGGACCACTCCCGAAGGATTGCACGACTATTATTCAGACCGATGGTATGAATATACCGGTCTGTCCGTAGAAGAAAGTGAGGGGGAAGGTTGGTTGAATGCATTCGACAAAGACGATTTGAGTGTTGCGGAAGAGAAATGGAAGCACAGTCTTGCCACTGGCGATGAGTATTTGACGGAATATCGTTGTAAGAATACTGCCGGCGATTGGAGGTGGATGCTGGGCCGCGCCGTTCCAATGCGTGACGAGAACGGCAAGATCATGAAGTGGTTCGGCACGTGCACAGATATCCATGAGTTGGTTCTTGCGCGAGAGGAGGCACGGCAGACCCGGGAACAGCTGAAACAAGTTATAGAGCACGCCAACGTGACACTTTGGGCCGTCGACGTCAACAATGTCCTTACACTTTCCGAGGGCCGACCCATGGCCGCATTCAGGGATGCTCCACGCGACTCCGACGCGAATGAAAAGTATATCGGAAAGGACATCTGGGACGTCTTCCGCGAGCAAGGTCGAGTGAACGAGATCCCCTCGTATGCAACACCAATGCGCGAGATCCTCGCAGGGCGTCTGCAGGGCGAGACTGTAGAGACCAAGATCGCTAGCGTACAGCGGTACTTCCGCACTGGGCTCTTTCCTCTACTTCGTCAGGACCGCAAGGGCGGCCTCGAAGGCCAGTCATACATCGACGGCGTTGTTGGCATCAGCATTGATGTCACGGAACTGCGCCAGGCAGGCGAGGAAGTGGCCCTCCGCGACCGGGAGAACAGTCGTCTCATGGCGCAGAGCGTCGCAGCGAAAGAGGCCAGCAAGATGAAAAGCCAATTTCTGGCAAACATGTCACACGAGATCCGAACACCAATCGCCGGTGTCATTGGCATGTCGGAATTGCTCCTTGATGATGAATCTGGCGAGCTTACCCAGGAACAGCGGGAATGTGCTGAAAACATTCAGCGCAGCGCTAATGGCCTCCTGACGGTCATCAATGATATTCTAGACATTTCCAAAGGTATGTATTGCTCAGCTCTACTCGCAGTCTACTTAGCACGTGTCACGGCTAACGAATCATTTACAGTTGAATCTGGAAGGCTAGAAATAGAGCTTGTTCAGTTCGATCTCTCCGTGGTGATTCGCGATGTCAACAAAATGTTGAGCTTCGCGGCGGAGCGTAAGGGCCTCAAGTATATTGACAATATTGAACAACTGCAGTCATGGAAAGTCATGGGTGATCCAGGCCGTCTGCGCCAGGTTCTGACGAATCTCCTGACCAACTCAATCAAATTCACAACCGAAGGCAGTGTCACCATGTCAATGAAACTGCAGAAGAACTCTGAAGATTATGTCGAATTGCTCTTTTGTGTCGAAGATACCGGTATTGGCATCGAGCCGGAGGCGCGAGGGAAATTATTCCAGCCATTCTCGCAAGCAGACAGTTCTACAGCTCGGCGATTCGGTGGAACAGGTCTCGGGCTCACTATCAGCAAAAACCTGGTGGAGCTGATGCATGGCGAAATTTCACTCGAGTCCGAAGTGGGAGTGGGAACCAAGGCTTCGTTCTGGATCCCTCTTCAAAAGGCACCCTATCAGAATGCAGATACCCCCATGGTCTCCTTGGACACAATACCGGAGCGTCTCCAGTCGGATTTATCCTGTTCACATCCAGGCTCGGAACACAGCGGTCCAACAGCTGTACCCACTGTGAAGGTGCTGGGTAGTACCTCTCCCCCAGCCGCTCCAACTTCGGAGAATCTGCAAGAAAGCACACCAGCCGACGAAGATTTGACAGATGCCGAGAGGAAAAAGGTACAGGTGTTGGTGGTGGAAGATAATGCCATCAATCAGCAAATTGCTCTGAAGACCATTCGGAAGCTTGGCTTTCCCGTCCGCGCGGTGTGGAACGGCAAAGAGGCATTAGACTATCTGCGCTCGCCATCAGATGATCAGCCGCCGCCCGATGTGATCCTGATGGATTGTCAAATGCCAGTCCTTGACGGATACAAGGCCACATACACTATCCGCAATGCGCAGCCCTTTGCCAGCAATTGCGATCTTCAGGGCACACCCATCGTGGCCATGACTGCGTCTGCCATTCAGGGCGACCGTGAGAAATGCCAACAATCGGGCATGGACGACTACCTCGCTAAGCCTGTGAAAAAGATCCACCTCGAGAAAATGCTGGTCAAGTGGGCCATCGAAGGACGCAAAATCCGCACCGAACTCCGCAAGAATCCCTCCATGTTGCTCAAAGCCAGCAGGCACCCAGGTTACTCTCGCGCCCAGCACTCGTTCAACTCGGACGCCTCCTCCACGATGCAATCGACCGAGGAGCATCTCTCCTCGGAAGTCGACCGCCTGGAATTCGTCCACTCCGAATCTGTCAAGCAATCGGTCGAGAGCGCCGCCGAGCGGATCGAACGCCAACAAAAGGCCGAAGAGCAAGCCATTGCGCTCCGCGATCACGAACTCATCGAGGCCGGCGAGGATCCCAAGACCAAACTCGGCCGCGTTGTCGATGAGTCCCTCGTGGAGGCCTCCCAGCCCGCCCGCGATGCCCTCACGACCGAGAATGTCCGGATGCATGCCCGTTCCGCCCCGATGGCGAGGTTGCTCCGCGAGGCGGATCTCGAAGAAGATCATAGCAGTGCTATGGCCACCCAGGCTGATACCGGTAGCAATTTCTTGCCGACATCGCATGCTTCAGGATCCTCGAACCAACGCGTGGGAGGATGAACACCGTGAGATGGTAGTGTCATGGCCATTGTTTTGTAGTCCTTGACACCCCACGACGTCGACAGCACAGTCCCGGTTTTACGGTGATGCTCTCCGTCGTCTCACCCTCGCAATTCCGAAGGCAGTGCCGCAGAACTTATTCGTCACGTTTGCGTCCAGCGCCGACCTTCTGGTCGCCAGCACGGGCAGCCCACCGCTCTGGGACTCTTGATGACAGCTTGGTCAAGATACTAGAGCGTGGTTCGAGGCCAAAATTTTATCTTGTGTCTATTCCACTAACAGCAACCGCGCAGTGCCCTGTCACTTTCAAGCGACGAGGCTGCACGAAGGCTCTGCAGAGGAGTCGCAATCCACGAGGAGGGCTTGCAACGCGAACCAAGCCCTCTATCTACCTCCTTCTTCCCGGTACCGATCGGGCATTCGACATTTGTCATCAGCAAAACCTAGAGGAAGGCGAAGAAGAGGTGACGAGAGCAGATGCCGTGAGAAGAAATATTTCGTGCCGATCTATGCGCTCTGTCCTGAAAGTTGCGTCGCAATGTTCAGAGTACGATGCTTTTCCGAATCCATCTCGACCAAGAACTTTTGTACGAGTACACACACGACCACACACGCGCGCGCTCATCAAGATCAGCGTGCACATACCGTGCGCCGCGAACATTTGCAAGCATTTTTATATGCCTTTCTCCTCTTTTTTTCGGGGGATGTTATTCTCCAACTCATAGATCGAGATCGCAATACCTCTCGAGGCCTGCTGCTCATCAGAAATCACGACACAGGCAGTGCTTCTCTCTCATAAACTTACGTCCTTAATGATCCTGAAACGATTAGATGAAAACTGGATTTTTTTTGACGAGCGACGAAGTATGCATTGCAAGGCGTTTTGGGGTTTTTCTATTTGCGGATGGAGAAGCGAGATCGGTCTACAAGAACTTCTTGTGTTTTTGAAGGGGAAATATGTGTATGCAATTGGCTAAAAGTGGAGTGGGTATAGAATATATATGCACACAATTCATCAATCGTTATCGTCGCGGCCTTCAAGCACAAACTTATGTATCACGACCTCACTCTTTCCCTCGTTTCTCGTCGTCCTGACATACTGCCTGTGACGAAGGGTACGAAGGTGTCCCACATGACCCTTGGAAATCCCTTCACGCCGCCGCGTCCCTTTCCGCTCCAATATGTTCATGCTCACCGTCATCAATCTTCTCCCACGTCAGACTCGCCATGACATCGCTATTGCTGCGATAAAGGGCATCATCCTCGTCATCAATCCTCCCGGGCCGACTCGTCTTCACTCCGGAGGCGCTCGCGTTCCCAGCCGGCGTTACACCCATCATCCAACCGATCCAGGCCGGCGGGACGAACTTCCCGATGATCTCATATGTGAAGCTTCCGCGGCCGACGTAGTAGACTCTCCGGGGAGCCGGTGCGACGAGCGCGTCGAAGAGAGAATTGTGCAGCGTGCGAAGAGGAGTAGGTTTGAAGCGCGGAGGAGGCTGGGAGGTGCCGTCGCGACGTTGTCGAGCGGTCACGGAGGGAATGTCGATATCGCCAAGTTTAAAGTGTGAGATTGAGCTTGTTAAGGGCAATTCGGTGGAGAGCGAGGCGAGGAAGCCGGTGAGAGCGCTGAAGAGGGTGCTTTGGATGCTGTGGGTTGGTAGGCGAAGAGCAGGTGTGACAGAAGGTGTGAGGAGGAGGATGTTAGCGTGGTGAAGCTGGATGGAGGGGAGGAGGTGAGTTGTGATGCTGATGGTGGGGAGGAGTTTTGCGTGGAGCGCATCGCTCCATTCCTCCGGAGTGATGTCCTCGATACGTGCGGCAGGATACTGTGTGTCCGGTACGAGAATGAGACCAGCGAAATGGAGACGATGAGGCCCAGCGCCGTCGTAAGCAAAGTGGTCCCGTGCAAGCAAATTCTGAAACTGAATCGTCTGGTTCTGCGCGGTGAAGGGGTCATTAAGGTCAAGTGATAATGGTATCAGGTCGGCGCGGGACTGGGAGCGGATATAGCGCTCATCGTCGGAGCTGTGAGCCACGACGTAGACGATAAAACCTCGCCTCTCGAGCTCAAGGTATACAGCACTCGTCAAAGGATTGGCTACAGCTCCTGCAATGACAACGACATCTGTACGAGCACCGCTCTGTGACTTTCTTGCCCGCCTCTTCCTCTTCTTTCCAAAGACCCCACGAGTCTGGGAGTAGACTACAATGCTGACAGATCCGGTGACCAAGAAGGCGACGATGGCAGCGCTGAGTGCCCGATTCTTCGACATCCATCTTTGTATTAGTTGAATAGATGTGGGCGGAGGCGGTGGCGGCTGGATGAATTGTGGCGGGTGAATTTTTGAGATTCCATCACGGACGGTTCCAGCGACGCTGTCAAATTGTTTCTCGATGCCAGCAGCGAGTTGATCGAATTGTGCTCGGGCCTAACATGGGAAATGTAATGAAACATGTTTAGTGGTTATATCCTTCTCTCCCACTAGGCTCATCGGGCACAACTCACGTAATCGAACATTCGCTGTGCGTCTGTCATCTCTTCAGCGGTGCCGATCGGCGGACCGGACTAATCCCCTGTTGATTCTGATGAGAGGATCGGGTTGGTCAATGTATGTCGAGATTAAACAGTTCGTGGATGAGTAGTGATCATGACTAGCGAGCTGCTGGTTCATCATGGCGCGCCTGTAATACCAGGGCGCAAGACCCGCAATGACGTGGTGGGACGCTAGTGAGTGGTTCGCATGCGCGTTCTGCACCACCGTCGCGTCGCTTGTGAAATCTCCATCTGCTTGGCCCTCGTGACAAAGTGTTCAGGCACCTTTCCTACAACCGTTTCTTGATGTACATTGTGATTGTGACAAGAATGAGCAACGATATTCCCATCACGTACGCGTGACAATGCCGCTCAGAGCGCAGACGCGGAACGGAGATGATCACTGAGAAACGATTGGATTTTCGGCTTTTGGAGTCATGTCATATCTGAGCATGATAGTTCAACAGACTGGTCGAAAGGTCAAGAAAAGAAACGAGAGTAGAGAAAAGAAAAGACCCGGTCCATCCTAGGATCGCGGGTTAGTGGGTATCATCCTAAACAAAACCCCCATCCCTGAGGAAACTCCGAGCTGGCACTGGCCGAGCAGATGAGACGTGACAAAGGAAATAGCATGCTTGGTGGTCTTGGGTCGTGTCGCTTTCTGTGCACTTGCACCTCGCAATCAAAGATCTCCAAGCGCCTGCTCACACAATTCTTGGTAGCGCTCTGGCTGGAAGCGCTTCCGTTCCCAATTCCTCGCGCGGCCCGCTGCGATGCGCTCCTGTTTCTCTGTGGCTTTGATATGCGCTGGAACGAATGACCAGTAACTACGGGTAGATGGGACCTGCTGCGGGCCGAGAGCAGTAGTTCTTGTGGGAGGTTTCTGCGCACCAGCCATGAGACCCTCCTTCTCGCTCTGCTGTTGCGCGACCAAAGTTGTGCGGCGATGGCGCTTTGCGGCTTGATTCGCCAAGAGCGTAGACTTGGTATCGTGTAGCTGCGAGATGTGCCTTCGGATCCGCGCGCGCATGCCTTCGACATTGTCGCGGAAGTGATCGGCGGCGACAAAGCTCTCCTCGGCATCATGGAACTCCTCCTCTTCGTAGCCGTTCTGTGTGGAGACGGCGCTGTGGACGTCATACGTGTCGAACGCGGCGGTAGGAGTCGTTGGTGAGATGGGTGAGTTGGAAGAGGCCGATGCATAGTCTGCGGGGCAAAGAGGCGACACCGGATCCATGTATTCAGGCGAGTAGTACTCAGAGTCTGGGGGGGAGAGTGAGCTGGCATGGGTAGGCTTCGCAACGATGCTAAGCTGTGGCAGGCTAGGACGGTTCTGGTGAGGGGAGAAAGGTCGGTCAGGTGCTGGAGTTGAAGGTCGATCAGGCCAGAGATTATGCTGCATGGCACTGTCGACCCGACGATGGGCAGGTTCGGTCTTGTGAACCTGGATCGAAGGAGAAGCGATCAAGGAGATCCGAGAGTAATCACGTGGAAGGCCACGACCCGGCGTGCGAATCTGATCGAAGCTACGATGACTGTCCAGATCGTCAAAATCAACGTCATTGGTGTTGACATCGTCGAAGCCACGCGAAGTCGGAGAGCCTTGCTTGCTCCAGTCATCTAGCGGGCTATCGTTTCGCAGGCGTGGGAACGAGTTGGAGGTCGGTGTGCCTTGAAATCGCAAAGTCGAAGTGCTGTCGTTGCCAGCAATCTCCCAGGTATCGTCGCCGAAGCTCGAGAAAGAAGAGCGCGACTCAGCACGCTTGAGTTCATTGGCACGTTGACTGGCGATGTAGATGTCGTGCGCATCATCCGAGGAAGGCAATGCATCCAAGGCCTCGTGATAGTACGCTCGCGCCGTGTCCATGGTTGGGATCTTGTTGGTCGAATTCTGGTGCATGGCCCTCGCTAATTCCTCATGCGCCATGGCGAGATAGAACATTACAAAGGTATCGCTCAATGGATTTTGATCGGTTTGGTTATTCAGCGCGGCGAGAGTGTCATGACAGGCGCGAATGCATGATTTGTAGCGAGTCTGTAAAAACAGTACCTTGATATGCTGCAAATCCATGAGGAAGAACAATGCGATCACAGCGGACCGAAAGGAGTTGATGTACTGCTGCGGGATCTTGTTTTGAAACAGGTTGTTGATCCTTTGGGAAAGCGTCGACGGCAGAGAGTCGCACGCCCAGTGTGATCAGTCGGCCGGCCCAGGCCGATTTCACATCGACCGCCACTAGCTTTGGAGATGAAACTGGTGGAGTGTCTGGTCTCTGATCGCAGTTCAGGCCACCAGCGCGCGGGCAATGTTGACAATTGAGCAGATGGAGAAAAGCAAGGTTGAATCCCACGAGAGATGTAGGAGGGAGTGAAGGAATAGTTGTAGGCGGTGGCTCGTGGTCTTTCGCACGTTTTCTTTGAACGGGTGCGCGCAAAAGGCGTGAAAGGAACGATGATGGTGGAGGGCGACACAACCGCTAGGACTGCTAGGAGGTCTGCATCGGAATTGGGTTCCAGGTGCAGATACCGTATAATTCTGCATTGAAAGAATACACATCGATGGCGTGGGTTAATGAAGCCGAAAGACCCGCTGAGCGTGGCCTAGTGTTCGCTACTGCACTTCTACACAAGTGAATTGCCGCGGATCCTCGCGCACGAACGAGAGGATGTGGTGGGCACGAGAAGAAATGCGGCGCGGTGCAAGGAAAACCAAATACGCAATTCTGTCGCCTCGCCTCCCGCCTCACTACACTGCCCACGCTCATACCACTCCGAGATCTTGTCCCCGGGTCTTTTTTTATCGAAGCCAGGATCACGCTGACATTGTTGGCGATTGAGAGCGAGTTCTTTCTTTCGTTCTCCCCACTCTTGGCAGCCCAGCATCGGAGCTGCGCTGAGCAAAGTCATCGAGACCATAGACGGAGACCAAGAGGAATGAAGAAACCCGCAATCCTTTCGATGGGGCAAGCCAAACCGGCCTATTGCCTTGCCCGCATGAAAGTATATGCGCAACTTATGTACGAATGGGTCATGTCTTCACCACCGGTCGTTGTTTAGATTCCTTTGACACGCATGTGATGCGTGAGATCCACGCCGACAAAACATAAACATCGTCTCTCGTCAATCATTGGAGATGGACGGCATGCGACAAACCCAACACAATACAGCCACGTTGTCAATCAAGGCTGCAGCCAATTACGTGCTTATTTTCCCGACAATGGAGCGCAATTTGCGCCGCAGGGTGGTGATGAGGTGGAGGAAGTTCGAGGATCTGACTGGCTGAGGAGTTCAGTGTGTACCTACCTAGTAGGTAGGTAGTTGTAGGTGTGGAAGTGAGTAGGCACATGTGAATGATGTCGATGGCACCTACCTGGGCAGCCCACAGATAATCGGCTACTCGCACCAGAAATTGGCCGAGGCGTGTGGATAAATTTAGATTCGGCCGCACTCCCGCCGCCGCCGATTGCCTTTGTTATTTTCCCGCTGTGTTGTTCTTTCGTACCTAGCTGGAGGTGTACCAAATCCCTCTGCGAGTTGTTTGAATCTTGCATTCATGTCGCGCCGCATGCAAAAGGGCGAAAACGGCGTCTTCTCAACTAGCGACAGCCATGATAGGACCGTGCTTCCTATACGTGTGTTCCTGCATCGCGGCGTGCATCGCCCCCAATCTTGATCATCCTTTCCATGAAGACCATTGACACCGCAGGAACAACGACGATCACCTCAAACATTCGAAGAAATATCAGATATAAATAAACACACCTGTCCGTTTGTACCTTCCCCATAGTGCCATACTCGTGCACCAACTCTCTTCGTCTACACTGACGAATGAAGCGCGAGAGAACGGCACGGTGAAAGACAGCACTTTCGTTCCGGGCGCTTGTCTGCAGAGTCCACGTTGAATCTGAAAGCTCCCCGAACCCTATTGGTTGGTGGAATCTCATGCGGCTTATCAGCCAATTCTGTCTCTGCACAGTGGAGGGGAGCACCAAATACCTAGGTACCTAGGTATCTAGTGATTGTTGCGCGTCTCATTTCGTCTGGTTAATTGTCAGCTTCTGTAGAGTAAGTACGTCGAGTGACTCAGTTGCGATGCCGGTCGGTGTTCGCATGCCGACGTCCGATGCAGAATGAAGTACAGACAGTTGCGTCGTGGTGTTAAACATGATGACTACCTCCAGCTATGTACCAATGTGATTGATGCCTGAGGTTTCTTTTCACATCGTCAATACGAAATAAGTCACGTGTCGTATTCCCACCAGTAGCCCTCCCGAACCGATGCATGACGTACCTAAGGAGGGATGTATTGCACCTGACATTCAGGTCCTGCGTGGTGGGGATGCGACTTCACGGCTTCAGCCTGGATGCGCTCAAATGTTCGGTAAAAATCACGGATGAGATAATGAACCTGGTAATTACAAGGTGTATTAATTGAATTAAACCATGCGCACCACCTCCTCCGCCCTTGGTGTCTCGCTAATCGCATCATATCTCCTCTTCATGACGACGACGAATTCACAACTGCTGCCCTTTGCATTCAATACTCCTGGAAACCCCGCGCTCTCTTCACAACCGCAGCAATCACCAAAACAACAGCAAAGACAGCCTCACCAGTTACAACATCCAATGGACTCGAATCCAGGCATCCAACTCCCTCCTGCCTCCTCCGACTCCTCTGCCGGCACCAATGACCCAGCTCCTCCGTCCGCGGGCACCGTCGGCCTCCTCGACGTAATCGGCCAGCAACGCAGCATCAGCATCTTCGCAGGATTCACCCGCGACGTTTCAAGCGTAGCCTCCCGACTGAGCTCCGGGGCAGGATTACAGAAGGGAGGAAACTGCACCATCCTTGCGCCACTCAACACCGCCATGCGAGCACTTCCGCGGAAACCCTGGGAGGACGCCGCCGACTACGCCACGCTCGGCACGGAAGCCTATGCCGGCGACGACGGCGAGAGCAGGGCGCATGCCAACCTGAGGAGGTTCACCGAGGCACATGTCCTCGTGATGGAGCGGCCGGGGGCGTGGAAGGAGGGGGTTAAAGTCCCTAATATGCTGGGCCAGATGATCTGGTGGGAGAAGAATGCCGATGGCAAAGTCGTGGTACAGCCTGGTGAGGTTGAGGTCGAGAAAGTGGAGAGTAGGGTGGCGAATGGGGAGATTTGGAGTTTAAAGGGAGTGGTGGATTACGCGTCTGCCGCGGAGAAGACGAAGGAGTAGTGGGACAGGCGCCGATGATTGACGATTTTGATGATTGTGGGGAAGAGGAATGAGTTGGGGACAGGACTGGAGTTGAGATGACTTTCATTCATATCTCATCGACAAGTGCTGCACGCCTGACTTGACGATTCGTGATGACATCTGTATGTTTCGTCCTGAGTATTATTAATGAACAACCATGATTCCTTTGCATACTTTTCACAACAGAGGCGGGTTCCAGCGCTTGGGTGCCGTACTGTTGTGCCTTTGTATGGGGAATGTCGGTTGCACTTCGCCGATTCAGGTATTCAAATTGCGAGCGCGGATACAGACTCAGGAATTGAGCCAGGCGCTCGGTCTCTCGCCATATCTTGGAGACTCTCCAGCTCGGCTTGCTCGGCCGAACGCTTCTTGTTCGCAATCGTGGGCGAGTTGTGACCCGCTGGTTGCGCAGATGGTTTGATGGGTGACGATGCTGCATGCTTCTGCTTCTCGACCTTGCTTCCGTTGTTTCTCGTGGTTTTGCCTTTGTGTTGTTGTTTTGCAGCTGCCTTCTTCGCTGCTTTCTGTTGCGACTTGGATACCTTTGGTGCTTCGAAATCCCCAATGCCTAGCTGTTCGTCCGTAATCTTTGCTCTCTCGACGAGATCGGGATGGCCCAAAACCTGGACAAGTTCTGTGTAACTTTTCGCTCCGGTCATCTTCTGATACACAGGCTGCTTGCCAGGTATCATCTGACCAAGGAGGAACTTCGTGTTGCCCCAGCGGTTCTGCACCTCCATACTGGTTTCGATGTACTCGCGGATCACTACATCCCACGATGCCTTGCCACCTTCCGATTCTGGTCGAAAGACTGAGGGATTGGTCTCGGCCGCGGTGGCGATCATTGCACCGTCGACGCCATACTCAGCGATGAGCCCCAGCGCTTCATCTCGGCTGTAGACATCGCCGTTCATCAAACATGCCACACCAGTCTCACGGCAGATGTCAGCAATCATCTTGAGCTGATCTCGAATCGCTCGCTCCCGTGGTCGCATGGGAGTTGTTCGACAGTGAATCGTGAGCCCAGTGATGCCAGTGTCGCAGAGTGCTCGTACCAAAGCCTCGGTCTGTTCGGGCGTCTCGAGTAGACGGATCTTGACACTGATACCAATCTCGAAAGGTCCACCTACATCCTTTACTAGCGCTCGCAAAATCTCGCAAAGCTTCTCAGGTGTTTTCAGAAGAGCCGCACCCATCCCACCGAGCGTGCTGAATGGTTTCGGGCAACCCGCATTGACATCAATTCCGGCAACATCAGCAGCGATGAGTTTGGCAGCTTGCACAGCTGTCTCGGGATTGGCCGTTCCGATCTGATGAATTAGTCTCCTTCCCTCCCGTTCAGGATGGAGACGGAAGATGACGCTCTCTCGATGCCCGTGATCTGGCTGAGCATCCTTGTTCCCATTCGAAGAATATCTAGTGAAGTCGATCGTGTTCGTCGTCTTGTTCTCGATTCTAGTGCAGCCGATGAGGGCCCTATCGACCGTCTCGGGCCCCCACACAAGGTCAGCACCATATTTCAGGGCGAGCAGCCGCGATGGACACTCGCCGCTGCGCACCATAGGGGCCAACACGATTTTTCCGCGATAGTCGACGCCATTTTTGGGGATTGGCACCCTTTTGGCTGTTGTTGTCATGACGCGTAGCATCAGTGATGATGAATTGCCAATGACTCGCTGTGGCGTGATGTTAAAATTCACAGCCCAAATTGACGGATTTGCCCCGAGAATTCATTCCTGCCAACCTTGGAATGTATTGGAGCTTTGGCACGGGCGATGGGTTGATGGTAGTGTCTAGGCTCGGGCCGTGCGGCATGACGGCCGAGATGGGCGCGATCCAAAGCGGGAAAAGTGTGTGTGTGTGAAGGAACCTTGGAAGCCCACGTCTGCACACGACGTCTCCAACCTTGGAAGTCTCCGATGCGACGACGAAGTGTTTCCATCCTGATTCCCCTTTCGCGATAAGTGAATATTCCCAGCGGTCATGCGTATGAGGAGGTTCGCGAGTTTTCAATTGCGATGCCGTCTCTATGCATTTTTCATCTCCGTTTCCAGTTCTGTCCCCTAATAAATCGGCATTTGCCCGATTAGCATGGGAATTGATTTATACGACGGTGTAGCATCGGATTAAAGAGAATCATGCCACCTGCTGGCTGCAGACAGTCGTGAAAGAAGCGTGCGTGAACGAGTGTTGATCGAACAGATTCACCCGCTCGAAGAAGTCAGCCAGACGGCCTACGGAACAGGCAAGCAGACTAGGCAAGAAGCATGGGGTGGGACGATGACACGCACAACGCGATCTCCGACAGATGGAAAATCCGCCGACGGGAACGCCTCGAAGATACGCGATCTGAACAAGCCACACCGCAAATCAGACCTGGATCCATGGATGTTCCGACTATCCACATGCTGCTCCTGAGAAGCTCAAGCATCGTCAGACGGAAGATGAAAGGAAATCAGTCGCGAATACTTGTTATGGTTCGTCTCCCGGGCAGGTGCGGTCAAATCCAAGGGGAAGTAATAATAAGTGGAATATGCCTTAGCCCTGCTGAATTCAGCGCTAGTAAGCCGTCTGGGCTTTTCACAGCAGCAGACAGCGATACCTGCAGGTCCAGGTGATTCGTGAACGCTTCAGGTGATGGGTATCAGCGCCGCCTCTCTCCTCCTCGCCTTGCATTCTTCCAAAGGCGACGAACCCCATCAGTATCGATGCAATGAACAGCCCTGCAAAGGGTCTATGGTGTATTTACAGTGGCATACCTCGTGCTCCCGTAGGTGTGGCGTGAATGGATGTATTGTACAGGTTTTTAGACGGCCCGGGGGCCCGCCGTTCGATCATCAGGATCAGCAGCGGCATTAATCCAGCATCGCCAGCCAGGCTGGACTGCTCTACTGTACACACTGGAGTAGTCGTATTGTAATTATAATATTATCGCCATACCTACGTGGTCGCGCGCGTGCCCATCATCCATCATCTGTACCCTTGATTCCCATCACCCTTGCTCCTCACACGCTGCTCTCTTAAACACACATCACACACACGCGCGCATCCTCTCTGACTTTGTCTATCTATACACTCGTCCATCGGAATTAATCCCTGTCGTACCTTTCTTCACTCTCACCTTGCTTCACATTCCTGGCATCGACCTCATCATCGCGAATTCTATAAAGTCGTCGACATTTGCCGAGTGAGTGCGGTGACAGACTTCACGAGCCCCGGGTGTGTGAGTGTGTGTGTGTGTGTGTGGCTTGCGGCCATCAACGTTTTCGAGCCAGCGGTTCCTTCTCTTCTTCTCTACAACAACGCCCTCCCTGCGAACAGCTGCACCTTTGACTTTTCATCAACGCAAAGCCTGAACACTCCGGGCAGTCCCCTTTCAGATTTGTATCTGATCAATGCCGCGTCCTTGCTTTGGCGCGCTCTGTCAAGATGGCGGCCGGTCTCGATGAGGCCGTCAAAGATGAGCCTGCCGCGGCGGCAAATACTTCATTTCCACGCGGCGACGGCAGCAACCCAATAACACCACAGATGGAGAATGCGGACGCCGGTCTACCGGAGCCTTCATATGGCACGCGTTCGCGCAATCGTACTAATGCTCGCCCGAATTACTCCGAGGAGCAGGACATGGACTTTGAATTTCTGGCGCCTGCGACAACGACGACAGCGACAACCGCGACCAACGGCCGAAAAAAGGCAAGCGACACATCAGCATCAGTCGGCCAGAGCCATTCCGATGTCAAACGCACTGTCGAACCCGCAGATGTGGCCCAGAACGCCAGCAGTTCGACTCCAGTGTCTGCGACCGGAAAGGACAGCACGATTAATTCGTCCACAGGGAATGCTAGTAATCCCAAGAAGCGCAAAGCCGCAGCCGCTGCAACCGCTCAGTCGGTATCGGCGGTGGCCACATCACTACCTACTGCCAATGGGAAGAAATCAATACCTTCAGCAGCATCGCTTGCAGGTCGCGAAACCAATCTGATGTCGTTCATCAAGCACAAACATTGTCTCAACAAGAAGGGCGAGCTTGTGGCTGATGACGGGACGAGATTGAGCGTCAACGGTAAGAGCCTTCCACAATTTTACCAAACATCCGTCCGACGGGCGGGAGGCATCTTTGAAATTCCACGCCTAACCCCGCTTCGGGCACAGTACATTACCTGCAGTAAGGCTAACGCGGACTCGGTCTAGATCACGTGTATTCCGTATGTGAGCCTCCAGGCGACCCATACTACCTATGTCGCATCATGGAATTTTTGCATGTCGATGCCGGCAATGTCAACTCCGCCGTGGATTCCGTTCGGGTGAATTGGTATTACCGTCCGCGAGATGTACAACGATTCAGTACCGATATGCGGCTGGTCTTCAGTACCATGCATTCCGACATGTGCCCGATCACATCACTGCGCGGGAAGTGCACAATCAAACATCGATCCGAAATCGAGGATCTCGATGCATATCGTCGCGAGCGAGATTCGTTCTACTTTGTTCAATGCTTCGATCGTTTCATTCGTCGATCCTACGAATGTATACCCGTCGCGCAGATTATCAACGTCCCCGACAAGGTCAAGAAAGCTTTGGACGAACGATGGAAGTTTGTCGTTGTCGAAATCGGGCGGGTGAAGGAATTGACGAGCGCAGCCAAGACGTGCAAACGTTGTGCCAGATATTGTGCTTCACATGATTCGGTTGACTGCGCGATCTGCAAGAATTCATATCACATGAATTGTGTGCAGCCGCCGTTGCCGAAGAAACCTTCGCGAGGGTTCGCCTGGGCGTGTGCGCCATGTGGTCGAGCATCGGAATTGAAGATGGAAGCTCGCAACACACCAACGTTGAGCGCACACGAAGGCGAGGAAGGGGAAGTCATCGTTCCTGAAGAGCAACCGGCGGTCTCCAGCGATACAACGCGCGCGCCGAGTCCAAACGCCGATGACATGGTGATCGATGATCATCCTGCAACACAAGCGGAAATCGCACTCGCCAAAATGTGGCCGATGCGTTATCTTGGAATCCATGCCAGACTAGAGGATGCTCTGCAGTATGACGACCGTGCCATCTACCCGCGAGCAAGCTCAAGGCTGGGACCTCGACATCAAGCAAATACGAATATCTGGCACGGCCGTCCAGTGGAACTTGTCAAGCCTGCCGACATCAAAAAGCGCTATAACAAAGGGGGTTCTTCGAAAAATCCGGGAAAGCCGACCAAGGAGACTTTGGCTGCGATTGAAGCCGACCGTGAGGAGAGAGCGAAGCGTCCTAAGTGGGTGCAAGACGAGCCTCCCGGTTACGTTGCACGAGGCGAGGACTATGATAATGATGATCCGCGCTGTACAGCGAAGCTCATCTTCAAAATGCCCGAGTCAGACAAGAAGGCGGCGGGTGTATCGGAACGGGATGTTGATGAATACATCGCTCGGGCGAAGACCATGGCCCGAACGATCGGTGTGCCTCCCTTTGGCGTTAATTTCTTGGACAAATCACTGGAGCTATTGGCGGCCAACAAATATTCGGCAACCCCAGCGCTGGAGCAATTGAAGAAGGTCGATCGCCAGAAAGACTTGCACGAGCCGGTGATAACACGATCCGATTTGGTCAAATTCGAGGAAGGTGTGGCAAAGTACGGCTCCGAGCATCGTTCCATCCGATTACATATGAAGTCGAGTCTACCACATGCCGACATTGTGCGCTTCTACTATCTTTGGAAGAAGACGCCCAAGGGCCGCGAAATCTGGGGCAATTATGGCGGACGGAAGAAGAGAAAAATCGAGAGCGATGCTGGCGCTAAATTGCAGGCGGAAATCGCCCACGACGTTGACGACTCTGCGTTCGATAACGACAAAGCAGCCAAGAAGAGCCGGGGCTTCCAATGTAAATTCTGTAATACGACACATTCGCGGCAATGGCGTCGTGCACCCGGAGTGTCACCCGGACAGACTGTGCCACCCGACGCGAAGGCCACCAACAAGGAGAAAAAGGAGAAATTATTGCTAGCGCTGTGTCTCCGATGTGCTGGACTCTGGCGCAAATATGCCATCAAATGGGAGGACATCGACGATCTCAAGAAGGTCGCGCTGGGCGGCGGTAAGGGTGTGAAGCGCAGAATAGACGAAGAACTCCTTCGCGAGCTCGTGGCTGCCAACGAGGCGGCTCAAGCGCTCAACCAAGAAGCCGCTCAAGCTGCAGCATCACAAGACGCCGTTGAACCGGCCAAAAAAAGGGCCAAGCTAGACAAGGATGGAGTGGCCGATGCTCCGAAGCGCAAAGAAAAGCCTCCTCCACCGCCTCCCAAGGAACCTACCCCTCCTCCACCGCCTATCATTCCTGCCGAGCCAACCTGGAGAGAGCTACCCTGTGCAGTCTGCAAAAGTGTGGGCGACACTGTGGCATGTCAACATTGTAAACTCACAGTCCACCGGCGATGCTTCGGCCTGCGCGAGATTGAGAATGGCAAAGCAGCTGGCGAGGTGAAGTGGTCATGTGAACAGTGTCAAAATGATCGAAATCCAGTGGTGTCCACCGAGTATTCCTGCTGCTTGTGCCTGACCGAGGAGACGCAGATCGATTTGGTTGAGCCGCCTCGAATATCGCATCGGAAAAAGAACGATCGGGAAAAGGAGAAGGAGCGAATGGAGAAAGAGCTTGCAGATGCGATGCGTGCAGAATATCGAGCAAATCAGCTGGCAGCGAACCGTCCTCCTGGCCCGAGAGAGCCACTGAAGTGCACCACAGGCAACAATTGGGTCCACGTGTACTGCGCTGTGTGGGCGCCAGAGATCCGCTTCAGCAATGCGAAGACCCTACAGGCTGCAGAAGGCTTTCAATTAATCCCGCAAGCGCGTTTCGAAGCAGTCTGCAAGCTGTGCAAGAACAAAGACCATCAGAACCGCGTCCGCGACAATGCTGGTGCGTGCATCAATTGCTTCCAGTGCAACGCCAGCTTTCATGCCTCCTGTGCCTTCGAGGCCGGGTATCAGTTCGGATTCGACGTGCAGCCTGTGAAGGCTTCCCGCAAAGACCAATCTACCGCGACGCTGGGCGCAGAGACGGGCTCATTGACCGCCATTGTAATGTGCAAGGAGCACATTGTGAAGACAATCGTTCACCCCATCAACGAGGTGGTCGACGAGACAGGGACCACTGCCCTTCAGGTGTTCGTCGAAAAATACAAGCAGGCCGACCTGACCCTCACCGGCACGGTGCGCAAAGCCCAGCTAGCTCAGCAGACCAAGGAGAAAGGACAACAATCTGCGACAGCTGCGCAATTGGCAAATCGTCGCGAATCCGGAGCAACGAGCATTGCGGCCGCCGTCAAGCGTGGGGCACGGGCATCGATTGTCGCCGACCCCAGGAGCAGTGCCGAGAACAGCGCCATGGACTTCTCTAAAATCCTGGATACAGCTCCCAGGACATGTGCTGAGTGTAAGATCGATGTCACTCCTCGATGGCATGAAGTGAACAGGCACCAGGCGGACGAAGCAGCGAGACTGAGACAAATTCACAAGAGAGCTACATCGGGCGAGAATGATGATGGCGATCGCGCTATCAATGGGGAATATCAAAGGTCATCTAACAGCGCAGAGAAGGGGTTCTCACAAAACTATCATAATTCGAGGCCAAACGGCCGGCCCTTGACCGGAGATGCGAACGGCTCTGTGAGGAATGGCGACGATGCCCTCGTTAATGAGAACCAGGGTCACTCGTTCTCGGCGTCGATACCAACGGACAGGGTGAAGCGCGAAGGAGAAGATATGCATAACGACTGGCTATGTCACAAATGCTTTCTGCAGAAACGTCGCACCGAAACACCGGCATCCGATGACGCCCCTGAAGCGCACAAGAATGAGGTTGGACGAAGCGTTAAGCCTGTGACAGTATCCTCGATCGAGCAACAATTCCGTCTATGGGATGAGCCGCCATTGCCACCGCCTATGTCAATGTCGATGCGTCAGAGCTTACCGCCGGTGACCGGCATGAACTCATGGCCAGGGCCAGGATACGCGCCCAGCTACGGACAGCATCCTGCGCAAGCAGCACCTCCGCCACCGCCAGCACATCATCACGGTCCACCACCGCCGCCAGCCCATTACGGACAGCAGCCAAATGGATACCATCCAGGCCCGCCTGCTCCTCCACCGCCTCAACACATGCCCTCGCATCATCATCCCGGTGCTACGCCTCCCATGATGGTCGAACGGCATAGCAACTTCAACTACCAGCATGCGCCCTCCGGCCCGCCACAGTACACGCCAACCCATCAGCACCATCGTCCTCCGCCTTTACCACTATTCGGCCATGGTTCGCCGCCGATGACCAACGGCATGCATTCACCGCACGGGCCTCCACCAACCCATCAAGGCCCGCTACACTCCCCAGGCTTCCCCCCTCCACCACAACAACACCCTCGTGACGCGCCTCATCCTTCCATGCCGCCGCTTTCGCATCGCAGCGAGCAGCCCCAACCGCCTTACCTCTCTCCCATCGGCGCGCCAATCCACAGCCGACCGGACTCATACCACTCCCAAGCTTCCCGGCCACCAGGCTCCCTGCCCTCACTCCCACCACCATCACATCTCCAAGTCGACCCGACCCTCATGAGTCCGCCAGCGCCAATGGCCAACGGGACTAGCCACCATGGACCGCCGCCGCCACCACACACCGTCTCGCACGGCCCGCCGCAGCATCATAGTGCCCCACCTCCGCCACCTCCTGTGACGCCGCGCAATAACACGAATCACGGCAACGGCGGCGGAGCCAGCAACAACCCCAGCTTGGCGAATTTACTGTCTTAAGTTTGTCTGGACACGGAAAGGGAGTCTTCTCCGCAATGATGGCACAGGCGGCCACGAGACAAAGCTGCTTTTTTAGGAAAACATTCCCAAGGAAGGACGAAAGAATTCTCTGGGATACTCTCACCCTGGGAATCGGGCGGACTTTTTTCGCTCGTCGTGGGGACGTTGACCCTTTGTGGTCAAATTTGCATCGTCGATTTTGTTGATTTTGTATTATTAATATCCATCATATTCATGGGAGAAGGAAAGAAAGAAAGCCGCAGGCTGTTTCCCCACAAGCTGTTCAGTAAAAATCAAAACATTTGAAATGGAGAAATTTCTATTTATCCCCCTAGTTGCCGTTAGATGTGTTAAGGAATATGCGTAAAGATCGACATTCTCGCAGGGTTTTTCCATTCAGATATTATATGCAACTCCTAGCGAAGCTGATGGAGAAGAAAGGCAATGTTGGTAGGTTTCGTGAATGGAAAGCGAAGGTCATAAAAGTCATCAGTATAAGGAAAGTCTTCTCTCTACATATGCGATTCGGTGAAGAATGGGCCCTGCGCGCGGAGGAGATTCTGATCCATCATAGGATACTGTGGCGAAATTGCATAGGGCAGACTCGTTTGCAGGTGATGATCAGGCACGACAGGCTCGTAATGGATTTGTTGGGGTTGCTGCGACTGTTGCTGCTGCTGCTGAGATTGCTGCGCCTGTTGCTGCGCCTGTTGTGCCTGTTGCTGCTGCTGCTGTTGTTGTTGAACCGCTGCCGCTGCTGCCGCCACCACCGCTGCCGCCGAGGCATCCTCATCGCCGGCCGCCAGGGATCCCGTCAACTCTGAGACTAGCTCGCTCTCGTCTGCGCCGCCGACCATCGCGCCGGCCTGCTCGCCGGTGTAATCCTCGCTCTTCTGGAACCCGCCGTAGCCGTCATTCCGCGGCACGATCTCGCCCGTCTTCTGCATCTTGGCGCGCAACTGGCCCATCTTGCGCTTCATACGTTCCCGCAGCATCTCATCGTGGAGACCCGGCAACCAATCGCCTTTGGTCAGGTCCACCAGCTGGTACAACTCCTGGTACATGACCTCGAACGACTCCTGTGAATTTTGTCCAAAAGTGTAGCAGGCGTAACGGTGCATCAGATCAGCTAGTAGGCCCTGAGCGCGCAATGGCCAGATGTCCTTGCTCGTCACCCATTCTGCTGTGAGGTGGTCGCGGCGTCGGCTGCGTCGTTCGAGCTCACGAAGCATGCGCTCTTGACGCTCGGCGGTGCGGCGCTTGGATTCTTCAATCTTCTTTTTGCTGCGCGAATCGCGTTTCGGTCCGGTTGGAATGACTGCATTGGGATTGTAGAGAATGCTGGGCGAGGGATCCGACGCGACAGCTGGCTGGGTGGTGGAGATTCCTCGACTGCTCTGTAGGCGACGCATCTTGAGCTTCAGCTCAACTTCGCGCTTTTGCAGTGCGATCTGCTCGAGTTGTAGTTGTAGCGTCTCTTCGTCATCTGGCAGATCGCCATCAAGATCTGTCGTCGGTGGAGGAGGATAAGTATGCTGAGCAGTCTGCTGCTGGAAAGCCTGAACGAGCTGCTGCTCTGCGGGAAGCTCAGATGTCATTGGCGCGAAAGGTGATTGGTACTGCGCATCGGCGTTCTGTAACGGTTGTCCTTGCGACAGACCGTCATGAAGTCCTTCGCTGGCCATGATAGTATCGTCCTCGCCCTCCTCTGCCCCTCCGTTGGTGCTGCGCCTGCGGAAAGATTTGCCCTTTACTTTCGTCAGACCTTTGTCGCCTTTTCGCTCGAAAACCCGTCGAATTGTGCGCGTGCCGACAACAATCTTATATGTGTCGTAAAGCCACCAGAGCATGTCGTCTACCGACATTTCTGGCTGTTCTCGGACATGTTCAAAAAGTGCCTGAGGAACGAGATCAGATCATCGTCATCACAGTATGGAGACTGCGAGTACTTACAGCCTCGACATCTGCATTCAAGACGCGATGTCTTCCTGTGCGACTCTCTGGTGGCTTGCCTATGCGCCCAGTCCGTTCAAGTTCCAGCTTCCACCGGCGGATGGTACGATCTGACACGCCCGTCTCCTTCTCAATAGTCTCTTCATCGCGTCCGCTCTCGAGAAGTAACTTGACATTGTTGCGTTGTTCTTCGGTGTAGGCTTTTCCCATGACGACTGGTCTGCGCTGTTGGTGGGCGACGAAACGCGTGATCTTGAATGACTGTGTGTCAAAATACCATGTTGGACAGAAATACGTGTACCCAAAGGATGAGACTTTGGGCACTCGGCGAAGCTGCGGTAGTGCGGTGCAGGTGCGGAGGCAGAGTTCCGTGCTCTAGTCCGTATCCAGTGCCCGCTCTCATGACACACGAACGCGCGTTCAAGCTTCATCAAAGGCTCAAAGGCTCCTTCTCTATTGCACACTCAAGACTCACCAGCATGGATACATGCAGCAAGTTGGTTCGCTGCCTAGGTAGTTACAGTACCCAGGCGCAATCGACACAGGGGATAAGCAGTATGGTGTCGGCGTCTCGTTGCCATGTCCTCGTGTTGAGTCGCATTGGGCTCGCTCCGTGGAGACTCTGCGACGATGAGAAGGCTCGGGATCATGGTCTCATGAATTTGTGTCATGCCCGGGGCGGATAGTGCGGGCGGCCTCCTACCGTACTGCAGGTGTGCTAACAACCAGGACGCTTGTTCACCTGCAGCCACGAGATGACGCATTGCGACAGCCCCACCTATTTGATCACTGTAGAAATGAACTCCGGCCGGCTGCCATGAGACATACCAGCGTTCGCCAGGCCCGCGTCTCTCTTGCTCTGCTCGCGTGGCATACCCTATATTCCTACTCATAAATCTTGAAGATGGTGGAAAGGCAAGATCCATATGCGCTGCCATCACCGGAAATTCTTCAGGAAATTGAACGACGTCAGACGGAGAATGAACGCTCCTCACGACAAAAGCGGGCAGAGAGCATCACGGCTTCGGAGGAGCAGATTAATGCCGCCAAAATCATTCAAAGGAATTATCGCGGTCATCGTACAAGGCGGGCGCTCAACGGCCATGGTTTAGACCCAGGAACAAGATGGTTGGAGGTATGCAATGCATAATCTCACTGCGACGTCAATGTACTGATCAACTTGCTGCCAGGCATTGAATGATGGTACGGGAGTATCAATCATAACATAAAAAGATGAACGATGTATTAAATCCGATCACAGCTAGGTTCACACAACTCACGCGACCTCAATCGCGCGCCGAGACCATGTCCCTTTCTCCCGGATCCAAGGGGAGAGTCAAGAGTCGATGGTTACGAGCAGGCGCCGCAGCCAATCGGGCTGCGAATGATTACATAAGCGCGAGCGATCCGGAAGGCGAGGACGATGCAGCGCATGCATCAGAGCGTGAGCGTCGGCGACAGGCGAAACTGGAGCGAGACAAAGCTGCAAAGATCATGGGCGTAGAATACTTCCTGGAAATGGTCGATGAAAAGCACCGGTACGGTAGTAATTTGCGCAGATATCACCAAGAGTGGGTCAAGGCCGAAACCCAGGACAATTTCTTCTATTGGTTAGATCATGGCGATGGATTGAAGCTGGACCTGGAAGATCGACCGCGAAAACGCTTAGACACCGAGCAGGTCCGGTATCTGTCTCGCGAGGACCGGTTGCAATATCTCGTTAAGATCGACTCCCAGGGTCGATTCTGCTGGGCGAAGGATGGCTCACCAGTCACTACATCGGTAGACTTCAAAGACAGTATTGAGGGCATTGTACCTGCACAAGATGAGACGCCCACGTGGAGAGAGGTCACCACGGGTGTCAAACCTCCACCGCCCCTGCTGACTTCCGACTCCTCTTCGGACTCGTCTGGCACGATGAGCACCGGTAGTCGTGAAGACTCGGCGAAGTACACCAACGAAGACTTTCACAACGCCAAGGGTCTCTCCAAATTGAATCACATCTCCGTCGATGCTCTCACCAACCACCTCCTCCGCAAAACAACCAAGAAGAACACCTGGATCTTCGTTGCCGACACGTCCTTCCGCCTCTACATCGGCATCAAACAATCCGGCGCCTTCCAACACTCCTCCTTTCTCAAAGGCGCCCGCGTGAGCGCCGCCGGCCTGATCAAAATCAAGCGTGGGCAAATCCGTAGCCTCTCCCCCCTCAGCGGACACTACGCACCTCCCGTGCAGAACTTCCGACTTTTCGTCAAGAGCCTGAAGGAAGCCGGCGCGGACCTCACACGCCTGAACATCTCGAAATCCTACGCCGTCATATTGGGTCTGGAGGGCTACATCGGCGTCAAGAAGCGCGTACAGCGTACCGGACAGGGGATCAAGGACGTATTCCAGCCGGACGAGAAGAAGCGTCGTGAGGAGGAAACGAGGGACAAGAGTCAGAGTGCTCAGCTTGAAAGGGCTGTACTCGAGCGGGAGGCTCGGGCTAAGAAGGAGCAGAGTGTAGGGCACAAATTGATGAGAAAGTTGGGATTACACGATAATAAGGATGAGACCAAGGAGTTGGCGGCGGCGAGTGCAGGTGGAGCAAGTGATGGTGTGGTCAGCAAGTCGAAGTGAATGAAGCAGCCCTTGGCCTTTGACGCTTTTTGAATGCACAAAGTGCAGGACAATTGCTTCTTACTTCAAAGCGGAGGGTTTGTGCATGCTAGCTAGTTTTCGTAAATTTTATGATATCCACATGAGCGTTGTGCATACCTGGACGTGTAATCAAGCGATTCCAACCGTCATGAAAAATACCCGATGCGAATGCTGAACTACCGCGATCTCAGTACCTACCTAGGTAGATAGTAGTAAACTATCGTACTTGCTGGTACGTCGCATTTCATCCAACAACGAATTATGCATCGTTCGAGATCATCGACCCTAGTGATTAACCCAAACCCTAACGTAATCCATTTTGGCTGGCCAGGTGAGGGTGTCATCATTCGCGCAACGGCTGCGGATTTGCTCGCCTACAACGTGATTTTCTTGGTTGTGCTCGTACGCGGCGTGCGATGTACATGATTGGCGACCGAGTGAAGCAAGACCTGCGATTTCAAATTTCCCGATTTGGCCCCCGTCCAACTTGACGAAGACCCGATGCTATAATGCGCGCGCAAGGACCCCATCCATGTGTCGTACCACGCGGACGCGTCGCAATTGCCAAAGTCCTGTCGAGGAACGGGTCGATAGACAGCAGCTGAAGAACATCACTCTGCAGATGGTAAGAGTTGAGTGACTTCTGTGCAAAGTTTCTGGATGCGAAATCTGAGACGGCACACTCGTGTCTGAAGTCGTGAATTCCGATACCTGCAAGGTTGACAAATCTCTTGTTATTGAACCCACCACTGGCCCTTTGTTCCTCCTTTGTCCCTCCCCAGCTCGTCGCAGTACCGGAAACCCGACGCATCCACTCATTGGTGTTTGCGCAAAGATCAAAACCTGTTCGACCTCCCCCATGTACAACCCCAGCTGGCCGAACTGGTCCGAAGCGCCGACCTGGTGGTTTCATCGTAGACGACACATCGGTCTGTTAAAGGGATTTGATGACACCAGTTTTGTTCATGGCTGTCCCACTGCGTCAAGATTGGAGCATAGAAATCGAAGTGGTTGCGAGACTTCTGTGCGCGATCACGACTGCGGACAGTAACGACATAGCTGGGAGTTCTCTTGTAGAGTCCGTCAGCTTGTGAGTATCGCCCGAGTATCGCCAAACCAATGTTGACGTTGTCGTGTAGATACTTGTCCACCTGGGCATCACACCACGGCGACATCCACCATCGCCAGTGCAGACCGGAAGATTGCGGATCAAATCGCGACTTGATCACTGTCGAGCATGATGTGTTCAAATCGAGCGTTCAAGGAATGGGGCGAAGATGTCATCTCTCGGTTGTTGATATGTTGCTGATGTTATGGTCGCGTACCTGCTCGCCTGATAGTCACGCGCAGTCCCCTTCATCTGGATTCCGACCCGTCACAAGAGATCAAAGGTAGGTAAGCAGCAATGTGAGGTGCTACAATGTGATACACTTGCATGTCGTGAAAGTTGGCACTGTCAACCACTTTGCCATCATCGTCAGGCGAGAATGGGCAGGAGCTCGAGGAGCACAAGGACTCGATGATCGTATTGCACGTCATTGACAATAACACGTCTGCAAGTTTGCTCAAGGCTGGATGTTCCGCCTAGCCATCGTTGTCGTGCATCAGGAACAAGTGAATTGCCCAGTTCCAGCAGTGCATCATCCGGGTTTGTGGCGGCATCTCGCTCCCTCCCTTTCTCACATGTCATAAATCCTCGATTCCACCGTCACCGACCTCTCCTGTGCATGACTCTTCTGAACAAACCACTTTCACTCTTTCACTTTCGCAACTTACTCGCACCTTGGAACCTGACTACTGCATCGTCATCGCTCACACCGATTCATTTGATTACACCCGAGCTTTGCCTTCATAGCATATCATTGAATGACCAACAACACCAAAGACTACTCATATTACTCCTTCCCTGCAACACCCAGCCGGTCATCGTCAATCAGCATTTCCCAAACGAGGAGATCATCACTGACTCCCACCCCGCGCACTCCACCACGGTCGCAACATCTCGACGACAAGATGGCACCGTCACCCGCCCCAACTGGCAAGTCGTCAGGACTACCGAAGACGCCTACTAAGCTCTCCCGTCGTCCACAAGGCCAGACTCCACAGTCTAGCACAGCTCGCAAGTCCACTCCGTCAAGCATAAAGACCGGCGCGCAACCAAAATCAACTCCCACCAAGCCCAAGATTGAAGGCCCTGCTTCTGATGATGAGCACGTCGAAGACACGACCGACAAAGCCATTCAGATGAAGGAAGAGGACAACGACGACGCGGAAGAGGAAGACGAAGGTCCTCTCAGCAAAGTCTCTGCTGCGAAGGGCAAATCTCAAGAACTCCAGTCTGCTGACCCTCAACCTATTCATGACAGCGAGGGCGAGCAAGCTAATGATGACAACTCTGTCCATGACGATCACGACCAGCACGATGACAAGGCGTCACAGCAAGTCAGCAGTAAGGCTGGAAAGACCGCCTCTGACGACCAGAGCGAACACAACGAAGAAGCTGCCGATGATGCTACCCAAAAGGTTCGTGGCACAGCCGAGTCGACAGGAGACGTCGCTGAAGACCAAGAACAATCTCGTGATCAAGCTCAGCCAAAGGGCAAGAAGGGCGGTAGTCTTCTATCAGGTGCGCGAAGCCTTGCCAGACAAGCAGGCAATCTGGCTGGTCGGCCTGGCAGCGCCGGTGAAGAGCCAGGCACGGATGACAAGAACAAGAAGACCGAAAATGCCAAAGCCACTGCTGGAGATGCCACCAAGAAGGCTAAAGATGATGTCAAATTTGACCAATCCACCAAGGGCGGCAAGGGTGACAACAAGCAAACTGACAAGTCAAGTCAGCAATCTACCGAACAAGATGTCGATGAATCCAAGAAAGTCGCAGGCGAGGGCACCGACGAAGCAGAGGAGACCGTCGATGGCGCAGATGATGCGACTGAAGATGGTCATGTAGATGATCAGGGCGAGAAAGACGAGATCGACCGTCATCTCGGCGAGGAAGACTCCGATGCCGAAGAGAACCAATTCGATGAAAATGTGGCAGGGTCCCAGGAAACTCAAGACAAAGTCAAGGATACAGTTCACGACGAGTCTATGAGCAAGAACAAGGCCATCAAACAAGGCAAGAATGAAGCTGAAGACAAAGCTCATGAAGATGCCGACGAGGATGACAACGAGACTGAAAAGGCTGGATCAAAAGTTGGAGCGACTACAGAGGATGCATCCGACGAAGAAAAGCCTGAAGAAGTCCAGGAACTTCCAATCGATCTCTCTGTCCTCCAAGGTCTTGAGGTGCGCGCGGATGGCAACGTTTATGATCACGACGACCAGATCATTGGCACGCTTGTAGAAGGCGATGCCGAAGACCTTGAAGGCTACAAGATCAATGAATCTGGTGAGATCGTCGATGAGGATGACGACCTTGTTGGAGTTGTTGAACTCACTCCTGAGACCATCAAGAAGCAACTGCGTGCCATCAGAGAGGAAGGCGGAGAGCTTCCCCAGGCTGCTCTCAAATATCTGGGTGAGACTGACGATGCCGAGGAGGGTGCTCGCGATCCGCAAGAGGGTGGAGATGAATCTGACGAGGACGAGGAGCATAATCTCCCAAGCGTATCTGTTCTGAAAGGCTTGAAGACCGGCATCGATGGGATCGTATACGACGAAGAGGGTAACACCATTGGTAGAGTCGTAGAAGGTGACCCAGAAAAACTCCAGGATGCTGAACTCAACGAGCAAGGCGAGTTTGTCGATGATGAAGGAAACGTAGCGGGCCGTGGCGAGGTTCATGAGGATGCCGAGGCTCTCGTAGAGCAAGGCATTTACGAAGCAGCCCGCAAAGGCGACGACGAAGCGGCAGAAGTCTCAGATGGTGAGGCTGGGCAGAAGCCTGCCGAGGTCGAGCAGGACAGCAAGGATGCTCCTCAAGAGGCTCAGGCTGACGCTCCTGAGATTGAAGATCAACTTCCAGGAATCGAGGCTCTCAAGGGAATGTCGCTGGACGAGATCGGCGAGATTCATGACGAAGAAGGTAATATTCTGGGCGGCGTCAAGAATGAAGAATTGAAGCAGCAAATCGCAGACGGTGAGATCGACCCTACCACACTCAAGATCGATGAACAAGGTCAGATCCTCGACGAGGACGACAATGTTGTCGGCAATGTCGAGATCGCTCAAGAAGCCGCCCAAAGCTCCAAGTTGCACGACCTTCGAATTCTCAACGGCAAGAAAATCAATAGCAAGGGCGTTATCCTCGATGATGAGGGTGCAAAGATTGGTGAGCTCAGCAATGGTAATCTCGAAGATTGCAAGGGCAAGAAAGCCAATGAAAAGGGCGAGGTCATCGACAAGAAGGGAAATGTTGTTGGCAACGTCCGTGTCATTCCCGGTGAAGCTGCTGAAAACGCCACACGCGAGCTTCTCGAGGAGCTTGGCGAAGACCTGGAGGATGAGGAGCAAGATCAAGTGGAGGATCAGGTCGATAGCGAAGTCGAAGCACAAGCTGAAGATGCCGAGACCAAATCTGAACTTGGCGATGAGGATGTTGCGGATGCAGAAGAAGAGCAGGTGCAAATGCATGGAGAAGCAGCTGAAGGCTCCGAAGAACAAGCAGAGGATGAAGCTGATCAAGAGACGCCTGCTGTTTCCATTCTCGAAGGCCTCAAAGTCAACAAGAAGGGCCAGGTTCTCAATGAAGATCGTGAGCCGATCGGCGAATTGACTGCTGGCGAGCTCAAGCAATGCGCCGGAAAGAAGATCAATGCAAACGGCGAAGTGCTCGACAACGATGGCAAGTCGGTCATCGGCCATGTCCGCACTCTGCCAGAACAGCCTCAGAACCCTGGCGTCTCCGTTCTGGAAGGTCTGAAGGTCAACAAGAAGGGCCAGGTTCTGAATGAGGACGGCGAGCCCATCGGCGAGCTCACTGCAGGCGAGATCTCGCAATGCGCTGGCAAGAAGATCAACGAAAAGGGCGAGGTGTTGGACAGTTCCGGTAACGTCCTGGGTTCTGTGCGTACTCTGCCTCCTCCTGACGAAGAGCCTCAAGTAGAAGCCGAGGAGGCTGAAGAGGAGGAGTTCGATGATGGACGACCTCCCGTCTCGATTCTCGAAGGTCGCAAGATCAACAAAGGCGGCAACATCATTGATGAAAATAACGTTGTCATCGGCCAGCTGGTCGAGGGCAATGCGAAGAAGATCTATGCGGCTGGACTTTCTGCCGATGACCAAGGTCAATTCTGGGACAATCGTGGTCATGTCATCGGCCGAGCAGAGACTGTCGCCATCGAGGACCCCGAGCAAGAGCCTGAATTCGCTGGTCTCGAAGGTCTGAGAGTTGTCGAGGGCGGCTTTGTCCAAGATGTCAACGGTAACACTGTCGGCTACGTCACTGAAGGAGACCATAAGAAGCTCATTGGTCGTTCTGTCGACGAGGACGGCGATATCATTGACAAGCAAGGCTCCACCGTTGGCAAAGCCAAGCGTTACGAGGAAGAAGAGCAGCCCGAGGAGACGCCTGATGATCTCTCATTTCTCAAGGGCAAGACCGTCACTCCTGGCGGCTATGTCATGGACGACGACGATGAAATTCCTCTCGCTCGCGTGATCGAGGGTCACCCGAAGAAATTGGCAGGCAAGCAACTCGACGACCAAGGTCAGATCTGGGGCAACGGCAAAGTCATCGGCCGTGTTGAGCTCATTCCCGAAGACGAGCGTGAGGAGAAAGGCGACGGTCCATTCGCTGGCTTGAAGGGTCTTTCTGTCATCGAAGGTGGCCTCGTGGCTGATCAAAATGGCAACGTCGTTGGTGAGGTCACCGAAGGCGATCGGAAGGGTCTGGTCGGCTTGAATGTTGAGGAATCTGGCGAGATCCTCAACAAGTATGGTGTCAAGAAGGGTTTCGCCGAACCTCTTCCCGACGAACAAGCTGTCGACTATTCAGTTCTTGATGGTCTTACCTTGAACAGCAAAGGCTTCGCTGTAAACTCAGATGGCGTACCGATCGGAAAGCTCATCGAAGGCAACCCTGCTGAACTCGAAGGCCGCACATGCGATGAACAAGGCACCCTTTACGATAATCGCGGCAAGGAGATTGGGCGCTGTGAGCCCCTGCCTGAGAGTGAGCGCTTCTCACGCCCAGAAGGCCAATTTGCTGGGCTCGAGGGCCTCCGTGTCGTCAAGGGCGGCAAGGTTGAGGACGAAGATGGCAACGTAGTCGGAGAAGTCATCTCGGACAATTCCAAGCGTCTCATCGGTCTCGCTGTGGACGAAGAAGGCCGCGTTCTCGACAAATTTGGCAACAAGAAGGGCGAAGCTCAACGCATCGAGGAGGAAGACGAGGCGCCTGTCGACAACAGCGCTCTTGAAGGCAAGAAGTTGAACAAGAGTGGCTTTGTCATGGACGGCGATGTGCGCATCGGCCGTCTCGTCGAAGGCAACCTCACTGAACTTGTTGGCCGCATGTGCGATGAGAACGGTGTAATCCATGGCGATACCGGCAAGCCTGTGGGTCAGTGCATGATCCTGCCCGAAAATGAGCGTGTCACCCGCTCCGAGGGAGTTTTTGATGGCCTTGAGGGCCTGCGCGTGGTCAAGGGCGGCAAAGTTGAGGACATTTACGGCAACGTTGTTGGAGAGATCATCGAGGGTGATCCGAAGCGCTTGGTGGGAATGCACGTCGATGAGGAAGGCGAAATTGTTGACAAGTACGGCAATGTCAAGGGCAAGGCGCAGCCTTGGTCTGAAGAAGACCCAGAAGCTGTTGACCTCTCAAGCCTCAAGGGTACGACCATCAACAGCAAGGGCTACGCAGTCGATGGTAGTGGCCAAGTTCTCGGCCGCATCGTCGATGGTGATCCGAGTATCATGGAAGGCAAGAAGGTCGACGGAGAGGGACAGGTCTGGGATGATGCTGGGAACGTTATCGGACATTGTGAGCTGGTGTCTGGCATCGCTCGAGATGAAGGACCGTTTGCTGGCTTCGAGGGTCTACAGATCAATAAGGACGGATCCATCACTAATCCTGGCGGGGATATCGTCGGTCGCATCATCGAGGGTGACATCAAGAAGCTCCTCGGACATCAAGTCTCCGAGAACGGTGACATCAATGACAAGAACGGCAACCGTATCGGCAAGGCTGAGCGCTGGGAGCCCGAGGAGAAGGAACGTCGCGCCAACCCAATGGCCGGCATGCGCGTGAACAAGGAAGGCGAAGTCCGTGATGAGAATGGTGATCTCATCGGCCGCCTCACTCAGGGCAATCTTGGCCATTGTGTCGGACAAGAGATTGATGATGCTGGAAATGTCGTCGATGTGGACGGCAACAAGATTGGCGAAGTCACACTCCTTGAGAACATTGACGAGGAAACTTACGAAGGCCCGACCGAGGAAGAACTCGCCGAAGCGGCACAGCGCGACAAGGAGCGCGAGATTGCTGAAAAGATGGGCACCATCTGTCAGCAGACTCTCGAACGCATGCAACCTATCTGTAAGCAGATCTCAGACTACATGGAAAAGGCCGACCGCACGCCTCGTGACGAGCTTGACGAGGAGGATCTTGTGAACAAAGTCAAGCCACTCATTGAGGAAGGTGGTCGTATCCTCCAAGAATGCAATGGCTCTCTCCGAGGCCTTGACCCCGACGGTAAGATCGCCGCTCAAGCCAAGGGTCGCGCCGGCACAGGTGAGGCCACGCCTGAGGAATACCGCCTCGCCGAGACGCTGAAGGAACTCACCACTACCGTCGTCAAGTGTATCGACGATGCGAAGAAGAAGCTCAATTATATGCCGCACGCCAAGAAGAAGCTCAGCCCGCTGTGGGCGCTCATGACGCAGCCTCTGTTCCAGATCCTCGCGGCGGTAGGCTTACTACTCGCCGGTGTCCTTGGGCTTGTTGGACAGCTGCTCAACGGGTTGGGGCTTAGTTTTCTGGTGAATGGGCTATTGGGTGGACTGGGCATCAACAAGCTTCTTCGGTCCTTCGGCCTGCCGGATCTCGGTGGACCGAAGAAAAAGAGCACGGGAAAGAGTGCGCTTTCGAACGTCCCGCTCGTTGGCGGACTCATTGGTGGAAAGTAGCGAGTGTTTATTGATGTGGATTACGATTGATTGCCATTGGAAACAATGATATCAATTACTCAAGTGGTGGTCTGCAAAAGAAACAAGAGATATTGATATTCTGTTTGCTTGCGGTCTCATGTATTTTTATTCCTCTCCATAGCTGTGAATCAACATTCGCAGAGATTACTGTTATCTGTCAAATTTGTGAGAATATGCGAAACGGATTGACTCCTTTTATTTTCCTAAGCTGCGATGCCAAACATCGTGTCCTATGATAGTGTGCATATCGATTGTAAAAGCTGATATCCACATCCAGTATTTTCTTCATCATGGGGCAGCCAACACTGTCCTTCCGAGGCTGGATTCGGCGACCATGATCCGGATCCGCTTTGATGCTATATAGAGTACGTGACACCGGGAGGATGAGATTGCGCTGACTACGTTACACAGCGAGATCCGCATCATTGCATTAAAGTCTACCAGCAAAGCTTCAGAAAGCGTCTGACTCGAAACCGAGAACCCAGCAACGATGTCCTCTTTCCTAATCGCGAATGTGCGTATCTTCGATGGCGAGAACACTATCGAATGCGGATCGGTACTTGTGGAGGGAGGCCATATCACTCAGGTCTCCGCGCAAAAGATCGAGTACGATGGTCAAATCTTTGACAAGTCTGGACACACTCTCTTGCCGGGCTTAATTGATACTCATATCCATGCCGACGGCGGCAATCCCGTGGCGCTACCGCAATCACTCAGATTTGGGGTCACAACAGTATGTGATATGCATAATGAGTGGGAGAACATTCAGAAACTACGACGACAGATCACGGCAGGGCATTGCGCAGATCTCAAGACCACGAGTTTCGCGGCAACGATCCAAGGAGGATGGCCTGCAGCCATCGTACTGATGCATAACGACATCCCTGAGGTACGAGCCGAGATTGCAACCTGGCCGAAGCTTAAGACCGTCGAGGACGGCAAAGCATACGTGCAAGCGCGAATCACGGAAGGCGTCGACTACATCAAACTGATGCACGAATCCGGCGCCGTAATGTCCCTGAACCTCCCCAAGCCCTCCCTCGAGCTACAAAAGAGCATCATCGACGAAGCCCACGCCACAGGCCTCAAAGTCGTAGCCCACGCGACCAACCTCACCGACACCCTCGAGATCATCTCATGCGGCGTCGACGGCCTCACGCATACTTTCCTCGACCAGCCGCCGACCGCCGAGCTCATCGCGGCATACAAGCGTCATGACGTGCATTGCAACCCGACCCTCGCGGCGATGGCTTCCGGGACGACGGAGGGCCGGGCGGTACAAGAGCGCTTCGCACATGATCCGCGCGTGCAGCATCTCATCGGCCGGGAGCAGCGGGAGGCGATGTGTGCGTGCATGTCGTTTGCGCGGGAAGGATCTTCTACGGTTGAGAATTGCTTCGAGACGGTTCGGCGGTTGAAGGCAGCGGGCGTGCCGGTCCTGATGTGAGTCTGAATCTTATCTATTGGAGCATATTTGCCCCTGTAGTGCTGGCCATTTCAAGACTGACCTGTGCCGAACAGTGGATCCGATGCTGCTGGCCCGGCTAAAGGCACAGCCTGGGGTCTCTCGCTTCATCACGAGTTGTACCTGTTCGTGCAGCATTGCGGATTCACCCCCGCGGACGCCTTACGGGCGGCGACGGCCTTGCCAGCGCAACGTTTCGGGTTCGGCGACCGTGGCCGGATTCGAGCCGGTTGCAGGGCAGACCTACTTCTAGTCGAAGGTGATCCGATGAAGGACATTGCTGACACATTGAACCTGAGGGCCGTGTGGACTAAAGGTGTTTTATGCAGTACATACCGGGAAATAATCTAGATGTACAACGAAGGGCTGCGGAATATTCGTGATCGGAAAACCACCCATAGGTTTTGCATACATTGTCTCAATTTGTTGTGAAGACAGCCAAGAAGGTAAGCCCTTGCCTGTAAGCCTCTGATGGTACATACCCAAACGCCGTACAGACCCGTTTTGAAGAGCTGAGTGGAGGGATATCAATCGTGTTGTTCGTCAGATATACGAAGAAGATGGGAGAACGTCCTCCAGCAGTAATGTGCATAGATATCTTAGGATAAAGAAGTCGGCGGTGTGCAAGGTCGCTGATGGTTCCAGATTGTCTTGTGAGTGGTCCACTGGTTAGTGTAGCTGGCCTTCCCATTTACCCTCGGGCTCTGTCAAACCTGTTGGCCGGGATGAGGCGCCACTGCGCAGTCGCACTTGAAGGAACAGGTCAATGGATCTCGAACCCCTACTCATCATCAAAGTTGTCGACTTCCTCAGTGCTGCCGCTAACATGGCTGTGAGTGTCATCTTCAGGTTCTGCTCGCTGGAGTTGGACAACACCACCCTTCCGTCCAAAGAAATCGTCCGTTTGCAGTCCGCGGACCGAATCGCCATTGATTCCGCCACGGATTTTGCGGCCGCTTGCTTTGGCTATTCTGATATACTCTCGAACAGGAACCATGGCAGCATCACGACAAGCTTCCTTGATATCTGATCCACTCATTCCGGCACTTACGCGAACCAGCGCGTCCATGTCAAAAGCTGGGTTGCCGTTCTTGGCCACACTACGATCAATCTTGGTGTCACGGAGAGTGAGCTCGAAGATCGATCGCCGCTGAGCAGCGTTCGGGAGGTTGACGGGGAACTTTTTCGGCATCCGTCGCAAGATAGCCTCATCGATGTCTTGCATCCGATTCGTAGCTCCAAGAATGCAGATCTGTTGGGCGCCAGAGTCCACAGTGCTGGAAGCTAGACCATCCCAATGAGTCATGAACTCAGCCTTCACCATACCGCTTGCCTCGTGTTCACCGCTTCGACGCTGGCCCAACACGGCGTCGATCTCGTCGATAAAGACAATGGTTGGTTGAAGTTTCCGTGCCAGCGAAAAAACGGCAGCGACCAGTTTGTTGCTGTCTCCATACCATTTTTCTGTGAGTGTAGAGATGTGGAGGTTGATGAAGCAGGCACCAGACTCTCGGGCGAGAGCTTTAGCGAGCATGGTCTTTCCGCATCCAGGAGGTCCGTAGAGTAGGACGCCCGAAGGGCTGGTCAGAAGGCTTGAGTGCTTTGAATATAGGTGTGGCATAGTCAAGGGATAAATAACGCCTTCCCTCAGTTCTTCAATGATCTCGTCCAGACCGCCAATGTCGTCAAAGGTGACCGGTATCTCGTCAGGACTTACGACCTCAGATGCGATTGTTTCTTCGTATGTTGACAGGACAATTTCCTTCTTCTTTCTCCGCTCCTCGTACCTCGATGGCTGTTCATCCTCATCGTCGTCATACTCGTCTTCGTTGGCCTTCTCGTGATTTGATAGAATGTTTTGTAATCGTGAGGATGCGGCGACTGCTTTTTGTCGGGCTTCGCTTTTCGCGCCGGCTTCAGGATCAAGTCGTGAGATGATTTGTCGGGCGAGGTAATATGCCAACAGGGGCTATTGCAGAGGTTGAATGTCAGCTGCGATACCTTTCTGATTGGCAAGCCTCGCTGGCAGAGACATCGCCCGCCACAGGCTCGTGATTTGTGATCTAGATTTGACATACCGCAGCCGCGACAAGGAGTAGATCCTGGAAGAAATGGCCTATCTTCCGTTCACCTAACGCCATGGTGAAGGTTGTGTGCACTGTACTCCTCTTAACTTTCCTGCGCGTTGCTGAATATATCCGGAATCCCGACGTAACCACCGAGCCGAGATGCGATGTGGCGTTTTTGAGCCACTTCACGTGCGCCAGATGTGGCTAGGGCATTTGGTGGTCGCTTCCAAGATCTTTGGGTAGCAGGCAGCCCTGATCGACTATTGCCTTCTAGAATATATCTTACGACAACGATGCGCAGGAGTGCGGCTGTTTTTGATGGTCGTCACCTGGTTTTCTACACTGCTGCATCACAATTGGTAAGAACTGTTTGAGATATTCGCCGTGATCGTAATATTGGCGATACCGTTGCAAATATGTCTTCCAGGCGACTTTCACGCTAAATTTGGTGGGGCTCAAGTACTGTAAATTCGTCGCGTCTCCCTGGCTTGTCACGCGCGACGTGGCCGCGGATTACAGAACATAAGAGACAAACATTGAATACACGCACAACAACGATTAATTGTTTGTTTTGCTTGTGTCAGGATGGCTAGCAAAGCTGAAACATCGAACACCTCCGAGTCTGGTCCCCAAGTCTCCCTTGCACCGGGGGCTAATTCGACTCCGAACGACCAAAGGAAGCCTCACGAAGAATACCAATATCTCGATCTGATCAGAGATATTTTGCGCACTGGCGAATATCGTCCTGATCGAACTGGAACCGGCACGCTTGCAATTCCTTTCCCTCCTCAACACAAATACAGCTTATCTCGCGCGGATGGCTCGCTTGTGCTCCCTCTTCTGACCACAAAGCGCGTATTCCTACGGGCTGTTGTTGCAGAGCTGCTATGGTTCGTTGCCGGCGACACAAACGCAAAGACTTTACAAGACCAGAATGTACGCATCTGGGATGGAAATGGATCCCGTGAATATCTTGACTCAGTTGGCCTGTCACATCGAGCTGTCGGCGATCTGGGACCTGTCTATGGATTTCAGTGGCGACATTTCGGAGCGGAATATGAGACTTGCGGTACCGACTACACCGGCAAAGGTGTTGATCAACTGGCAGAGGTGATCGACAAGCTCAAAAACAAGCCTTATGATCGAAGGATCATTCTGTCCGCATGGAATCCCGCAGACTTGAAGAAAATGGCCTTGCCGCCATGTCATATGTTTGCTCAATTCTACGTTGGCTTCCCGTCGTCTTCGCCTGTGAGGGAGGACGGGACTAAGAAAGGAACCCTACACACCCTGCTTTATCAAAGGTCAAACGACATGGGTCTCGGCGTGCCTTTCAATATTGCTTCGTATGCGCTGCTAACGCACATGATTGCACGCGCGTGTGACCTTATTCCGGGGAGCCTGACGCATACGATGGGCGATGCCCATGTGTACAAGGACCACTGTGAAGCGCTGGAGCAACAGATCACAAGAGAGCCGCGAGACTTTCCAACATTGGAGCTGACCCGGGAACCGTGTTGCAGCATTGACGGCTGGACCGTAGAGGATTTCAAGGTCACGGGATACGAGCCACACAAGAGTATTGCGATGAAAATGAGCGTTTGAGTACGAGCTCGAGTGACGTTATTTGTAATTAGTACTCCCGAAAAGCACTCCACAATGCTCAATGAGGAGTGCAATCGCCTGAGCAGATCGCAACATTGATCAGTCATTTGCTTCGGTCGTCGATGAGTAGGTCCACGGTTACTTCTCAGCTTAGTGGCTAGAGCCCGACGGTGACATTCAACAAACATCTCAGGATGGAGGATGGAAATGGGAGAACAATGACTTCTGTCAAGAGATGTTCGTAAAAAATTCACCTCTTTTGTTGCATGATCAATATCTGACACCGCTCCCACGACCGGCAGACGTGAGATGCGATTTGAGCGTCGGTGTCATTCTCAACAGATCTCATTGGCCATCGTTCTCACCCGCGCGAAATCGCAGCGAAAAGCGACGATCACCGCACATACATGTAAGGCTTCGAGAATTAGCGCAATAATGGAATTTTCCGTGATGTTTGGTGTGTATGGCCAAGTCTTAAGCATCTGTGGGGTGAGGACTTGGGTAGGTAGAGGTGACATGAGGGATTTGGGCACCTCTTTAGATACAGTATTGGTGACGCGGCCTGTAGCGAACGATCTGACAGAAATTCAACACTTGCATGCTCCTGCATCGTCATTCCATAGCCGGGACACTTGTTGTATGCGGAGCGACCGGATGACTCTCTCGCATCCATGCTCATCAACTGAGATGATCCGAGTGTCCGGACAAGGCGGAAAGCTTAAACAGGGAAAATACAGACTCCGCGAGCAATTGGCGCAAGGCAAAATTGGTGATAAGGTATCGCCCGTTCGGCCAGTCACGATCGTTTACTGCAAACAGAAACATGCACTCCGCTCTGCGTAAAACACATAGCGTCACGCGATCGCATGCAGATTTTCGGGTTCAGATCGACGCAGCCCCGCCGCCGATACAAGACTACCTATCTCTCTTACAATGTAGTGTATGCACCTAGATTCACGATAGTCGGACACTGTACATTATTCGCACGTACTGTACATGTACCCCAGATGTTTTCCTCGCTTAACGAGGTACCTATCTAGGTAGATAAGCACAGCGCTCGCTTCGTATCTCGAGTCGCCTGCGCAAACATGGATGTCGGTGTGGACCACAGCTTGTGGTTAATGCAAATATCATTGCGGATGGACGCTGTTTCTTGATGATGGCATCTCGGAGTTTTGGCCCGACATCTTGCGATGATTTGTATGCGTCATCTATTGGATCGAGCGCGGGAAGGCAGATACCCGTGAACAGCCAGAAGCTTGGCAACAAGCTTTTGGCAACAGTGGTGGCGCAGCCTGCCGCCTTTCTCAATTGACAATTCTTTGATAACAGTTTTTCCGTGCTCGTCGAGACTGAAAGAGTCTTTTAAAGGTGTCGATTAGATTGTAGAATACTGCTGTGTACGATATCAGTTTAACCGGCCTGTCATGTGTTCGATTATGCAATGTCAGACGTGCTCGGATTGTATAACCATGGGTAAAAGCTGATGTGATGACAAGTCGTTTTTAGTGCGGATCCGGGTGGAGAGGCTGGAAATCTGGCTGGGCCCGTTCAGACGCCCGACTTCCATGCCCTGTCCTCTGCTGCTTCTACATGTACTACCATCCAACGTCCATGCCGCCTACCATTACATCTTCTCTACTCACACAGGGCCACACTTCGATCATTTTTGCGGCTGTGATGATCATGTCATTCGCGTGAGATTGACTTGCGACCATCGCTCGCTTCATCAATTTGAGGGCCGTCGACGCAAATCCCTCGTCCTCTTGATAGCCGGCCGATACGCGACGATCAACTTCATCTCAGACGCGCTCGCAAGTCTGACAAAATGACTTCTGTTTCATCCTCGTCGACAATGACGAGCTCGGCGACAGGCTCGCCGTCGCCATCGTCCGATCCTGGGACAAACCCCGGCACTCCAAACAATTCACCGCTACTATTCTTCGTTGCACTTGGATTTGGTGTGGTCTTCACGAACTTATGGTATTGCTTTCGCCAATGACACGAATCCAGCTTTTGTTCATAATACTGACTAAGTCTCAAAGGATTATTGTGGGCGTGAAATACTGCTTCAGATACAATCAGCGTAATCGATTACGAAACGCTGGCGCTGGTGAAGCAGAGATCGACCTAGCCACGATGGGTACCCGCCCACGCCGGCGAAGGGAAAAGAAGTTGATGTCCATGGAGGAGGTGAACGAGAGATTTCCTTTGACCAAATACAAGATGTGGCGGGTTACTCGCGAAGCACAAGGTTTGCCCACCGCTGGGGGCGTCAACGCGAATGAGGTAGCAGATGCGAAGGCGGAGGCGGCGACAATTGATACTTCACGAGACCCAAAAACTTCTTCGGAGACTGCACGTCCACCGACCGCATTGAGCGCCCCACAACAAGACCAGACACACGTTGTCCGATCTCCATCTCCAATTGGGGAAGACGTCGCCACAGCCGGGCAAGACAAAAAGCAGGAGCGCACAATCATCGTGCGGACCGAAACTGCCGACACCGTCCTCACACCGGCTGCCGAGCACTACCAGCCGATTCCAGCGGCGGAAACTCACGAAGACGAAGACGATGATGACCCAATTCGTACTGCCGCACCACCGGAGATGCTCAGCGCCCCGGGTGATTCATGCGCGATTTGCCTTGATAATCTTGACGATGAAGACGATGTTCGTGGACTTACTTGCGGCCACGCCTTCCATGCCGCTTGCGTCGATCCATGGCTTACCGGCCGTCGTGCCTGCTGCCCTCTATGTAAAGCCGACTACTACGTACCCAAACCACGCCCCGAAGGTGCCGAACCCGGCGCACCCGGCATGCCACAGCCTCCGCAATCTATCTGGCTAGAGAGCCGAGGGCCGTTCTCGCGTCCCCGAATGCTACTTCAGGGCCCTCACTTCTTCAGACATCGCGCACCCGAAAATGCTAACGAGGGACAAGCTCAGGCTCGTCCACCGGCCGCCAATGATGCGTCAGACAACAACAACAACAACAACAACGTTGTCAGACAGCAAAACGACGATTCGACCTCACGTGCGCAGGGCTGGATTCCTTCAATCCCACGCATCGGTCGTTTCAACAGGCCTCGCAACGAAGCTCCCGCTGCTGCAGGAACAAATCCTGTCACACCTCAGCAGCTTGAAGCCGGAACTCGGTGATGATGCCCCTGTTAATTCTCTTGTACCATTTGTTTATTTTCCGGTCGCCCTTCTAATCGTCGGGTGGCGCCATCACATCTCTTCAATCTTCCGTTTCACGATTGGCAAATCATGATGTATTTACGACGCAACGGCAATGGGTCAGCTTGCATTTTTTTGGGTGGGCATTCGGCGTACAGGGCTAGGGCGGCAATTTGCAGGTACTTTTAACTGGGAAATTCTGAATTTCAATTACTCACTCCTTGGTTTTCGCTTGTCTCTGATTCTGCGCTGTTTTGTCCTCTCGTGAAATGATTGTGATATGGTGCTTATGTAGGCCAAGATTCTGTTCTAGCCCGGAACACGTGCTCCTGCGATGTCCTTGTCGCTCTAGCAGTGGAGAATAATTGTGATGTTCGCATGGCCGTAAAAATCAATTCGTTGTGCATATCATCCTCCTAATTAATCTCATGCGCTAGAGGGCTGAACGTCCTTATCATTGGCAATGTCTAGATACATGGTATTCGAAGACTTCTGTGCTTTCCGCGCGCTCTCCTCCTCCCGACTCAGCCGGTGCTCGATCAATGACGTAGTGCGTCGTTGCCGCATCATAATAAAGTCGCCTCACCTCTTACATCGGACGTTACCAGGCAAGTAGCCATGGTGTGCGCAAGGACTCTTCGTATATATAGTGTTCAGAATGTGGAAATAGTTCTCAGATGGTGGCTCGGCCTGATATTGTTGTGCTGGATACAAATGGAATATCGAAGGAGGGACTACGGCGTGACACGGGAGGACGTCATTCCAGGATCTTGAGAGACTGAGCTAGCTTCATGTGAATTATAAGATCCTCTGTTGTTACTGTAATGACACCACCTCGCAATCCTTTGTCGCTCCAATTCTTGTCGCGTGCATAACGAAGTCTTCCCCTAAGAGACCGAGCAATTCAACAAAGAACCATTTCCCATCGAAATTATACTCAATATGGCATCCTCCGCCGACAAACTAGTCCCGTCCGACCCGGAGCAGGTGATGGTCATCCGCAAGATCACGCCCGATATCACAATCTGCAGCACACCGTTCCGAAGGTTCGGCAAGGTCAAGATTGGCGGCCGTGGCACGATTGTTCGCCTGCAGACTGGAAATGTAGCAGTATTCTCGCCCGTCGCCTTGACGGACTCCGTCAAGAGAGAGACGCAGAGTCTGGGCAACGTCAAGTACCTCGTCGCGCCTGATCAGGAGCATCACATTTTCGTTGAGGAATGGCACAAGGTAAGAACGATCCCCTAATTGCGAGAGCCTGCTCGCAAAGACTTCCAGAGCGTTGGTGTGCGATGCGATCGCGCAAGGCTCGTTGGACGAGATGAGGTGAGGTCGAAACACAAAACCATCAAGGTCGCTGATATTCACGTCACGTACAGGCATATCCCGAAGCCAGTGTGATCGGACCCGATACTCTTCCCGGACTCCGCAAGAAACAAGGCTATCTCGAGATCCCCGCAGCGCTATGGAAACCTTTCATCGCCAACAAACCCTTGTCCATCTCTGAAGAATTCGATCGCGAGTTCGACAGCGAATACGTCCACTCGCACGCAAACAAGGAGCTCGTCTTCAACCACAAACCCAGCGGCACGCTCATCGAGGCAGATCTCATCTTTAATCTCCCCGCAACCGAGCAGATGAGCAAAAGCGGCGAGAGCGCCGAGACGGGCGTCCTGACCAAGATCTTCAACTCATTGCAAAACACGCATGGTGACGCCAAGGCCCAGAAACGCTTCCTGTGGTACGCCATGTCTGCCGCTGACCGACCGGCTTTCAACGCGAGCATGAGGAAGATCAACTCCTGGCAATTCGATCGCATCATCCCCTGCCACGGCGACGTCATCGAGACTGGCGGAAAGGGTATCTTCGAGAAAATCATGGAGTGGCATCTCAAGGGCGAGAAGCAGTAAGTGGAGAGGTTCAGGTTTGGTTGGAGGTGTGGATTACGGGATTGTATTACTAATCGCATCGTAATGTAATGGTCAAAGACATGATGATCACCACGCTCTACCGCTCGTGTATGTTCGAGGCATTTCATCGTTTTTTGACCGAATGACTGCTACAACCCACTGGAGATAATTACCTCCGACTCTAGGTTCGAACCGTATATTTGAAGTTGTATGTACATCTGCATATGTCTTAACGAATGGATAAGCGCAAGCTCGTCAGCAAGGCTTTGTGGCACGCATGGTCGCCACGGTAAATTTGTCGAGAGGGCCCGTCGTTGGTCGTACGCTCGATCTCCTTGGTGAATTTCTTGGGAGGACCCAGTTTTGGTTGCATGGTCTTGATACAGCATCTAGCAAGCGTTTGGCGCCCAGTGGTAAGAAGGCTGGTTGGAGACTCCATTGTTCAGGCGGTATTTGGTCTCCTGGGTGATATCGACGTTGGAAAATCCCTGTGTCGTGGGAGCTCCGCCGCAGCCGCCGGACGGGTAAGCATACAAGCAGTAGGGGCCTGCCGCTGTACCGCCGAATACCACTCCGCCTTGGTCGAAGGCGACTTGAACGGCGTTGGGGACTGAGAAGCAACCGGTATTGCCGACGTCGAAGTTGGTGCTGGAGACTGATGCGCCGGTGCCGTCGTAAAACAACGAGTAGACATCAGAGGCAGAGGCAGACGAGGCGAGGAGGCCGACGAATGCGATGACTTGCTTGTTGAAGTACATGTTGCTGAGTGTTGATGTAGCAAAGAGCTAAGAAATAGGAAGGTTTTGTGTGATATTCTTTGAAAGTGTTGGTGTTGATGAATCGATTGCTTGGAGACTTGGTGGGATTACCGCCTTTTTATGTCTTCCCCCGTTGCTCAAGGAAGCGAATGGTCAGCAGTGTGAAAGACAGGTGATTGAGGGCTTTGATGATCCTTTACCGCATCGGCATGGACTCAAAAGGAGATCTCCAGCTTCAACGCTGACGTATTGTCAGAGTCGCATCGCGTTCACAGTCATGTAGTAGCATGATCATGGATTGAAGGTCAGCTTAGACATAAATCCACAATCAGCACATAGACGTAGCCTCCGTCAGCGTAAGGATGTATTCACACGTAGACTCCATCCTATTGCTGACGTTGGATGTTGAATGAGTCGTGGTTCCAGCACTGCATCGCATGTAACTTCGTCTTGCCAATTATCTGGAGCTGTACAATACGTGTGATTGGTTCGAGTTGGCGATCAGCACAGGTACAAGTTCTCTGTTCCCAATCGTGAACTATCGTCTCAGTCCAGTAAAGTACATATGTTGCATGTGATGGATTACAGATCATCGCTGAGTCAAGTATCGAGCTCTGAGCACTCATTTCGACCACAATACTGAATGCATACAGTTCCATGCAATTGTCACAATTGTTGCGTTCAAGGTCAGCCCTGGATGGAGGTTTTAGTATGCAAACTGATCGACGGTCAGCCTGAACACGGACCAGTTATGAGCATAAATGCACTTCGACTGTCAGCATGCTTGAGGTTACATTCGTAGTCTTCGAGGCTCCGGTCGCTTTGGAAGCGTGACAAAGGCTACTTGTGACATGGAACGACTGGAGATGGCATGCTTGCATGTTGTGTCTCCTCATTAGGCTGGTCTGGTATTGGCAAACCCGACAGAGTCAAAGGGTGAAACGGCGATGTGCGGTACATTGCGTGTACGTTTGCTTGAATACATTTTCGATGGTGATCGGCATCTGTCCGAAATGTCACTTGTCGCGTCCCGTCGTAAGGTGGTGGACGATTGAAGACGCCCTGGAACGACTCGGCCGACGAAGCGGCATACCTAGTTAGCGCACTCAAGGGATCGGGGGCCAGGGCTGTGGCGAGCTCCAGGCGGACATGATTGGTATGAGTTCACACTGCCGTCAACAGACCACTGAATATTAACAGCCCGAAGATATCCTCGCTTCGGCTTGTGCAAAGAGCTATTTTTCGTTGGAGGTCGCCATTATGTTGACCTCGACCCTCGGCAAAACCTTGGTGGTTAACTGAACGACCAGTGATCAGTGTAGTCGTAGTAATTGTATATTCATGTCGGGTGAACGTCACCGCACTACGTAGGAACGGACCAGCCCGTCTGGCATTGACCCTCGCGGAATGCGGCTCAACATTTATGAAGCTCGCGCGTTTAAAATGTATGATGCAGTGATGCACATCATATTCACCGACGGACATTTCTTGTCCAGACCGTCATGGCGCATGCAGTATTGTCATCAAGATCCCTGAATAATTTGTTGGCGCTGCCACCAAGACTGCGGCGATCGCTCTACACAGCCGCGACGGGCACATCGACAGGTCTCGAGATCTACGATCTTGTCTGTGTTGGAGGCGGCCCTGCTGGGTTATCTCTTATTTCCGCATTAAGGGCCCATGCATCAACGAGAGATCTCAAAGTCGCCTTGATCGATGGCCAGGAACTAAAAGTAGCTTCAAGTCCTCCAGATTCGTCAGCATTTTCAAATCGATGTTCCTCTCTCACGCCATCATCAGTACAATTCTTACATCAGATCGGAGCATGGAATCACCTCGACTCGAGTAGGACGCAGGCATATCATGGCATGGATGTGTGGGATGGAGTAAGCGGGAGCAAGATTCAATTTGAGCCGCTGGCGGCATCTGCTGGGTTGGTGGGAAAAGTGGTGGAGGCTATACCGGGCAGCAGATTTCGTGAATCACGGAAAGCATATGGAGCGCAAAATGATGGAACAGTGGCAACGATGTGCGAGAACACAAACTTAAGCTCTTCACTGCTCGCCAACCTCCGTGGCAATCAAGGTCAGGTCGAGATCATCGACAAGACAAAGGTCGAGTCCATCGAGTTGGGCCCAGAACCAGCCGACGATGGGTCACTTGACTTTTCGCAATGGCCAATCCTGACTCTCCCGGGAGGTCGCAGTCTAGCAGCGAGACTACTCATCGGTGCAGATGGAGCAAACAGCCCGGTTCGGAATTTTGCTGGCATCCCTAGTCACGGATGGGACTACAATCAGCATGGAGTTGTCGCCACGCTACAACTCGATCGCGAATTCAGCGAAGCAGATCTCAGAACGGCATACCAAAGGTTCCTCCCGACAGGACCAGTTGCTCTTCTCCCACTGCCCGGAGCCAGGGCAAGTTTGGTGTGGTCCACTACAGCACCATCAGCTGCAAAGCTGAAGCAACTGTCCTCGGATGATTTCATCGCACTCGTCAACGCGGCCTTCCGTCTAGTGCCAACAGACATAGACTTTGCACTGCACAAATCTGATGCACCTGCTGAGGAGGTGGCATGGCGAGAACCTAACACCAAGGCGAGCGAGACTGGCCTCCCATCCTCATTCCCGCGCATCCAAGCCGTGCAAGCAGGCAGCATTGCTTCATTCCCGCTACGCATGCGCCATGCATCGACATATACCGGCCACCGCGTCGCGCTCATCGGCGACGCTGCACACACAGTCCATCCTCTCGCAGGCCAAGGTCTCAATCTCGGCCTCGCAGACGCCGAAGCCCTAGCGAAGCGCATCGTTAATGGCGTGGAGCACGGCATGGACATCGGCACTTGCTGGTGTCTGGACGACTACAACGCGGACCGGTGGGCGGCGAATAATGCTATGCTCGGAGTAGTGGATAAGTTACAGAAATTGTATTCGGTCGGCTCCGGACCTGTCGTCTGGGCGAGAAGTCTTGGGCTGGACGTGGTTAACAGATTGGGTCCGCTCAAGGGTTTCTTGATGAACGCTGCGGCGCGATCATGAGGGGGAGTTGTACAATGTAATATACAACATTCGTGCCTGGCGCATGTATCTCTAGTCGTCTTATTTCCTTCTTTTGATTATAGGGAGGACAGGCTGAACCCGAGATCTGTGTTGACCCGACAAGCGCATTCTGAATATCAATAAGGAAACGACCAGAGCCAATAAATTGTTCTGAATCGCCTTGTTTTGCGCGATATCGTTCACTACATGTGTCATGAAACGAAAAAGAGCAAGGATTATGGTCAGGATTGCGGTTTCCTGATGGGAACAGATATCCATGGTCGCATTCAACTCGAACCAAGAAAGAGATTATGTACAATTTGCACTAGACCAAAAACCTGGACGTGGACAAGCGTGCAATATGAGCAGAGCCTCCGGGAAAGCAGTCGCAGTAGCAGGGGGTATCTCGCGAGTAAGGGACGAACAAGAAAAGGAGATCAAGCCAGCAGAGCATCAAGAGACAAAGATTGGTAATCGCGAATTCTTTGCAAGGGAACAAAACCATTTCAGTACAGCCACCCGGGAACGACCGTTTCCGCTGAGCATTCTCAGCTAATTATCCAAGAGCGCATTTGGTTTCATTGCTAGCGCTGGCTCTTTGGTGGGCTTCGAGGTATCTTGCTGTCACTTGCAAAAGGAATATGTCCAGAACTGGTCCAGACTGGAAGTTGTGTAGGACGCACAGCCGCTTTCGGAGGTAATGGAGCAGCAACAGGTGCGATATTGCTCTGAGGCGGCACCATGTTACCACTCTGTTGTTGCCGACTTGATGAATCCATGCCAGATGATTGCGTTGTCATATGCGCGTCGCTTGGCTCAACTGGTGAGGGGGCAATGTCCGGCATTACCTGCGCCACCGCGGCACTGTCAAATGATAGGCTCCACCGTGGTAGTGCAATGTCACTGCCTGGTTCGTTGGCGTAGGTCACCATCGGTGGCTCTGGCATCAGCAGGTGTGATGCGGGTGCAGTGAGAGGTTGCTCGTGAGGAATACCAGATCCAGTGTTGATGATGTCTTCTGCGGAGGGAAATTCGTCGAACACTGGTAGAGTGATGGTTTCCTCCGGAGCCAACGCTGGCGGGTTCGAAACGAGCGAGTCGTGTTTAGTGGTGTTCGTGGTCTGGTCGAACCTAGACACAGTGCTAGGTGCTCTTGGGGGTGGGCGTGACGCAGCTTGACTTTGTCCTGTCTGCAGCAAGGCCCCGACCTTGATTGGCTTACTCGGAACCCCATCTTGACCTCCAGCGGCTTTCTTAGCCGCAGCATTCAGGCGACGCGTTTCTGCGCCTTTGAGTGCACGCGCTCGCCTCTCAGCATCCAACTTCTCCTTTTGCTTCATATCATGCTGTTCCCTCGTCGTGCTTACTTTGAGAGTGATCTTCTTCATACCAGAAGTGAGACTGTCAACGTCGTTATTACTCTTCGCGGAGTTACTCTTGCTGGTCAGCACAGGGTTGCTGGGCTTGGCCGGCAAGGGCCTTGATGTAGGCGTTGGCCCGCGGGAAGGCAGTATATCTGTCTTGCGACTTTTTGAGACCACCCGCGGCTTCTGCGCATCCGCTGCGCTTGACTGTGCCGGCGTCGGCGTGGCAACATTGATACTAGGTAGAGCTGGAACAGGTGGTGCTTCGGGATCAACCTCTGCGCTAGAAGCTCCCAGATTACTACCTGCACTTAAGCGTCTACTAGCTCTTCTGGGTGGCGCGGGCATTGAGTGGTCTGATGGGACAAAATCGATGGTCTCTCGCCGGCTTGACCTGCTGATTGCCCGATACATGTCCGATTCATCCCCTGCCGAGCCATCGCCGTGCGTGGGGGCTTTGCTTCTTCGATCGCGCAGCTGTCGCAAAGGAGCGGTCGACTCAACTGGCGTCGTGCTCTCGCGCTCCTTTTTGCTGCGTGTCACCGCAAGTTCCTCTGCAGTAAAACTCCTGGTCTGCCGCTCCGTCGGTATAAGAAGCTTGGAAAGTTCCTGCGTCGCGACAACCCAATCTACCTCCGGCGGTGGAGGGGTTGGTGGGCGAGTTGGTATCGGCGCTTCGCGCATAGTGCCCGATACTGATCGCGCAAACTTGTTTGCGTCGACGACTTTGTACGCGAATGATTCAGTTGGCGTCGCATATGTTGGCTGAGGTCCAGCACGGCCTTTCTTCGCTTGAGGCGGCGGTGGCGGGTTTATTTTCTGCTCAAGTGCCGTAAGATTGTTCAAAGACCACCAGTCCTTGCGATATGTCGGTTTCTGCTCGGCACCATTATTCAAGGTCATGCCGCCAAGCCGGGAGCTCAGGTCATCCGAATGCTGCGACGGGTTGACAGAGGCTGTGGTCGGCGCGGTACAGAGGCCGGACAGATGGCTCAGCACTCCACTGCACAGCGCACGATCACTATAGCCTCCTTCGAGCACGCTGATCACGCGACCATCGCATTCAGATTCTGCTTCTTGAGCTAATTTGACCAAGTCCTGCGTGAATCGGGCATAGAACTCGGTAGGAACATTGACTTTGTGTCGTTGCATGCCGGGGCTTTCCCATTCGCTCGCATCGAAGCCTGCAGACAAAAATATGGCAGCTTTTGGCGCTACCTTTTTCTCCTCTCGAATACGAGCGGCATGATGTTGCAAGAAGGCTCTTGCTTTCTCAATCAGTACGAGGTATCGGTCTTCGTACAAGCGCCAAAACTCGTCCTCATCCTTCCATGGCAGCAAGTGTATGTTCCATATAGACTGATTGTGAGCATTGTCGATGCACAAACTTGCGGCCTGAACTTTTTCGTCGTCCCCCATTTCGCAGGGATAACTGTTGATGTCATGCAAGCTGTAGTATCCAATATCCGGACCGAGTTTCTGCTTGGTCGATGGTTTTGCGTTCAAGCGCTTGGCATTATTTTTGCTGTTGCGATCCCAGGCGATTGCCTGACTTCCGTCACCATGGTGCAGATCAAAGTCAAATATTGCCGCATGCGTCAGGCCATATGTTTGCGCGGCATACTCAATTCCGACGTGGACGTTATTCAGCCAACAGAAGCCGCTAGGGTGGTCCGTAGAGCAGTGATGTCCGGGAGGTCGTACCGCAACGAAAGCGCGACTTGTCTTCGACGGCTGAAACACTGCGTCTACGGCATCTGCGACGCCTCCTAACGCACCTTGAAATGCATGAATCGACTCCGACGCCAAATAGAGGTCTCCCTCGTGTAGTTTGTGACTATCCGATTGCAATGCAGGGTTTGTACGCTCAAGCTCTTTCGCACCCGAAGCAAGTCGCTCAGGCGCGGCTTCACACATGCTCCTTAGCTCCGACATCCATGCAGTACCATGCACATTAGTGACAAATGAGGACATGATGTCGAGCGAGCGATCAGAACGATTGATTCTGAATGGCGGTGTCGAGGCAGTGACTTTATTTGGATGAGGCGCATGTTTCCCACCTGCATGGTGCGCGCCCAAACGAACGTACGCAGTTGATGCTCCCAGAATGCTGGCATGTATCCGCTCTGGCCTCTCGACAATCATAGACAGCATTGTTTTCGTCGCCTTCTGTCGTGAAAAGCGATGTCCATAGCAGGCGTCGTGAAAGATCACGACCGTCTCGGGCTGCTCCTCCTGTGTCGCATGATTTGCCAATTCCCTGGCAAAATGATCAATTGCGATCTGGGATGCTGTGAGTGGGATGGGCTCTTCTATTGACTCCATGGTCGTCTGTGCCTCTCTTAAACCTGCGATCAGATTGGAAATTGATCGCTTCGGGGTGGGTCTCCTCCCACTATCCTCGAGTGATCCATCTAAAGACGGTCTCGAAGTTTTTCTCACAAGTTTCGGAGCCGGTGAGCCAGTCTGCCGATGCTGGCTCGCTGAGCTGGATGGGCGGCGTGCGGACGGAGGCCGTGAAGTTGACCGGAAGGGTATTGGAGAAGTTGCTGGCTGCGAAGGGCGACGTGACAGGGGCGTTTTGAGTGCTGGTGTCGGCGGTCCTGAAGAATGGGGACTCCTGGAGTCGAGGTCTCTTGTGCTCAAATGCAGCCCAGTATCAAAGGCTGCCTGTTGCAGGGGCATGTGTTCTGGTCGTCCATGATCTGACAATTTTGCAGGATCCATGACGGCGAATATGCGAATGGTTGTTCCGCCTCTCAAACAGACAACTTGTGTATGTTATTTGTGACCATGGACAGTATGAGGTGATGGATCAGTAGATGGTGGTGGACCCTGAGATATACAATAATAATGCGCTGCAATTGAAGCTCCTTGTCGCGTGGCCGCCCGGGCGTGCGACGCGACAAAATTGCCCACGGCGATGTCATCCAATTACATAATCCTGCACCCTGGAACTGACTTACCAAGTTTCACCCGTTCAATCTTCGGGAGAACGCTTGTTCACAATTCCAGACCCCTCAAGCGATCATCAGGGGCATCACACGTGTATTCTCGATCTACAGCACAGGCTCTTCGCGTGTTGAATCAAACTTCACGTGCAGCGGGAAGCATGTCGCCCATGGTCACGACCTTGAACATTCCCGTATTGGAGTCTTCACCTCGGAAAGAGATGTGAATTGCGCCACACTCATTCGATGCTGGAGGGGGAACGCCCGCCGAACGGCCAAGCGGGGCGAGTGCTCCGATACTGATGACAACCGCAATACTACCTAGGTATGTGAATGTCAGGTACCTAGGTAACCTTCACTGACCATGATATAACGAACATCATTTGGGCGGTACTTTATCGATCCGGGAGTGTTACAGTCCACGGGTGACTGGCTCGAGGCGAGACCTTGTTGTATTTCCTGAGAACACCTACACACTTCAAATTACAGTATCGGACAACCTACCTCCCGATACAACAAGACCACTGCCCAGGTGACTTAATGCTTGCGAACTGATGAATCGTGATTGGTATGTTTGGATAGTAGTAGCATCGTGTATGTCTCCATCACATAGGCACATTGCGCCGTCTTCATAGTGTTTCGGTATCGAGTGTGGCACCTGCTCAAATGAGATATGCAGGTATCTACTGTTCTTATCATTGTCGATATTTTCTTGCTCTCCTTGAGGGCTGCGAACTTTTTACTGATCGCCATAGTAGGATGTGGCGCAGTCATAATCCTGGGCCAACAAATCTCCTACTGTCCTTCCGACAGAACTAAATACCTGAGTATCGTGCAAACTCTACGGCGCTCCTAATTTGGGGTCCGGCAAAGGATTAAGGGTTGCCCAAGTGGATTTTTATGTCTATAATTGTCTAAAGATGGGTGTGCCACAGGAATCTCACCGACCCGCGTACAATAGCATTCCTCCTACAGATTCGAATGTTTCGCCATTGCACGCCATGGCAAGTCGGCATGATCCCTCCGTTCGGGTGGAAGGTGGACCCAAGACCAAGACCAACTAAGTTCTCTAAGCTAACAAGTGCTGACTTCTTGAGGCTCAGTCCGATGGTGGTCAGGCAGGCTCGGAGTGTCGTGATGTGCGACCCGCGCACCTAGGTAACATTCACAGATTGGTATATAGATAGGTAGGCAAATGTATCTCTTCTGAAAACCTCTTCCAACAATCTAGATAACGTCGGACATCCGAGGGGACAATCTTCCAATGGGCCGTTCGATCTCTATTTGCGCTCTGGCGAGGTTGGGCCTTTGCTGGTCATTCTTCATCAGTATCGCTTACGCAGGTGCTCAAGTCACGACCTTTTCTCTGCCCACCCTCAATGATAGATCAAATAGCAGGGCGTTAGAAATCGAACAAACTCGCAATGGTTTCTTGTACGGTCCAGGCTCGGATGGTCAAGGCCCGCCATCTCCATCGGGCCCTCTTGGGACGGCGTTCGTCACTGCGGATAGTGGGATTGTCAACACCGAAGCGTTTGCCCAGCTCAATATCTCTCAGCACGATTACGCTGCTGCGAAGGTCGCAGAGGTAAAGGCAAAATCCCCTTAACAGTGAAGATAAACACACAAGGCTAACTTTGAATGCAGTATGATGGACTGAAGACATTGCAGGACTATGAGGGTCTCTATGATGGAGAATGGCAAGCAAGCGCTGGGCCGAATGGGGTCGATCCAGGAATGCTCACGAACTATACGCAAGACCTGTTCTTCTCGATGGAGCGTCTGTCATTAAGCCCATTTGCCATTCGGCGGCTATACCCGGTGCACAATGGCCTGCCTTTCGATATTCCGGACGAAGTCTGCCAAAATATCACTGGACAAACGATCGCGGGGCTTTTGGTCGAAGGACGGTTGTTCTACATTGACCACAGCGCACAGAGGCACCTGAACAAGACTCCAGACAAGTACGTACCCGCCTGCGATGCGTACTTTTACATCTCACATGACAAAGGCGATCTCATGCCGTTGGCCATTCGATCGGACAATGAGAAGGACCTCATATACACTCCTCTTGATGCGCCAAATGATTGGCTGTTGGCCAAAATGATGTTCAACGTCAACGACTTCTTCTTTTCGCAAATTCATCACCTCGCAAATACGCACTATGTCGCAGATGTTGTGTACCAAGCTGCAATACGGACCATGAGCCGGCAGCATCCCGTTCTCGCCATCATAAGTCGATTGCTCTACGGAACCTTCGGCATCCGTCCTTTGGCTCTGTCGGCTCTGATCAGACCAGGAGCGTATATCGATCAATTTTTCGGGATCACGGGCGAGGCCGCAAAGATATTCGCCAATGAGGAGTACTATAGTGGATCTGCTGGCGCTGTGAGGGGCAATTACTTCCGCGAGAATCTTCGCCGCCGCGGTTTATTGGACTCCTCTCTCGGACCGGCAATCAAGGATTTTCCATTTCTCGAAGACGTCGAGCCGATCCACGACGCGATCGCGAAGTTCATGGAAGCGTTCGTTGCTTCGTTCTATGGAAATGATGCTGCCGTGTTCGGCGACAAAGAACTCCAAGCGTGGCTGGTGGAAGCCAGCGGCCCTGCTCAAGTCATCGATTTCCCAAACGCTTCAACGATGAAATCGCGTCCGGAGCTTGTTGATCTCCTCACTCACATTGCACATCTCTCCTCAACGGCACATCATCCTGTGAACACAAACCAGCTTTTGACCGGATCCGCCACTTTACCATTCCACCCGACGGCTCTGTATCGCCCGGTGCCCTGTGGAAAAGGCGTAGAGGATGTTGTGCCATTCCTGCCTCCAAAGGAAAAAGCTCTGGGCATGATCAACCTGGCGGCGAATTTCGCTCGGCCTCGTTTGGCAGACACTGATCGTTCACTAGTTCATATGTTCGACAACGCGACGATGCTTGCAGCAATGAACGAAGCAACCCGCAGAGCAAATGTGGAGTTCATGGAGGCCATGAAGGCTAGAAGCGAGATCGTCAGGAATCGCGAGTTTGATGCGCATGGGCTCTCCCAAGGCATGCCGTTTGTGTGGAAGGCACTGGATCCCAATGTCGCCCCTTGGAGTGCGAGTGTGTGATGAGTGACGCCGTCAGGAAATTCTCACCTGAACAATCAGACTACATGTAGCTGTGGATTGTGCGTTTCATGTTTGATTGGAATCCTGGTTGAAAAATGAATGCGCATATTGTATCATACCAAAGAGGCATAAATTAGTGATCGGAGAGTACGTAGGTAGTCTAGTGCGTGTGAAGTTCGTTGGCGCCAGTGGTTGCAAAGGTCTTTTCATCTGCCCCACGCAAATCAGGCATTACCTACTGCATGCTCGAAACGCGCTTCGATACCACGATACCTAAAGTTCGGTACAACAGCAGAGCACCGTCTTTTGCTCGCGCCGTCCTTGAATGGTCGCCTGTGGTGGAACAATCTCTCATTTCATTGCTTTCTGATCCCTGTGCTGCGCTCGAGCATTTGACTGGCTCCGCCTTTGATGATTCGTGACACCGGCAGTAATTAGCCGCTTGCCGTAACTTGATCCAGACTTTGCCCGCACATACCGAGCGATCACGATTGAACACGCAACTCACGAGACCATATTCACGACCTTGACACGAGATACACTCGACCTTCCTGAACCACGTGCATTCCAGTTATTCGCACTCGAGAAGCGCATACACATTTGACATTCTCGAATCCCCAACACATCGGCAAGACATGACTAGAAGTACCCGACAGCAGACGAAAGCAGCATCCTCCGAAGCCATGGTCGCCAAGCAAGAGAATGGGTCGGGGTCAGATAATGACAGTGGTGAGAAGCCCGTCCGCGAAAAGCTGCAAAAGGCTACCATCGACGCCGAGAAAGGCTCCGCTGAGACCGATAATGTCAAAGGCGAAGTCAGTGCTACATCAACATCTCACACCGATACGAGTGAGCAGACAGTAGATACCACCGCTGGCTCGGTCGGCCGTCTGGAGAAGAAGAGAAGTCACGAAGACATGGAAGAGGGTGTGGTAGAAGAGGACAGTACCACGCAACACACGCGCAAGCGATCAAGAGATGGCAGGGCCGAAGATACCGATTCTGCAGGTTCCAAGCGCAGAGTGGCTGAAGATGAGGACACTGATGATCGAAATGCAAAAAGCGGAGATCAGCCTAGCACCGCCGAGACTAGTGCCGAGCAGAATGACGAGCCGGCTTCTGCGGGTGACTCCACTGACGATAAGGCAAAGGACACCACTACAAAGGAGAAACTTGAGGGCGCAGATCAAGGCGAGCAATCTGAGCCTTTCAAAGGCGCCAGCCTCAAGCGCCCTGGTACTCCAGAGAACAAGCTCGAAACCGACCCGGAAGCTGCTATCAAGTCAATCACAAGCCCCAAATCTAAACGATCACGGCATCTCGAATCGTCGGTTACAGACAAAGAGCTGAATGGGACTGCGGCAAGCGCTGAGTCAAAAGCCGACGCCAAGGCCAGAGAACCTGATGCTGCAAAGGGTAGCGCTCCAGAAGCTGCGGCTACGAAGGACGCCCCACCGGCATCAGCTCTGCCGTCTCAAAGCGGTTTCGGGAACGCATCATCAGCATCGCCTTTCGGCGCGCTCGGCGGGAGCAAGTTGGGCACGGAAGCAAAATCAAACTCCTCAGACTCGTTTCAAAAATCTGGTTTTGCTGCGCTCGCTGGAAAACCAATGTCAGGATTTGGCTCTCTCGGCGCGACATCTACGGGACTTGGAAACTTTGCATCAGGGCCGAAGGACGCGAAATCTGGTACCAAGGAGACCGAGGCGAAGCCATTGAGCACTTTCGGCGGCGCACTCGGGCAGAAATCGGCGTTTGGTGCGGCCCCGGCAGGTGGCAGCGTCTTTGGCTCGGGCACTACAAAAGGTGGATTTGGAGCAGGCTTCGGGAGTGCAGGTTTCGGCGCCCTAGCTGGTGCGCCAGGAGGGCTTTCCAGCTTCGCCAGCGGCAGGCCCGCTGCCGCACCTGCCACGAAAACGAAACCTGCCAAGGCATTTGGGGCACCGGCAGACGACGAGGACGAGGAAGACGACAACGAAAATGACGACGAGGACGAGGGTGAAGGCAAAGAAGGGCTTTCGACGGACCCTGAAGAGTCCGACCCTCGATTCTTTGCTCAGGAGTCTGTTACCGGTGAAGAGGAGGAGAGGACAGAATTCAACAACCGGGCCAAACTCTACTACTTCGGCCTTGTGGACGGTGTGAAGCAATGGCGTGAGCGAGGCTCCGGTGTCCTGAGGCTAAATGTAAAAAAGCCATCTGCCGACGAGCCAGACGCACAACCGCAAGCTAGACTGCTCATGCGCGCTGACGGCTCGCATCGCGTCGTTCTCAACACGATCGTGAAGAAAGAGCTCAAATTTGGCGATCCCCAAGGCGGGCCTCCTCAAGGCGGCTCGCTTCTATTCATGGGCACCATTCCGGGAGTGGAAGAAGACAACACAGGAAAGCTAGAGCTTTTGCAAATCAGGGTACGTCATCGGGGGGATTAAAAAAGTGTGACCAAAGACTCAGGCTGACACGAAACATTACAGATGAGACAACTCTCCACCTTGGAGCTCTACGACAAGATTGTGAAGCTGCAAAAGGCTATGTAAATGCATGCAGAGTCTAGGTGCACAGGGTGGGACCATGGACGCGGTGGTGCTCAGGAGCATCAGCTACGTTCCTTTGGATCAGAGCCATCCGCCACTCGTCCCGGAGATTGAGCAAATTACATGGGATATAGAGACGATAACGATGTACGGCCTGGCGATGTACATGGCACGAAAGGACCATGAGTGTAGAGCAGAGCTCGGACAACGAGAGATGACTTTGTTTTTGACTGCCGAGGTGATTGAGCTTCGGCAGACCTGGGAGCAATGTAAATGCTGATTCTTTTGTTATCATTTTGTTTTGCATGTGCAAGTATGAAATGACTCGCCGGTAAATATTGACCTATGATAGGTCCAGCTTCTCGGGCCAATACGTTCTTACGATGCATTTGCTCGTTTATCATTGGTGAATTTGATTGTCAAGGGAAGATCGTTCAAACATCACCATCGCCATTTGGTCAACAAGAAGTACGGGAATGTCGCACCGAGTGGAATGATGGGCCTTGATAGAGCGAGAAGCAGGAGTCTTGCGGGTGACATTCCGAGGTTGAAGTTCACCCGTAGACGTGGGCAGATCCGCGGTGCATTATTACTTAGAGAGTTATCGCCCGTCACTCCATAACGGGATCGCCCATCAGATCCTTGGTTTCAATATTCCAAGGCGAAGGAGCCATCCCCGGTTCTTTACAAGTCTGGAATTTAGGAAGACTGCGAAGGTCTAGACGAACGCCCACAGGGTGTTCATCACATCAACAGCACTGCGATCTGACAAAGGGACGGTTCCTGAAAAGTCCCTGATACCCGCCATGCTTTCTAAGCGCGCGACGTGAGCGGCCCATGCGTCGGGCGCACTTTTCGGGAAGAACGACGTACCGAACGGTTCGTCGAAGCTTCCGCAGTCCGGGGCTGCTGCTGAAGTAATCACCATCATCGTTTGTTCCCATCCGTCGAAAAAGCCGGTCATGACGTGCGTGGAGGCTTGGCTGTTATTCTAGGCTGAATCTCTCTGACTCTCCCGTCTTATTACTGCCACTAACAACATGCTCACCCATATCTACGACAATTTCAATCATTTTATTATAGCGCCAATGGTTTGCCGGCTTTTCGGTCTTTCGATCTCTCCGCCTCCCCTAGGTATCGATCGCGCCATTACGTATGCCACGTTTTTGGGGGATTTTTAACTCCGATGCTGTGGGTGAATGTCTACCGCGCTTGCTCTTTAGGCAAGACGCATGTGAAAATAGTGATGATGCGCTTCTGATGGCGATGTATTTAATCGTTTGAAATAACAATTCCTTGTACCGCATACCCTTTTCTTGCTCTGAGAACTCATTCATGACATTGCAGGTGCTCCACTGATCTGTCGTGCATCATGGCGACCCACGCCTCAAGTAATGTCGTTCCCGATGCCGAGTACAGATCAGATCACGAGACTCTCCGGCCTTCAATACCCGCCTCGCCCCTCATGTCTTCGGAAAGTCTTGACACGGACGGCAAGTCCAGCGATGAAGATGTCAGCAAGGCCGACTCATGGAGAATGATGGACCAAGTCAAGGACATCAAAAGGCTACAGGAAAAGGATGGTTTAAAGCAGCGCATTTTGGGCGTCACATGGACCAACCTATCTGTCAAGGGAGTCGGTACCGATGCTGCTGTCAACGAGAACGTCATCAGCCAATTCAACATACCACAGAAGATCAAAGACAGACAAAGGAAAGCGCCGCTCAAGACCATCATCGACAACTCCAATGGCTGTGTCAAACCAGGAGAAATGCTTCTCGTGCTAGGTCGCCCCGGCGCCGGTTGCACGTCGCTTTTGAAAATGCTCGCCAATCGACGTCTAGGTTACGCCGAAGTCACTGGCGAGGTCCACTACGGCTCAATGGATCACAAGCAAGCGAAACAGTACCAAGACCAGATTGTGATAAACACCGAAGAGGAATTGTTCTTCCCAACTCTCACCGTGAAACAGACCATGGATTTCGCCACAAGACTCAAAGTGCCATACCGGTTGCCTTCCGATTTTGCATCAACAAAGGAATATCAGGAATGGTCCCGCGATTTCTTACTGGCAACCATGAGCATCGAACACACTCACGACACCAAGGTCGGAAATGAGTATGTCCGGGGTGTGTCTGGCGGCGAGCGAAAGCGAGTGTCCATCATCGAAACTTTGGCCAGCCGCGGCTCTGTCTACTGCTGGGACAACTCCACTCGTGGCCTGGATGCCTCGACGGCACTGGAATACACGAAATGCATACGATCACTCACAGATGTGCTTGGGTTGAGCACCATCGTCACGTTATATCAAGCAGGTAATGGTATTTATGACCTGTTCGACAAGGTTCTCGTCCTTGACGAGGGCAAACAAGTGTTCTACGGCCCTCTAAAAGAAGCAAAGCCATTCATGGAGGAGCTCGGCTTCATTTGTGACGAGGGAGCCAACGTTGCAGACTTTCTGACCGGCGTCACCGTCCCAACCGAGCGCAAAATCAAGCCTGAGTTCGAGAATCGCTTCCCAAGGAACGCAGACGAGATCCGGAAGCACTACGAAAGCACACAAATCAAAACTGCGATGGACAAAGAACTCGACTTCCCGCATTCAGAAGAGACGAAACGCTCGACATCGGAATTTCGAGAGGGTGTTGCCTACGAAAAGCACAAGAGCCTTGGTAAGAACTCGCCTTACACTGTCAGCTTCGCTACCCAAGTCCGAGTAGCCATCAAGCGCCAATACCAATTGATCTGGGGAGACAAGCCCACCGTCCTCATCAGACAAGTCTCGATGATCATCCAGGCTCTCATTGCCGGTTCTCTCTTCTACAATGCCCCTCAAAATTCGTCTGGTTTGTTCATCAAGTCCGGCGCCATATACCTTGCCACTCTCATCCCCGCACTCTATGCTATGAGTGAAGTCACCGACTCATTCTCCGCTCGCAGCGTCCTCGCCAAACACCGCGGATTCGCCTTCTTCCATCCTGCAGCCTTTTGCATTGCGCAGATCACGGCAGATATTCCTATCATGATCCTTCAGACCACGCTCTTCTCCCTGCCCGTATATTGGCTCACTGCCCTGAAGCCGACGGGAGAGGCATTTATGACGTTTTGGGTAATGCTCTTTGCGGTCGCCGTTTCGAGTACCGCCTTCTTCCGCTTCATTGGTGCAGCTTTTCCCACGTTCGATGCCGCTTCAAAGGTTTCGGGTTTTGCATTTGCAGCATTGGTCATCTACATGGGCTATCTGATCCCAAAGCCGCAAATGCACCCCTGGCTAGGGTGGATCTACTGGATCAACCCACTTGCGTACGCGTTCGATGCGCTGCTAAGCAATGAGCTTTCAGGTCAGGTATTTCCGTGCGCCAACACTCAACTCGTACCGAATGGACCGGGATATACCGACGGTTCTTTCCAAGCATGTACGGGTGTCCGGGGTGCTATGCCCGGCGCGACATCAGTTACCGGTGAGGAATATCTTGCAAGCTTGGAGTACAGCGAATCTCATATCTGGCGCAACTTTGGTATTCTTTGGGCATGGTGGTTGCTCTACGTAGCCTTGACAATCTTCTTCACCTCGAGATGGAATCAGGTCTCCGGCAACAGTGGCTTCCTCCTAATTCCTCGCGAAAAGGCCAAGAAGGTCAACAACATTGGTCAGGATGAGGAGTCCCGATCGACGGCGGCGCCTGTGGAGAAGGTCAAGAGCCGACAGGAAGAAAAGGAAGTTGAAGACAATCTCATCCGGAACACTTCGGTCTTCACGTGGAAAAATCTTACGTACACTGTTAAGACTCCTTCCGGGGACAGAGTACTTCTTGACAATGTACAAGGATGGGTGAAACCTGGTATGCTTGGTGCTCTGATGGGTTCATCTGGTGCAGGCAAGACAACTTTATTAGATGTCCTGGCACAACGTAAGACAGATGGCACTATCAAAGGCAGCATCCAAGTCGACGGTCGCGATCTACCCATCTCGTTCCAGAGATCCGCAGGCTACTGTGAGCAATTGGACGTCCACGAACCGCTCGCAACCGTCCGCGAGGCTCTCGAGTTCTCGGCACTACTCCGTCAGAGCCGCGAAACTCCGAGAGCGGAGAAGCTCAAATATGTCGACACTATCATCGATCTCTTGGAAATGCGTGATCTCGAAAACACCCTGATCGGAACCACATCTGCAGGTTTGTCTGTGGAGCAGCGGAAGAGACTGACTATCGGCGTTGAGCTTGTCTCCAAGCCCAGCATTCTGATCTTCCTCGACGAGCCTACATCTGGTCTGGACGGCCAGGCCGCTTTCAACATTGTCAGATTTCTCCGCAAGCTTGCCGATGTTGGACAAGCGGTTCTCGTGACGATTCACCAGCCCTCTGCTTCTCTCTTCGCACAGTTTGATACCCTCTTACTCCTTGCCAAGGGCGGCAAAACTGTGTACTTCGGCGACATTGGTGACAACGGTCAGACGGTGAACGAATACTTTGGTCGTAATGGCGCCCCATGCCCGACAAATGTCAACCCTGCCGAACACATGATCGACGTCGTTTCTGGTTCCCTCAACAAGGATCGAGACTGGAACCAAGTCTGGCTTGACAGTCCCGAGCATGAGAAAATGGTCAATGAGCTCGATGAGTTGGTGTCTGATGCTGCATCGAAACCTCCCGGAACTAAGGACGACGGTCGCGAGTTCGCCACTTCGCTCTGGGAACAGATCAAGATTGTCACTCATCGCGACAACGTCTCGCTTTACAGAAACACAGACTATGCGACCAACAAATTCATGCTGCACATCGGTTCAGCACTTTTCAACGGTTTCTCCTTCTGGATGATCGGGGACGGTGTATCCGAACTTCAACTCAAGCTCTTCACCATCTTCAACTTCATCTTCGTAGCCCCAGGCGTGATCGCACAATTACAGCCTCTGTTCATCGAACGCCGCGACATCTTCGAGACGCGCGAGCGCAAGAGCAAAATGTACCACTGGTCAGCCTTCGTCACGGGTCTAATCGTCAGCGAGATCCCCTACCTGGTCATTTGCGCCGTGCTCTATTTCGTCTGCTGGTACTACACCGTCGGCTTCCCCGTCGCGAGCGAGCGCGCCGGCGCCGTCTTTTTCGTCATGCTCTTCTACGAATTCATCTACACCGGCATCGGCCAGGCCACCGCCGCATACGCGCCCAACCCGGTCTTCGCTGCACTCGTCAACCCGCTCATCATCAGCGTCCTCGTCAGCTTCAGCGGCGTGCTGGTTCCGTATGCGCAGATCACGGCGTTCTGGAGGTACTGGATTTACTGGATGAACCCGTTCAACTACCTCATGGGCAGTCTCCTCGTCTTCACCATCTGGGATGCCCCGGTGCAGTGCAGCGAGAACGAACTCGCCATTTTCAACCCGCCATCCGGTCAGACTTGTCGCGCATATCTGTCAGATTTCCTCCGCGGCATGGGTTCTGGTAGTAATCTCATCAACCCGGATGCCACCTCGGACTGTCGCGTCTGCCAGTATTCCAACGGATCCGATTACCTCAGGACGTTGAACCAGGAGGCGTACTATTACGGCTGGCGGAACGCGGGCATCGTGGTCTTGTTCGCTCTGAGTTCTTACGCCATGGTGTTTGCATTGATGTAAGTTTGACATCTGATCTGGCCATGCTTCCGTGGCTTCTCCCCACCACCCCCTCCCCATACCCCTCTCTCTCGCTCTGTTTCTTTGAATCCATTGACTAACTCTGATTTCCCAGGAAACTTCGCACCAAGGCGACGAAGCGTGCGGAGAAATGAGCTCGTTTTCCTGATGATTGTGTTTCCACTGCATGGCATTGAGGAATTTGGCTCATTGGTGCCTTTTCCGGTGGTTATTTTGGGGTCCATCTCGCAAGAAGACATAGAGGACCGGTTCCTCGCCGTGTGATGACGAGGTGTTCGTGTCCAGATGTTAGATTTCAGACAAAATATAGATATTGTACAAGTAATAGAACATCCATCGTGACCCGCGATCGTCAAGGTAGCGAACACGGTTCAATCACCCTTTTCCGCGGCACAACGCAAAAGCTGGTCAACAAGCATTACTTCAAGATTGAAATATGACGCAGCAGTCTATACATTGAACGGAAACCCGAGATGAGAGACCAGAGATGGTACTGTATATCCATGTTATGGTGAAATGTGCTGCTACCGGTGAACGAGCACGATAGGGTTGGGGCAGTCGCATCTATTAGGGTCACGCCCAAAAGTTCCCATTCCTCATGAGTCAGCGTGAACACGGATCTTCGTGAGCGGCCCAGACGCTCTCGAAAGAATTACCGCCCGGGTCATCAGCGCAGGCCAAATATATGTATGTGTACGGCGAGGGCCTGGCCCATCGTCATCATTACCATCATCGCAACACGAACGCGACAGACAGCATTTGGTCGTCTCGGTAGGCGCGCGTCGCAGAAAGACTTTCCAGTTTTATTAGTAAGGTCGTTCCACCGAGCGCTGCTGCCGCCCACGGTACAGGACACTGCCTCAACCCCCCCAGGTCGGCTGCTTGCTAGCTACCTGGCCCACCGCCGGATGTTTGTTAAGAATAGATCTCACACGCAGCCAGCGGCCAGCAGCGCGAGGAAGCGAATCCGTGTTATGATAGTCAGGTCGACCACATGTCTCGACGAGATGCGTCAGCCACAAGAAAAAAGGTGACCATGTGCGTGCAGTTATAACGATGCATCATGTAGCCAAAGTGAGGCTCACATGTAGGACGACCTCGCCTCTTGCGGGACAGCCAGACGGAGAACGGTTCAAGGAAGGAGCCTGTCAGCCCGTCGCACAGTTTGGTTGAGAGGGAGAACGGGAGGGGGATGTTTTGACCGGCAGTCGGTCCAGCGAGATTGACGGGCCCACGTGGAACAAATTGATGATTACATGAAAACGATCGGCGACCAAGTAGCCTCGAAGGGAGGAGAACCGCTGTGCGTATACGGCACGCCTGCAGCACAGAAGCAGACGGGCAGCAAAGCAGGGCATTTTTTTAGCCCCCAAAAGCTGCTGCTTGTCATCCTGCATTGATTGATGACGGTCTCGGCACGATCTATCGGGGAGAAGAGCACTTGGGTTCTATTCACTTTTTTCGCTTTTGGTGTAATGGCACTGCGCATAGGAGGATGAGCGGGTCGCATTTCTCGCCACCAACAATTGCGACTCTGCCGCAATTGTAATTGTGATTGAGTTCCATCCATGGCAGGACCGAGGACAGGAGTATGTGCTCGTCGTCGCACCGGAGGAAAGCAAATGAGTCAGGGAGGTGCATAGCTGTGCACTGTCGTTTGTGGGTCGGAGATCCTACAATGAGTGCTGGGAAGATACACGATTATCTGACCCAAGCAAGGAGAGAGATGAAGTACCATCGAGTCATGTCTTTTCCATCTCGCCATCGACGCCTTCGCCTATCCGCTTGTGAGAGAAAAGGAAGCGGCTTTCCAGCCTCCCGCAAGGAACCTTGGAAGGAGAAGCAAAGGAATGCACCAGTCTCTCATAGGCTCAACGGCGCGGCATTCGGCGTGATGAATGGCTCTTTCGCAGCACACAGAAACACAATAGACTTTATCGCACCATTGCCAACGGCTGGACGGGTTGTGTTGTTTTTGGACGGGGAGAAAGCGGCCGAGACATGGCAGGATGCCACGCTGCACGGGCCGAGTCTTCCTCCCGTGTCCATTGATTGCCATTTGACGAAGAGGTCTCGAATGAATGCCCGGCATTGGGAGAATTCGCCCATGGGTTCGGCATGCGGCGAAGCAGGAGACATGAATATGGTTCATAGTAATTTCACCGAAGTGGAGCTCGTATATAACACAATGAACCTTATAAGATCGCGTCACCTCCAAGCGTAATCAAATCGGCACGAAGTGATCGGGACGAATGGATGAGATGTCGAAGATCTCGACGATGAAAGTGCTGTGCCGCGTGGAGCTGTTGGTGTGACGCGCCGGGCGGCCTTGCAATTTCCGAAGCGGGATGTGTGTCTGTCAAGAAGAAATCCACAACGTATGCACGCGGCTGTTGAGGGTGGCTCTCCATCAATGACACGACCCACAGCGGCTCTCGTCGCTGCTGCCGCCAAGCACACGTTGACGACGATGGAATGAAACCTTGCGATGATGCTGACCGCCGAGATCTTGTTCAATACAGTATGTTTACAGCGATTCGTGAGGCAAAGTGGCCAGCAGGGGAGATCCATGAGGCGCTGAACTCCCATCTCGACTACATTTGATGATGCTACTCGGCTGTATTGCCCATGGATATCTATGCGATGAATGTTAGGAGACATTGTGGCTGTTCTGGACCGCCATTGCCGTGTCATGGAAAGCTCCTTCATAACCAAGCAGACAGAGAGCGTGCACTGGGATGAACGGTTGTGTGTGAGATAGATGAAAAAGTGAAATGGGAGTGGCCACGAGTGGGAACCACAATCAGCCGAAAGAACCAAAAATGGAATTAGGATTCGAACCGGCTGGAAAGTCACCTGCATTTCCCGTGGTCGATGCGGGTGATGAGAAGAGGGCTAGAGAGGAAGGAGGAAGGCGCGGTGCTGGGAGGTGAGTAGGCGCCGAGGGCTCTCTCTCACTCTCTCCCTCTCTCTCTCTCGGCGAGGGTTTTATTTGGCTGCGATGTTGGCTGGGTCTGCCATTCCCTCTGCCATTTCTCTCCCACCGAACTAACCCAGTCCTTCCATTCGGGCGCCTCTTTGCCTTTTCTCTTCACAGCCCGTCCACACACCACACATGCACACACGTTTCCTTCCCGAGATTACCTCCCGCCCCTCCCTTTCCACAGGCACACCACGCACACCACGTAAGCCCCTCTCGATGAGAAGGAGGAAACACCACGGAATCATCGTTGTGACTTATCCGTGGTGGCTGTCGGTTGACCACGGAATGGAAATTGTTCAGGCCCTCATCACACACAATATGTAATCACAGTCACCATGCCGGCCTGTTCGTGACTAGCACAAGTCGAGGCGGACGACGTACTTTGTTGGTGCTTCTCCTTCTCGCATCAACAGCGGTGGACGGTTCGAATAAAACACATGCCAAACTTCCCGATCCACGTGTGGCTGACAGCAGGGGCCAATACACCTGGGCATGTACGGAATCAACTGGATCTGATCCCCTGCCGCGCTCCCGTCTCGATTCTATGTGATGTATGGTGAATACAGCGTGTCAGCATTTTTTAGCACAATATTGTTGCGGGATTCGATTGGGGGCCCTAGGCTGATCTCTGCCCCTTTGGCTCATGTATGGCCCCATCCTCGTGCTGGAGCTGGTTCCTCGGTGAGATGATGATGGTGATGATGGATGGTGATCTACATGCACTGGAGCACGACGACGGAAACACGAGTTGCACAATGGAAATGCTTGTGGTCGTGTGCGTGTGCGTGTGAATGTGAGTGCGTCTTCCCACCGAATGGACGAGCATTGTTGCTGATCAAATTTGACCAAAGTTGGTGAGATGGAGCAGTTGTCAGTGTGGGTGTGGATCGGTGTGGAGGAATACTATGAACTGTGCCACAAAAGTTTGAATGAGCTTTGAACAGCCCAATGAGATCCCTTTGCCCTTCTGGCCCTCCCTGATCGCAATCACAAGCTGTGCTGCGCGCGTTGTCTGTTCCTTTACTAGTCGTCTGCTGCTGATGTATACTACTATTATTACTGCTGGACGGCGGTGCTGTTAGCCCACTCTCTGCTGCTGTCCTGCCTGTGGTGTGCTATCGTCGCACCTCATCGTCGCCGTCATCCTCACTCTCTTCTACCCTCAACAACGACATCTCGACAAACGACTTTTCTCACTCTCCTCGTGAGCGGCGTCTTCCCTGAGGCGACTGGGTGATCAACTCCGCTGGGTTTTGTTACGACCATCGGACCGGATTCTCCGTCAATTATCACCAGCCGCAATCCTCACACCTCGACCCGTCGCAAATCCCCGGTCATCGTCGTCAACAACGCACTTCGTCAGCTCACTTTTCGGGCATTCCACTCCTTTATTCAGTACTCTTACGCTTTGAAAAACGATACTTCAACATCGCTCTCGTCGCTTTGCCGGTATCTCGCGTGGCAAGGAACAGAAAGAACTCCCGCATCCATAAAACGGTTCCCGTGAACCACTCTTCGGACACGCACGCCCACGCGTTCTCCTGCATCGCATCTGTCACCTGTCGTCCCGGAAACGTTCTACAACCAAGCAACTTCGCCTCTATTCGTCGTTCCCTGCACGCGCATCGTGACCGTCAAGCGTAGAACAGCCATCTGCCACTCGCGACTTTCTGGTGGATAATCGGTCGCTGCACGTGTGTACCGAAGATCAATCTCAAGGACATCGCCAGGCTCAGTGTGACAACTTCGATTCGTGAAGACGACGAGAGGATGCACTAGAGGCAGATCAACCCATTATCGTTAAAGGGGAATCGTTTCGGTTCGCCTGCTCAACAGCATCACACAACCAGTGACTTTTTGTCACGTTCACTCGTTTAAATTATATAGATATCTTGGTGGTGAGTATTCAAAGCGACACGGATTGCTGACAGGACAATTGCTAACTTGAATCGTAGATTGATTTCTTCATTCTTGGTTTGCAATCATCACAATCCTTTCAGAAATCATGAAGTCTACTACACCATCATGGGCTGTTGCCCTTATGGCGCTGTCTGTCACAGCGCCTCTGTCTGCGGCAGAGGCTGCGCCCGCCGGTGCGGATGTTGAGCGTCCACAGTATTACTTTCCGACATACATCAAGCGTGACCTTTTCGACGGACTCAATGGTCTGTTCAACAATGGCAAGGGCACCACCATCAAGACTACCATCGGCGGTTCACCTGCCACGACAGCCCCCACAACTCACCAGCCGACGACCACGCATCCCACTACCGCGGCGACGACTTCTTCCAAGGATGATCTCCTTGCTCCCGTGTTTGGCTTGTTCTCTCCTCCCACGACGACGTCGAAGACCACAGCGGCAGCGCCCACTACTGCAGCGACCACCGCACCCACCACAGCGCCCGTCCTGGTCGGACTGAACACTGTCGTGACCACTTCTCCGACCACATCGCCTGCAGCCCAGCCTACTACCCAACCCGCTGCCAACAACAACAATAACAACGGCGGACTCAATCTCGGACTGAATCTGGGCGCCAACCTTGGTCTGGGAGGAAACGGAGACTCCAAAACCACAGCGCAGCCAGCACCTACCACGAGTGCGCAAACTACTGCTGCTGACAAGCCGACGACCACCGCTGCTGCTGATAAATCGGCTACCACCACCGTTCAGCCTGCGCCTACAACAGCCCAGCCGACTACTGCGGCCAACTCGAACAACAACGATGGGGGCTTGAACCTTGGTCTCAACCTGGGCGCCAACCTTGGATTGGGTGGCGGAGACTCGAAAACCACCACACAACCCGCACCGGCCACCACCGCGCAGAACAATGCTGCACCCACGACGGCCCAGCCCACGACTTCCGCCAACTCGAACAACAACAACAATGATGGCGGGTTGAATCTCGGTCTCGGCCTAGGTGCCAACCTTGGATTGGGTGGTGGATCTCAGCCTACGACGCAGCCTGCAGCTACCACTGCTGCACAGAACACTGCTGCACCGACAACAGCTCAACCTGCTCCTTCAAACAACAATGACGGTGGGTTGAACCTTGGCCTCGGTCTGGGTGCCAACCTTGGATTGGGTGGAGGATCTCAGCCTACGACACAACCTGCAGCCACCACTGCAGCTCAGAACACTGCTGCACCGACGACGGCTCAGCCTGCTCCGACGAACAACAATGACGGTGGGTTGAACCTCGGTCTCGGCCTGGGTGCCAACCTTGGTCTAGGCGGCAACGGCGGTGACTCCAAACCTACGAGCCCTGCTACCGGTGCTGCGGCCACTCAAGCGCCTACTACTGACAACTCCAACAACAACGGCGGTGGTCTTGGCCTGGGTCTCGGTCTCGGTGTCACCGCCGGCCTCGGAGGCTCCGCGCCCGAGACGCACGCCGCGTCCCCAACATCTGGAGCGACAACCGAAAACTCCAACAACAACAACGGCGGTGGTCTCGGCCTAGGTCTCGGTCTCGGTGTTACAGCTGGTCTCGGAGGAGCCTCGCCTACGACAGCTCCATCCACTGGATCTACTCCCTCTACTGAGAACCCCAACAACAACAACGGCGGCGGTCTTGGCCTCGGACTTGGGGTCGGTGTCACCGCTGGCCTGGGTGGCTCATCGCCCGAGACACACGCGGCATCTCCGACTGCCGGAGCGACCACCGATAACTCGAACAACAACGGAGGTCTTGGTCTTGGTCTTGGTCTCGGCGTCACTGCCGGCCTCGGAGGCTCGCCGACTACTGTTCCATCTACCGGGTCAACTCCCTCCACCGACAACGGTGGCCTCGGCCTTGGTATCGGTGTCACTGCCGGTCTCGGCGGCTCTAACCCAACCCAGGGTGCTACTACCAACAACGGTGGTGGTCTCGGCATCGGTATCGGTGCGACTGCGAACCTTGGTGGCAGCCCAGCACCTACCTCGTCCTTCACATATGCCGGCACCGATGCTCCGGCTCCGACTACATCACCTGACAGTGGTCTTGGTCTTGGTATTGGGATTGGTGCCACCGTAGGCGGTACTGGTTCGTCGCAAAACACTGCTGGACTTGGCATCACGATCGGAAATGGAGGCACTGCAGCAACCACCACCAGTGCTCCCTTTACCTATGCAGGCACTGATGCGGTACCAACCACAACTGCTGGCAGCTCTCCTACTGGTCTGGACACTAACTTGCCTCCAATCGTCACCGGCTCAACCCAAGCCACAGGCGCCACCACTGGTGCCACCACAGGTGCTACTACCGGTACTACAGGCACTGGTCTCACCACTGGCGTCCCACCGGTCACTACTTCGCCTGGTTCAACTGATGTCCCAACAAGTGCTCCCGTTCCAACGGACACACTGCCCGGCACGAAGACTGGTGTTCCGACGACAGGATCGCCTACAGCCACCGATCTCACCGCTACGCACTCCACCGGTTCAACTGGAATGACTGGACTGTCAACGGGAACGACTGGCTTGTCAACCGACACCACTGATTCCACCGCCGCAACAACCAGTGTTCCTGCCAAGATCACTTCCATCGTGCCTACTGGAACCAACTCGGCCACGGCTTATGTCATCCCGACGTCAATCATGTTTGCGGCCTCACCGACTTTGGCTCTGACGCAATCGGCCGACACAACTACCGATTTGGGACCAAACCACACCAAGCCAACCGACTCCGCGACTCCATCAGCAGGCATCCCATCTAACTTGCCCAAACTCATTCAACCGCCGGGAGGTCCTGTGGTTGTGACCCCTGCTCAGCAGGCTGATGCCACTCTGATCCAGATCGCCTTCGATTACCGTCTGAACTATCCCTTCGTCCTCAACACCACCAGCTCTGCGAATCAAATCTTCACCTTCCTCCCACAAGGTATCGCCTACACTTTGGGCATTCCCCCCAATCAGGTGAACATGTCTGCGATCAAGCCATATGACACTGTCGCTTCATTGGGTTACATCACCACTCTTGCGATGGCCTGGATTCCCAGCAAGCTGGTCAATGAGTTGCAAATGGACATTCATCTCCCTTCGTCCAAGGCCTACACCAACCCAGACAGCTCCGTCAACACGCTGATGAGCATGATCAACCCGACCATTTCCATCTTGGCGGGCGCAGGCACCGGCGCGGCTGCCCCAACTGGCTACAACAACGCGGCTGCCACTGGTGGCGCCAATGCTCCTGGTTCAGGTGGCCCTGTCGGCGGCGATATTGGCACTTCAGCTCCCATCAATGGCCGTTCAGCTGCTATCGGTGTCGGTGCTGTCGCCGGTGCTGCTGTGTATGCTGCCGCCATGTTCTACGTCGCCCGTCGCTACCGCAACAAGCGCAACTCGCACCAACGCTCAAGCTCTGTCGGCTCCGCCGACCGTGGCGAGATGTCGCAACGCTACAGCTCTGGCGGGCTCTTCATGGCGGGCGGTTCTGGACGCGCGGCTAGTCGCCAGAGTGACGGCAGCGGAAGCCAAGGACGTAGTGTCCGTGAACAGGGCATCAGCGCACCAATCTTGTCTGAGAACAGCCTGGGATGGAACTGAAGGGTTGACACGAAGCTCATTCGCCGCCTCTTGGACATTTTTCTAAAACCATCCTTCCCGGATAGATCCTCATGCGCGTAGACCCTCGAGCACGCGACTCGCGCCTCTGAGGTGGGCCTTCGAGAGGCATCCACGACCGAGTTCATGGCTTTGCCGCACTCGTTCCGCCGTCAATCGGCACCAGGGGATTTTTGAACGAGCAAACGAGTACCACTTGAATTCCTCGCAATCGCGAACGAAACCAAGGTCATGACTCACGCTCCTTCATATGAATAACCTCTCTTTCTCTCCACCGCATGGGACGCGCACCGTCGCCCCCCACGCGCGCATTCTCTCTCTCCAAATCTCTCATAACTCTTCCTGTATCTCTCTCTCTGTTCGCTTTTCAAGAAAGTCTAGACCACCACGAGCCACACAACTCGAAAGCTTCTTTTTACTCGTTTCTCTCGGCTATCACCGGCTTTTTAGTGTTGTTATTATATCATCCGCTTCCGCCAGGCGGCCTAGTTACAGCGTCTCACGCAAAATACAAGTTTCGTTTTTCTCTCTTCAATTGATGACTCTTCTTTTCTTTTTGTTGTAACTTCTTCGTGACCGTCTGCGCTGTTACTATAATCTTCTTGTAGACCTCTCTCGCCTCGGCTGGTCCTCTTCCTTCCCTGTTCCATAGTAGTCTTATCTTATGCCCGCCAACGGCAAGTAGTCATGGTTAGCTTTTCAGCTTCCGTCGCTGAATTCGTTGACGTCTCGCCTCTCGAGGAAGGATCCGCCGCAGGACTCCGGCAAACTCCTCAAGAACATACAGGAAGAGACTCGACCCAAGCGGAAATTTGGATAAACACCGGACGAAAAGTCTCGATCATGGAACCGTGGCTTGAATCCAGAACGAGGCGCAAAGCAGTGCCAGCCATCGAGGGACCTGTTCACACGGCACATATGCAGCTTTCGCATGCCCATTGGACTTACCTTTTGTTCAATGCCAGACTTTTGAACCATTGGCTGCAACGTTCCGAGTAACACGTCGACGAAGAAATGCCATTTTCAAACAAAGCAAGGACGTATGACACGACTGTGTCCCATCTCGTTCGGACCTGTCCTTGACCACATCCGCTGCCACGAGGTGAGGCTCCATATTCATCGGTCTTACCGGAGTACCAGAGCTTGACCTCGTTCCAGAAGGATTTCAGGAGCAATAGATATCTATGCGCCCTTGAGAGCTCCGAGGTAATGCTTCTCAACTGCTCGAGGAATCCAGCTCTCACGGTTGTCAGGATCATTCTTGTATCGATGGAGCTGTCTCAGGGGGGGGGGGTGCACGATGAAAGACAAGCCTTGGGCTTCTTTGGATCTTGATTTCTTTGTCTCGGTCCGGCCTGATCGACGAGCGGATTTGCATTGTCCTTTCCGCTTTCTTGCTCCATAGCCGTGACGGAGCGGATGGGTGCATGCGTGCGATGAATCGGACGCGCCTTCTGGATCTATCTAGCATGCCTGCGGTACGATGTGGGACTGTTGTGGCTGATACGACGTTGTTGATAGCTTCTTTTGATGAGGAGGAAAGTCCTATTGATCGTTCGATGTTGCGTTTCATTTGGTCGTCCACTACAATCCGGGACCTCAAAGACCACCCTGATTGTATTTTTTTACACTGGAAAAGTATTGATGCCCATTGGATGTCTTCTCTACTGTATAGAGGTCATATCATACCTCCGAAGGCAATCTTGATCATTTGTGATCCGTCATGGCTATGGAAAAGCATGACTGAGCGCTTCTCGATAGGTGATAGCACTTCTCAATTACAGGAAATGCAAGTTCTTTGAGTTCAACGGACCGCTGCCACAAAAGACCATCTGCAGTAGCATCAGTAGGCTCCTCGTGCTTCCGTGTAGTAGCCTCTGAGGAAACGCGAAGACTCCTGATCTATCTCTCGGCTCACGTATTACCTATCTTCATTCGACTGTGCATTCCGAAAAATATCGGGCCGGTCGTACAACGCATCCACACAGTGCAGCGCTTCACGACGATAGTCCCACACTCATATCAAGATCGGGCGCCTCTTCGCCTCAGTATCATTCTTGTGCAGATCGTGTCTCGTAGACGGCAAAAGTCGTGCGATTGTGTCAACGAAGACTCACAGAGATAGAGAAGCACAACATATGGATGCTGCTGTGAGCCGTCGCCTCCACGAACGGTGACACGATCCTCACCATCGGTCTGCCTCAAACGATGGCTAGAGAGACATGACAGCGGCCTCACGTCGAGGATTGATAGTTTGCAATGATGACTCACTTCTCAAGCTTGCCCAGATGCCTCTCTTACAGAAAACTACAATCGAGGATTCCATACATGATATTGACAGTTCTACCGCCCGTCGCAGCTTCTCGATTCCTAGTGCTGCTCCAACAGTTGGCAGGCGCCACATCTCGTTCACTGTGGCTGTGTCTACGAGGTTGACGGGAAAGTTGAGAAGGCCTACTCCGAGACACGTGCTCTGATCGCTTCTCCCTTTCTCTACACTTGGCCTGGGTTGATCTAGACTTCTCGCAGCGAGCAAACACGCCGCGCCAAAGAACAAGACGAAATGGCACCGTCATCATCATCATCACCATCTCCAGAAATTCACTCAACCACCATCTCCTGTCAATGCGTTGCGACTGTGCGCCATGCTTTCCAGCCATCTGGATGACAGATGTCAAAGAAAGGCTTCATCGAAAGCTCGACCCAGGCGAGTGGCGAGATGAAGGAATGGAGGCCGAAGCATTTCCCGCAAACGAAAGTCAGAACACGTGGTGGCGTTTCCGTTCGCAACGGCGTGGCACGCGACTCGAATGTTATTCTCCTGACCTCATCGAGCAAGATTAAGGTTGGGCGGCTTTATTGGCTGGATCATCTCGCTTAATTACTCGAAGGAGGTCTTGATTTACGAAAGGGCGTCATTGTGAAGTCTCGTACTGTGGAACATCGCAACACTCACTCGAAAGAGCGCGCACACTCGAACGAGTAAACGAGCCGATCGCATGTCTGCCGGGAGTATGAGGAGGAGTTAGGTGCGAATCCCGATGGTACAACACAATGCTGCACTCATTGCAGATCCAAAACATGACGGCTGGACGGCCTTCTCATCCGCAAGCTTGGGTCGTCGCGCTGTCGCTACTGTGTTTATGGCGCAGGAAAAGCATCCACACTGGCAGCAGGGACTGTCAACAGATGCGTACAAAGTCGTGTATGACGCCCGCGTCTGGGTAAATCGGCACGCTCTGCTGCCTTGCACTTGGGCTCGCGGGAAAGATGTGTGCGCGGAAAGCAGGAGTCACGCCCACATTACCCTATACAAATCAACCGTACTGGTTTGCGTGCAGACATCACGCGTGACGCGCCCTTCGGGCTGCTGCGCCTCTGGGTTCCGATGTGCCCTACACTGTACACACACATGGTGCAAGCCAAGCAGTCATCCACCCCCCAAGCCCAGCTGAAAAGGCATCGGCCGAGGCGGCCACGCGAGGCGAATAGTGGCGAACTGGACACACGGCGGAGGAACATACCAAACGAGCCGTTGTGCGATCGTGGCGTGAGCGGTGCTTTACAGTATTGGACTTGCACGTCGAAGGGGTGTGAGTGTGTGTATGTATGGGTGTGTGTCTGCGGGAATTGTGTGAATGGCCCAGCGAGGTGAATGGACCGATCGTAGGATTGGAGGGTCTCGCTTTCTCGTTAGTGGAGAGACCGTCAGAGACGTGGCTGAATGGTGATGTGGTGATTCCCTGTCCAGTCCCGGTCTCTTGGGCAGGAGCAGCGAATGGCGTGACAACAGTGATGTTGTACATGATCCAAGGCGGCGTTGCTCGAAGGCGCGCCAACAAGACGAAGGCGGCCGAGAGCTCCAAAGGACTGTAGACAACGACATTGTGGTACGCTTGAAGCCATAAGCTGCTCGACGGACAGCCATAGTCGGTCCAATTCGCTAGTCCGTTGACCAAGATGGTCCAACCCATCATACAGCATGAGATGGATCGTCTGCAGGTAGGTGATCATGACGCCGCTGAAGCCATCCGCGTGTGAATTTACAGGATCCGGTCGGAACAATGTAGATGTTCTGGTGGAGATCTGGGTACTGAAATATCTAGAAATGAGACTCGCCATGAACTTTGCAAATACGATAGTTCCGGAGCTCATTTCAAGTTTATTGACATTTGAAGTATTTCTCATCCTGTTCAACCAAACCCTGTAATGAATTGCACAAATCAAGAAGTCCTTCAGCGGCCGTCCATGCTGATCGGAAACAAGAATGTCTGGTACCGGTGTGCAGTTCGGCTGTCTCCACTAGATTGAAGTCTTCGAGGCGAGCGAGACTGGATGATGGCGATCACGCAATTCGTATACAGTCATCTTTGTACGCGCAGATGTCCAGCTCCAGCAGGTCCTCTCTTTGCAGAACATGCAACAGCGAGAACATCGCCCAGAGACGTGAACTGTCCTTCAATGCCCACGTGGCTATAAGGCGACAAGGCCACACGACGAGACGTCTGTAAGAGAACACCCTCGGTTTCTGGTCGTGCACAGCTGGAAGCACAAATCGCTCAGCTCTGATCATTGCTGAGAAATCACAGAAGCCGGGAGCCGGTCAAGGTCCTTGGCGAAAAGTTGGAATCTCCGGCGATGCATGAAACTCGTCCTTCGTCGCTGAAGACTTCGGGGCTTGAGAGAGCCGGTACGTTTGATGGCAATTCGAGTGGCAATGAAGACCTGTCATTTTTCCATGCACAGATTATCATTCTACGACATTTTCGTGTTACTAAATCATATGCATCATTGGCGGAATATAGTAATAAGGGATGTCCGATAAGGAAATTTGCAGTTCTTGACATTATGCGTGGTCATCATGGACAGGTATTGTACCTTCACCGTATCGTCCTCGTACCGCCGTCTGCCTTGCAGGTACTGTACTATGCTGTGTGCGTTCCGTTGCAACACACCGCGGCCTCGAGGTTGCAACTCCGCGAAAATCTCGCAGAATGTGCCGTCAGCAGCCACCGCTTCATTCCTTGTCAGCATCACAGTGCGGCAGGTCCACCTTGGAGATTTCGGCGGTGCATGGACTGCCAATGCCCCCTGACCGGAGAATTAAACAGACCGGGAGATTTTACAGACGCATTAGTGTGCGGAAATTTTTCTCCATGCAGCGTCGCACGGTGAGACATGTACGAGAAAGGGATACACACGACGAACAATGTAATGCCTGGCATCGAAACGTCTCGGCATCAAACGGTAATCATAAAGCAGACTCGCAGGGACAGGAGGTGCTGTGTGTGAACATCGGCCCAGCATGATACGGACAAGATCATCCATCTTGCCGAGCGCACGATTCGTCAGCCCTATGAACAGAGTTCTGCACAAATTTTCACTGCGGATGCTTGGCCAGTCTTGACGTCTCGTATAGTTGGCCCGACCGTAGCAGTCCTCCATGAACTTCGAGCTCCAGGACCCATCACAATGCATCTCCGGAGCCAGGTGTGCGGAACGACCTCGAGAAAAGGATAAAGCTCGGCATGAACGGACCTCACCACCAGGCATGACTTGGGCTTAGGATGCATCGCTAAAGGGAGATCTTCGATACCCTCGTTGACGCCTCGTTGTGGTGACGACAGGAACATGCGTTTGCACTATAATAATCACAACAACAAAGCCGATAGATGAAAAACGACTGTGCGATGGTTGGTGTATTCCCACAGGGCACACACAACGCCCAGGCCTCACATGTCCAAATCAATCGTTTTGGTAGCCGACTGGCTAGCCGGACGAATGGCACGTTGCCAGAGGCCTGCGGGCCACGGTCGCCGGCGGCGCATGGTGAGGGGAAGAAGGGAGAGGGGGAGGAGTTCAGGAGAGACGGTCCGCAATGCCGTCCACGTTGGGGTCACGGATCACAGGCTCGCCTGCAGACTTGGCCATCCTTGCCCATGGCGCGACCGATCGCTTGAGCTTAATCAGGCTTTGATGTGCAAACCGTGCGTGGTTGTTATTGTTGCACGAGATTCTTCATCCCACATCGACTTCCGTGCGCCGCTGGTAGGTCTTTGATACAGGTCAGTGTTGTCCATGTCCATCGTCGTGCCGTCGTGGCGTGTGCGACGGTACGGTTGGCATCCGGAGGGAATTGAGTTCGCCGACAGATGAATCACCATCGAACAGTATCGCGAATATTGAAAATGCCATACGTGATCATGTCTCGAAGCGGCAAGCACAAATCTCCAAGATTACAGTCAATAGAGCACTGGGAGTCATGACGCTCGATGCGACTCAAACTATTTGTTGTACCGGTCGATAGGTTCACTACTTCATTTCCAAAGCGGGTCGGCTCAGCGAAATAAGTCGCCCGTGTGGCTGCACCATTACCCGTGCAGAGGCCACATTGTTGCTTCGTGCCCGGACTCGTGCAGGGATGACGAACAGGACCGATTACCCAAAAGCGAAGGTGGATCAGGGATGGGAGTGGGAGTGGAGACCTTTTTCGCTTCCGAGCTCCTTGAGGATACAGGTCGCGTGTGGTACTTCCCAATGTGTGCTGCGAAAGGCCGCGATACCTGCATGCATATGCACGTTGACGATGGGGACCATCGGCACCCAAGGCTGGAACGGAGATGTTTGCGATGCACGAAGCCTTGACCGGCGTGGGGGCTACCATGTCCCACCCCCACGCTTTTCGTGATCGCGAAGCATCATCGGGCGTCGCGCGATGCAGCGACAGCGCGTCATTGCACCTGTTCTCCGGTGGACGAGACCATCAATATATTTTCCTTCCTGCACGACGGCTGTAGTCATTGCCTCACGTCATCTGGGCGATATCGAGCGGCACGGCTGTTTCTGAAGGGGTTTGAAGGGTCGCGGTTGGAGAGGATTCCGCTCGGGTGGTCACCCAAACGATACGAAGCTTTGCAGGGGAGGACACGAAAGCTCCAGAGCCAGTCGGACAGTAATATATGACAGCAGCCTTATAGGACCCTCCAAGGCCTCTGAACCGAAAAGGGCATGCAGTAGCGCTGCAGATGGCCTTACCAGACTTAGGTAAGACAGAATGCGTGAGCTGACCGGACGTGATCGGACTGTTTAGCGAGGGCGGGCACCGACAGGGCGTAACCACATTTCGAGTCTCTCGAAGTTTTTCATCCGTCTCTCGCGGTGTCAAGTTGCCTGGGTGGTGAGCGAGACTTTCATGCAGTGAGGCGATGTGTGTGGATTTGTTAGAGCGCGAACATCGATGAGACCTAGTCCACGAGGCAGGGAAACAAAGTCTCACCACGGACGATAACCAGACCCATCGTGGCAGCCCCAGTCTGCTAGAATTGCCAGTTTGTGACCAATCTTATGGATCGGCGTCATTAGCCCGACATGATTCGTCGATGGAGCGCGCGCTCGCCGGCCTCAAGCCTTGACCTAACCAGGCTCCATTCTCGCTTATGCCACATTTTCGGGTCTGAGCATCAGGTGTTCTGGAAACCAAGCCCTCACTACGACGGAAGTGGACGTGTCAGTCTAGCCCTCGCATATCACTGCTTCTCTGGGCTGCCACCATGGCACACACGCGGCTGGCTGGAGGGCGGGCAGGCAAACAGGCAGGCAGGCAAGTGGATGGGCGCGATGTTGTTTGGTGCGCAACCAATTCATTCTCGAGGGAGCAGTGACAGTTTGTTGAACAGTGTAGGTCTCTTCTGCCGTCCTCGCCATGGGTAGAATTATTATCATGCATGCAGCCATCAGCCAAATTTCACACGGTCCACCCTGAGACCGGAACACGCTGCAGGAGGGTCACCTGAGCACAAGTAATTTTTTTTGCGCGCATAGATGAACAGGATGAGAGTGTGAGAAGGCGACGAATGACAGACACTTCGATTATGGAGAAAGGGAGACCTCTATGTTCGTGATGTACACCGCCGCAATTCAATTCATTTGCCTGAGATTTTGTCGGGGGGTTCGGGACAATGACTCCCCTCGTGTGTAGCAGAGATGTAATGCAATAAGGGTGGTACTGTCCTATTCAGTCGCCTCGAGGACCTCGGGGAAGCTGACGAAGAGAATGATACTGGTTCTCAGAGCCTGACGACATACCTGTGCCCTCCAGCTTGTCACAATGGATGGTCAATTAATAATTGCTTTGTCTGAAGAGACAACAACACCCGAAGATTGTCTGGTGTTCGATACGCAGTGGCGCCTGCCGCACTCCACCATATCCCAAGCTCATGAGAAACAACCCAGAAGGGGCGTTCGGTCACGATTCGTTGACGATTGAGCTCTCCTGGTCCGACTCTCTGTTGTTGTCTGGTACTAGGTATTGTCAAATGTGTAGACATCTGTATCCCCAATATCATGAAACCAATTGTCAGGCGCAGGCGTCTGCTGGTCGGTAACCGGATGCGCAGTAGGTTGAGATGATGTCCCGCTGATTGTTGCATGGTCTCCTTCTAACCGATCCTTAGAGTACGGTCTTGCTGCAGCTGCTTTGCTTCTTGTTTCGTTACCCAGATAATGTACCCGGATGACAGGGCCGACAAAGCGGCGGGGAAGAAGCACACAGATGCGTCGAGCACACACACGCAATCTACACAGACCACTCTACAACCACTTCACCATGAAGTATCTGTACATCATCAAGATTGTCAGCATCATCAAGCCACACGCACACTTGTGCATTCCTATTGCGTACATTCACGCTTCGAGGCGCGTGCATGTGCGGGAAACGAGGTTTCAGTGTATACACGAGCGGAGACAAGAACATCACATCGTGGACTGCTCAGGACAGCCTCGAGCCTGAAAGATGGACCTGACTGTATTCCGTCTACGACATTCTCGCAAAGATCACCAGATCTTGCCAGAGAGCAAGGTAGAGGTAGAGAGCGAAGTGCGAGAGAGACACGAATAGGTTGGGTGGGCAAAAGATGGGTCTGTGAGGGTGTGCTCGCTGCCGTCTTGTCCCGTGTCCCGGCGTTTCCTTGCATCGCCCTATGGCATCTCCTTCACGTCGATGGTCGTCGTCATCACTACCATCGTGGCCGTTCCGCACTGCCATTCGATCTCTGGCCGCGGCGCGCGCGCGTGACAAGCTGTGACTCGGGTAGTCGTATGCCAAACAAGGAAGGGGTAAGCTGCCATAACGAGACTTACCGGTCAAGGAACGCATCTCCGAGCCTGCCGTTGCGTTCGCCAAGTCAAGGCGATAGGCGGCAACAGTACTGAATAACCGAGTGTGAGACTTCAGAGTACGAGTCATGGTCCTGCAGCGTTGCAATAATAACAACACAAGGATGCATTCTCAACATCCTCCGAAGAAAATGAGCGGATCTTGGCCAATGTGCATGTTGTAAGGCGCGCGCACATCCGTCCAGCTGAAGGGGAAGCGAAGGCTCGGCTTCGTTTCGCTGCACGTACGCTGACTCACGGTTCGAGAAACGGATGGATTGGCCGTGAACAGTGATTTTGGTATCGGTGTGCGGGTCTCAGCAGCCCGAACGGCCTCGTTTGATGAGTATTCATGGGTTTGCACTGCAGACTTTTTTTCAACGTATGCTTCCCCATGTTGCCTTATCCAGAGCACTCCCTCCCTGCTGGGCCCTCTCTACCGGGCCGACATGTAGCATTTCCGAATCAGCACTCGGCTATAGATCCCTAACACTCACACCCTGTCTGATCCCCGCCTGCACCGTCACACATCGTATGCATCCAAGGTATCCCTCCCTCGATTTGTGCGGCCGTATGGATCATCCATTCGCCAGGAGTAGATGAGTGCGAACAGCGAAAGAAGCAAAGCATACATAAGTATCACACACACCAGTACTTGTGCCCATGGGTCATGATGATGAAGACAAACGCCGACACTAAGGGCCGTCGCTGATTGATAGACTGAAACTAAAGAGCACCGTCGATTCAAGATTCATCGACTCACCCTACACCCGACGAATGTTATTATTACATTGCATCTGGTCGGAATTTTGACTTTTCAGATCGGGCATCCCACGCTTTCTCACTTCGCGACGTCGCAATCAGACGCCGCCCACCACTTCCCTCGCTCTCTCTCCGCATTTTCCCTGCAACTTGGGCCCGCTTGAAGCACTACAGTACATCCAGCAGTGACAAGTACCGTGCTGGATGTACATGCTGCACGCACAGTCTCGCTCGTTCGCTCGCTCGCCTCACGGACAGGACAGGACAGAACAATCGTCAGTTTGCGTCGCAAAACTCGGGACGGACTCTCGCGCAACACTGCATTGTGAGGCTTGGCCCTTTTTGCCCTTGCATCCATCAGGCGGCGCACATCGCTCTCCCTCTAAGATAGACCCATCGTCCGCGTGCTTCGACTTCTGCTCTTTCGTCATTTCTTACCATCTTACAACGACATTGAAAACACCCACAACTCCCTTCCCACCTCCCGCACCCTCGCCCGATAGCACGTGTTCGCCAACTCGCTAAAGGTCATTATCGGGACTCGACCCGTGCGGCCTGGCCCTATACATCAGAGGCAGATCGAAGCCCTGCTTAGCATGCCGATCTCACGAAGACCAACTTCCGGAATCTCTCACCAGCGTCACCACTGCCTCCACAACAACCACAACTACCGCCAGCGCAATTGAAACAATCAATCACCGCAGTGCACCTTGGTCGACGTCGTCTGTGAACGAATCGGACGAACCCACACCAGTTCCGCACTCCATGCGATCATGAGCGCACATCCCGAACTGCTAGATCCCTCATCTATGCGCCACCTGGATCGCGACCCGGAACCCAAGGTTGAGGACACTGATGCTGATCATGACGATTCGAAGCCCAATAAGAAAAAGAGACGAGTTGCCAAAATGCTTGACAAGAAGTACGAGTGTAAAGCCGAAGGCTGCACAAAGTCATAGTATGTTGAGTCCCAACGATGGCGGATATTCATGCAACCCACGATGACGGCAGAGGGCTGACGCTTTGGGAACAGTTCTCGAGCAGAGCATTTATATCGACATCAACTGAATCACACACCAAAGGTACGTTGCGCTCGCACCATAATCTTGCACTATCACTTCATGCAAATTCCCTCTCTGCTCGTCAGGTCGCGCTTCCGCTATTTGAGCCGGACGTCGATCGATCAACTGATCGTCAAACGACGCTCTGCTCTGAATTGCTGCGCGATAGTGTTGCCTGTTGGTCCGGCAAAAATCAACATCGTTTGTTTGCCGCGTCCGAGTCATACTGCGAACACATTCGATCATAAATCCTTCTGCAAAACTGGAAAGACTGCAAATCGTTTCTACCTTGACCATTGATGTACATCATTGCTGACTTGACTATAGCAAATATACCAGTACGGACACCTTGGAATCGCGGTTGTACGTTATGCTGACCCCCATCTAGTTGCGACCATCCCGGCTGCGATCGTAGTTTCGTTCGTGCAGATTTGTGTACAAGACATCGCGAAAGACATACCTCTAAAGGTTCTCACTTGAGACGGCGGGATGAGTTCCAGGCACGCGCGAGTGCCAATGCTGCCCTGAGTTCAAACTCCCCGGATTCCGCTGGTATGAATGCGTCGCCCACCGATTCGACGATGCCGAACGGACCTCCCTCCCGATCCAATACATACCTCCCGCCGACAAGCCAGACTGGCCAGTCGTACGCTGGCCATGATCAGTACACAACCCCAGGAATGTCCGACATGGCCCCACTGCGGCCAAACACCTCCATGGCCATGGACGCGCACGTGCGCAACAACATTCCGACGTACAATTACTCGGGACAGATGAACGGATCTCAGGCGACACAGATGATGACTCCACCCTCGCCGAGTGCGTCAAGGCGCTATCCATATGACTCCGAATACTCAAGAACGAACGGACTCACCAACGGTTACTCAAACTCGACGCCGCAGGTGACTGTGAACGGCATGCGACCACCGCCGCCACCGGCCATCAGTGCACCGCAGGCAGCTGCCATGCAGTTCAACCAGGCACAATACGCATCGCCAACAGCGAGCGAACAACAATACAAGGCTTCAAATGCGTATTCAGCAGCGCAGCAGTCTTATGCCATTCAAGCGGAATCTTTCGGATCAAGCAACAACAGACTTGGAGCTGGTCTGGCAGACTCTCACATGACAGGACCAGACCAATATCCTGTCTCTAATTCTAGGAGCAACAGCATGATGGATTTCATGGTCGCGGACCAATACGCGAGCGCCTATGCCATGCCTGTGTTCGGCGGTGATGTCTTTAATCGTACACCGCCGACAATCATGCCCATCGACGATGCGTTCTTCAGTCAGTTGCTAGATGCAGGCGGCATCGATCTAAATCTACCACCATCACCACCCCTTCCAATTGAGCCTGTATTGCAGGTCCCTCCTCAAACAAGCGCATACAACAAAGTGGAGCCGGAAGGTCCACCGGCGCATGCGCACGACCCGCCACGAGATGCCAAAACCAGCTTCATGAATGGAACACTTCTGGATGTACCGGAGACCGCTATCGATACTCATATTCAAGCCCGCCTCATCAAGCTCGTCCGAGGCTTCCGCGAGACTGAGCCGCTACCAGGCCGTCGAGCTAAGGAAGACATCGTCTCGGGCGATACAGATCATCCCGAGCACGCCCTTAGCGTTCAGATGTTGCGTACCGCGTTGATGAGCTACTGGGTGCACATCCACCAGCAGATGCCCATCATGCATCGTCCAACTTTCCAACCTCGAACTTGTCCAGATCTCCTTCTTCTGGCTATGATATGTTTGGGCGGGTCTTGCTTGGAGAGAACGCACCCAGCCGAGTCTGCTGCGAATTGCTCGGAGTTTGCATTCTTCACTGCTTACCACATCCGTTGGGCAGTATTCAAGGATGCCGAATTTCGACCGACAGCCAAATTATGGACCTTCCAGACGATGCTGCTGCTCGAATTGTTTGAAAAGATGTATAGTACACGTGCATTGCACGAGAGGGCACACATCCATCATGCGACTACGCTCACCGTTATGCGACGAGGATCGTCCCTGATAGGTCGTGTCATCGAAATTCCAGGTGACGATGATCCTACAAGAACGCCGCCAGGACCGGAAGGCAGCATCAACACCAGTGGTTACAACACCCCAGACGCGTGGTGGAATCGCTGGATTACAGCGGAGGCAACCCGGAGAGTCGCATTCGCCGCGTTCGTCATTGATTCAACGCACGCTACGCTCTTCGGCCATTCTGCCATCATGTCACCTCACGACATGAGATTGCCACTACCTTGCGACGAGGCCCTATGGGCAGCGACAAGCAGTGCTGAGGTGCAGCGAGTGGAGGCGAGCCTGGCCGCCAACGGCTTCAAGACGACGACCTTCCTGGATGGCCTCAAGAAGACTCTTAACGGCCAGAAAGTCCGAACCAACACTTTTGGACGAGTGATCCTAATGTCAGGATTGCTGAACATTAGCTGGCACATGAATCAGCGTGACCTGCAAGTATCCTCCCTCGGCGCCAAGGATACATTTGGATCGTCCACGCGATGGCGAGGCCCATTGACCCGTGCTTTTGACTTTTGGCGCAAAGACTTCGACGAAAGTCTCGCCAAAAGTGCAGACTATCAGCATGTCTGCAACCCGGCGTACCGCTGCAGCGTGGATCATCGCGACAATGTTTATGAGTCCCGTACTTGCCTCCACAGTCTCGCGCACATGGCTATGCACGTTGACATCGTCGATTGCGAAGTATTCGCAGGATCCGATCGGGCTCTTGGGCGTGCTGTGACTGACAGCGATCGCCTCGCAGTGCAGCGCCGCATGCGTGAGGATTGGGCGCCGAGCGCACGCGCTCGAGACGCAGTCTACTATGCTCTGCGTTTCCTCTGCGAAGTGCTTGTACCCGAGGAAGTGATGAACGGTGATCGTGCGGGACGGCAAGCGCAGCCACCCTCGTTCAACTACAGCGCTCGCGACGACTATCTGTTGAATCGACCATGGGTGCTTTACTTCGCCGCCATGACCGTTTGGTCGTATGGCTTTGCTCTGGACGGACCGATCAAGCCGCAGTACACGTTGACATCACGTGAGCTACAGATCGCCGACATGCAGCAGTATCTCATGCGTATGGGCGCTGCTGCCAGCCCAGACGACCTAGAGCATCTCGACGGGCGTAACAACTGCTTGGGACTTCTGCTTGCCTTACACCACTGCTTCGCTCAGCCGCGCTGGGAGCTCTTGCAGGAAGCCCGTGATATGCTCAGCCTCTGTATCGGCCAGCTCTTGCCTGGCAACAACGACTGGAAGACGACCCCCAATTAGATCGTTGCCCAGTCCGACATCTTCACGCCGGCCAAGAGCAGCACGGACATCGAAAGAAACATCTTGAACGAAGCAATCTGATTATTTTACGCCTTGTACGACTGCATCAATTAAACAGCATCAGCATCTTTAACGTCATCATCGACCGCAGCATTGTCATCTCGGAACCGCTATCATTCTTCACCTTTTGGATCTTGCGCAGCGGAAACACTCGAAATATCACCAAAAAGCCGTTCGTCGCCGAAAATAATAATCGATCGAGTGGCGAACCTTACCCGTCCAGGTGATTGATTGTATATTGGGAAAAGATATCCAACCACATGCCACTAGCCAGCGAAAGTCCTGGAATGTGAGTGTTAAAAATGGTGTCGAGCCTTTTTTTCTGTGCTCTTTGAAAGCGTCTCATTGTCTGGAGTTATTGTCGCATTTTTCGCTTCATGATCATTCGCTCTTGTCGTCACATCGGACGAATTCTCTTATTTCTTCATCTCATGGGTCGAGGTTGTGGACGGCACGGCATGGGCATGGGCATAATGATACCCTCATGGATGACTTCACACATTTTACTGCAGGTTACCTCTGGTATGTCTTCGGAGGAGAGGAGTGCTTGAGGCCGGTATGTAGTGTTCTCGTTGATGCATATTGTGTATAAGCATTTTTTCGTCCCTTGTCCTATTTCCAGTGTGAATGGGAAAAGTGTGTCTCTTGTGACTTGGGATATCTTCGGTCGACCTGCCAGCTGCAAGTGGCAAATGACAGCCGGGCAGTATGTCGCTTCGAGGACTTGTCAGGTAAATACCCTCGTTTTTGTTTCGAATCACTCGAGCTGCTCACGGATCATCTAGCCTTGCTTTCTAGAGCTATGGCGAAATCTCAGATCACTCTCTCGGCGTGCTCGTAATGCATCCTTGACGCTTTCACGGGAACAAGACTGCCGCTGAAACTTCAGTTCCACGACCGCATGATCTCAGGGCGATGCCCTGATCGACTTCGATCCCCACTCGAATTTGACCACGACAGCACCCACAGCTGTCAATTCGTGCCTGCAATGCAGCAGACCAGCTGACCGATGATCCCACTGCCGACCAAGCGAAGAGGATGTCAGGTCCACACCACCCTCTGCTGAAATGCAAGGAGCATCATGCGCAGTAGAGGAGCGACCGATCGCGCAACCGGAACGAAGACATCTGTCAGGTACACGAACGAACTTTGGTCACGATGTCTCGACACCTGCATGCGAGGCTCCACACAGAGAAAAGCCCAGCGCCGGATTCTGAGACAGCCTCGAGGACGTACTAGATCTACTCCAGCTCAGCAGCCCTTCTCGCGCGCATCAGCCGGCGACTGAGGAAGTTGGTGAGGATCCACTATGGCCAATTTTCCCGAAGGCGAAAAGCGAGCATCCGCGTCTCAACACGCGATTGGGCGATTTACGGCGGGAAAACCCCAAGTACGGCCACAAGATTGGCGCGGTCATACAAATGCCACACCATCGAGAGGACAAGTGGGCGACATACAAGCGACGTACGGGCGGTCATCAAATGCCCGCGCATACACCACACACAGGGACGTACACAGAGCATCACCGCAGTGATGCAGATCCATGCTGTTGGTTGGATATGCGCAAGGCCGATCGGTCGGAGAATTTCTCTGTCGACTTGTTTCTCCGTGTCACCTTCACCATGTTGGGAATTATGGAACATGTGTTCCTTTCGTCTCCGCATTGCGTCTGGGGGGTGTGTGTCCAGTTCCAGTGAAGTCGCTCGAAAGGAGAATTATGCACACTCGGGGGCCCACCGTCGAGCTGCGGCACGCAAGGTGATGAGATATTCAAGGCTGCGTATCCTCGCATCGTGCAGTGGATATGCATATGCAACTGTATGATTTTTTTCCCGATAGCATCAAGTATACGTAGATATGTACAGGTGTATATGTACATATATGCACGCCGCATTGGAATTTGCGCTGCGCGCAATTTTTCTTTTCGTAGGCGAGAGAAGGGGAATTTGTTCGTCACAGGCATCTGCTCATTGGCTCGAGTGATTCGAATCCGTTGTCGATCTGGTGTCCTTTCTGTCAAGTGTTTCTCCTCTTCCTCCGCCAGATCGACATCATGTAATACACGTATGTTCGGAACGAATCGTGCAGAAGGTTCAGAGAAGGTACGTCTGTTCTCGATGGCGTACCTTGCAGCAGAACGGATAGCTGAAAGCATGACGATTGCGTGCCTGTCGTTTGCAGATTCGGAGAGTTTGAGTTAGGACAGTAGCCGGATTCTCACGAGTCGATCCGTTAACGCCAGCGACTTCTCTTACGCACCCGGTTCAATATCGCGACATCGTGGTGATCTGAGGACGAAGACCGTACCAAGTCTTGTGGTGCATGTTCCTGCCCACCAATGGCCATGACGTGAGCACCTCTACGAGACTCTACGAGACTCTACGAGATCTGCCGTGCGGGGGACCTGCATGCGAGCTGCGAGGTGCATGTTGTACATCTCATCCGTACTTCACGTCGCTTCACCCTTCACTGTGAAACGGGGAGGTGCACAAGACTTCCTAAGCATTGAATGCCAACTCGGGATCGGTCATTCAGTGGACAGTCCATCCCGGCCTGTTCCCTCTCGCAATGTCATAGGCAAGACGCCGATCAGTAATGACGACTCGATCCAGTTCCGACGACAATCGCGAGCCTGATGCCTAAAGCCAGTCTAGATATGCGATATGATACTCTCATATTTTGCAACTCTCTATTCAGGCATGAAGTGAATTGCAACTACTTCTCTGCAGGACACAGAGCATGACTGCAGCGCGGCTCTCAAGCAAATGCGAGCCTCATTGACAGTGCAGTCCCAAGCTGTCACTTTCGGAGGAACTGCTGTGCTTGCAGTCCTCGAATGCGTCGAGGATACCCGTACGCTCAAGCTGCAGATACTGCAGCACTGGATGCATGTCTGACACCACATTCAGGTGAGGTCGGACTGACGTTCAACAACAGAGCATTCAAAGGCAAGTAGTGATCATGCGACAAAGCTTGCGCATGCCCGAATTGAACTACGCTTTGGCGATTCGAATCGTCGAGCCGGCTGTGCACTTTGGATGATCTAGAATCACCGAGTGAGCACACGACATCGAGCATGAACAGGCTACAGCGCGACTAGCGAGCTAACTGTCATGTGCCACGCTGAATTCACACCGGTCATGGTACGGCAGTTTTTAAAGAGGGTAAATCCATGACTTCACTTCGAGACGTTGAGGAGAGTAGTATGTATGCACCGGCCAAGAGGAATTGCCAAGAGCAGGCTGGCACATTGGTGCTCAATTCGTGCAATGCCAGTCGATCATTGCGGTCCACGAAGTGTCGTATTGCTTGGTCGGCAAGACTTCGAGCCGTCCAGGCGGAATTTTCGAGGTCGAGAAGTAGGATGTTCTCCTCCACAAATTCTCCTGCATGATGGCACTTAGTTAGTCTCTGGGCGAACATGGTCTGGCGGCCCGCACGATGCTCTGCATCTCAAGCCTGGGAAACGACAAGCTCATTGGACCAAGACGAGAGCGGGGTATAGTCAGATTTCGCAAGATGCAGAAAATGCAGTCAAGTCGTTGAAATTGTTATGGGGCGAGAGTGGAGGTGTTCTGCGATCTGCCTGTGTTCAGCGATCTGCTTATGTTCAGCGATCAGATGGACGTCAGACTCAGCCGTTCTCCAGGCGTTCAGAAGTCTCGCTAAGTGATTCCGTGTTGGGGTGCTGTCAATGATTCTTCGATGCACTATCAGAGCCACGAGTTGTCACCGTAATTTCGAGCCTCGATATCAATACGAGAGAACCGCATGGTCGTCTGACGGCACTTCATGGAATGACAATCCCATTTTCGGTAGTAATCATAATAGACTTTCAACTATTAATGATCTCGAACATGTAAGATGAGCAATGGAAATCAGCACGTAATGCGGGTGACGCAACCTCGATCAGCCCTGTGGTATACTGCCAGTCCGCGATTTGGAGACTAACCATTGTCCGGTCCCGGATGGTCGACGCATCATTTCGATGGTAGCACGCAAGTGGAGCAAGCCAGGCAAATTGTGTTATGCAGTAGAACATAGCGCACTCTGAGCACTCTTCGCCAGACGTTCTCGTCAGACTGACCTGTCATAAGAATGTCACCCCATGTGTCACGCGGTATGGAACGACGTGCGATCTCCGCACGCCATCGAGGGCTCTTTGGCGGCCACGCGCTGCATGGCAAAAGTATGATGACATGTCGTGGACAATTCGCCCGCCAACGATGCCGTTTGTAGCATTGCCGGCCGGTGGAGACTTTTTGTTTCAAGACCGTGACTGGCGCCATGACCTCGAGCCAACCAGGTGGACGGAATGCGCTCAAATTCTTTTCATGTCGTGTCTGTCCTCTTGCAGGATTCTGGTACGCTTGTGGAGGACCCCGGCTGCGGGCAATTTGAGGCACGACTTTGCAGGACAACCCCGCCGCCTGCTACAGTAGTCGGGGCATCGAAATGGTGTGCGGAGATGAGACCATTGTGTCGTCCTGAAACAGCAATGCTCTGATCAGGTCGGCGCCATCGCAGGTCTGTTGGAGACTCTCTCATCCCAAATTTGTCGGCGCAAGATTAGCACTGATTCACATTCGAATTTCAGCATCAAGCGCAACGCCGCACACGACGCACGATTGCTTACCATCAAACCCAACAATATTTGTCGCTATAATGTCCTGCTTCTCCTTAGCTTTGGTGCTGGTGCTGGTCCCGTTGCTATGCGTAATACCAATGCTACTGCCGCCGCCAGCGCAGGCGCCGCCGTCGGGCCTGGTTACGTAGGGATGTTATTAAGCTGAATGCGAACATGGTGCCATTGAGAAGATCGTCGCCAATGCACATCGGACATCAAAGGGGAAGTCAGGACTCCCACCATCATACTAAAAGAGGTGCCTGAATTGCTTCCCCATTGTGCTTGCAAAGAGATCCACTGCGCGGCCCGTAAGCCGATTTCACTCGGGCTAATCGCGATAGGGTTAGCTGCCGCGAAGCGCAAAGCTTAAAGAATGAGCCACCCCGACAGACTGGTGCCGACGGTTTCATCTTTTCGAGAAATTCTTCTGTTGGTGCTCTGGTATCTTTTCTCACACCGAGTCATCCACACGTACTGTCCTGTGCACACAGACACGATATAGACAGGATCACCCAATGGTCAATGTGACGATCCTTCTCTTGTTATAGAACGGACGAAGTCACCGATGTGGTGAAAAGCACATGGTGTATCCGCATATAAAACCCGAGAGGGATCGTTATTTTGCTGGTTTCCTAGTTTTCCGAAGAGACTGTTCTATATACAGTACAGTACAGTGTAGTACAGTAGATACTACTCAAAGAGCGGCTTCTTTGTGTGTCTGCTAGTCCTCCGTTTCTCAACCATTGATCAGGAGGAGTGGAGAGGCAATCCCCCTGCATTGCAGCTCTGTCGGCACACGCAATGGATTTCAGCGCTATCGGATCCCTTCGATGTACAGTAGTAAATGTACCGCCGGCCATGTATGTATGCTCCGTACTGCACAGATGCACAATGCACCCTGGAGGCACAGCAAGATACTCCTGTATGTATGTACAATGGCCGTGTGGGTCCTGTTCCGGTCGGCTCTACGTTTCTTCAAGAGGTGTCATCGTCATTGCTCGCTCGCAGTCCAGCGACCGATTCCGCGCGGAACCTCACAGGTACACGCTGTATGTCTCTACCATGGGCAGACAGCAAATCAACTGATAAGGGAACACGAGCCGCATCATCCATCGATTGTTGCAGGCAGATAGCATGCTCGCTTGGTGCTCTGCCTCGCAGTCTGCACTACATTGACCACAGGGCGACGCATTCCCCGGTCCGCAGCTGCACCTCCAAGCGTAAAGCCCGTGGGTCTGGCTTGGTGGAAACCTTCGCTCCTCGTGCCGCGAACGGACTTGTCCTGGCCAGCTTTTACGACGGGAAGCGGCGGACGATCGTGTCCATTTCCAGGACGATGTCAGTAGTGTTGGTGGTGGTTGCATGCACAGGAGGCATGGGAGGTGCCGATTTTTCGCTCTTTTGTTTGGTGTTTTTTTTTATTTAAACTTTCCAGGCCATCTGTTCGAGGCACACGAAACCGAATGCGCGCCCGTGACCCTTGCCTGCCCGGGGCTTAGCTACGTATATGCACAGGAGGGTGCCCGGGTGGTCACCAACTTGGATTTGGACCTCAATGAAGTGTGTGTCCTAACGCTAGCTATCCGGCTGTTGGCTCGCCGCTCCACTCCATCATCCTCACACACACACCTACGCATCCTTGGAACTCGCCGCTTTTGCTATCGTGAATAGATCCACCCCTGCGGTCGTCGAGCAACATAAACTTCGAGAATCCCCATTTCCACGGGCTCTGTTCTGAACCAGACGTTCACTTCATGCATGTTCAAAAATATCACAACTTTCTTCTTACATCAGTGAACCATACAAGAACTCCATCGTTGCGCGACTGGATCGTTTCAGCAATACAGGCATATTTTTCCAATTCGGACGGAGCTCTTCACACACATCAACATGACCAACATGTACCCACAACCGTCAGCGTCTGCTACTCGGCCTGCATACCTCGACAACCTCTTCCGAGATGCGCCAGCACCCCATACTCCCAGCCTTCACTCTTCCACGAGCAGCATCTCATGTAGCAGCACTGCCTCCAGCTACGACCTGCGATCGGCCTTCCTCAATGCTCGTCCATTGACGCCGGCCCAAGAAACCATGGACGACCACTTCAGCCTGCGCAGCAAGAAATCCTTCATCAACCCACGCAGGTTCCGCTTCGGCCGCATCTTCTCGACTCGACGGACAGAGATCACCGAGGACGTAACCGAGCCGGTGCTGCCCCCAACCAATCCTTCGGCGCTCGCCCAATCAAGCTGCGCCTCACCTCGGCGACCGTCATTGCCCCTGTTACAGACCAGCTTCCCACCTCCACGCGGCGCAAGCACATATGCAAAGAAGCCATTACCTGCCGTCCCACAAACACGTGCGCAGGAACTGACGTGTCGGCGTTGCTATTACTCCAATGCTCGCAACTGTCACGGGTGGGTCATGGGTGGGACCAGCGGTGCTGCTTGTGAGACTTGTCTGGTATGTGTTCACTTCAAAGATCTACTCTGTACTCCAAACCCATAACAGCTGCTGACTTATCCCATAGCAAGCCGGATTCTTCGGCGAGAAATGAACGACCTGAGACATCTGGCGTTCGGAAGACTCTTCGCGAATTTCCTTTATCTTCATCATCTCCTTCAGTCAATTGATACCAACACGGCGTATTGGGGACAGTCTCACGGGCGAGATTTGTCATGCATTTGAGATTTCTACTGTATCAACGAAACGGCGTCGCGGTGGCTGCATTTTGTCGGAAGCGGCGTCATCTGGATTTTTGGGGGAGGGATTGGAGCTGCTGCTGTTTTCTGCCGTTTCGGCAATTCTTACGCTTTGGACGAGTACACAGATTTCCTTTTTGTCATCGCACAGGATGTGCAGGAACATCGGGGCACCTATTGGGAGGAATTTTTTCGGTGATGGGCCCGCGATTGGACTGGCTTCTGACCCTCGGGTCAAAGCTGAACAGCAAAAAAGTTAAGGTGGTGGTGGTGGTGGGCGTGGCGCAATTGATTACGTTGGGTGCGTCAGCAAAAAGGACTTGGGAAATGAATAGTGATACCAACTGCAGTAACCTTCCTCCACACACGCAGAAAATGGACGTCCCTCTCGGGACAATTCTCCCGTCTTGACCGTTCCCATCTCCCGAAGTATTTTTCTCTCCTGTTGCTTGGTCGTGTACGGCCAAGCTCTACATGCGGTATTGCAATGACCAAATAGGAGCCGTTATCACGAGATCGCCCGTGCTATCACGACAGATGCCGTGACGGTTTCGAAGGTTCGAACTGGTTCCGTCAGCTCGAGGTTTGGCGGAGCAAACGTAACGATGTTCGCAGCTACCCCATAATTTAGCAAAAGTCAAATTCGGCCCAGGTCAGACACGAGCAGCAGCAGGGGGGAGAGAGGGAGAAGGGCAGAATCGCCTGCAGTAGCGATTTTAGCCCTGAACAAGGCAGCCCTCAATGCGCTTTCATCAGTGTGTGTGCAGGTGTCTGTCTGTGTCGGTGGGTGTGTACAAACTTGAATGCCCTCAGGAGGTAGTGGTGATGCCCGATTGCATGCTGCTATGTGAACCACCACATGTCTTCTGATTATTACTTCATCGTGTCTGTAAAACATGTTTGTACGTCAGACGACCGCGCGCGTGCATGAAAGCCCACCCTCGATCGCGAAACGCGGCGTATTCTGGACTTGTTCGCCCTGCCAAGCCTTTCTCGTTCAACCTCGCATCTGTCTGCTCCTGCACTGTGCCTGACCAACAGACCCCACTTTCCCATCACTCCAGGGCTCCAGGGCTGCTGCTGGCCGCTGGAAATTATGGACATGAGCACATCCATGTGAATCCTATGGCTGCATTGCATGGTGGCGTCGGAATCGCCCTGGCTCCCTGGTCTTTCTTGCCATGGGCAAACGTCGCGACCGAGGAGCAGGAGATCGGAGATCCGACAATCTGATCAGAGGTTGTAGAGAAACACGCCAGAAATCCACCACTATGCGTCCCCACGCGTCGTGTTGCGATCGTGTCTCGCTTGCTCCTACTACATACTGTCCATCGAAAAAGACGCATTGACCGGCGCGATCTTGGACCACCTCCTCGCTCCGTTGTGCTGGGACCAACGTCAATCCCCTATACTTGGAACTCACCAGCCAAGAGTGCAAAGCAAAATAGCTGCTAATCCATCAAAAGATGCAAGCGCGCGACGGACAACCAGATAGGTCAACGTCTTTATTATTATGCATTGACTGATGGGAGCAATAGTCGAGTTCGATGAAACTACCACTTTCCGCGCGCACAGTTCAGCTTGGGAAGACATGCAATCACCATCACGCCGGATCGCAGTGCTGTGAATCATAATTGTTCGAATCACTCCCGTCGAGTGTGCTCCAGGGGCGCCTTCTCTGCGAAACCCTGGATAGTCTTGTCCGACCCGATCCATGGAAGCACAAGCGAACAACGTGGTGCGCGGAAGGCAGGTGGCTAACTGCACAACGCAAGCCCACCGCCACAGAAAAGAAATGGAAGACTCGGAATGTCTCTCGTGTAGCGTGACGAGATCGCGGCCGCGCACGCGCAGCACCGCCTGACTCTCCTACAAACATAGCCGGTCTCACTGCTTCCAGAGCATTCTTCTGGCTCGAATGTCACGTTTCCAGGCCATTCTGGGCACCAAGAATAGCCGCAGACGGAGATGGCTGCCGTCGCCCAGATTGCCGTTGACGTGGTCGCACGGCCCCGGCATCGCTATATCATGCCAATTTCCAGCTTTCGGGAGTTACCATTAGTCTTGCTTTGTTCATGAGCAATGATGAGCACCGACTTAATTTGGGAGTCATATTCCGAGACGTAGATAGCTTTTGGTAAGAGTAAGTGGTCACCATGAGTCATGGTGATATAGGTCCACAATGATCTGCTTCACGAGTCATTGGCAAAGGCTCCATCCATCTTGTCACATGTCTGGAAACAACACCACTGGCCCCCGGCCCATTAACCTGGTAGCGACGTCGGAATCTCGCTCATCGCAGACCCCGAGTAGACAGCTTGGTATGAACCAATGCACGCGTGCAACTGTCAGAAGATCTCCAAAGTATTGCTCCCAATCATGGGGTTGTACTGTAGATAACAGAGAGCAATGGTCCACGGTCGAAGGGCATTCGGGAACGGATTCCGAAAGTCGGGAGAAGAAGCGGAGCGGCACGAGCCCTCTCCACTACACGCGCCCTATCGATACGGTCGTACATACACAACCTCGGGTGGGGTTGTGACTGAGGACGACGAAAATAATTGATCGCCGTGAGTGAGATACTGTGGATTTGATGCGTCTGCCCCTGTATAGATGTGCAGATCGCGAACCTTTCAAGATATCAGAAGAAGTCGGCCGGCTATACGACTGCAGAAATCGCAGATATGCGGCCAAAGCATTTCACCATCGTCATCAAACTCGGTACATATCCTGTAAACCATTGAATCTCCAATGCTTCGTCACAGAGCCTCAAAGAACCATGATCGACAACATGCTGACCGAGCTCAGGCACATCATCCATAGTCGATGAGAAGACACATCAGCCACTTCTATCGACCCTCTCCACCATCGCCGAAACTGCGGTGGCACTCCGGAAAGATGGCCATCGCGTCATCATCTGCTCTTCCGGAGCCATCGGGATGGCCCTCCGCCAGATGGACCTGGAACGCCGACCCAAATTGTTGCCACAGGTTCAAGCGCTGGCCGCAATAGGACAGTGCAAACTGATGAGCATGTGGGACCAGCTATTCGGGCACATGCGGCAGCCCGTCGCCCAGATTCTCCTCACGCGGAACGACATTGCCGATCGGACCCAATACCTCAACGCACAAAACACCTTCTCCGCGCTGCTCCATATGGGCGTGATCCCGATCGTGAACGAGAACGACACCCTCTCCGTGCAGGAGATCAAGTTCGGCGACAATGACACCCTCAGCGCCGTCACCGCGGCCATGGTCCAGGCGGACTACCTCTTCCTCATGACCGACGTGGACTGCCTGTACGACAAGAACCCCCGGACCCACCCGGACGCCAAGGCGATCGAGATCGTCGAGGACATCTCCGACCTGGCCGCCGACGTCTCCAGCGCCGGCAGCTCGCTCGGCACGGGGGGCATGAGCACGAAGATCGTGGCGGCGCGCCTCGCCACCGCCGCGGGCGTCACGACCGTCATCACCCGGAGCAGCAAGCCGGGCAACATCTCGGCGATCATCCGCCACGCGGAATCGCAGCGCTCCGCCACCAGCATGGACAGCAGCGGCGAGCTGCCCCCCGCCGCCGCCGCCGCCGCCGACACCTCCACCGACCTCCACCGCGTCACCACCATCACCCAAGCCGACCACGACCCCCCGCCGCCGCCGCCGCCGCCGACACCTCCACCGACCTCCACCGCGTCACCACCATCACCCAAGCCGACCACGACCCCCCGCCGCCGCCGCCGCCGCTCCACACCCGCTTCCTGCCCGCGCTGCACCCGATCCGCGACCGGCACTTCTGGATCCTGCACGACCTCGCGCCGCACGGGACGCTGTACATCGACCCGGGGGCGGGGACGGCGCTGTTCAAGAAGGCCGGGCTGCTGCCGGCGGGCGTGGTGCACGTGGACGGGCACTTCGGGCAGCACGAGTGCGTGCGGCTGAAGGTGCTGGGGGCGCGCGACGGGCCGCACGCCGACGCGGTCGAGGTCGGCCGCGCCCTGGTCAACTACTCCGCCTCGGAGATCCGCTGGCTGCGCGGCGTGCGCAGCTCGCAGATCGCCGAGATCCTGGGCTACGCGGATTCCGAGTACATCGCGCACCGGGACAGCATCGCCCTGTTCCAGAGGGAGGTCAGCCGCCCCGTGACGCCGACGTTGCCGTCGTCTTCCTCGTCGTCGTCGCTGGCGGGCGCTGCTGGGGAGGCGGCGGCGGCGACGAGGCCGAGGATGGGCAGTTTGGGGGCGTATGTGGATGGATGACGATTGATGGGGATTGGATTAGACGCGGGCGGGAGGTAGAGAGAGAGAGAGAGAGAGAGAGAGCGCGGATTATGGTGGCCCGGTTACGATGTAGATTCTTCGTAATGATTGTTTGCATAGACGAGACCAAGGGACCATTTGGGAAAACAAGAGAGAGAGAGAGAAAACAAAAAGGGGCGGGCGAGGGGCGAGGGTCACCCTTTCCATTTTGACCTCATGACTTCACCGCGATGAATGGATGAATGAATGAACGAATGGCCCGCGACGACCAGTGAAGAGCAAGAAAGCGAGACCGACGCATCATTGAAACTCAAGCTTCATAATGAAAAAAAGAAAAAGGATCATGCCTTGATTTCCAAGATTACTTTTTCCGCGTCGTGCTCCCTCCTCCCTTCTGAGCTAGTAGGTGGGTAGTTCTTCTTCTACCTGTAGAAACAAGACCAATCCTCACATTTCTTTCCCTTTTCCTTCTTCTTCCTCTTCCCGCTCGGATGATGCGCGGGGGTCGGTCGGTCGGAAGGGCGTGGGCATGACATGATAACATAACAGCATATAGGAAACGGAGAAGATCGCCCGAGCCGGTAGATGAGAGACCGCAGTGGACAAGACACAAATGGGGGAGGAAGAGGGAAGGCATTTTCCCGCTCGCCGCTCGTCCGACCAGCCCAGCCCAGCCGGTGGATCTCCCTCCCGAAAGGGGATGAGGGGACATGGCCGGCGGCGGCGGCGTGGAGTCCCGGTTCTGTTCGGGGGATGCTCTCCCCGTCGTGGTTCTCGCGTGCAGGAAATAATTCATGTCATATAGAATAACAGATTCGAATAAAAAGGAAAGAGGGGGGGGACCGCCTAATCCTCCTCGGCGACGGCCTCGATCGGTTCGCTCAGGTCGAGGCCGGCTCCGACGCCCATCATGCCCGCGTGGCCGGAGTCGCGGGGGCTCAGGACGGGGCTGAGCTTGACCTTGGGGCGGGCGCGGAAGACGCTGGCGTAGTCGCCCTCGACGGTGGACGGGTCCTCCGGGTGGTCTTCGGGCGTCTGCGGGCCGCCGGCCTCGGGGTGGTCGTGGTCGGAGGAGGTGTGCGCGGGCCGGTTCCGGGGAGGCGGACTGTCGAATTGGTTGACGGGGTAGACGGTGCTGCGGGAGCGCGAGTGCGCGGGGTGGTTGTGCTGGGAGTTGGTCTTGGTGTGGTGGCGCGCGGGCGCGGGCGGCGCGCGCGCGATGGAGTGGCGGGTGCGATCGAGCAGGGCCGCGGTCGAGGGGGATTCTTGGTGGACCTCGTCCACGGTGGAGCTGGCTCGCTGGTGATGGCTGTTGGAGCCAATGTTTTCGTAATCATCGCCGGAGGATGAGGAACGTGCGGAGTTTTGGGCGGGTTGGAAGGCCATCGACATGCGAGTGCGGTCGGCGAGGGTGGTCCGCATGCCTGCTCCGGAGGGCACGACGGGGATGCGGGCAGCGAGCGAGCTCCGCCGACGTTGTTGCGAAAGATCCCCCGAGCCGGTAGAAGGTGGGTTGTTGAGCGGACTGCTGGAGCGACTGTTGCTCGAGGCCCGCGAGGAAGGGAACTGAGCGGCGGCAGCGATGGCGGAGGCGCTCTGGTTTCCGATGCTGTTATCACGACCGCGTCGACGTAACGCGGAGTCCAGACTATCATCCGGGTACTGATAAGATCCGAGTGCGGACGAGGAGTCCTGTTCAAATGACCCCAATGGGGATGGGCCCGCCATGCTCATCCGCTTGCCTCCCTTGAGCGGAGAGAAGAGCTCAGACTTCAGCGGTACGAGTTCTCTCTGGCTGATGACCTTAGGCTGGGCATACGAGCGGGACCGCGAAGAGACGCGGCGGGTGAGATGCGCACGCATCGGCACCGCTGTCTGCGATGGTGAACGGCGATGGCCCTCCGTCGGCGAAGGCGACATGGACATGGCCATGTCAAGGGAATTCTGATGCGGGACTGGTCGGAGGGAGATGCGTCGGGAATCACGTAGCGTCTCTCGCGAGGGTGGAGCTACAGGTTGTTGACCGGGTGTTGCGTTCCGGCGGAGTTCTTCTCGCATCGCCGTGAGGAGATCGTCGTACTTTGTGAGTACCACAGTGCGATCGCGCATAGGTCGATCCGCTGGCGACTGGGGAAGATCTTCGAGATCATGTATGGACAAGTTCTGATGTCGGTCGAAGCACAATGGTGTATCGCGCTTCGGCGCGGGTGTTTGTACCGGAGCAGCAGCAGAAGTCCTCGCTCCATCTGATGTTCCACTGGCGCTCGCACTGGCACTCGCAGTGGTTTCAATCAGAGCCTGAGCTTGCTTCAGGAGCTTATCGTGGAAGTTTTGCCAGCGTTGCAGTCGACGGCGTTGCTGACGTGCGCGAGCATCCAAATCTTCCAGAAGAGTGGCCTCCGTGGCGGCGAGGCTACCTAGCTGGTCGTTTTTGTTGGCCTCCCAGAGGTCATCAAACTGGCTCGTCAGGATAAAATCACCACCAGCTGTAGAAGAGGATCCATCGGCTCCGGAGACAGGCTTCCCGTAGACCAGTGCGGCCTGCAATTCGGTGCTCCCCACCCATTGATTATCCAGGACATCCTGGGCCACCTTGAGTTTGTTTGCGCGCACCGCGGTGGATGGACTATCCGGTAGGAGACGATCCTGGGCCTTCCGGCTGACGTTCGCCATCCGCTGTTGTAAATCCGCATCTTTCTCAACCAACACGTTGTAGAGGCGTGAGAACGTCTCCCGTTTGCGATCCTTCTCTTGTAGAACCTTGGTCAAAGCGGCCCGGTGAGCGACGGACAGAGGTAGCATGCTCTCTCGGTGACTCTTGGACAGCCTCTGGGTCGCACCGATGCGTTCTGCCACCGGTTTACTCCTCGCATTGTTCTTGTGTTCGACGCGGACTTTGTGCAGGACGATGGACGAGAAGTTCAAGCACAGTTCCCAGAACTTGTCGCCTTGACACTCATCCAACATTGATTTCCGGAGGACCGCATCCCGCGCCAGAACTCCATTCTTTTTCAGTTCATTGAGACATCGGTAGAGGGCGGCGCGCAGGTTGATGCTCTGCAGCGGTTCGAGGGGTGGGAAGAATGGCTGGAGCTTGTCGGCCGTGGTGGCTGCATCGTAGACTTTGAAGATTTGGTAGAGGCACCATTCGGTGCCACGGATGCGCACACGAGCATCCTGGTTGCTCAGGCTGGCCGGTGTCAAGACCGGCCAGTCCGGCAGGAGGTCAAGATTTAACAGGCGAACATTCTTGACGAAGAGCGAGACCACCGAAGGACCATTGGCGAGTCGCGAGTCGAGTTTGATGCTGGAGGCCGCCCGCTTGTGAGTTAGGGAAGTCTGAGTGGTTGACATTGAGGGCGAGGCTGGCGGTGAGGCTCTGGAGAGAAGCGGCCGACGACCATACGGAAAGATTGCCGCCGTCGCTATTCGTTGGTGTGTCGCGGAAGGATGTTGGACCGAGGAGTGGAAAAAGCGAGAAGGGAGGAGGCAGGAGGAGAATCCGAGGGAGTTGTGAGTATGATCGCGAGGGAAGAGCGCGGGCCAAGAGCAGCGACAAACCCACGATCACGTCGTGCGAGGACGGACAGCGAGCCGAGTCGGAATAATAACAATGGGCAACCGCCAAATCAAAAGCGAACGCTGCAACAGACTCGATTGACCGTAGATGCACGCCGCAGCCGTTGTCTCGTCGAAGAAGGAAGTCGTGGAAAGCGGTCTCGGGTCGTGTGCCAGTGTCGTCGGATCGTGGTCGTTGCCGTGCTGGCGGTCGTGATGTTGATGATGATCGTAAGGTACAACGACGGTAGAGGTAGGACCCCCCAAGCTGCGAGTGAGTTTTGAAAACAGTGGTCGAGGGATCGTTTGGGTGACGTGACGAACAGGAAATGGGCACGCAGCTACCGCAACCGCAACCGTCGTCCCAGAAGACGGGGAAATGTGACGGGCGAGAGAGAGGAAGGGAGATGCACAGGTGATGCAGGTGAGAGGAAGGGAGCTGGATAGCAGCGATACCTCGTCCACCTGCAGCCAGCGATGGCGAGAGTATGGACAGTGCTCCGAGGATGTGTGGTTCCTGCAGCTGTAGTGAGAAACGAACGAACGAGCGAGCCGGTAGTGGACGATGGCAGTTTCCACCAGAGTGTTTCGGAATCCGTCACGACCAAAGAAAGTTCCAATGGGCGATCGGAAATGGTTCGCGCGGGCGGGCGGGTGATTGATTGATTGATTGATTGATCGATTGATTTGGTTGCGTGGGATTGTCTGGTGAACAGTAATGATATTAACAAGAACACGACCGACTGCTAATCCTTTGCAACGATACTACTGTGGGTATCATATCAATGCGAGAGACACGACGATTCTTGAAGCTGCAGTCATCACTCTCCTCCTACAACCAACACACGCTCTCCACACTCCTCCTGTACTGTACTGTATTTTCTGTATGGGGGGTTTCTACGGAGACGTTGCCGGTGGATTCGGCATTGGACAAGTCCAGACGGTGCCATTCCCTTCCCGTCGTGTTGCATGTAAGGAGGAGGAGGGGGCAGCCGAAGTAGGAATAATAATAATGATAATCATCATCATCATGGCGCCCAGGTGGGCATAATTCTTTCACACTACGACTGTTCACCAGCAAGGGTCCGACCTGTGTCTTCCCTTTCTGTCCCGCTTTGGTGGGCGTGGCTGGAAATCCACGGGAATTTCCTCGTGGCAGTTTGCGGAGATCATCCATCTCCCTTTCTTTTCTCCTGGCCAGGGCATCCACGCAGTATTATCGCAGTGAGATCTCCCGAATGGAATGGATGACACACGAACGGCGCAGTGATAGGACATGTAGAGAAAAGGGATACGGATGCATGACATGTTCCGACGCGAAGAGGAGACCAATACATGATGCATTCATTCATTCATTCATTCATTCATTCATTCATCGATGTTCTTGTTGTGGGCCGCACAAGCCAAGGCCTCGCGGTGGGGAAAAGCGTGGTCGCGTCCTCCCTGATCATCTCGCAGCGCGATTATAAGCTCAAGCCATTGTCGCATGTTTCAACGGGCGAACACTTCGCGAGCCGAAAGGGGAAAGACACCATCTATTCTCACATGCGGTAGGAGCTCACCATTCTCTCACACACAGGGGAGAAATTCACCAGACATTCACCAGTCTTTCATATCAGCCACCATCGGACCGGCAAGCGAGCCGGGTCGTGGAGGATTGACGACGGTGATCATCGCTCGCTGGTCGACAATGGATCCAGTCCTCGACGACATGACCAAACGATAGCGCCCCATCCAAATCATCTGCTGGGATCCATCATCGTCACAGGCCGGAGATCCCATCCATGCGTCCAGCTCAAAGGGGACATGGCGAAGGACAGACCAGGTCCGAAAACAGATCGAGGGCGCTCGCCTTCGCCTTCTCCGGACCGACGATGTGAGAAAGGGACGAGGGAGCCCACATGGGTGAGATGGATATGCTCAGATGCTGCACTGTACATAGGACACGATGGTCACCCGTCGCCGCGCGACACTATTGAAGGAAGCAGAGAGTTTGCCAATAGTCGGCTGGAGCGCCGGTGGGATCGAGCCGCGAGGTGAACAATTCACGGCATGCACGCGCCGCCCCCAACCGGCCGACCAACCCGCTGCTCATGCCTGACGACGATCCAGACCTGACCAAGATTGGATCTTGCTCTCTTTTATGATTCAACATTGTCACTCGTCACTCGTCGTCACCCGTGCAGTAGAGACTTTCCGGATCGAGAGAATCATGCCTGTGGAGAGAGAGAGGGCTACATAATTAATCACAGGAGGATATCGCTGCACGTGTTGTGCGGCCAGGGGAGATGAACGGGGCATCATCTGTTCTAGATACTGTAGTACATGGGCTCTCCTTGATATGTCGAGAGAGGGATGACACGACAGCCGAGACGTTCATGGTCACTGAACAAATGTTTCATGATGAAAACGACAATGACGACGGTGATAATCTAAAGACAACAACAACAATTGAAATGACGATCCCGTTCAAACAGTGGTTCGTGGCAGAAACAACGGAGACCATAGGAGATGATGATGATGATGATGATGACCGAAATTGTGTGCCTTTGTTTGTGTGTGTTTGGTTGGTTTGGTTGGTTTGTTCCCTGGAAATCTCCCTGCACTCTGCGCTTGAATTTAGCCGATGTGTCCCTTGCAGGAGAGAGAGACGGAAACGCGCGCGCGAGGTAAAAAACAAACAGCCCAGCGGGACGGGCGGGCGGTCATCGAAAACGGCTGACGTGAACCCGTCGACCCCCTGTACGTGTGTCCAGGACAATCTTCCCGGACGTTTGATTCCGACTTCCCATCCATGCAGACCACGATGATGGACTCAGCTCTCCGCATGCACCGGATGATGAACATGATGAGGCCCGACATGGAGGGAGGAAATCCATCGATCTCTCTCTTTCTCTCTCTCTCTGGCCTACCCAGGTCGGCAGTCACTCGCCCCGAGGACAGAGAGCATCCGGCATTTCCATCCATTGATGATGATATGACCCACTCATCCGTCACCCGCTGATCCGCCGCGAGTTTCACCATTGCGACGCCGCCGCTGCTGCCCTGCCCTGCCATGCCGCGCACGTCCGTCCATCTACACATCCACAATGCATATGCATGCACGCACGCACGTATTGATGCAACCATGCATGATCAAATCAACAAAACAAACCGGACTCGTTTGCCGCCCTCCCTCCCTTTCATCAAATATGAGAAATGGCCGACTCAAGTAGAGGCGAGGAGAAAGGGAAAGAAAGGAGAGGGAGAAAAAAAAAGAAGAAAATTGGGATCTCTTTGACGAGTGAGGACGAATCAAATCCACCGGAAAGGGGAAACTCCCGCATCTTTCCTTGCTCTCCAGAGCTCCTTTTTTTCCTGTTTCGTCCATGTTGATCATAATAAACGACGGGGTTTGTCGCTCTCTGTGATGAGTGGACGCGACGTGGAAATGTACTGTGGAATGGCAGGTCCCCATGGAAAGATTCTTATTATTATCATTACTGACGATGAGAGTACATGCTGCTGCTGCTGCTGCTGCTGCTGCTGCTGCTGGTGTTTGCCGCCGGGTGACTGACTTCAGTCTGCAGCAGCAGTTCGCAGTTCGCAATTGGCGTTTCTTTCGGAGCCCCTCACGCAGGTGTGAAAGGCGCGGTTAGGGTTGGGGTCCCGCCAAACCAGTGACGGGTCTGAAGTGACCCCTCCAAGTTCACACATACAAATCATTCCAGGTATCTTTTCTCTAACAATCGTGACAAGAATGTTGCCCACCTAGGTATATTTGTTACAATAAGAGCAGTATGGGGCATGCACCTCATTGAATTCCTACCTCAGCAATTCAATCCGGCTGCATTCCAGTGCATTCTTCACTCGTTCATGCCGATATATATAATCGTGATGGTCACATACCGTGCGCGTATGAGTGGTGGTGAAATGAGTGAAACCCTCCGCCGCGTCGAGCTTGACACCGCAACACCTCGTCATCGTCACAACAACAAACACATCGAATTTGTAGACCAAAAGTCTTGGACAATTGGGACATCACAACGACACCAAAGCCGAGGAGAGGTATATATCCCGTCTTCGTAGAGATACAAGAGAGAAAAAAAAACCCTCTCGTCCTCAGATCCTTCCAACACATATACCTCGCTACATACACAGACGGTGCTCACCCACTGCCGTTTCCACCCGAAGCAAACCAATTGTTGACCCGGGCGTCCTTCGAAATGGCCGAGTCAAGCGAACAAATCAAACAGGATGGTACGTGAGAGGTCGCAGACGGCAGCATGTCGCCTTGGAATCGGTCGGATCAAGTGTATATCATTCTGACCATGATGGCCAATCAAAGCGCCGACGTCCGATCAGAAGAGCGCCGCAGGAGCCACGGACGAGTTATGGATGCCCGAAACCGGTACGTCCCCCTCTATCCAATCACCTCACGATCGGCGCGCGAGAGCATCCTCGCCATGAAGGCGCTCGATCGCTCGGGGGAACCACCAAAACGAGACTTCGACCCAGCAGCAAACATCCCATCTCCCAACCCGCACCCTTGACCCTGAAGCTCCGAGGAGTCCCCGAACCAGCTCGACTGACCACCGACACGCACACAGTGCTCCGCACCCTGCCCGTGCGACCCGCGACCGGGACCAGCAGCCCGCTCCCCTTCCTGCACCTGCTCGGCCGGCTGAAGACGAACAAGCGCGAGGGGTGGCGGCGGTTCGGGATCACGGACGGCGAGTCGATCGCCGACCACATGTACCGGATGTCGATCATCACGCTGCTCTGCCCGCCCGCGCTCGCCGCCCGCCTGGACCTGGGCCGCTGCACGCGCATGGCGCTGGTCCACGACATGGCCGAGAGCCTGGTCGGCGACATCACGCCCGTGGACGGCGTGCCCAAGGCGGAGAAATCCCGGCGCGAGGCCGCGACCATGGACTACCTCTGCGGGGGGCTGCTGGGCGGGGTGGGCGGCGGGATCGCCGCTGATGCTGCTGCTGGAGGCGCGTCGACGACGACGGACGCAGACGAGGACGGGGACCAGCGCGGCGGGCCGGGGCGGGCGATCCGCGCGCTCTGGCAGGAGTACGAGGACTCGCGGACGCTGGAGGCCAAGTTCGTGCACGACGTCGACAAGCTGGAGCTGCTGCTGCAGATGCTCGAGTACGAGCGCGCGCGGGCCGGCCGCGTGGACCTGTCCGAGTTCGGCTGGGTGGCGGCCAGGATCGAGCTGCCGGAGGTCCGGGCCTGGGCGGACGAGCTGCTGGCCGACCGGGCGGTGTTCTGGGAGGGGCTGCGCAAGGACGGAGAGGAAGAGGCGGGGGGGGTGGTTGGCGGAGGTGGTGGAGGTGGTGGTGGTGGCGGCTCGTCGAGGCAGCGGTGAAGGGGATGAGGGCCGATCGGACGGTCGGGCGGAGAGCGGACGTCGCGGTGGAAGAATCTATGGAGAGATTGTGAGATTGAGAGGGAGGGCATGTTTCCTTTTCTATTATTGCATTGGAATGGGAATCCATAGGGAGTCACCCTGGGATTTCCGAAATGGTATCGCCCCAGTCAGGAGAGGCAGGGAGAGGCAGAGAGACGGAGGGTGTGCGCGCCTCTTCTTCTCTTTTCCCCCCAGAATCATCCATGACCACGGCGGCGGACACACACACATGTTGATGGATGAGGAAATATATATATATATATTTGTGTGTATGATAATGCTGCTGCCATGCTGCCACAATGCCATCCAGTCATCGTATGCATCCTCCCCCAAAGGAATTTGTCCAGGAGGGCATTCCCCAGCCTCCGCGGGTGGGTTCTTCAGCGCGGGAGGACAACAAAGAAAAAGAAAAAGAAAAGGAGAAAGAGGCTCGTTCTGTTCGCGACAGGAGAAAACCAGATACACAGACAGACAGACAGACAGGTACACATCACCATCACCACCACCACCACCACCACCACCGACGCCGACGCCGTTGCTCAATCCGCCTTGCCGCTCTTCCTCCCGCGGAACGTCCTCTCCGCGGTCCCGCGACCGTCCAACGCGCTCCCTCTCCCCGTCTCTCCCTCCCCAAAGGGGGACGTCCCGTCGCGGGACCCCGCGCCGGGCGGGCCGCCGAGCTCGAGGTCGTCGGTCATCTCGATCAGGTCGCCGACGCCGCCGACGCCTTTGCCCTCGGCGCCGACCGAGGCGCGGGGGCCCAGGGAGGAGGAGGGGTGGGGGTGGGTTTGGCTGTGATAGGGGCCCGCGCCGGTGCCCGCGGAGGCGGATGCGGAGGAGGAGGAGGAGGGGAACCCGGGGGTCGAGGAGGACGAGGCGGAGGAGGAGGAAGGCGGGAATTGGTGGGCGGCTTTGGAGGCCAGGCGGCGGACCCAGGATTCGATCGCGCCGCCGACGGCTTCGAGGTTGCTGCTGCTGTTGTTGCTGGTGGTGGTGGCGCCGCCGCTCCCCCCGAAGGCGAAGGCGTTGTTGCCGGCGCCGGCGCCGTTGTGGCCGCTCGAGGGGCCGAAGTGCGCGGAGGCGGACCGTCCGGCGGGGAGGAGGAGGTGGGGCGGGGGTTCGTCGGAGAAGGGGGGGAGGAGGTGGGATGCCGTCGTTGTTTTCGTCGACGGTGACGACGAGGAGCCGAGGGGGTCGGAGGTGATGGCGAGGTTGGGCAGGTGTTTGGCGACGAAGGCGTTCAGACCGTCCTGCGCCGGCCCCGGCCTCTTGACGTTCTTCCCCGCCAGCGTGCCGACGCCGCCGGGCCCGGAGAGGACGTAGCCGCGGTTGTTGTTGCCGTTGGGCAGGGCGGGTGCGGCGGCGGCGCTGGCGGCGCTGCCTCGCGCTCGAGAGGGATTCCGCGGAGGGGTTTGGTTCGGTTGGGAGGTGGGGTTCAACGCCGATGCGATCTGAGTCCCAGCCGACGCGGCGGGGAATGTACCGCCGCGACTCAGATCCAGTGAGGAGGAGGGCGGCGTGGTCGTCAGGTTGTCCGAATAGGAGATGCTTTTCCGTCGGGCGGGTGGGAAATATGCGATGGCTCGGCGAGGCAGGCGGACGATCTCGGTGGGGATCTGGTGATTGGGGAGGAGGACCCATGAGTCGTGTGTCCATGGAGGAGGTGGCGGTGGAGCCGTCGAGGCGTCGTTCGAAGCCATCGCTGAAGTCGATCCCATCGTGCGCTGTGTCGAGGTGGAGTTGGCGCGGTTTCGAGAACGATCGGATAGCAGGTCGACCGGCTGCGACGGCGATGGTTTGGGAGGCGGGACTTCCTCGGCGAGCAGCGCCGACAAGTCTTCACTGTCGGCAGATCCGAGCAAGTCCACCTCCAGTTCGTCCTTTCTGGAATCGGGACCTCTGACCGGTCGGCCTTTGACACCGCACGCATCCACGGGGAGGATCAGGTGCTGACGAGTCTGGACCGTATCATTCGGCCACATGCGGTTGGCCTTCCGCAGAGCGTTGGCGTGGATGTTGTATCGCAACGCGATCCCTGCTAGGGTGTCCTCTTTGCGGACGTCATGGAGGTAGACGAGCGCATCGCGATCCTCGTGTTCGTGATGTCCAGCGGGCGGCACGGAGGATGAGACCCCATCGAGGTCGTCGGACAGCCTCCGTTTGTATTTCCCCAGCGTATCGGCATAGCTGCTCTCCTGTCGAGTGAGCATGTCGCGTTTCTTCTGGGTGCGAAACGCGGCCGTCTGCTCCTCTCGGGTGCCGACGCCGATGCTGCCGACGGGGCCGGATTGTCCCCATTGTGGAGTCCCCGAGCTGGATCTCTGCCGCTCGATCACGCTGAGGTGCTTTCGACTCCTCGGCCGATCGCTGACCCGCTGCGCGACCAGATCGCTGCCGAGCAGGTCCGATGCGATGCCCTGTAGCGTGGTCCACGAATTGCCCCAGAGCCCCGCGAATGTCTGGTCCTCCCCAGCTGCCCCTCTCCTCTGCTTTCCCGAACTCCCTCGACCGAGAGATGCACCCACTGCGTGACCGGAGCCGGAGATGGTCCTGCCCGGGGACCTCTGTGGATGCGCCGCAGGGATCGGGGAGGCCGGACGGGTGTCGAAGGTCGAGGGCAACGGCGATGGTCTCCGGGTGGGGATGCCGCTGCCGGACGTCAAGGCGGTCGCGTCGTCGTGATCATCGCCGTCCAGCCCAGATATCAGCCGGCGCGCGCGAGGCCGCAGGGACACGGGATTCGGGTCATTGGCGTTCATTGCCGACAGAGCTGCCGGTCACAAGACATGTGGCCTTGGGATTGGAATAGGAGCACCACGAGATGGACGGTCTCGGTCGGCGATCAGGTTTGCATTCGGCGGGCGGGAGGGGTCGTTCAGAAGGCGGAGACGATGCCTTCCAACCATATGGGGATGGGGATGCTAGACATGGACGCGCAGGTCTCGAGATCGATGCTGTGTGCGTATCAAGTGGTGTGCTGCGGTGCAACCAACAGAAAGGCACTGGAGTATGTTCCGGCGCGCGCGGGAAAGGATGACCTCAGGCCAGAAGTTCGGCCTCGATGGGTGTACTAGGGCTGTATCTAATCGCTGGCTATTATTATTACAGTGTGACTATGCTGTAATAATATAACGTCCAGCTGGAGGGAATGGGAGAGGAGAGAGGGCGCGCGTCATTGCGTTTCATGGTTGGAATGGGGATATGGTCGGTGCGCCGACCGACTCAGGGACGGGGATCCATTGCTTTCGTTGTTGTTTATTATAATAAGTTATTTGCTAGAGGCTTTTGTTTGGCGGCAGGCCTGGAGAGCTTTGCTGGGGACTCCTCCTCCTCCTCCACAAGGGCAACTTCCATCAGATCCATGGGTATCTCCCGATATATGTAACCAGACGGCATAGAAGGAGATGGGAGGAATGAATGAATGAATGAATGAATGAATGAATGAATGAATGAAACATGACAGCTCAATCAATCGGCGGGTCCTACAGGGCAGGCAAGGCAATTCATGATGAATCAGGTGGGAATATACAGTACCTGGCTAGGTAGGGAGGTGTGTCAGCCAAACACACACAGGTAGGGGGGTAGGTAGGTAGGTAGGTAGGTAGGTAGGTAGGTAGGTAGATACAGGATTCATCAATACCTATCTATATACTATGTAGTATGGAAACCCCTTGGAACGCTGCCTCCTCTGCCTCCTCCTCCTCCTCCTCCTCCTCCCTCGATCGAGGTACGGTAGTATAGTGAGTGTAGTGTAGTGAGTGGAGTGGAGTGGAGTGGAGTGGAGTGGAGTGTAGTGTAGTGTAGTGAGTGAGTGAGTGAGCGAGTGTCATGACAAATCATCAACGGCAGTCATCATTATGGTAATCATCGATAGTCCGATTCATCAAAATCCATTATTTCCATATATTGAGGTATTGATCGATAATTACTGTACCTACCTACCTACCTGCCTACCTACCTATCTACTGTACCTACCTACTGCACCGACCATCACGGGCAGAGGATGGAGATATACCTGCTGCATCTGGATGATGATACTTAGGTAGGTATGTATATATGCACGCGCGATGGATACATACATGCCTGCGTAGTAGGCAGAGTGATCGATGCGACTGATAATGACTGACTGACTGACACGACTACTGATGACTGATGACCGATGATGATGTTGATGTCGAGCTGGAGGGAGAAAAGTGCACACACCGGCTGCATTGCGGGCCACATTTACGTTTGGAAGGAGTCCCCTCGCATCGACAGTGTCCCCACCTAGGTATATGTATGTATGTATGTATGTATGTTGGGCCCTTTCTGTTCCTGGGCGATGACGAACAAAGGCGTTGTTTTGGTCTCATCTGCATCACTAGACGGTTAGATTTGGTTGTGGTGGTGGATGGGAATACAACGGTGCAAGATTCGGTAATGATATATAGGCCCGTCCCCTTCTCCTCCAGGACAGACTTATTATTACTGCGATAACAATCTGGGTGTAGATGCTCTCTTGAAGACCCTGAGGAGGAGGAGGAGGGCGCGTATATACAGCATACCCCACCAAAGACCGTTGATTATATCATTGCGGATCTGTCTGTCTGATGATGCCATAGCGGGATCATCGTCGCTTTCGGCTTCGATTGTCACAATAATAACCAACCCCCTTGGGCAATAATGCTTCCGGAGATGCACTTCGCTCGAGCCGCAGGAGCGAACAATTAATTCCAAATCCTGTGTCTGTCTCCCATCTATCATCATCATCATCATCATCATCATCATCATCCTTACATGTATATGGACATGCATACCCCCGAGCGGGACATCGAGGCGGGAAGGATGTGTGCGTGTGTTCTCGGCGGGGGTTCTCGTCCAGCCAGCCCCTCATCGCCCTCCATTCGCACATGCTGTTGGATGATGTTTTATTTATCATTCCTAGTATGAACCTCTGGCGTAGGGCTCGAGGGAAGAGGTGCAGTAGCAGAGGTGGGTACTATACGCGACGACACCACGTAATGACTGGTCAGTACTAGTACCTATAGCACCTAGGTCAGGTATATCCTCGGGGGTTTCCCATCATCCTATCATTCCATCATGGTTGAGGTTGGTTTTATGACAAACATCTCATACATTCCGCCAGCAGGGGGAGTGGCAGTGGGTGATGGGTGGGAGAGAGAGGACATCACCGATCCCTCCAACTCGAAACCCCATTCCAGACCCGCAATGGCGTGCAAAACATACCGATGCCGCCGGGTGAGGGAGAGAGGAAGGGATGGAGGGAGAGAGACAGAGAAATGACATGTCGTCATCCCAAGGTCTTTGCTTCAATAATATCATCATCCCTCCCGACTTTTCTTCTATGGTGACGGCCGTCCATCCTTGTATATATCTCCTACATATACATATATATATTTATTCACTTCCCAACCCCTATCGCTCCAACCTCTTCCATCTTCCAACAACCACACACCCTCACCAACTCAACATCCAACATCTCCAATCCACTCGCCATGTCTTCCGTCATCGACAAGCTCAAGCCTCACAAGGCCCTCTCCCACGGCTCCAAGCTGCCCGCCCACGCCCTGAAGGAGGACAACCCGGAGCAGGCCACCGTCAACCTCCACGAGGTCCCCGGCAAGAGTGAGTTTTTCATCTCTTTGATCGACCATCCTCCCTCTCCGACGGAGCGACGGACATTTGTCACATAGGAGAGATCATCTCCAGCTCGCTCGCACCCTGCCTGCAACATAAAACGAGAAGAAAAAAAGAGAAAAAACCCCCAATCGATAACGAAATACTGACGAAAATGTTCCCCCCTTCCCAGTCGTCATCGTCGGCGTCCCCGGCGCCTTCACCCCGCCCTGCTCCTCGCAGGTCCCCGGTTACCTCCAGCACGCCGACGCCTTCGCCGCCAAGGGCGTGGCGGGCATCTACATCGTCGCCGTCAACGACGCCTTCACGACCCAGGCGTGGAAGGAGAAGCTCGGGGGCGGCGGCCACAAGCTGGTGCACTTCCTCGCGGACGACACGGGCGCCGTAAGTTGAGAAGAGAAGAGAAGACCGCGTCGATCCGTCCCTCCCCAGACGGCGGGCGACATCGGGAGAAATCCAACCAGCTGACCATCGGGGATTCACCGCGCAACAGTTCACCAAGGCCGCCGGCCTGAGCTTCGACGCATCCGGCCTCCTGGGCGGGCACCGCTCGCAGCGCTACGCCGCCGTCGTGCACAACGGCGCGGTCGAGCACATCTTCGTCGAGGACGAGGCCCCCAGCGTGACCGTCACCGCCGCCGAGAAGGTCCTCGCGGCTATTTTGTAGAATGGGACCCGGAAAAAGAGGGTGAGCCAGGTCGAGGCGATCACACACTCACATTCACACACACAAGAGAAAAGCTAGGGAGGAAGGAAAGGAGGAAAGGAGGGAGGATGGAAGTGTCCGACGACAACGCATGTCTGTCGTGGATCTCTGAAGGGGAAAGGAAAGAGAAGGAAAGAAAAGAAGAGGAGAGAAAAGAAAAGGGAAGATGATACGGTTAAGAGCAGGCTCACCCTCCCTTTCTCTATGAATTTGACGGAGACGACGTACACGCTTTTCACTTAGATACCACACGAGAAACGCTAGCGATGGTCCGTAGAAATCATCCGCGACCCCTGAAAATTCCCCGAAACGCTTTTGTGTGTGTGGTGTGTATGTGAGAGAGAAGAAGGAGAAGGAGAAGAAGAAGAAGAAGAAGAAAATCACGAGTCTTCACGTCCGCGGATTTCCATTTCCTCGAAGGAAGAGAAATTAAAAGAGGAAAAGGAAAAGGAAAAAGAAGCTCTCCTGTCCTGTCCTGTCCTGCTGACGCACTCTCGTCTACACCACAGTCTTCCCCACAGTCTTCACATGATCATTCCACATCCAGATCCGAATCCGCAGAGGCGAGAATCCGGCCCCCTACAAAACCAAACCGAACCAGACGGCAACGATGAAACCTTCCCCTGCAAAAACTATCCCAGTAGATTTTCACTTCCTCCCTCCCTCTCTCTCTCTCTCTCTAGACCCAACTAAACCGTCCTCCGATGAGGCAAGCCCTCCAGGTCCGGCACCGCCCGGGCCTGCCAGCTCGCCTCCCACGCGCTGGCCACCTTGACCAACCGCCGCAGGCCGTCCGCGCCGGGCGCCCCGATCGCCACGAGCCCGTATGGCCGCCCGCCGCCGTTCGCCCCCGGTCTCCCCAGCCGCGGGTGGAAGCGGCCCAGCGGCAGCGTCGCGATGGCGTAGCCGGCGGCGGCGGCGTAGTCCGGGAGGGCGGAGTCCGCGGGGCCGAGGAGGGCGTCGAGGCGGTAGCGATGGTTTTCTTGTCTTTCTTCTTCTTCTTCTTTTGCTTTGGTCGTGGCGGTGGTGGGTTTGTTGTGGTGGTGGTGGTGGTTGATGGGCGGCAGGGACAGGTTGGCGAAGAGGGGGTCTAGCGCGAGGGTCGCCGCTTGCCCACGCAGCTTGTCCCGCATGGCGGTGATCTCTGCCGCGTCGCTGGTCGTGGCGGCGGCGCTGATGAGGTGGGATTGGTCGCCTTTGCCGGCGGGCAGTTCGATCTCGCCGTGCGCGGTGTTCCAGTCGATCAGCTCCTGGAGGCTGCGGACGGGCGATTCCTCGAGCTCGTCGGAGAGGTAGGCGTTCAGGGCGGAGGGGAATTCGGCTTCTGTATGATGCACTCGGTGTCAGTTTTCCCGGGTTCTGCTATGACCGATTGGCGGTGATCGGGGGTGGATGGTGCACACGTACGCATCAGATGCCATGTGGCGCTCTTGTCGTCGATCCAATAGTTCTCCGCCGGCGGCAGGTTCACGTGGTGGTGATAGCCTTTGGATAGGCGTCTGATCCGAGCATAGGCATCGTTGATCTCGTAAATCTAAAACCGTTCCGCAGAAAACAAAGCTGCGTTAGCGATAATGAACCTGTCTCTCCTCATTTGACAGCATGACCACCGACTGACCATTTGCCGTGTCACCATATCCGGCTCGGGCGCAGGTTTGGGGTGCCGGATCCATTGTTGAGGGTTCAAGGTCGCAACATTGCAATCCGACCAATCGGTCGCGAGGGATTTCTGCAGCTGGAGACTTTCGGCGGTTTGTGGTCCGACCATGACTTGGAACAGATTGACCAGATCCTCGACCGATTTTGCGATCGGTCCCACGGCGTCGAAGGTGGTCGAGATCGGCACGACGCCTTTCGTCGAGACTAGGCCGTGGGTTCGCAGTGTGTACAAGGCAGCGCGATTCGCAGGGGAGACTAGAGAGCCACTGGACTCGGTTCCCAGCGAGAAAGGGGCGTATCCTGCAGAAACGGAGGTCGCAGAGCCGGTTGAGGAACCTGACGGGTTCTGATCATCACAAAACAGAATCGTCAGTAAGGAAAGGCCGGATCTCAGTGTGCTCAATTCGCTACTGGAAGGGTTCTCACCGTGTGTCCAACGGGAATATCCTCCTCCTGTAGACCTTCTGGCATGTAAGCGGAGTTGGCCTGACCACCCACGGCCGACCAACCACTGGGGACGCCCTCTCCTCTGCACAGTCGTCAGCCGGTTTCTTCTTCATTGGCAATATAGAATTTGAGAAACAGACTTGAAGCCAGACAATTCCTACGAGCAAGGATTTCGTCAGCTCATCTCAGCCAGCGATACTGGGACGATTAGAAGTAGGCCCAGGGCAAAGGCGAACGCACAGTCATGTTGGTCTTTCCAATGATGATCAGTCCGGCCTCGAGCAGCTATACGGCATGACTTCTGTGTCAGAGCAACGATGGAAAGAGACGGAAAACTGAAAAAAAACCACTTCTTGTAGCATTGCCTCTCACCAGATCGATCACTTCCGCATTTCTCTTCACCACAGACTCGGCCAATGCAAAATTGCCAGCAGTCGTCTTCATACCAAGGGAAGGATGGGTAGCAATATTGTCCTATTGGGATATACTTCAGCATGGCGAAATTTCTCTTCGTCATGATCAACTCATCAGAAGAGCATGGACAGACGCACTTTGACCACGATCGGGAGACCGTGCAGTGGTCCCCTGACTTTACCCTGCTTTCTCTCGTCATCTAGCAGCCGGGCCCGAGTGAGCACCGTTTCTCCAGGGGCTTGTGATATCATGGCACGCAAGTAGCCATCGTGGTACAGGATGTGCTGACGACATAACCGAACGAGATCAACGCTGGTGAAGCGTCCGAAGGTCAGGTGGGCCTGAAGCTCTGAAGCAGTCGCCGTCAAGATGTTGGCTCGGCGAGCCGGATTGGTGTTCATCTTGAGGAATCCGACCACTTGTCTTAGACCTTGAAAGAAAACGAAACAATATGAGAAGTCGTGAGATACGAAGAGTCCATGACGGCCTCGCCGGCTGCGTTTATATAGATACAACCATGACTTGACCTCAATCAAAGGTTCTTTTCCCAAAAAAAGAAATCGTACGATGACTGAAAGTCCCGATGTCTCGCCAGGTGGTGGATCTGCAGGTGAGTATCACGACCAGATTTTTATATTGCACTGGCCGTGCCTGGATGCGAGTGACAGTTCTGTGCTATGGTTACACGCATCAAGCCACCACCACCACCACCGTCGTCGTCGCCGTCGTCGTCGTCATGGTCATACACAGGGCCGCAGAATTGTTTCCATGGCTGCTCACGGATCTTGCCTTTGGCTAAGCGAGAACGGAGCTCGTACACTCATCAAATGCGTTCAAGCCTAGAGGAAGCAAAGGGTGATTCGAAACTTGATTTGAGAGCGTGTAAAGCGTCCAAAAGAAATCGATTGAAATTGGTACGACATTGGGTCTTGACGAGATGGCTCTTCTCGTGGTATCAAGTTGAAAGGAATCTCGGCGTTGTTGGACAATAAAGGTGGCTAGGTGTGTATGTACGTACAAGGCGTGACTACTATGTACAATGTCTTTGTTTGATGCGTGTGGGTGCACATCTGGGCAGTTAGTCGTGTGCTCCAGCGGCACGATCCTCAGTACAGTACAGCATACAGCAAGTTTGGCTTGACACCACTCCCGCCCGCCGACAAGCTCGCGCGCGTGTTCGCGTATTAAATTTGCTATTCCCAACTTCGACGTCACTCGCGCGGTAAAATTTCAAGGCGCGGACTTGAATTGTTAAAAAGCCTCATCCGCCGACTCATCATCGATTCACGACCAGATGTCGAGGCTCTCCATGCACGCGTTGTGTCGAGCATTGCCATGTTCTACGACTTGAATGTCCGATGGACGCCCAATGATGCACAACTCCCTCGAACCCTGGCCTTCTTGTCCGAACTGGGCTACAATGTCGTCGCATTGAACCATGTCATTTCTGGCAAATTGCCCGTCGATGTGGTGAGACGAAATCAATTAATGCACTTCCCTCCCAGTAGAACCAAGCAGCTGACCCGTGGGCGCCATCGCAGACTTGTCCGATTCCAGCTTCAATCCCAGACAAGGACAATGTCCCTGCGAATCTCACCATTCTACGTCGCGTCACTCTCACCCTCACCGAGTCCTACCAGAATGCCCGCCTCACCGCCCTCGCCAAAGAGTACGACATGCTTGCTGTGCGACCTGTCGATGAACGTACTCTCCAGCTTGCCTGCACTTCCTTGGAATGCGACATAATTTCCCTCGACTTGACGCAGCGCCTACCTTTCCATTTCAAATACAAATCGCTCGCCGAAGCTATCAAAGCCGGGAAACGCTTCGAAATATGTTATGCGCAGGCTCTGACCAGCGGTGATCCTCAAGCCAGGCGCAACCTTATCAGCAATACCACACAATTGATCCGAGCAAGCCGTGGAAGGGGTCTAATTTTGTGTTCCGAGGCTAGCCAGGGCCCAGTCGGCTGCAGAGGACCTTGGGACATTATCAATCTCATGACCTTGTGGGGGCTAAGTCAAGAGAGGGGTCATGAAGGTATCACAAAAGAAGCCCGCAACGTCGTCGTGACGGCCAAATTGAAGAAGACCGGTTGGCGAGGCGTGGTCGACGTCATACATCCTGGCGACAAGCCGGATCCCGGTCCTGCGAGCGAAGGGCCAGCGGCCGGCAAGAAGCAGCAACACCCACATCAGCCGAAGAAACAAGGCGGTGGTGCTGGGTCAGCAGCCGGTAACAGCGGCAAGCAGCAAAAGAAGCAACAATCGAAGCAGAATGCAGCTCAACAGGCATCGGGACAAAAGCGAAAAGCAGACTCGTTAGCAGATACCAGCGACAGCAAGGCGCTGGCTCAACGTGGTCCTCACACTCCCAAACACGCCAAGCAGTGAAAACTCGTCATGGCGTGGTACAAGGACGTGTTGCCAGATATCAAAATTAATGCCCAAAAGCGAGATTGCAAAGGGGACGGTGCATGTCCGCATCGTACTCCAAACCTGCCTCGAAAAAAAAAGCACGGCGAGGTTTTGGCACCCAGTTCAGTGCAGATCCCAACATCAATGCTTCGAACTTTTGGTGTCGCACAAGTCGAAGCAGGCACACTGAGGCTCTGTGTCACCCGCTTCGATTCTGGCGACTGCACACCCATCATGCGATACTGCATGGGACACGCGGTTGGTGACATGAATCTCGTGTCCTGGAACAGGAGTGTTCAAACAGACAAACTCGGCGGTGATCCGCTTGCTCTCCAGGCCCAGCGCAAGCACAATTATCCCTTGAGGTTGGAATCCTAGTGAATCATGCAGCTTGGCTACATTCCGTACCCAATGCAGCATGCCCTCGTGGGCACGAGTCTAAAGACTTCAAGAAATTTGGTCAGAGAGGGCCGCCTGAGACCTCCTCATGTAGGTATCAGTGGCGAGTCCAATCCTCCCACATGATATGTGGAACAAATCCTTAAAGTCGAACTTCTTGCGGTCGGAACAATCATGTCAGGAAGAGCACTGTAGTACATCCTGCACCGTCGACCAGGCGGAATGCCGGTCAGAGAAACCCGACAAGAGATCAGCGCTCTTTCACCAGTCTGCCTGTCTATCTGCGCAATGCATGGACGAACTTAAATTTCATAACCTCATTCGTTTTCTCGTCACTCATCTCGATCATCACAATACAAATAAATACACAGTATGAAGCTTTGTCGCGGAGATGCCGTCAGCCTCTCAGGCGTTTTCCTTCATCTTCCCACAAGCCGAACAGGTGAACCACTGATGTTCCATGAACGCTCCACACCGCGAGCAGATCCATCCCAACGACCCCGGCTCCTTCCTGTCCGACAAGGGTGCGACGATGGCTGCCGCGGCGCGCGCCGAGCTGAGTTGTGAGCGCTTTGGTTGGCCCGTCGCGGACTTTGCGCCTCCTCCGCCGCCGCCACGGACAACATTACTGCCCTTGCGAGACTCGATGTCTGTGCCACTGCCCTTGCCGCTCGGATTCGTCTGTGGGAGGGAAGTGATGGGTCGTTCGATCCCGCAGGCATCACATGCGAGGAATTGCACGGGATTGATACAGGTGCAGATTTGGCATGTCCAATGATCCCCTCCACCGCGACTGTCGGGGAGTGACGATGCCTGGTTGCTGATTGGCGATGTGGCGGTGAGGTCGATTACATCGAAAGACCGGGCGGGAGGAGGTCGCGGTGATGGAGGTTGTTTTCGTTTCATCGCCGTCGGCGGGGGAGTGATGCTTGATCTGGAAGGACTCGTCAGGGCCGGCTTAGAAGCCATAGGTATCGGAGGTGGACGTGGCATTGTCATCTTGTCGTCTCTACAAGTAGTGCTCACTGCTGTCTGTCCCCTCTCGGGCGCCGATGATAAGCTCTGCTGCATCGCCCAGCGTAGCTGCTCCTCTTCGCTCGGCTCATTGTGACGACTGCTGTGAGACCCGGTCGAGGCACTACCCAAGCCTTGGATCCCTGCTTCAGCATGAACATTACAGAGGCCCTTTTCAGGTTTCCACGCAAGGCCATCGGTACCAGAAGGTTTTGATACATCTGAAAAAGACGCATCTTTACCCGTGCGTTTCTGAGGTGCAATTTTCTCCATTTCCTCCTGCTCCATGAGTTCGTACAAAGCCTGAGCGATAGCGCGGTCGTTGGCGTCGTCCTCTTCGGCTTGAGTTTTGAAGGCCTGCGTCGACGCTTGATCTGAGATCTTCTCTGCATCTCGGCTCCCAGAAGCACATCCGCCATGCATCATTCCATTATTGTTGTTGTTGCGGCGCATGATTGAATCCACAATCACATCACGGATATCGACATTCGGCCGGTTCTGAGCTGGCGATGAACCTCCCAGCTTCCGTCCCGAGCCAACACTCAGAGCACCTTGCGCTTTGCGCTTCTCGGCGCTCACACGAGCGAGTCGTCGCATCTCTTGTGGTGACATCCGAGTGTTTGCCAAAATGTTGCCGCCAATGCCACTGCCACCGCCGAGCCGTCTGCCCTCAGATAGGAAGCCCTCGCCAGTGTAGCCTTTGCGGACCAGGACTTCATATTCGTCACGAAGCTCGTCCCATAGAGCATGGAATCGCGAATCATGGTCACCCCAAATGATGTGCGATAGCTCGTGTAGCATAGTATCCACGATCTCCTCCATCGGCAGAAACAAATCCGGGTTGTTATGGTATCGTAGGCGTAGGCATATCTTGTAGCCTTTGTTGACGTTCAAGCCCAATAGGTTCTGTTGGCTAGGCAGGAACTCGGCGAGGATCTGTACGTGCCAGCTGCGCTTGCGCATGATCGGTTTGACCAGACTCGCGATCTTGCGAAGCATTTGCAGAGCCGTGTCGCCTCGCGATTGCTTGTGCAGATGCTCATAGGTCTGGAACAAAGGCTCATGCTCTCGGAGTTCGGACGTGTATGAACGCTGGACCGCGCCGGGTTCGCCATCTCCACGCGATCTTCTGGACATCTTAATTTGGCAAGCTAATCTTCGCAAGTGTTTTCAGCGCTTTGCTTTATTTCACTGAGCAGGGATGTTCCGGCGATATGTCAAAGGACTATCTTGCGATGTGCAGGGCTTTTGCATATTGAAATCCTTGTTCGACTTCTCAGTCGTATCATTTGTCTCAATACATTTTCCGAGGGATTGGAACATCTAATAGATACCTGTAGAAAGTGTTTGTCACTTGCTGACGCAGACACGAGTAGAATGAACTCGCTTTCACGTGAGCGGTGGCGAGAGGACGTTACGAAGTGGTGCCTGCTCCAGCCAGCCTACCAGCCGAATTTCGCGGCTTCATCGTTATTGATGACTCTAGACTTACGACCAGAGACGACCTTACCATCAATCAAGATTTACCGGGATTCAATTTCCTCAACTAGTACTCCGATGCACATTTACTGGAGCAGATTCAAAATTTTCAATGGTGCAAAATTGGATTTAAGCCGAAGTACAGTGACAACCTTTCCGAGGCTGTCCGCCCGAAGTGAGTCGACTCTGTGTGTGAAAAGCCTCGCGATATTGCAAGATCTGTAATGAGGTCAACAGAGTCGACGGCGGTGAGGGGTTCGCGATTCTCGAGCATACAATGAAGGTCGAGGACCGCCATGAGTTCAGACCATTTTGCCGAGAGAGAAAATCAGAAGGATGGCAATCTCCATGATCAATATTGGTAACGCTGGTTACTGCCAATTTCTATCTTGTCGAAGCTTCACAAGCGACGTAGGATACCCTATCAAATAGACTAGAGACACGAACAAAGCATTAAACATGATGATCGAAGTGTATAAGAAAAGCATGAGTATTGAAAAGATTTGATTTGTATATGTGTGTGTGGGCGAGATCGTCTGCTACAGCCGCACGGGTATCTTTTTGAGTTAGAAAAGCAGGTGATGAAGAAGAAACGAAAGATTACAAGGTGAGTTATCGGGTGAGGTTAAGAAGGAAGGAGAAAGATCAAGCCGCTTCAGTAAGCATTGCGAGTCTGCCAGCAGGAAAGCAATAGTTGACGAGAAGAAAGACGCGCGCGGAGATAGAAAGGAGAGAGGAGGATGTGTGTGATGTGATGTAGTATGCGCGGGTGGTGGTGAGATGAAGATGGAGCGGCGAAATAGGACGTGCTGCTCCCAGTAGGACTGCAGTGTTGCGGCGCTGAAAGTGAGAGGGTGAAAACGGAACCAGCCGACCTCAAGACGAAAGACGAAAGACGAAGAGAAGTTGGGGATATGCGGCGCACATATGCAACCTCGATAAGGTCGATGGCTTGAAACGAATTGCTCGCGTGAGGGCAGGACGCGAGGCGTCAGTGTATTGACGAAACTGCCGCCCTGGATATTGCTTGTGGGCGGCGTATCGTACGAATCGTGTCATTGTCTCGCAATGACAGAAATTCGTTTCTTGACATGCCATCATCATGCCGTCGTCTCAGCCATTCAGTCATAAAAGGCGGGACGGTTATTGGCAACCTTCTGGTGCCTGGGAAAAAACAGGCGATCTAGCTCGGGAACTCAAAGCCGATCATCGTTGACTGACGCCGGTGCTTAAAAGACACCACCAGCAGGCTCCTCGTCCAGGAGGAGAATCATCCAGACACCGACGTTGCTGACACCGTCGACTTCTCCGAATAATGGGGTACAATGCGCCCAGCACATTCGACCCACGGCGTTTGGGTTGCTGCCGTCCCCATTGGCCACCCACGAGATCTTCGCCGTGACCTTGCGGGCCGACACGAGGGCATTCTCGAGATGTGCGCGAACGCGCTTGTCTCCGCCAATGTGCGACATAAATGGAGATTGGGCGATACGAGGAGCAGATTGCGCGAGCGCAGGGGAGACAAACAGAATTCGGAAGGGCTGTACTGGCCGAACTAGAAGGTACTAATCATGGTGGGGTTAGTAAAATGGAAAATCCAAGTGTAGTTTCAGATATGATATTGGGACTTACGCGATGGTAGATACCCGGGGAGCGCATGTCGAGGCCCATTGGGAAACCCGATTTCGAGGACTCAGGGATATCATCAAAGCCGTCTGTCGCGAACCCGGCGGCGACCGGCGTCGCGGGAAGTTCGACCGCAGTGGAGGCTGTAGAGGACACGGGAGTGGTGATTTGGTCATCCAGCCTGATAGGATAATTCTCCAGGCTGACGGACTGCTCTGTGTATACGCTGTAGAATGACTTGGCCTTGCGGAGTTTGCTCTCTGGCTTCTTGTTCGCAGATGACGCGGCTGATGGGACCGCATCGTGTGGGAATGACCACGAATGTGCGCCTTTGCCTAGAAGATCGGAGCAATCAACATAGCCTCGGAGCCAATACCTTAACCGCCCACGAGTGTCACGTAGAGGTGTTACAGTTTGGAGGCTGAGGAATGGGCTGCCATCACTTCGGTAGCTGACCATAACCTCAGAATGCGATCTTTGAGCAGCAATTGCACTGGCGATGCGATCGGATGCGCCTACATCGGTCATGGGACCGTGCAAGAAGGACGGATTGCGGTTGAGGATTGATCTCATTGGGTAGTTTGTGCTTCGGGAGAATTCTTTCGATGCGAAAATGATAGGGTTGTCAATTTGTTCAGGGTCGGTGACGCAGAACATCTGCGCAAGACTGTCACTCTGTGCAGAAGATCCTGCACCCAGAGCGCCAGTGACCTTTCGGTGCAATGACGCATTAGTCATGTGGAACCCGTAAGCAACGTAGGCTGGAAGCGACTCGTATTGCAAGACGGCAAAAGCTTGCTCAACCTTGCGTTCCAAAATCGGGTTTGACACGATGGGCACATAGGCAGCATCAAATCCGTAATCGTAGGATGAAGGAAGAGTGGTGATGAGAGCATTGGCTGCGCTGATAAGGTCTAATGCTCTCAAGGCAGAGAGATAGTACTGGAGAACCGCCACATCGGCGGGTCGATATGACAGAAGGAAGCTGTTGAAGTTGAACAGTAGGTCGTCTTGCTTGAGAATCCGACGAAGATGATCAGCGCCTAGAAGGTAGGCGGCCTGCATCTCCAAATGAAAGTCAGGGTCAAGAGCGAGGTCGTCGCTCCCAGGGAGAGTCACACTCGGGAGTGATCGGTCCAAGTAGCGGACATGCGCTGTTCTTGAGGATGCCAATGATGTAATTGTCGTCGTTGTCGACAATCCGATGTTGAGGCTTGTCCTGTCATCTGACGCCGGGCTTTGAGATCTTGATGCTGGTGGCGTGGACTGTGAATGCACGGTCGGACACCGCGACCATACAGAGTTTGTGGAAGCAGTGCACGCGCTGTCCAGTTCGTCGTCGCGGGAGTTTTTTGGCTCGATGCGAATTGGCATGCGCAGACACGGCCGCGGGAGCAACTTTGAGCGAGACTGCAAAGGTGACGGCGTGCGGGCAGTCGTCAACACATCACCACCATCTGAACCTCTTTGCATGGTCGTTTGTAGCATGTTTGCAGAATCAGTCTTGGGGGTTATCAAGGAACGGTGAGATAGAAATGACGCATAGACGCGAGCGAGGGCTGACGCTGCTTTTCACAAACTCACACTGGCCAGGCTCCGACATGGACGACTGGGATAAGTCGTCAGTCGATGCTGGACGCCCGGAGGCCGGCCGCTGGTGTGTGAGGTTGAGTGCAAGAAAAATCTCACAACGGCTCACCCTCCCCTGCTGGCTCGCCATCTTTGCTCCGGCCAACGGCTAGCAGCACCTCGGATCGACCGGGGTAGCGAATCAATGCCACTCATGTTTGGCTTGTGCACTGATGATGATGATGACGGTCGGTTGCTTTCATTCTCCGCGTCGTCAATCATGAGATATGCTGATCGGAGTCGTCGGGCTGAGGTGGAGGCTAGCACCGCCCGTTGCACCACAGCAATTTCCATGGTGGCGTGCAGGGAAGCCAGCAGGGATGATGAGGTGGCATGAAATAAAGTGGCGCACATGCATGGCTCTCCGACGACATTCGTGGCCAAGTGTGTTTACGCCTTCCGCGCTCGTGATGAAGCGGACACACGCCACGAGTTTGCAAAGTTCGTGTTTCAGGTGTCTCCCACCTGCAGGCGATGGGATCGAAGACATATTTTACTAGGGCACTCTGCACCACCATTGAGCGACCTGTAATAATCGAGCAGAGGCACGATGAATGGATCATTCAGAAAGGACGGGAGCAATGAAGTCGAATTGGGCAAGTACACTACCTCCTTGCGATTGTAAAAACTCTACCAGGTGCTCTGGCCACAGGTGCCCGTCGCTGTGGAAAAGGGAGCTCACCGAGCAGCACACTGCCGTTCTAGCGATGGCATCTCGAGGGCTGCGCTCTAGACGGCATTCAGCAGGTCCGACGTCTGCCGGCGTGAGTAAGGTGAAAATCGGTCGATGAGGATGTCAGTCGACCAGGATGATGAGGTCAAGGAAAATGGTGCGAGGCTAGCAACGTTCCCCGCCGTCGGCGTCTTGTTTGCCTTGCCTCGCCTTGCCTCGGACACAATCGCGCCGCGTATTTTCTCGCCTGCCTGCCAAGGCCCAAGGCCCATCAGGAAACGGATCTGAAAGTCAGAAGAGACTCTCGAGAGCGACGGCAATCACGTTAGTGACATTACACTTCGTGGCGGAGGAAACTGGCAAGGTTTTCTGTCGACCGTCGGCTGACGATGAAAATATAACAGCCAATCATGGCCGTGGCATAATTTCCCTTCGATGACCGTTGCGGCTACTGCAGGTACCTCCCGGCCAGCCTTGCACGCCTCGATGCAAGCAATTTTCTAGTGCATCTCATCAATTCGAAACACGCCATGTGAGCGATGTGCTTTGTATCAGCTTCGTAATCCATCGCACCCTGTGACTCAACAGAGGCCTGCCTTGGTCCCCTCATCACACCTCTCGTCAGACTCGTCTGCAGTCGGCATAAAGTTATGGCGGCTCATGCACTGGCTTGCAGTTTTAACCTGCAGAAATGTAGACATGACAGCTGCAAAGTGCTTCACGACGGCTGCACGCCTGCTGCAGGCCCACCACAGAGGCTCGTCCCATGGTCGGATTGTGCATCGGGTCAAGAGTTACGGGGCGATCTTGCATGTCATCGGTAATAGTGACAGTCATGCGGCTACGCGGACATCTCGGGCAAGTCATGATCATCATCAGATGGCGAAGACAACCTCCGGCTTGGAAGCGAAGGAAAAGCAATGTCCTCGTCACACCTCATCTTACTCGAAGTGCAGACCAAGACACTAGTGAGGACAGAAAATCATCCGAGGCGAGAACGGCGTGTTTATCACATCATCATCGGGGGACATTCCTCAGGCTCGGAGAGATTTCTGACGAACAATGCTAACGGCAACTGGCGTCCGAGGTTGTGGGCTCACCCGGGACGATCCTGTGGATCGTGCAGCCGCACCGTTGAATCTAGGCTTCCAGTGATCACAGCCTGGACTCGATTCAGCCCAGCAGATACGGCAGTCAGACGGACCACCGTTGTGCCAGTTGATGATGATATAGAATTCAGGCTGGCGACTGCCATTTGCCAAATTACTTGAAAGTCAAATTGAGGAAGTAGCAAATCATGCATGAGCAGCGTTGGCCTCGCAGTTGATGGTCTGCCGCATTTGCTCATTGCATTGTGACGCTGGTAAAGGAGAAGTGATCCGTGAGGAAGGCTTCCAAGGTTCGTACGTTTGACGGCCGGCAGTGCTAGCGCTAGAGACGCCGTGACAACATCAGTGTGTGTGGATACCCGTATCTCTTCCATCTCACTCGATGCAATGCGATGCGATGCGATGCGGTTCCTCTGACAGGGTATTGATGTACAATCTTCCTGAGCTCCGTGTACGCGCTCATCAAGAAGGTGCACCTACCTAGCTGGGTAGGTAAGCACAATTCAAGCAGGTACATGTACAGGAGGACAGCACAAGGTACATTGTCATCCTCAAGGCGGAATGATGAAAGGGTGTGCGTTTGCCAGCCCAAGACTTCTGATCGCCGCCAGAATAATTCACCGCTAAGCCAATATACGAAGCTGGGGACGTGCTGAGATGGTGGAAAATGAAGTCGGAATGGCCCGTCGCGCCTGCCGCATTGGCGCTCTCGCTCCTCGTCGGCGCCGCCGGAAATGCACGATAAGATTGCCAATCCATATCGCCCTGCACGATGGGTTAGGTTATTCCATCTTGTGGAGTTTCCTAGACGGGCATGCCGATTGCTCATCATCATTGCAATTGTTTCTTTTCGCATCCATGAGTCTCAACAGACAGGCCACCATGTCGCATGAAAATTCATGTTGCGCCGAGCCGCTTCACTTGTAAGATATCCACCCGTAATTGTAGTCATTCGTAATCGACTTCATGCCAACAAATGATCGACAAAGTCGGTGCTACACCGCTGCCCGAGCGCGGTGAAATTCTGTCCATCTCGGACCTCCAAGCTCAGGCGTTGCTAAACTGCCAAGGTTAAAAATGAGGCTCATCAGCCATTCATAGCGAGAGGAGAGAATTGCACTGTAGACCTGTGATTCGTAAATGAACATCCCCTTTCTCGCAGGTCTCGGCCGTGAGCAAGTGCATTTCCATTTACCTAGAGGTACTTCTCGGGGGTACCGGTAATTCCGGATGTTCAACCATGTGTGTCATGCCACTACCCAGGTGCGCTCTGGAGGTAGAGCGTCGCGTCTGTTTCCTGATTGATCGGTGGCTCCCCTCCGCCACACCCTGCTGTTTCGAGTTGTCATATCATTGATCTACAGTACGGAATGTTCCCGCATTTCGCAACAGATCTGAGATTGGGTCTGGTAGTCTCATCACATGGATGTTTCACGATAAACCTGCGCATCCTATTCGCAATGGAAATTTGGAATCCATGTTTCCCTCCTGGCCTCCCCTCTACTTGCAAGGATTACAAACGATGACAACGCCTTGCAGAACGGTCGAAACCTTCTTGCCGAGAGTCAATTCCCCCCATGAGTTCTGGACGCCTCTGCCGGCATTGCTAGCCCCGGATCTCCATAAATTACAGATCTCACCGAAATTGTGACCTGCCCAATCACAGACCGAGCTGTCTCATCGCAACTGGTAATGCAGAACATGTTAGGGTCGCGCGTATCACTACCAAGCTAGGTAGCAACCTATGAAACCCCAAACAAGCCAATGTTTTCGAAGTTAATTGTAGCGAAGGTGACTCGTTTGGGAATTCGCCAGGTGGGAAGGTAGATGCAGGAGTTGGTCAGAAAAGATTGAACCCCTCTATCTATTCCCAGGTGCTCTTCTGATATCTATATCATTCTACGGGATACGGTGCTCACATAATTGCGGAGTCCAACCCGATAAGTATCACAAGGATTACCTGTTCGAGACCGCGTATCGCCGATTTCGCCTATCGATAACAACCCTAAGATCGGCCGCTTCCAAGGTTCCAAGGTTCCAAAGTCCTTTCAGACGTAAGGCTTACATGTGTAGAGGTGTTCAATCCTTTCTGACCACCCTCTTTAGCTGCTGCTCACATCAGTCATAGCAGTCTCCCCAAATCACGTCTTGGTCGTTCATAAGGCATCGTGTGACCATAGGATAGCACATTCGAGACAAAGCAAGGCCCATGAACCGACTGCTTCATCACGTCGGCGACGTGCATCGCGCTGCATGCCAATGACGGATCACAATCTCAAGCAAGAAACTTTAATCATGGGAGAAGAAAATATCCTGATTGACATACATACTCAATGGAATCCACATAGCCTCCGATCGACGCCAGCTTCCAAATTCTAGAGCATACCAGAGAAGCTGCGTTAAAAGATCTCGAAGCTCGTGTCATATCCGTAGAAGTAGCAAAAAATTGTTAATTGATTATAGGCTTAGTCCAGAAACCACAAAGAACAAGTACGGTTATATACCAATGAAATGATGGCGTGGTGCCTTCTCGGGTTGGGGAGTGCGTTCCAACAGTATGCGTTCCAACAGTATGCTCACTCCGACATAAGGCGCCATGAACCAGTGCGAATCGCGGTGCGAGTCCCCCAAGTTGAGATCAACGCTTAAAGCGTGACAGGCAGGCATGTGGCGCTGATATTGATGAGGCCCTGTTTGTGCGAGTTAGCATCTTGGTCGATGATCATGATGTTCTCTGCGTCGATGTGAGCCTTACATCCTGGTCAATAGGGCAGCAGAAGGTCTGGGTTCCGGGGCAGCTGTCGCTGAGTTCTAATATCATTGTGCGTTAGCAAGGTGGCATCCAAGTCGTTGCTGCTTCATCGCGGCCGACAAGATGATGACTTACGCCCAATCAAGTTGACCTGGTCGCAGGAGCCGCCGAGGATGCCATCGAGGACGCCGCTGAGGAGGTCGGTCGAGCCAAAGGTGCCCTCGTTGGTGTTGCAGCAGGAGAGCGTGCTCTTGTTGTTGCACGAGCCGGTGGAGTTGAAGGCCGGCAGGGCGCTGACCATGGTGCTGGCCATGATGGCAGAGGTGAAGATGGTGAAGATGGCCTGCATGTTTGCGAGTGTGGTTGTTTGAGTGGTTGAGGATTTGGTGGGAGTGTTGAGAAGATGATGATTGAGTTGAAGAGCTTGTGGATTGTGATGCTGGTGGTGATGGTGATAAGGATGATGAGAATAATTACGGCGGTCATGAGCATCTATTTATGTTCTTTCTTCCTCTTGATCGACTCGTGTCCACAGATACACCTTTTGCCTGTTCCCATCAAGTGAGCTGGTTGGCATATTGACTAACGGTTGATCCCCTGGAATGCGCTTTTCGTGCACCACAGATGCCTATTCACAAGCACTTGCAATTTCCGCTGACAGAACGAAGAGGCTTCCAAGGTCGATCATACCAGCCATTCCTATCTAGGTACACATGAAATCAATATTACGACAGATCATAACATCGACCTCCGGAACTCACTCCGAGACAAGGCAGTCATTTACCACTAAAAGGATTCTTAGCAGGAACGGTTCCTCGTGAACTCCTGATGAACTCCTGGTGAACTCCTGGTGAACTCCTCATCATCTATTTTGCTTGCCGGATTGTGTCCCTTCCGCTGACAGAACGGAGGGCCTTGACCATACCAGCAATGCCTACCTAGGTACACATGAAATCAATATTACGATGGATCATACCATCGACCTCCGGAACTTGCATCCGAGACCAAGTCGTCATTTACCGCTAAAAGAATGTTTAGTAGAAACGGTTTCTCGTGAACTCCTCGTGAACTCCTCGTAAAATCGCAGCGTTTTGCTTGCCATATTGTTGCCCTTCCGCTAACAGATGAAGAGGCTTGACTTTACCAGCAATGCCCACCTAGGTACATAAGGAATCAATATTACGAGACATCCGGACCTCCGCATTCGCGACCACTTGAAGAAGTCATTTACAGCTAAAGAGACATTTGGCAGAAACGGTGTCGCGTGAACTCCTTGTGAACCCCTCGTGATGTTTGCTCGCGAACTCCTCGTAAATTCCTCGCATCCTCGTGGCGTTCTACTTGCCGGATCGAGTCCCCCGTCCGCTCATGCGCTCGACGTGGCATTTGCTCACTAGCCATGCCATCTGGTTGGACTTGCTCCACGGTTCAGACCTGTGGAGCTCGAGTCTGTATCTCCTATGGTCTGCGTTTGGACTGACCAAGAGACAACGTGCTGCTTCTTTGGGCTCGCGACGCGAGTATCCGCGTCACGAGCATTATGCACCGCGGAGAACCATTGTGTGGCTCGGAACGGGGCCTCCGGTGTCTTGGAATACATGATCTGCAAGGATGGCTGAATGTCGATCTTTTTTTATCATGGAGCAACTCAGTGTCTTACACTTGTATCTGGACGGTTTGCACGTTGAAGGTGTTGGCGCTGAATGGCCGGAAGGTCTGCCGCCTGCCGGCGTTCTCTGATTGCCCTGTTACCTGGGTACTGTCTAAGGAGGAGTCTGAACCACGGTTTTTACGCTCTGTGCAGTTGTCTTTCACAAGCGGGCGAGTTTGGATGGTCGCGACGATGGCTCCTGAAGACTTGTCGTCACAGGTTCAACGGTGTCATGGTGCCTGCGCGTATGATGTTGACAGGGTCAAAGTTGAATCTCTCTTGTCATCGCAATTAGCACCAAGAGACTTGTCGATGAGTATCAGCCAACACAGAGCCAAGATCCCCGGTCATCAATTGATCACTGACAAAAGTTGCATGTTTCATCTGATCAGGAACAAGTGCAGGAGCAAGGACATTTGCTGCTAGGGTTGGGGTGAAAAGCACAGCATCTGGAATAGGGTTACGGCGCAAATGGAAATCGACGCTTCTACCTGCACGGGAACCGTGTTATTCTTACACGGACGATACCCCTTTGTTGCTGATCGCGAACAGCGCGATTCGAGATATGCTCACACGTGGGACTCGATCGGAGAATACGTTGGGTAGTGCGTTTGCTGTCAATCGGGATCGTGTAGACTTTAGCGGAACCTGATCGGGACCGAACCGAACGACTTCGGCAGGTGGCAACCGGTTCACATGCGGAAGCCACATGGTCAACCGCCATGCTCCAAGACCTGGAGACACGAAGTTCCAGAGCCACGCGCTCACGATGCGACGTCATCCGAGCGACGAGAACATTGGAATTACAAGACGGCCCGGGCACAGGAGCGGACCGTCGACTACATGTATACCCCGCAAAACATCAGTTGCAGAACGGACTAAATCTTTGCGATTTACGTCGTGGTCGTTTATCGTACATCGGTTACAGTCTATTGAAGAGGGCGAGCGCCGCCCGAAATATGTCCAGCATGAACAACCCTTCTGATCCACACATCTTGCTACCGTCACTCGTGTTGCACTCAAGATGGCCAGCACCGCGGAGCAAGTTCAGGCTGTCCTGGAGAAGGTGCCGGTAACAATTCAAGCCATCGTGGGAGCCCTCGTGTTGGCCCTCATTTATGCTATCATTACTGGCGACCGCCCAGTGGCTGGATTCCCCATCGTGACCGTCAAGCGTGAGGGATGGTCAAAGCTGCTGCCCAAAGGCTTTGCCTTTCTCACACACGGAAAAGCCATGCTGGAGAAGGGTCTTCAAGAGCACTCAGGACCATTTCAGGTCAACACTGGCTCCGGGTACAAGATCATTGTTCCCAACCGCTTCGTCGATGAAATCAAGAACAGTAGCAATGTCAGCTTCCACGAGGCTTTCAAGCAAGATCTCTTTGTCGACTACCCGGGAATGGATGGAAATCGCGAGGGACTCAAGGACTCGACCTTCATGCAAGAGGTCGTCCGTATGAAGTTGACCCAGAGTCTCGGTCTCGTCACCGACGATCTCGTCGACGAGACCAACGACTCATTCAATTGTATCCTTGGCGAGCCAACGGAATGGACCGTTACTCCCATGAAAGACAACATTCTCGATCTTGTCGCGCGTCTCTCCGCTCGTGTCTTCCTTGGCCTGCCCATCTGTCGCGATCCTCGATGGCTCCAGATCTCCAAAGACTATACCATTGACAGCTTTGTCGCGGCTCGTCTGCTGCGCATGTGTCCCGAGCTCATTCGCCCTGTCGTCTATTGGCTGATCCCAACCTGCACGCGGCTTCGGAAACAAGTCGCCGATGCACGACAGTTGATCGAGCCCGAGGTCGAACGACGCATCAAGAAGGCAAACGAAGCGCTCGCTGCAGGTAGGAAACCGCCGAAAGCGTCGGATGCGATTGCATGGATGGTCGAGGTTGCGCAAAACGGCCGTGATACAGACTTCGTGGCAGCACAGCTCTCTCTGACAACAGCAGCGATTCACACAACCTCCGAGACTACGATGAAGTGCTTGGTTCAGCTCTGCAAGACCCCAGAGCTACAGGACCAGCTGCGACAGGAGATGCTGCAGGTTTTGTCTACAGATGGATGGTCGAAGACTTCGTTGTATAAGCTGAGACTACTGGACTCATTTTTGAAAGAAGTGCAGCGTCATAATGCCATGTCTCTCGGTAAGTCCCATTTATCACTGAATGAGGCCATGCGAAGCCTCTCAACACGCAACGCCTGTCCTTGATGCCGTCTATAAAATTTGTGCTGTATGCTAACTCATACAAAACAGTCTCGTTGAACCGTATGATCAAGAAACCCATTACTCTTTCCAATGGCACCACTCTGCCCCCTGGAGTTCGAATCATGGTCAGCGACAACAAGGGGATGGATCCCGAGACGTTCCCTGAGCCCGAAAAGTTCGACGTCGCTCGCTTCCTTCGCCTGCGTGAGCAGCCAGGCGAAGAGAACCGTCACCAGTTTGTCACCACACATTCATCCCACATGGCTTTCGGTCACGGTTAGTTTTCACAATATTTAGGTTTCGATGGTATCCACGATCGTGGTAAACTGATGTGTGCTTATAGGTCAACACGCTTGCCCGGGTCGCTTCTTCGCTAGCAACGAGATTAAGATCGCGCTCACCTTCCTTCTCATCAAGTATGAGATGCGGTTCCCTCCTCTCGCCCCAGGAGAGAAGCCGCAGGTTACCGAGATGATGATGGAGACAAACACCGTCTCGATGCCGATTAAGGTGGAGATTCGGAGACGGAAGGAGGAGATCGATTTGATGAACCCTCTCGGCTTGTCGGCTTAAGGTCCAATAGTCTACACAAGGAAAAGCAATCATGACATATACTTTTGACTTGTTGGAATGCTGGGACGCGCAGTCAAATGTAGACATCAATCGACGGCGAATGGACCATGCAGTGCTTGCTAAGCCGTGGGATCCGCATGCGTCACTCTTTTTGTCGAGCACTTATTTTTATCATTTCATTCTTACCCTTCCTTAAGAACGTGCAAGGCTTCGCAGTACGAGTGACTCGTGACGATGATGCGTTACAGCAAAGAAGGAGATTCTACGCATTGAACACAGAGACGGGATCATTGATGTGATGCTCGTAATTTTTGATTTGCAGTCGACCGTGAAGACATTGAAGAATTGACTAAGACGATTATGAAAGAGAAAACCAAGAAAGGGCCAGCATACGATTTCTTCTCGTCGCTGCACAAACGAAGAACCCTTTTCGCCGAGGAACGCCAGAGACACCGAGAGACCAGCACCCACGCATAGGTGTTGGGAAGACTTTTCCACATTTCCAACCCATCTCGATCACCTCGATCGGGTGCTGCCCATGCCCCGCTTGCCGGCGATGAGCCACTTGGGCATACTGGCCGTCTGGTGACGATCGGCCTCTCCCTGTCGCGCCATGCGGTTCATCTTCTTCTGGCCGAGCTTGGCCAAGCGATCGGCCTTGGTGCGCGCGGTGACGTCGGTGACACCGTCGTCGCGGCGGTTGGTGCTCTGGCTGCGCAGACGTGCCACTGACATGCTGCGCGCGAAACGCGCCTTCGGTGTGTTGTCCAACTCTGCACCATCCACGTCCATGGCGTCGGCGGTGGAGCCTGCATCGGTCGGTGGCCTGCTGCGGCCACGGGCGCGCGATTGCGAGCGGGCGCGAGCGGCGATGGCAGAGGTGTCGTATCCGGCCGTTTCCAACGCCGATTCCATCTTCTCGAGTTCGATGGCCTTCTTGGAACGTGGGATTTGGGGCTTGTTGCGCATGGAGGATTTCTTGAGCTTTGCAGCATTTCGGATGAGTTGACGCTTCTCACGGATGAGCTCGGCTTTGTAGGCAGTGTCAGCATCTTCAGCATCCTCGAGCTCTTCTTCGTCTTCGTTGTCGTAATATCCTTCGGCTTCCAGTCTGGCTTCCTCTTCCTCCAAGGCAGCAAGTTTAGCATCGATTTCAGGGTCGATGTAATCATATACGTTCTTGCCGTCGAGAGTTTCAGGAATCTTGTCGTACTTCCATTCGTCGTTTTCGAGCAGATAGTTGTCCTTGAGATTGATGTTAAAAACACCTGCACCGCCGTTCTCCTCCTCGATATCCCGCATGAGCTTGGGTCGATTGGGATCATTCTTGTCGTATTTGATCTTCTTCAGCGCCGCCTCGGGGATGAAGGTCTCTCTGGTCACACCGCCAATCGGCTGTGCGACGTGGATTCTTCGGAGGACATCGCCTAGGCGTCCTGTGACTTCACCAGAAGCATTTGTACCAGCCGCAAGTTTCTGCGCATTTCGTTCTGCCAGCAACCGGTCGCAGACGGCATTTCGGACGTTCATCAAACCCTCTGTGGTGGTGCAGGAAAGCTGCAACATCTCAACATTGCCACTCTTGCAGAGATCCTGCAGTTTCTCTTGTGTCTCGGCATCAAGATCCTCAGGTCGCATCACATCGATCTTGTTCACCACAATGAACACAAGCTTGTTCGCGAACAGAGGCTTGATGCTCTGGAAAAGAGCCATCTGCGCGTGCACACTGTATCCACACTGCTCGCTTAGATCCATGAAGTACATGATAGCGCTGCGCAAATGCGCGATTGCCGTGATACTCTGCATTTCAATTGTGTTCATCTCTTCCAATGGGTGGTCCAAGATACCAGGAGTGTCAATGGCTTGGAATCTGAGCATCTTGTAGTCGAAATGTCCCACGAATAGCGACTTGGTTGTGAACGCATAAGGCTGAACGTCCACATCCGCGCGAGAAATGTTTTTCAAGAAGGATGACTTGCCAACATTGGGATATCCGCAAATGAGCAGGGTTCGGGTGTTGGGGTCAATACCTGGAAGACGGCCCAAATGTTGTCGTACTTGCTCGAGGTATACCAACGGATCTTTTAATCGTTTACAGATCGTAGCCATGCGACCGAGAGCAGCTCTCTTGAGCTGCTTGCATTGGAACAAACTTTGTCCATATTTCAGCAGACGAATGTAATCCCGCGCCACCGTCTCAATCAGGCCTTTGGCGGTGTTGAGTTGGCCGAGTGCAATGCGGAAGTGGTCGGCATCATACAGGGTGTTGAGGAGATCCTTGTGGAAGGGATGGATGTCAGCAAGTCGTGGAAATCCGTCCAAGATCGCTGAAAGCTTCTCAGCGAAAGTCTCTGAAGTGAATTTGACCTTGCGAATATAAAAGGCGCGAATTCGGTGAATCTGGAAACCAGCACGGATCTGAGTAGGCAATCGACGCTGCGTGCGCGAGAGAACGATGTCAAGGAATTCCTGCGAGGTCGGAACCGGCGCGATGTCTTTCCACGTCGTCTTCATCTTGACTGAGGTGGTATCGGTCAAAGGCACTGGTGGCCAAATTATCGTCGTGGGTTTGCGGCGGCGAGATCGAACGCATGTGCAGAAAATTGGAAATTCACAATCGATAGGGTGCTATCGAGGATCGGGCCGCTAGCGTGTGGGGCCTATTTTCTCGTGCTTGTTCCCTGTGGTGCGAAATTTCAAGTTCGTGCTTGGGCGGGCTGCTCGTTGGGACCCTTGCCGCAAGCAAAGGCTCGGCTCAAGTCACAGACCGTCGTGCCAACCTTGGAAGTCTGTTCCTCGTGAAGTTATCGCGCGATCTAACGAGTGCAGGAGCCGTGCATGAGTGATACAGTATCGCCGTTGGGTTGCGAGAGCACCATTGTGAATTTATTTTATTCCAAATTTGCATTGCGCACGGGTGAGTGACCTGTGGCGAAGAATACACATTGATAGTAGATACATATGCGCATAACAAGCTTTCAGCCTCGTCGCCATCGTCATATAACCCCCTCTGCATCCCGGGAGTAGATCAACCTCTCCATTTCCCGATGTCAGGAATACGATCGCGCCTCAGAACCTCCCCAGAACCTCCCCACACCACGACTTCACCCGAGTCGAGATATGTTGCACGAGAGGTGAGCACTCGGCAAGAGCAGTCACGCGTTGGAACGTTTCGCACTTCCTCAGCAGATAGAGGTTGCGATTGGCCTCGAAGAATTGCGTGCACGGATTTCTTGGCAGCAGTGCCATCGAAGCACAGCTTGATTCGTGGGGACTTGTGTGCTGGCCGTTTCCGAAACGGGCGCAAAAGGTGGCTCAGGATTCTTAGTGATTGATCATGATCGAAGAGCAAACTCGGTTTGAAGCTGGAAGGTGTCGCTGCGCGTGTCAAAACTAGCCATACAAAGCTGCAACAAAACGATACGAGATCGAAAGACATTTCCTTTCGTACGAGAAATTCACGATCGTCGAGTAAACGACCGGATGCTGTGTGTGCGTAGCAGGTTCTGTCATGGCGCTGCCACGACCATATGTGCGGCAGGGCTGAGTTGAGGAGGAACAATCAATTGAAAGACGAGTGTGCATTTAGATCCATGCAGGAACATCATCAGCGAGGTGCGCGTAAATCAAACCTTGGATTTCCGCAAGGTAGTCTGACGCCGACAAGTGCACCAGACCTCGGGAGGCAAGATAGCTTGCCTCTGGCGAATCGTCGGGTTTGCGTATTGAGATCGAAGCAGCGGCAACATGACCAAGGCTGTAGCCCTGAGCGACCTCGTCCAATTCGCGCAGCTCGCTGTGAAACGGGTTCTCACGCGGAGCGCTGACGAAGGTGCTCTCCTTTGCGGTCGAGTCGGATTCCTCACTAGTGGGCGACAGAGCGTGGCTAGTTGACGGTGGCGGTGAGAGCATGCGCTGGATGGTACGCTTACGGTGAATGTGCTCGTGCGCGCGTTTCGAATGCGATGGTACTCGCGTTGGCAGACTGGGCGCTGCTGCAAAGCTGCTCGCGACTGGAGTGCTGTCCGTGGGAGGCTTGAAGTAGCAGCTAAGGTGGTTCTCTTCTGGCTGAGAGCTGATCGGAGAGGTCTCGAGAGAGGACATGTCGGTGACGGTCTGGCCAGATTTGACACTGCGATCGCTGTCGTCGTCGCCAGAGCTTGAACTTGATCTTGATGGAGCCAGGCGGACGCTGATGGGTGCGGTACCGGCAATGTCGGGTGCATTATAAGAGATCATGTTGGTAGTCGAGATAAGCGCCAGCGGACTTGAGATGTTGCTGCGAAGAACAGGTTTGGCGCCACGTTGGCTCGTTGCGCGGCTGAGGTGTAGATTGAACATGCTGTCCGAGTCGGCCTTGTCGCGGCGGACAGTGAATGCGCGGGCGATGGACATGATGTCGATGTTGCAGAGCTGCTGACGGTCGAAAGAATGTGATATGAAATCCGTTCCAGACGGATCCTAGGTTGAAGAGAAGAAGGAGCGTGTCGTCGGCGTAGACTGCAACGAATCTAGGCAATCAATATACAATTGTGTAGCGCGTAGATCGATGAACAGTGCGCGCTACGATATATAGTCGCAACAGGCGAGAGGTCCAGAGTCGTGGCTTGCGGACTTTAGCTCCTCGGCTGAACGACGCAAGCCTGTTTGGATGCGGAGTAGTAAAGAGCGGAGAGCACAAGCGTTCGGCTGACGACGTTGGCGCAAGATAGTGACGAGCGTCAAAAGGGTCGCGACGCAGATAAAAAGAATGAATGTATGTTGTGAGAGACACGCAAGCTCCGCTGGCGATGATGATGAAGGGCAGAGTCACGGTTCTGACACTGTCTTGAATGAAAGTGAAAGTGACGACAATGAGTGAATGAGCGAGCGAGTGTGTGGGCAAGCGAGTGACAGAACAAGTGGTGGGCGCTTGTAACGCTAGGAGCAGAAACTCACGTGCGACGAGCTCGTTACCCAATGATGACAGTTGATGCAGGAAAGAGGAAGAGGAGAAGAAGGCGAAGGCAAGGAAGAGGATGTGTATCCTGTGATGTGCGCCCTCCGAGAGAGGGATGTGGTGGTGCGGGAACGTGATGGGTGAGAAGAGCGGGTGTGTCGCAGTACTGTCAATGGGTGGTGTGGTTGAAGAAAAACGAATGTGAATGGGAGAAGTGTCGGCGGTGGTGTGGTGTTGGGCTGCGACCGTCCATCCATACATACATACAGATACAGTACACGCACAATTGATGAATAATGACAACCTTGGAACTGACAAATGGAAGCCTCCCAGATTGTGCTGGACGGTATTGTGGTATACCTTTGCTCTCCCAGATGTGGTGGTGAACGTGCCCGGGTGACGATCTGGTGTGTGATGATGTCTACGAGTGCTTGATTGCGTTCGCGACTCCGCACCCAAATCCGACGCGTGCAGTAAATGGGCGGGAGAGTGGTGTGTGGTGGTGCAGGCGGATGTGAAATCTGTCCGCTAACCTTGATGCGGTCAAGCGACGGCGCGTCAGTCTCGTGCAAGTGCCCACAAATGATCCAGGGGTAACAAGAGCGACGGCGAGATGCTCGGCAAGCCTGTTCGCTCCAGTGGCTTTTCCGGCTTTGTTGGTCCACAGGCAGGCCAGTAAAGAAAGGGCCGCCTAGGAGAATTCGGAGGCTGTGACAAACGGGCGGGTGTGAGTAGAGGGGGTCGAATCGAATGGCCGTCCTTCTCTGTCCCGCAACTTGCTTGCCTTGTTGGCGACGCAGGAGGATGTTTTTTTCAATTTGGTAGTTGATCGGTGTGGCGACCTCGGCGCTTCGCTTCGTGCGATTTGGAAAATCAGGCCAATGGAATAGATAACAATCTATCAGAGATTTTGTCTGTAGCAACACATTTGTGAGCTTTGAAAAAACTGCCTATACATACGTGCATATGCATATAGTCGTGGTCGCGCGGAGAGCCATCGTTATGCGCGCGCCCATGATTCATATCCGGTGTCATGTGTTTCTATTCATCTGGCACCGATGTCGATCTCTACCGAATGCCTCCTTGTATGTATAGACAATAATCGCACTGAATATATCGTACCGTGAAAAGAATTGGTCCTCTTTGAGATTGTCCCAGACCGCGTGGCAGCCGAAGTACTGACGTGGACCTTTCGAGGCACAACAAGTAATCTTCTTGGCCTATTTTTGTGCGCCCGCGCGGTCTCATTCTAACGGCCATGAACGGGTGTCCCAGCCGGACCTGTTGGACCGCCCACCACATCACCACCGCTACTGTTCTCCGGCAATACAACTGATGACGAGGATGGGAGCTTCGGATGTGTCCGCAACAAATACAGCGCGGTATGCACAAGACCGACCCGAGTGAATTAAAATATGTGCACAGGTCCGGGAATCATATCGTTTGTCGCCCAGGTCGAACCGAGTGTGGTACCTGGCTTGTAAGCGCCGCCGATCTAAGATGCCAGAAGGTTTTCAGCTCAGATCCCTCGTACTGCAATGTGCGACCCTCGTTCACCACCAAAGTGTGCCCTCATGTTTCAGAATGTGCGTCGCCCTGCTGACCCTTCCTTCCGCGTTCGGAGGTTGATGACAATTCTGCTCCTTATTGGCCCTTTCACATTCCGCTTGTGAGAGAAGAAGTCTGCAAGCTTCTCTTTTGGTCCAAGCTTGCACTGGACAATTGCTTCACTTGATGACAGCACTTCATGTGGATACTCGTCAACCCCACTTACCTGGGTACTAGGTAGGTGGATACAAATGGACTCAATTGATTCCATGGACAACAGCCAGGTCAGCGCCTGCATCGCCCTTTTCATTGTCAATGAAGCCGATGTCCCTGGTCGGCGGTTGTAGCACTCGGTACGACATCCGAATGCATATGCAAATGGTATCGCTGTGAAAGATGTGCAAAAGCTTTGCTTCGATCGGGCCTTTTCGCGAGTGCGTGGGGATCCGCAAACAGCCACACACCAGTGTCATCGGCAAAGACAATTTTGCGAGGCCCGAAATACTCTCGATGGTCAAGAGTCACGTTGTCGATATCGACGCTGTGCGCGCATGTGTGTCCGTATACAAGCGACAGTACTGCTGTCAACCCTATGTCCTCGGTGAGACAACACTCAGCTGGATGAATGGAGAGAGGTTCCTCACGCGTTCTAAACGATTTGGGCACGATGATTCTCTTCCTTCGCGCATCGAGTTTATTATTATGTGATCGCTGTTGGGTCCATGAATGAACAAAGCGGTCAGCTTAACCACGGGTCTTCTCAAAGCGTTCGTCAAACGGTCTGACCCACAACCAAACGATGAAAACGTGTCTCTGGTCCCTAAGACGGACGCGTTACGTATGTGAGCCAAACTCCGCTAACGGAATACATCCATGGATGATCTGCGGGTAGGGTTGGTGTTGGGTCTATGATCGACCCTATTGTTCACTTTGCTTCGCCTTCGGCATAATGATCGTGTGTTAAACCACTCTGAGCCACAAGATAAGTTCTTCAGCTAGTTGATTCGCTGTTCAAACACGCGCAATGAATTAGGCGCGTCAGAATGAGATACTTTGTGGAATGTGATTACGTAGCGTGCTCTGGGAGCCAATGCCCGCTGCATGCTGTGCATGAAATAATCTCAGATATCGCCCTGTACTAACTCGCGATGCGAGTCGCTTGCGTCGACAAAGGTCAACTGAGTTCATCGGGCAAAGTATATCGTTTCTCCGGACCCATGCTGGGTATGCCTTTGATAAAACCATGTCGCCATAACATGTATGTGCGCAACAAGCAAGGAGAAGACCAAAGCATCGATCCCATACCATCTAAATGCTATCATTAATAGAAGAAGAGGAATCTATACAGAAAATGTAGCGCTATCGTGCATTCTAGAATGCAACTACAGGGCAGAAACATAGACCAAGACTTCATAGCCACAATCGTGACGACGATCATAATTCATCCCTCGACGGGAATGCAATCTTCCACGTCCGCGGCCGCATTGGCCACCCAAGCCAGAAATCCCATAATCGGAGCACCTCCTCGGAGAGAATGCCTGGTAGTTTGACCGGCAGTTCGATCCAACTACGTAGGACAAAGACCCATGCTCGAAAGACGAGGCTGACCTCGCTGATGAACAGCTCGGAGAGGGATATTTCATCCTCGCCGCTAGTTCCAGTGCTGCTTTTCGTAGGACGTGGAGCCGGTTTCTTCTTCGGCTTCTGCTTATCGGTGGGTGACTTCTTCTTGCGCTGCTTGATTACCACATTGTTCGGAGTAGCGGGTTCAAATGGCTTCGCTGCGGATTCCGCCTGATTGCTGTCTGCCTCGAGGCGCTTTTCGAGGTCGGCGAAGTCAAGCGCAGGAACGCTTGCGTCAGCTTTGATGCTAGGATCGGTCTCTGCCGCAACCATATTCCGGAAATGTTCGAGCGCCTTGAGCGCATGGCTTATCTTGTCCAAGGTGTTGATTAGAGCGACAAGCTCCGTACGTCGAAGAAGCGGCTCGCTGGCCTGACTTTTCGAAGCTCCCTCAGAGCCGTCAAATTCGAAAAGGACCTTCAATGCCGTCCCAAATCCTGCAGTCTGAAGTTTGCCCCACAGACGGCACTTGTCGCAGCCCACGCAGTCCATAATACGGCTGACGTTGCGGAAACGATTGCGGAAGTCCTCTTTCAACGGGCTGATGCCACCCGCAGTCTTCGAGTCCTGGAACATCACGCTCTCATCAAAGATTTGTGGCCCTGCTGGAATTGCGTCGGCCAAGGTGGTAATCATCCGCTTCGTTTGCGTGTCCTGAAGAGGGTCGCCCGTGCAAAAAGTGTAATCCTGCACGTAATTGCGAAGTTTGCTGACGGCACGTAGGACGAAGGCGTAGTTGAAGTACAGGTTGGCGATACGCTCGGGGTGTCCTTGGAGGCGATCCTTGTAGCATTGCAAGTTGGGACCCCATTGACCTGTGGTCTGGTTGAGGTAATCGTAGCACAGGTGGGTAGAAATGGAGGCGTGCATGCCGGAGATGACACGGTAGAAGACGCGCTTCTCCAGACATTCATCCTCGATGTCGAACGATTCTTCCACTCGACCAGGTTGAAGGGCATTCTGACGTTCGTGCGCCTTCATGACCTGCTTGAAATCAATCGATGCCTGGGCCTGGTTCGGAGAGAGAATGTTCTTGCTCGCAGATATACTCTGTGATGACTGCGCAGCATTCGGTCTTGAAAAACAATTCTCTCGATAGATGGCCTCCCACACCTGGTGTGCGCCCTCGCCTGAGTATCCCGTGAAACGCTCTGGATTGTCCGCGAGGCTCACATAGTCTCCCTTCCCTCCTGAAGTCTCATCTTCTGGCACACAGTAATCCCGCTCGTCACATTCATCGTCATATTCCACCACACAGCTCTCGCCAACACCTTCACCCAACTCGCCCAACAATGGTCGTTTCCGCTCTTTCTGCTGCTTTTTGCCAGGATGCTGGGCTTTCGGACCTTCCAGTTTGCTCAACTCCTCTGCACGCCATATTGCCGGGATATCCTCCTCATTTTCGAGTGTCGTGACCGCACATGCAATGTTGCCACAGAGACCGTTTTCGTCATTCCAGAAAGGACACTCCTTGTTGTACAAATTCAGCCGATAGTATGAGAAGAAATCTGTGTTATTGGCGAGGTTTCGGACAAAGGGATGTAGTTGATCGTTCAGTCGGTCGAGATCTGCATATGATGCACAAGCATCTGATACTTGTGCCGTAGGCTCAAACTGAGGAATGTTAGCATTCTACTCCGTGTGAAAACAGACAGATTGGAAAAGCATACTGCGCAAACATTTGGGCTGCCATGTGACGTCGGAGTCGCTATACATTTGCCAGCGAACAAGGCGAATACGGCGAGAAAGAAAGCATTCGAGGCTGAGCGCCGCATGTTCGTCTATTCGTCTTCAGACGATGTATCGAATTGTGCGATGCGAGCGATTTCCAGAATAGCGGGTTGAGTTCAGATTTCGCGGATCATCGGGGAGTGGCAAGGAAGATCACAAATGGAGGAAGAACGGAAGTTGATTGACTCAATACATGTGGCCTCAAGCAGGTATCTATTTGGAGTGTACAATGTGCCTGAATAATCCGCGCATCAAACTACTTTTCCGGAGGCAATAGCTCAGCCACTGTCCTTTCGAATGCACACAAATCATCCCGATCTTGGAAGATTCTCTTCGTATTGCTGACGTCTGAACAGCTGGCCCCCCATCGCGCCGGGGCTTCGAAGGACGCGATTACCAGCGGCGCCTACGCGCGAGGTCACGTTCTGTAGTGCCGGCATGCTGGAGATATGGAGGTATACATCTCGCATCAACAACTCACAGTTCGCATCTTACCATCTGACCAGCATACGCTCCTTATACACGATTGCGAATGACCGAAGAACCTTCGAATGGCCAAGGACATCTATTTGATGACATAGTTCGGAGATAATTTGTGCTTAGTAAAGCCCGATTTTGCATGTAGGGTTCACAAAGAAGGTCAATGTGGTTGTCCTCAGGTTGGCAGTCGCCTATCGTCTGGCGCGAACTTTACCTGCAGAATTTCTTCACCGAACTCTCTGTCTTCACTACACCTGCATCTTTCTCCAGTACCTTTCCATACTGTCATCACATCGTTCCTCATGGCGTAAGGATGCATCACCGGCGCTAAACTCGTAAGGTAAGCCTATCCTATTGTCTTTCTCCTGTCACGTTGCACAGATACATGATTTCAAGATGAACAACGCCCGTATGCCTAGGAAGAGCCGGAAGATCTCAACGGCCCAGTCAAAGTACTGGAGTCGTTGCTGGTTAGAAAAAGGGAATCCTGAGATGAAATCCATGACCATGCATTATCTGAAAATGTTGCTTGAGACGCGCAAAATGCTGACTGGACACTACAAACAGAATATTGACAAGCCACTATCCCTGTGCGAATTGTTACGCGCATTCCAAGATTGTTATGAGCTCAAGCAGGCTCTGGTGACTACATGTGATCATTTGTACTTGCCGCTATGTGTCAAGATCGCCTCCGATGTAATGTTTCTCCTCACCGATCGAGAAAGTCACAAGGTCGCTAAGTAAACGACCCTCACATCGTAACTTATCTCTTCGCAAGTAAGTTTGCTTTCATGCTGATGAACATCATAACAAGTGCTTCTGAACAGTGGTCGCTTCTGGCAAACGAGGCGAGCGCCGACGTCTAGCGAGAACATACCTCCGCGCATCTTCACGACTCCACCTCCCAGTTGAGCAATCTCACCAGGTAGTGAGCCTTCACCTGGCTTGTCTCGTCAGGTCGGGCATACGCGCTGCGGTTTGTACGCGGCGTCTGTTCGAGCGACATCGCGCAGAGTCCTGCAGCGGCAGAGCCAGGACCGTATAAAGTACTCGACGTACATCACATAATTACTTAGATACGCATGTCGGCGCACAGGTCCTTCGCAGGCTGCACCTTTTGTGACAGTATATTGAGCGTTTGCAAGCGATTAGACGATGAATGTAAATCATTACGTGGGAATCTTAGGTGCTTGCAGAGTATTTATTTGAAAAGAATAACATTCGATGTCGTTATTTCGAAGAAGATGTCGATGCCTGGGTAATGCTCCTTTGCTGCTCCTCTTCAGCCTTTGAGTCTCGAACCTTGGCGAGTACGACCTGTGGAAGGAAAAGTTGTCAGCTAATGGTTCCGGATGTGAACGAGGACAACGCGACCTGATGAAGAACTTACCTCTCGGAAGATTCCACTCTTGGCTAAACTCGACAAGCTGCGCTTCCGACCAGTATCTGCGACCGGCGGCAGCAAACCTCCAGGAGCATGAGCCTCTTGAGCTTCATGCGCGGCTTTTTGCGCATCTTCGGGAATGTCTGCCGTCTCCTCCTCGTCCTCCTGCATCCTCAGGGCTTCGATACGGTTGGCAAGCTTTACAAGCTCGACTCCGCGCCTCAGGCGCATGCGTGCTTGAAGCGCACGAATCTCGGGCAACAAATTGTGGTCGGTGGCACCGCGACCAGCAATCCACGGGTCCTGCAAGGCTTTGTGACTCGTCGCTCTCGCTGATGGGTCTGCCTTCAAAAGACTGAGGATAAAGTCTTTGGCGTTTTGCGAGACATCCTTCCAGTAACGCTCGTGAAAGATGACACGGCCGTTCTTCGTCTCCTCGATCAGATCTGCGAGGGATTCCGAGCGAAAGGGCGAGTAGCCACAAAGAAGAGTGTATGTGATGACACCCAGAGACCACATATCCACAGGCTTGCTATGACCCCGTTTCATCATGACTTCTGGAGCAGCGTAACCGAAGGAGCCCGCCATCGTCTTCAGCACGCCATCGGGACTGTCGAGATGCTTGGCGATACCGAAATCAGCCAACACGATCTCGGAGTCGTCCTCGCGCGTCAAGTAAAGTAAATTCTCAGGCTTGAGATCCCGATGGACCACGTCCTTTGAGTGGAGATAATCCACTGCCTCGAGCACTTGCCGAATGGTCTGCGAGGCATCCTTTTCTGTGAATCGTCCCTTGTCGCAAATCCGATCGAACAGCTCTCCACCTGTTGCGAGTTGTGTGATAATGTAGTATTTGTCTCGCGATTCGAACCAGTCGACGAACTTGACAATGTGTGGATGGGTCAAGGTTTGCAGCATCTCCAGCTCGTCGTATACCATTTGATCGTTTCCCTTGACGTTTTTCTTGAGGATGATCTTGATCGCAACCTTGCCCGTAGGGCCATCCGCTTCCTTGACGATACCATAGGTGCCGGCGCCTAGAGTTCGACCCATGCGATATTTGCTTTTGCGATCATAGCTGCCGGGCTGACCGTGCAGCTTGTTGAGCATTGTTTGCACTGGAAGTACCTTTGTCAGCGATCAATTTGGACGCATCCTTTTTGTACAACGAAATCAGTACCACCCGAAGGCATTGGCGATGAGCGCCCTTGCGAAGTCATTGTCGAGTGGTAATGTGTTACGTAGGAATAGTGGTGTCGATCGAAGGATAGGTGATCGCGGAGCGCTCAGAAGATAGGTGGGACATTCGCAATGTTGCGAGTCCGTCTAGAGGAGACTCACAAGACATATTGCCTGCGACGAATAGGCAGGCTCGCAGCCGCCGGAAGTGACTGTCGTTTCAATCGTACGCTGTGCGCAGCTGCCAGAGATGGCTCGAATCGTGGAGAGGATGCGGGGCAAGGCTGGCGTTTATGTGGGTTTCGCGAGAGGGACAAGGACGATGGCGATGAGGAGTTGACGATGTCGAATATAACCAGCTTATGCTGTTCGAGTGAAACGCTGCGAGACAAGAATCGATCACGATCGCGGAATGAGGATGTTTCTATACATCTATGTTCCAGTCGCGAATGTATCGTGATCAGCCCAGAGAATCAGCTGCGCCTCGCTGCGGCAAAGTATAATTTTAAATCATCAAACAACATGTGTTGGTGGGGTCACAATTTGTTCAGGCACAGCACTAACGATCACTATTATTGAGGCTGCCCGTGACTGTAAAGGTTTCTATTATGAGAGGATGCTGGTGCACCTGGACATTTGCGTATACTCCGGTGCCGCATAAAGACCCCCGAGATCATGGCACACCTCCAAGTGTCGTTGTTGTCGCGCGTCCATACAGCACTGCTCATACATACTCGAGTAGAAGCGAAACTAACGGTTTGATCCTTCGGTCTTCAACAATCGAGATGGAATTATTTTGTTGCAAGATCTGCTCTTGCGCCTCACGATCCAATGCTACCCACCTGAGTAGTGATTGCTTTCCCCTAGGTGGAGCCCGAGGTGTTGCCCTCGTCTACTGTGTTTCTGCTGCCTGGGCCTGCAAGATGGGCAGGTACACTTGGTCGTTTCCTGTTGCCTCGCATCGGTCTCCTGAAGGCCGAGCACCTGCGCCCTATAATTTGTTGGCGTGTACTTGTGCCTACCTAGGTATGGTGATCAATATCGACACCTAAAATAAAGATGATCTGTCCTGAGGTTGACTCGGACTGCTCATAAATGCCAACGGGCAAGTTGCGATCGTATTGCAAGATTATGCAGCACATATTGCCCTGGTCTTCATGCATCGCCACGCGTGCTTCGCCGACGCTCTATTTCCGTGCAAGCTCATTTAAAATTACCCCACTATGAAGCCGCCAGCATGTCCACTCTACATGACTGATGATTTAGCGGGCACACCCTGTCTGTGAAGGAAACATGCTGCCCTATCAAGTCATTCACTTTACGACACATCTCATCGTGATGACGGCTATGTGACTTCGTCGGGCATTCGACATAAGAGGTCACGGTGTGTTCCGAGATGTTGTCCGTCGAACATACCATGGTCTCTTGATGCAGCATCGGAGACGCCTTCCGCTAAGGTAGCTTTGCTCGTCACTGCCTCGCGGCACGGCTCGCATGCATGCGCTTCACGACTTGATTCCCAGCAACAAGCTCACGAGTATCAAACTCGAAATACACTTGAGCTGCATCTCCCTTTTACACTCGGCTCCTTACTGAGTTACGGCAAGACATCTTGGGTATATCTATCGTCAACGGCTCAGCTCGCCTGTCGAGTCAACCTCGGACTCCGGCAGCATCATGGCGGGAATGAGCACAAAGAGACTGCAGAAGGAGCTGAATAACATTCAAAAGTCGCTACCACCTGGCATCGCTCTCGTCGCTGCTCCAGATCTCCGAGAATGGCAGATGGAAATAATGGTTCTGGACAATCCACTGTATAAGCCCGACGAGCCTTTTCGCCTGCGCTTCACATTCTCACCATCCTATCCTATCGAAGCGCCCGAGGTCGTATTTATGCAGCTCGCCACGCCTTTACGCAGGATACCCATCCATCCGCACATCTACAGTAACGGTATCATCTGCCTGGATCTGCTTGGTACTCAGGGTTGGAGTCCGGTCCAAAACGTGGAGAGCATTTGCATCAGTTTGCAATCTATGCTGGCCAGTAACACAAAAGATGAGCGTGAGTAATATCGCACCATGACACGCACCTTGAAATCAGAACGGCTAATGCATACTCTATACTGTAGGTCCACAAGGCGATGCGGAGTTTGTACGCCATAATCGGAGTAGACCACGGGACATCCTTTTTTCCTACCATGATCCTAGTGTGTGATCGGATTTGGCAAGGCACAGAGAAACACTTTTGCAACCGGCCCGGGGCTTATGAATCGATATCGTCGCAGGCGATCATGATCCTGAGGGATAGGGGGGCCGCACGCCGCTGGACGACACGGAATCATGACGCTCTTTTGCGTATGGATACCGCGTCCAATTGGTAGAGTCGAATGTTTTCCGGATTGATAGTCGCGGTCAGACGCTAGGGCGTGGGCGATTGCGTACCCGCAACCATCATGGATCAGGTGGAAGTATGGCTATGCACAGCCATACTGAGGACGAAGTTGCTTGTTCACGAAGATTACATCAACAGATTGCAGGCTTCAAAGATGCGCTATAAAGGTCTAAACTTGCACGATTTTGACACGTGAAGTAGACGGAGCCTGTCCGGTGTCTGAGGTCAAGTCAACTTCACGCCCTGAAAACTACGTCGAAAACACCAACATTTGTGTCTAGGGCTGTCACTTTAGCTACAGCGATTGATGGACCTGACCTTGGAAAGTTGGGTACATCGATCAATTTTTTCCGTCAAAAGCATGTCGTAACCCCGTTGATTTGTTGAAAAACTTATGAGCAGCGACTACCTAAGTCTGAAGCCCGTCCTCAGAGGCTGTCGATAAAAGGCGTGCGCGTGAAATTGTTCATTTGCGAAAGGTTCACGGGTAGCTGCGAGACATTCGGCATATGGTTTGTTTCACGGACCACAGGGTGTGTGCCTCGGCGCATGGAGACGCCCACGTCATGCATTGCAGCCCTGTGGTGCTAAGAAGACCCGTCCTCCATGGCCGACCTGATGCACATAAATCAATCAGGTGCCTTGCCGTGATCTGAAGGCGCCTTGAAGACCAGAGGTTTAAGCTTACTTTGACCATGGACTCAACATGGTCAATCTCACGCCCGCGTCGAAAGTCAGTAATCACCTTGGTACCCATCAATGCACAAGTGCATCCTGTCACTGACCGTGTGTCCGTTCGCATAGACGGCATTAGCCAACCTCCGAGCATTCACCGCCCCGCCGACAAATTACTACCGATGTCCTCTGAAGCGACGAGCAGCTGTGCTCATATTACTATTTGCAGATCGACGGGGTGATTTACGAGTGGTCTTAACGATACGGAGCGCGGGGCTCAAGAATTGTAGGCATTGCCTCCCAGCTTCAGAGTTCACGATGAGAGGACTGCGATACTGATACGATCAAAGATGCCGGTCAAGCCGCACTGGCTGGAGGCAAAGCGGATGGCCTACACGAGACGCCCTTCATGACAGCAAGAAGAGAGGCCTTTGAGGAAATCGGCCTGCCGATGGAAGATGATAAGCTTCCCAGTGGATACTCTGTGGAGCATCTCACTGAGCTGCCTACACATCTTGCCATGACTGAGCTCGGCGTTCGTCCCTGCGTAGCTTATCTCAAGACACCTGAGCCTAGTGTTCGGAACAGAAATCCCGATGTCGCGCGAGATATTCTCCCCAAGCTTGACGCCCGCGAAGTCGCAGCAGTCTTCACGGCGCCGTTTCAAAATTTCCTCATGGACAAAGATATGGATCCAGCTATCCGGCGCAAGGTCCCTGGCGAGTGGTATAAAGGCAGTTGGCATGCCTGGCAAGAGACCGCTTGGCGGATGCACCAGTTCCATGTCCCTGTGACACCGTCGACGGTCTACCTGGCACGCACACCTTTACCATACACAGAGCCGCGGAGCAGCATCGGATCATCCTCGTCACCAACTCTAGAGGGCACAGGATCCAACAACTCAACCGCTTCGCAACCTGGAAGCTTATCCGCGCAGCCCTCACCGTCAGGAGCTTTCCCGGCAGATACTCCGGATGCACTACGGCAGGCGCGTTATCGAGTATGGGGCATGACGGCGAGAATACTCGTGGATTGCGCGAGGGTTGCGTACGGTACAGAGCCGGAATATGAACATAACAACCACTTCGGCGACGGTACGTGTCCCTGAATGACTTGAAGCAACAATTCTGATGTTCTAACGTGGAGGAAACGATGCTAATGTACTTATTGATATCCAGAGATTCTGATCGCACGTTTGCTTCAGATCGGTCGGCTGAGCCCTGTGAAGAAAGAAGGCGAACACCTCACGAGAGAAGTGATGGTGGAGGCTGCAAAGGCAAAAATCTGAAGAACTACGCGTTGTGAGGGGAATGTATTGTCGGATGACGAAAGAATTATTGTTGCGCTGCTCGATGAATTATTCTTGTACGGCGCAGAAGAAGCAGACGCTGCAATTATGATTTTATGCTGGAACGGACAGTCGACGCGATGGAGCACTGTATAGCTGGAGTGATGCATTTTCATTCGACCGCGTGCATGAATTCCTTTTCTACTAGGTACTTTTGGCACAGAAATCGTGCAGGCGCGTGCCAACAGGTGAACCTCGATGCACTTCTCAGAACGCGTTGCCGCCAACACAGCCGATGTCTGTGATGTAATGTACGCGCAACTGGAATTTTGTGCCCCATTGGCCGCGGCGTGTACACGCGATCTTTCAGAAGTCGACTGCGATTCTATCATCGACGAATAACTGAACAATCATCATCGTCATCCATCCACATTCATGCATTGCACCTGCAAGACGCTGCTGAGCAGCGCATTCACAAGTTCTGTGACTCGAACATCTATTCTCCCGCCGGCTTTTCTTATACCCGCCTTCGGCCTTCAAACATCCGCCTTCTCAACATCGCCTACTCAACAAGCGCGCAAGGATGGCAATCGTCGAAAGCGCGGCGTTTCTGCCCTGTATCGATCCGGTCTGAACAGGGATCTTGCTAAGCACATCACGGTCGGCCTCTCGTCTCTACCTAAGCCCGTCCTGGATCGCAGTGAACGCCCTGAAGTCAGTGAGAGCCATGGGCTTTGGGGCTTTTTTCCAACGAAAGAAGCCGCATTGGCGACGCCCGAAGCCTTGCATAGTCATGGCCGCTCCTGGACCAGGTCCGAGCTTCGCCTCAAGAGCTGGAACGATCTGCACCGCCTGTGGTGGACATGTCTGAAGGAGCTTAACAGACTAGCTACCTTCACAGAAGAGAAGGCACGGGTTGGAAATGTCTATGGAAACTTCGAGGCTGGCGGTCGGAGAAAGATGGTAAGACTCTGTGCGGAGCAGTTCTGTAATGTTGCAGCCGTGCAGCCTGGCTAAAATTTCATCATAGGTCAGAGGGACGATGTCAGCCATCCGGCATACTTTAATTGAGCGCTGGTACAGTTTTGAAGATGCTCGCGAGCAGGCCATGAGCGACCCTTCTATCAACATGTATGCCGAATTTGGGGAATCTGGTCTGGTCGAATCAGCTCAGACACAGCAAGAAGAGGTGACGATTTTGGATTGCCTTGTCTAGAGAGAAGCCCGCTGACGAAACTCGGTAGTTCAATAATGCAAGCGGGCATGAGCTGGAAACTACACAGAAGAACCGCAGGGAAATGAGGTCCGCCAACCCAACAATGAAGCTCGAGACGAGGTCTTTCCAAAACGTGTGATTCATTCTACTGGCCAACCGGCCTGAATGGCGATGCAGGCATCATATTCGCCAACCAACACCAATGTGACAATGCAAATTTGCCTTAATCTGCTGGAAGACATCCACGATCGATATTAGCAGCTGGTGTCACCAAATCGGTTGGCACATGGCGCCCACTCTGTTAAGCGAGCCTGAAGGCCGAAAGCTATCGAGATCGTTGCACAACTGCGGGATTCGGATGGTGGCAAGTGATCGTGGAATTTTAGACTGCCGGTTGTGATCGGTTACTGAGCTTCGCCGCAGAGTCGGCAATGTCTGTTTACTATGTACATCAGGATTTGTAGAACTATCAATCGTATATGGAGGCCCTCTTTGATGATGCCACCGCTCTCTCGTGATCAGCCACTCGAAACAATCAATTATTTTGGCCATGAAACGCCGCCCCACTTGGTGATGTGCCAAAGTCGCATTTTGGCCTATACTTTCCCCACATTAAGCTCTACACTATTGGACCCTCTTCTCACTATGTTGGTGTCCATGCTTGTGGTCCCTTGACCGCCATCGCTCGTCTTCCTTCGTCCGAGACAGCACTTTCTTACTCTAATTGACAGTTTGTTGATAGCTCGACCGCCACGAGATCCATCATGGAAGAAATCGCACCCGAATACGATGTCGTTGTGCTTGGCACAGGTCTCACAGAATGCATCATCAGTGGAGTCCTATCTGTCCAGGGACAGAAGGTGTTGCACATGGATCGCAATGATCATTACGGTGGCGAGGCAGCTTCAGTCAACTTGGAGACCATGTTCAAGAAGTATGGCAACTATACGGAGGGAAGCGAGCCTTGGAAGAAGTACGGCCGTTCCAACGATTGGAACATCGACCTCGTCCCGAAGCTTCTCATGAGCAATGGCGAGCTCACCAACATTCTTGTGAGCACGGATGTCACACGCTACATCGAGTTCAAGCAGATCGCAGGCAGCTTCGTACAGCAAGGCAACGCTGCCAAGGCTACTGTGGCGAAGGTTCCCAGTGATGCAGGCGAAGCGTTGCGGAGTCCGTTGATGGGCATCTTCGAGAAGAGGAGAGCAGGAAACTTCCTGAAATGGGTTGGCAGCTTTGACGAGAAGGACTCGGCTACACACAACGGTAGGTTGCATCGAGTGACTGCATATGGAGAATTGATCAGCTGACGGGAGCAGGCCTGAATCTTTCGCAAGCGACCATGAAGCAAGTCTACGACAAGTATGGCCTGGAGCCAACAACCCGTGACTTCATTGGCCACAGTATGGCGCTCTATACATCGGATGACTACGTCGACAAGCCCGGTCAAGCGAAAGATGCGGTTGAGCGCATTCGGCTTTATGTCAACAGTATGGCTCGTTATGGCAAGAGCCCATACATCTACCCGCTTTACGGTCTCGGCGAACTCCCACAAGGTTTCGCCCGTTTGAGTGCAATCTACGGTGGAACTTACATGCTAAATACCAACATCGACGAGGTCAAGTATGAGGGAGGCAAGGTTTCCGGCATCCGGGCGACCATGAAAGAGCGAGGCGAGCCTGGCGATGGCATGAAGTTCGAGACAAAGTGCAAGAAGATCATCGCCGACCCATCATACTTCCCCGACAAAGTCCGTGTCGTTGGCCATTACCTCAAGGCCATCTGCATCCTGAATCACCCGATCGAAAAGACCGACAACTCGGACTCGCTGCAGCTGATCATCCCACAATCTCAAGTCGAACGCAAAAACGGTGAGATGGAATAGTCTGCAGATCACACACGACAACAGCTGACGTAACAAACAGATATCTACATCGCTATGGTCTCATCGACTCACAACGTTTGCCCTAAGGGCTACTACATCGCTATTGTCAGCACCATCGCCGAAACCACCGCTAACCACCACCTTGAGCTCAAGCCCGGTCTTGACCGACTCGGCAAGATCGAAGAGCAATTCATGGGCCCGCCAATCCCGATCTACGAGCCTCTCGCAGACGGCTCTGCCGACAACGTCTTCATCAGCAAATCATACGATGCTTCGTCACACTTCGAGACCATGACCGAGGACGTGCGCCATGTGTACAAACGTGCAGAGGGGAAGGAGCTCGTCGTGGAGGGCCTCAAGAGCGGCCAGCAACTTGTTTCCGACGAGTGAGCACAGCGCATGAGATGGAATGAGTGGAGGAATTAGGTTGGCGAGAGCGCGCCCAGCATGACTGCGATTTCGTATGAAGCGACTGAGGCAAAACTGGTATTGAAGGTGAAACAGCGGCGTATCGCTCGTCTGCATAGTACGATTATTCTATCAACAATGGTCATGAGTTAGAAGGGATTATGAACAAACCAGTTCTATAGGAGATCTGTCAGATAGTTGGACCACGTCATGACCTTTCTTGCATCCGAGTAAAGCGTTCTCCCTTTCACCTTGCGGATAAACACGACTTTCAATCGCTTTACCGTCGATGTACATATGATTTTCTTCACCTCCGAGCTTTGTGCTACTTAACTCGTCTGCCCCACAAGTTAGATCCGTCTCTGACAAGAGACACAGGCACTAACAAGCTCTTTACCGAAAGGACCGTGATACTCTACAACAAGGAACGTTGAATATGACTTGTGTGGCATAGCGATTGCTTTGGCCCACAGGGGGGCTGTCATTTCATGTGTCCCCGCCTGATCAACTCGGCAAGTGGAACGTCCTCATCACTGCCAATTCCCACATCTGTTTCGTCGTAGAAATCTGCCTCCTCATCGACGCCAAAGTCGGCCAATCGCTCGCCTTCCTGGTTGCGCCATGCTTCCTCGCCTAGCTTGATGCCGCCGCCAGTATCGTTTTGGATGTAGTCCTGAGCAGGCAATATATCGCCATCCTCTTCGTTCAAAATCAGGATGGATTCATCCTTGGCCCTTTCACTAGCGAAAGTAGAGCCTGAAGCCTCCACTTGCTCTGCCTTGCGCTGCTGAGCACGTTGAAGACGCTCGTGAAAAGGCATTCTCTTGACAACATACTCCCCATCAGCATCAGCATAGCGTGCATCAAAGTCAGTTGCTTGCCGTTGCTGAAACGCTGCGATTCGCTCTGCATTGTTATCCTCGAGATGTGTGAAAGGACCATCGCTCAGTGGCATAATTGGTCTCCTAGACAATTTGTACAAGCGATCCGGATCAGGAGGCGGCCATGGTTTGCTGGGGTCTGCAATGGAAGATTAGTATCAAAGGTCCATCGAGTATGCGGTCATACCCTTGTGTCGTCATGGAGCCCACCATCAATTTCGTTATGCTGAAAGCTAAGACCGCTCTCCACGGATTGGCTGCTTGCAAATGGCCAGAACCAGGCGAGCGGATTCCAATTTCCCATACCCTGGCGGAGGTTTGTCCAAACGCCAACATCCCAGGGAAACTCCTGATGCGTGATCACGATCGGTCGGCCATCAGGTCCGCTCAAGGTGTTTCCTCCCAAGCCTCGGGCACGACGTAACAACGTGTGATGTCGCTCGATTTCCCATCCTTCAATGGTCCACGTGTTAAACACAAGAGACCATAGCGTACGACCAAGCAGAAGGACAAGCATGAAGAGGACAAACGAATTGACGCTCACAAGGATGAAAAGGTGCGCAAGTTGCAGGACAGATGGTCCAAGGTACTATCAATTATGCCCATATGATGTCAGAAATTGATGTGTTCGTCCGTCGTGATTGCAAATTTGCCCATGAGAGAATCCCAGGATACCATAGCGGAACGAAGATGAGAAGGAGGAGTGCTTCAGGACAACGTACACTCGGAAGTCGTCGACTGTTCCATAAAACTCCACCACGAATATAGAGAAAATACTCTAGCTGGGCCATTGCCATAACAGCGAAGGCGAGGAAACGAACGAAGTGTGGTATTGTGATATGTGAGACGCAATTTGCTATATGAAAGACGGAACCATTATTACCTTGTTAAAAATAGGTTGTCAGGATGGCTCAACCAAAGCAATAGCACCTACCAGTCCAGACACAGTGATGGTCCATTTTCAATATGCAACTAGTATGTTGCAATCAGTCTCGATGTTGGCATCTTTGAAACAAGTGGCGTGATTTGTGAGTTGATACCGTTTGCAAGTTTTACAGTGATGAGCCCTTGGCGGCTTCAATATCTCACAGCGTCTACACCATCGATTGCTGAGAGCTGCCTTCTCTGCTGAGAGGTCTTCGGGCCTCGACCACGATTGCTTGACTCGGTCAGGCCAGTCCTTGGGTATTTGGCCAGGATCCGTTAAACATGTTCTCCAGTAGCAGACGAGTAGAGCGCTGACCAAGATGTTGAAGACAAGGGCATCATTCGCCTTCAGAGGGCCGGGTTCAATGTGATAAAAAAGCCATTGAGACGTCAAGGCTAGAAAAGCTACCAGCGCGGTCACCCCAGGTGGTGCGAGTCTTTGCAGATCAGCGGTGTCCATGATTGGACATGGAAAGAAGAATATCGTGAAACTTGATTCTTAGCAAGGAACGCATCAAAATACTATGCAAGGCTCGATCAACAAGGACGAAATGTTTCGGGTGTTGGTCAGAAGATGTTCGGGAATATCGCAACGGAACTCCTTTGAAATCTTCGGTGCTCGGAAGCGCTCACGTGGCGCTCTCTCTGTCTGAGCATGTGCCTGGCGATGGTAATGATTATCGAGCGGATCTATCCGCTGCGCCCCACCACTTATCATCACCGACTTGAAGCGACGGCCTCTCTGCGTGCGACAAAGTGATACGACCATTTCTACGGAATTATAGCATTATCGATTCAATCGACCCGACCAGCCCTGCACTGTATGTGAGGTTGAAGCAGGACTTGACCGCTCAACCGAGTGGATCAGCGCTTTTGTCGTGGTTGCTAGGAACACCACCACCTGCCTCCACATTTCATTCTGCGCGCATTCCTCGTACGAAGTCCTATTCGTCTGGACACAGGTCTACAACCTCTTCAGCCAACACCAAAGCGGCCCACGGCTCGCAACTGCAATCATGGCGCGGGTCTACGCCGATGTCAACCAGCAGATGCCTCGCGCCTATTGGGATTACGACTCTGTGAACATCAGCTGGGGTATTCTGGAAAACTACGAGGTCGTGCGCAAGATTGGTGAGTGGGAGGACACATGCAAAGATTCGGACATTGCGCTTCGAGGAGGAGTTGTCGACTGACACGAGGTGCTTATAGGCCGTGGAAAATACTCAGAAGTCTTTGAAGGCGTCAACGTGGTTAACTACCAGAAATGCGTCATTAAAGTCCTCAAGCCTGTTAAGAAGAAGAAGATCAAGCGTGAAATCAAGATCCTCCAAAACCTTTCAGGAGGCCCCAACATTGTTGCCCTCCTCGACGTTGTGCGGGACAGCCAATCAAAAACACCGAGTCTGATTTTTGAGCATGTCAACAACATCGATTTTCGCTTACTGTACAAGGAGTTCCAGGATTACGACGTTCGCTACTACATCTTCGAACTACTCAAGGCCCTTGACTTCTGTCACAGTAAAGGAATCATGCACCGTGATGTGAAGCCGCACAATGTCATGATTGACCACGAGACGCGGAAGCTGCGCCTCATCGATTGGGGTCTTGCAGAGTTCTATCATGCAGGCACGGAATATAACGTTCGCGTTGCCAGTCGCTATTTCAAGGGCCCTGAACTGTTGGTGGACTTCCAAGAGTACGACTACAGCTTAGATATGTGGTCACTGGGCTGCATGTTCGCAAGCATGATCTTCCGCAAGGAACCATTTTTCCACGGTCAAAGCAACGCCGACCAGCTGGTCAAGATAGCCAAAGTCCTTGGCACTGACGATCTGTTCGACTACCTCGACAAGTATGATATTGAGCTTGATGCGCAATACGACGAGATTCTAGGGCGCTTCCCGAAGAAGAGCTGGCACGCCTTTGTTAACAGCGAGAACCAGCGCTTCATCAGCAATGACGCGATTGATTTCTTAGATAAACTGTTGAAATACGACCACGCAGTGAGTAGTGCTGAGTAGCATATATTGAGTGATACATCTTGCTGACCTTTCTGATTTAGGAACGACTCACAGCCAAAGAGGCAATGGCTCACCAATATTTTGCGCCCGTACGACAGGCGGAAGCGGCGGAAGCGAAGGCTGCAAACAGTGCACACGCGTGAGCCAAGGCTTTTTACGAAAAGTCAATCGCAAGCCCCTACAAACTGCCTCCGGTTATTTAACTCATGTGCATGGATCGGCGCAATCAGGCGAAAGGAGTAAAGCGGTTTCCGTGGATTGCTGTCTCAGCCGAAAGGACCCGATATTAGGGAGGACTACGTTGAGGACCGGTAACGGGATGGAAATGGTCATCTGGCGTAACGATTCGATATTGAGTGCTGAGCGGCTCAACTCAGTATCGCACGTTTGACAGCTTCCACTCACGTCAGCTATCCTCTCCGTCAAGGCAACGGGAATGCTATATGTTGGGAGTCGGGCACTACATCGGAGGAACTGTCACATGTTGGTGTTGAGCTTCGGTCGTGAACTTGTCAATTTCATTAAGCTTATCATGTCTGCTGCGCTGAGCACACGACTGTGTTAATCAGCAGTAAAAGAAGCGATCTCATCTGTCTAGTTCCGTGCTCACGCCAACTCTCATCATCTGTCTGAGCCATCTGCACCCACAATCCACCTCGCTGCAGGAGAAACTCACTTGGCAATCTGCTGCCAGCTTTCGTGTCGGCGCAGGCTCCGAATGCCGGGCATAATTTTCGTAGACACCAAATTACTTGTGCACAGATTGATGTCATGCAAGAGACACAACGGACAGACGTAATATCGATTTCTCGGTCAATTCCCTTCATTCGACATGTGATTTGAGACTGATTTTGAAATTCACCGTTTCGAATGTCGAAGACCTTTCGCAATTCGATCAGTCGCGCCGACGAGGGCACGAGACAAACAGAAACGACATCGATGTTTACCGAGGTATAGAATTTGGCTGATCCAAAAAAGGAAACGACAAAAACAAAACTTGAGCAGCCTGCTGCCAACAAAGAGAACGAAACATTAGAGGGAAGAAAACGAAGGGCATTGGCAGTCCACAGAGCAAAGTTCTACGGGGTTGGATCTGCCAATGTCGCCACGGGTATCTGCTGGCCGCTTTTTCATGCACGATTGTGTACTTGCGATGTGCCGCAGTGACGGTCGAGTATACGTTATCTTTTTCGTCGTAAGAATTTGTCCGTTACTCGAGAAGTAAGAAGCCTGGATATGTGGCAATCGTTGAACAGTGTCATGCGATGTCCATGCCCATACCCCGGAATTTGAGCAGAAGTAGCTCAACTCAGGCGCTTCGAAAGGGGCATTGTCTTTGCGCTGTGTGCGACGCTCGTGGAAGCTGTGCATCCTGATTGTCGGCCCGGAATTATGACGTGACGTATTTTCGTGGGATGCACGATCGATATTTCCATCACCCCTCAGAAACAGACTCACTGCTCCACGGTCGGATCTCGTACGGCGATGGTCAACTTCTCCGGATGCGCTGCGATGGCGATCGCAAAGTCTTCTTCGCCTTCAATACGGTAGTATTCGCCACTGCCCTCGTCACGGTACTCCATATCAAGGCGATCCTCGTCATCTTGGGGTCGGTCTTTGAATTCTAATCGCCGACGCTCGAGCACTTTGCTCCAAAGTGTGTCGAGGTTGAATTGGCCTGCGGGCGGCATACGAATGACGACGCATGTGTCGCGATCGAACCAGCATTTAATCTTGACTGGTACTGTGCTGTGAGGGATGGTGACGGTGGGTTGCGGCGGAGCTTGGACCACAGGTTCGGGCTGTAGAGGTTGAGCGAAGACAGAGTTCGATTGGGATGGGTGATGAGAGTGCTGTTGGCTGTAGGAGGCGTTGCTCTGATGTGATGGATTATATTGATGAGATGATGTCGTCGTTGCGGTCGACATCTGACGTGACTGCGGCGCTGCTTGATGGGACATGGTGTTGTGTGATCCATGGGATGCCTGAGAATATCTGTCGCCCTCATTCGCGGGCCGTGCATGCTCATTGAGGTCAACAGCAGCTGGATCGACTTCGTAATCATTTGCTCTGGGCACGAAGAAGTTACGGACAGGCAAAGATGCCGTGATACCACGGTGGAGACGAAGCAAATCCCGAAGATACTCGTCAAGGTTTGCTCTTCTAACATCACTGATGTTGTCCGTCACGAATTTGACCGGACCAGGCATGTATGGTAATATCCTTGGCTTGCCTGTCTGACCGGCCTCTTCTGGGAAGGCGTTGATGAGATTGATTTGTAGTTCGTAGAAGTCCTCGTAGATGCGGGATAAATCGTAATGAGAGCCGTCGGACATCCTGCATTCCACAATGAAGTGGAATTTGTCGTCCTGGAAGACATAACGCGGAACTGAGGCACGGACAGGGGCAGGCAGATCCTGGGCAGCGGCGCTTTGTTGTGTCTGATGACTTTGACCATTGCTGAGTGACATGCGATCCATACCTTGCTGAATATCCTGCGGCTGTGCAAATGATCCTAATGGTATGCTGGTGTTTTTGTACTCAGCTGCCATCTTCTTCCACTCCTCAACTCGTGGGATGCCGGCCTTTTGTACTGCGGCCAAAGGATCCTCGGCTGGCCGACCAGTTGTTACATCACGAATCTCAATGAACGAGACTGGGATCAAGCCTGGGCCACCGAGTCGTGATATAGGCTTTGCAACGAACCATTCCGGACTTGACTGGGCGACAACAAGTATTGGTTCACCCTGTTTGGCATCTAGTTCATCTTGTCGCTCCGCGTTGAAGTCGTAGATGACGACACCATACAGACCGCCCGCGATTTTACCAAATGACTTGCTCGGCCGATGGTGTGGCGCGCCTGGCCTGGCGCCATTTTCGCTCATGCGTCCCGCTGCAGTCGTCTGATTCGGTTGTGTTGGAGGAGTTGCCCCTTCTCCATAGCCACTGTCATGCGTCGTGCTAGTCACGCTTCTTGACGAGCCAGCGCTGTCACGTACGGTCGTCTTTCCAATGTTCTCGAAGTGATTTACTGGCACCAAGCCGCGTGTGTTGAGCATGGGATTGCATGCCTCGTACCAGTCCTCGTCATTTTCGCGTCCAACGACATGAAGGAAATCACCGGCTGAAAATGCGAGGTATATATTCGGCTCACTGGTTGGTTCGAAGTCGTAGAGCGCCTTTATGACCTTTATCCATTCCACTTTCGGTCAGCTTCCATCTATGATTCGCTCGACTGCGACGTCCGCACTCGCGCAAGAGGAAAGGCGCGTACCTTTTTCGGCGGTTCGATAGCATAGGCGCTCTTTTGTATGGCGGGCATCGGCGCCGGTTTTGCCGAGTCATGTTTCTCGTTCTTGATCGACCTCCGAAACTGGATCATCCTTAGCCCTGCCCTGCTGCACTACTTTGCGCGAGCATTCGCGACGGATCTCCCTCACCTTCAGCATGGCTGTAGATCAGTGGCGCGTGCGACGCGCAGACCGCCTTCAATATCCGGTTCTGACTGCGGATACTGCACTCGCGCAGTGGCCGATCAAAGCCCTTCCTCGATGCCGATGTTGAGCGCAGTCTTTCGGAGCAAGGGCGCGACAAAATCAAGTCGCGCGATCAAGAATAGTCCCGGCACAAGTACAGTGTGGCGATATGTGGTTGAGCTTAGAGTGTTTGTTTGCGCAACAGGAGGACGAATGATCTATGTGAAGTGGAGACACAGCGCCCCGGTAATAAGTTAAGGTGGGCTGTTGGGCTGGTGCCCAAATGCGCTCGGATCTGGACTCCCGGCTTTGACCCGAATGGGCGGGTTGCCGCGCTGTTGTTGTCTGCTAAGCTGAGTTCGTCGACCGGGTTGAAAGAGGGAAAAAAAGGAGGGCCGTATTTGACGGGCAAGGTAAGCACGCGACCGACCGTTGTGCTGGGAATCTTTTTGGGGGCTGCCGATCCGAATGGATGGTGTCATGAACAGGCCGGCAAATCTCCCTCAAAAGCGTGGGAGCGAGGGAGGAAGCGGCAGAAAAGCTGGGAATGAATTATAAGCACAAGACTGTACACTCCAGAAATACGACGTCGATCAGGAATAACGGTTACGACACTAGATTTCGCACGCAGGGCAGCGGGCATCTACAGTACATGTACGACATAAACTGTAGTCAACCGACTTCATCATCATCATTATCATCACGACCTGCAGGAGGGCCGAGTACATGTAGCACATAACTTGTGGGAGAAAGAAGGGTTTGGTCTGGTTGGCTGCATGGCTGGCGCGCGGCTGGATGCAGATTTTAACAACGTTGGCGGACGATCCATCCGTCGAGCTCCTGGTCTTACGGTCCTCCAGCGATGAGTATTGTCCAGTATGTCCCCGCGCCACACAGTGCTGTCCCGCATCATGCATGCCCAGTATGTGCTCCAACATGAACCCGGCTGGTCATCTGCTTGTCCCGTGTGTACAGTGCTCAAAATGTCGATAGAATGACAAGGTTCAACATCTCGATCAACAGTGCTGTCAGAGTAGATGGCCTGCAAATTAACACGTCGCCGCCAGCCTCAACAGTCTGTTAGTGGCTTTGGATGGTTAGAACTGTGCCGCCGGCGGCTTCCAGGTTATTTACAACTCCGTCGTCTCCTGATCATGGTCCTTCCATCAGATACTGTGAATTGAAAGTTCAACTCTTGCCGCTGCGTGCGAACACCCCTTCATCATCGTGTTCATGACTAGTTCCATGTGTCAATGTACGCAAATTTTGCCCTATGTCCATTCAAATATGAGCAGTAGGCTATCGTCAGAGGATCTTCCATTCTTGCACGTCTTCCGAGACCGCACCCTTGCATCAACTAGCAAGGATCCATCATTCATAATTTCCCGTGATAATATCATCTACGTGCCAGGGAGGAAAATGAGGTCTTGGTTTCTTGGGAGTCCAGCGAGGACCGTGCGCTGGCCCATTCTACAGTACAGTCACGTACGTGCCAATGAGCTCTACCAAGGTCTTGAGAGAAGATTGTAGTCCGACGGTTTTGCTCGGAATAATGATGACGATGGTGGTCGACAGACAGCCAGTTGAGCGAGAGAAATCTGAATAGGCAATAGCAAGAGCTCCGATGGCACGGAAAGGTCCGAGGAGCATGGATGTGAGCCTGAGGCATATATTCGGTGAAAAGTTTATCCGGTATAGTACGGACCAAACGCCAAGATATTCTACAACACCACCAGCCGGCTGTCAAGCAAATTGCAGAACTCGAGGACGTTGACAGTGATCATACTCAAATCAATCATAATACCGCCAAAATGGGTCGCGTTCGAACGAAGACGGTCAAGAAGTCCGCCAAGGTCATCATCGAGCGATACTATCCCAAGCTCACTCTCGACTTCGAGACCAACAAGCGTATTTGCGATGAGATCGCCATCATTGCCAGCAAGCGTTTGAGGAACAAGGTATGCTCCTTGTCAAAGGACGGGATCCTTTCAACATGAGACGCAAATATTGACTTTCGCGTCTGACTAGATCGCTGGTTTCACCACTCACTTGATGAAGCGTATTCAGCGTGGTCCTGTCCGTGGTATCTCGTTCAAGCTGCAAGAAGAGGAACGCGAGAGGAAGGATCAATACGTGCCCGAGGTTTCTGCTTTGGACTTCACCCAAAACGAGAGCGGACAACTGGATGTCGACCAAGAGACGAAGGACTTGTTGAAGTCGCTAGGAGTAAGTCACGGACGGAAAATATTCGTACTCCCTGTCCTTACGAGCTATACTGATCAGCGACTTTCAGTTCGACGGCATCCCTGTCAATGTCGTGGCTGTTCAACAACAACAGGTTGCAGAGCGACCGCGTCGATTCAACGACCGACCCCCGCGTGCATAAGCGAGTTCGACGGCAGTGGAGTTTTGGCGTTGTCCGGTATCCTGGACCAGTTTACGACAGTCGCAGCATCGATTGCGCATTTAGCTAGGCGGCCACGAGAACAAAATGCGAATGAGTTTCCCCAAAAGGTGTCGCTGATTCTCCTTCACAGGAGATGACGCTTGATTGCCAATTTCCCCAGAAGTTGATACTGTGATTCGTCCTGACAACGGCGATTTGGCCGGCACCAATTACGAAACGTGCAATGCGCGCGGCAAGATCTTGGTAACACTTTAGGTCCACTTGGTCCGCAGCAACGACGTTATACGTTCTCGGCGCCCACGAGGTAAGTTCGGGTTGCAGGTTTGACGTGTACTTTCACGGTCTGGTTCTGTAGCCATATACCCAGTCATAATTCATTAGTTCGGAACAGTACAATAGTATCATCTGTCAACCTCTCCTCAAAGTCGTATCCCATGGTCTGTCATCGAATGTGAGCATGCCAATGCAAGTGGAAACGTGCAGTTGCATGTATCACTGAACCAAAGCTGCGTTCATCGTGATCATCAGAAGCAATGCAACATCAACAATCATGTTCTATGGTGGCATGAGGCTCACGTTCAACCTAGTCAGAGGTGCTGTGTCAAGCAGCCTACTTTCATCAGCTAGTCATGCAGGGCTTTCATCGCAAACTGCAAGTATATATCACTGGAATAGTCAGTCGCGTGCACTCTGGGCAGGATCGAAGGCTGCTCCTACTTTATTTATCAAGAGCTCCCAATCAGACTTCGAACGGCATCAATGAGTACTATGGATCAGATGACTACCTAGGCACACAGAATCTTCGTTTCCCGTTTTCGATACGGACGGGGCTTCCTCGGATCTCTCCTTTTGCAGCTGCGCATCCAGGGGACCATCGCGGCCATGCTTCGAATATTGTAGAAGCTCAAGGAGTTGGTCCGTGCTCGGCAGCTCCGCGGGAAGATTTTCGAATCATCATCATTGAATAACTTTCCGCGTCCTTCATTGCCTCATCTCCATCAACTTGCGCCACTGTACACAGAGTGCTTCATCTTTCTTTTCATCATTGTTGTCTTTATACCCACCTGTATAACACATCTCCATCACCGCAATCATGTTGGCTTCAAGGCTAGTACGAAATGTGAGTGACAGGCATCCACTATTTGTCACGCGAGCGATTCTGACTTATCGTCTATCAACAGGCGGTTCCGCGCGCATCAATTACTTCTTTCAGATCATCAGCAAGCCGAGTATCTTTGGCCTCGCGGTATCAAAGAGGCTACGCCGATGATGGCGACAAAGTCAAGGGACCCATCATCGGTATCGATTTGGGAACCACGAACTCTGCTGTTGCAGTAATGGAGGGCAAAGCTCCCAGAATAATAGAAAACTCTGAAGGTACTACGCAATGGACATGATTGACAAGCAGTTCATACTAACTCACTATTCATAGGTGCACGCACGACTCCTTCAGTAGTCGGTTTTACAAAGGAGGGCGAACGCTTGGTTGGTATCTCAGCAAAGCGTCAAGCCGTAGTCAACCCAGAGAACACTCTTTTCGCAACTAAGCGTCTCATCGGTCGTAAATTCACCGACGCTGAGGTTCAGCGGGACATTCAGCAGGTTCCGTACAAGATTGTGCAGCACACCAACGGCGACGCCTGGCTCGAGGCTCAGGGACAGAAATACTCGCCGTCGCAAATTGGTGGTTTCGTTCTGGGCAAGATGAAGGAGACCGCCGAGGCCTTCCTCGGTAAGACCGTGAAGAACGCCGTCGTCACTGTCCCAGCATACTTCAACGACCAACAGCGACAAGCAACCAAGGACGCTGGTCAAATTTCTGGCCTCAATGTCCACCGTGTCATCAACGAGCCCACAGCCGCCGCGCTCGCCTATGGTCTTGAGAAAGATGACCGTGTGATTGCCGTCTACGATCTTGGTGGTGGTACCTTCGATATCTCTATTCTTGAGATCTCGAACGGTGTGTTCGAGGTCAAGGCCACCAACGGAGACACTCACCTTGGTGGTGAGGACTTTGACATCACCCTTGTCCGTCATCTCGTCCAGCAGTTCAAGAAGGAGCAGGGCATTGATCTCTCCAACGACCGCATGGCAATTCAGCGTATCCGTGAGGCCGCTGAGAAGGCGAAGATCGAATTGTCTTCCTCCGTGCAGACTGACATCAACCTGCCCTTCATCACTGCCGATTCCTCTGGACCGAAGCACATCAACACCAAGATGACTCGTGCTCAGCTTGAAGGTCTGGTAGACCCGTTGATCAGCAAGACCGTCGACCCAGTTCGCAAGGCGCTCAAGGATGCCAACCTCAAGGCCAGCGATATTCAGGATGTCATCCTGGTCGGTGGTATGACCCGTATGCCCAAGGTTGTTGAATCCGTCAAGTCCATCTTTGGACGCGAGCCTGCCAAGTCGGTCAACCCTGACGAGGCTGTTGCCATTGGTGCCGCGATCCAGGGTGGTGTGCTAGCCGGTGAAGTCACTGACATTCTTCTTTTGGACGTCACTCCTCTGTCTCTGGGTATCGAGACTCTCGGTGGTGTCTTCACCCGTTTGATCAACCGCAACACCACTATCCCCACCAAGAAGTCGCAAACCTTTTCAACCGCCGCTGACTTCCAGTCCGCTGTCGAGATCAAGGTCTACCAGGGTGAGCGTGAACTCGTCCGCGACAACAAGATGCTTGGTAACTTCCAGTTGGTCGGCATTCCTCCGGCTCACCGCGGTGTCCCTCAAATCGAGGTCACCTTCGACATTGACGCCGACTCCATTGTTCACGTCCACGCCAAGGACAAGTCTACCAACAAGGATCAATCCATCACCATCGCTTCGGGCTCTGGTCTGAGCGACGACGAGATTCAGGGCATGGTCAACGACGCTGAGAAGTACGCGAACCAAGACAAGGAGCGCAAGGGTGCCATTGAGGCCGCCAACCGCGCCGACAGCGTGGTCAACGACACCGAGAAGGCCCTGAAGGAGTTCGAGGATCGCCTTGACAAGACCGAGGCCGAGCAAATTCGCGAGAAGATCAACGGCCTTCGCGAATTCATTGCTGTCAACCAGACTGGTGAGGGCACTGCCACCGCCGAGGAGATCAAGCAGAAGACCGACGAGCTCCAGACCGCCTCGCTCACCCTTTTCGACAAGATGCACCGCGCCCGTCAGGAGAACGCCTCCTCCGAGGGTCAGCAACAAGGTCAGGAAGAGTCTGCTGAGAAGAAGGACGGTGAGGGCGAGAAGAAGCCTTGAAGTCCCTGATACCCTGCTTTGAGCATTCGCCCGGCAACCGCGTATAGAGTCGGGATTGTATGTCCCTCTTGCCATCGATGCTCCCCGTACAGCAAGAGTTGAGATATCGCCCGATGAAACATACGCCTGTACAAACAGTTGGCCATCGATCATGCGAATCACTGCCATTCTCCACCATGGATCGGCGTGATACCCTGAGAGAGGACTGTTCAACCATCTGTCTTATATTCATTTCACCTGGCTGAAGAACTTTCAGTCAAAGTTTGTAGAAACATTACCGGAGTACGAGGCCAATTTGTTGATTTTGGGATGGAAAAGCATTTGATGATCCGTCCGGCTGGGAAGAGTTTTGGGAAGCATTTTTTGTAAATCTAGATATGTACTATTTGCGCCTGTGTGACTGCATTTCGAAAATTGAACTATTCTCCTCTCTGTCTCTAAATCTACTTCCTCGTGGGCTACATACACAGCGGTGAATGTCCATTCCATTGATTTCGCAATTACAAGGTATGACCTATTGATTGGGATCCTGCGAAATGATTCTCCCAGAATCGAGTGCCGTCAAGACATTGGTCGCGGCACAGTGCTCCAGTTTCTTCCGCCATCTCCAATTCTTCCGTTGCAACACCTACACTCCATCCGAACTTTTCGGCCGTGTCTTGTGCAGTCGCGCCTCTTCCGAAGTGGATGCTGTACAGATCAGCTGTTGACGCTGACATCGTGATAGGAGGCTTCCGCAGCCATTCAAGGAGACTGGCAATTGTCTTCTCGTCTGTACGGCTCCGATCTTGGACTACCAGCAAGCCGCTCTTGAAGCGGCGTAGACGCACTGGAAGACCAAGAGAGTCCCACATGTTGGCCGCCTTTTGGAAGTCAAGCGGCGAGATGAGTTCAATGCCGTTGCGAGTCCTATTAAAAACCTGCCAGAGGTCGACCAGTGAGATGATGCCTCCTTCCTTTCGAAGGATCCCTTTCCGGTCATCGGTGAGATATTCAGCTAGATTGCGGGACAACTCCGTGATGTAGAGATGTTCTGCTGTGGAACCAGAGCCGAGCATATCTTTTGTGGTAATCAGCCCCAGAGCAGACGCAGATTCAGATATCAACTTTCTCGCATCCGGGTCGTTGATCGCGTTGGTCTCTGCCTGTCGGGCAAATTGTTCTGCCATCTTGATAACGTCTTTAGCCGAGGTCATCAGAGCTGCGAGGTCCTCAAATGCTGTGCCTATCACGGCCTGATTGTTTTGTCGGAGTGCGACGCCTCTCTGCTCCAGTCCGGCGATACCAACTACCCGTTGATGAGTTGTGGTGGTCGAGGTGCCATTGCTGCCGTTAGCATTGGAAGACGACGACCCTGGCTGCTGTGGCACAGGAGGCGCGCTGTGCAGCAGCCATTTCCGCTGAACTAAGGCAGTTTTTAACTTGTCAAGAAAGACTTTATCGATGCCTGCACGAAACGAGAATTTGATTGTCTGGATAGCGTTGTTACCTACGATACTCCCACCGTTCGCCTGAGGGTCCGAGGAAAACGAAGTTGTAGAGTCCCTCCCCAGGGACTGCGAAAGCCGATTGTGTCTGCTCTGGAGAGGCGCTCCACACATTTCGCATGTGGTCAAAGAGACATGATTCTGGAATGTGCATCGAGGACATTGGTTATGATTCTTTGATGGCGTACTACTTGATCGCGAGGCTGATTGCGTAGAAGAGTCTGGAACGTTGGCAGCTGCCAATGGAGATGTTTGGACTGCCCCTGTCGCTCTACTCGACATTGCAGCGATCGCAGATTTGATCATTAGAGCCAGTGGCGGTCTGATACCGCAGGCCTGACATGGCGGGAGAGGTGTGTGTTCATTAGCCACAGAAGCTTCGAAATTCGGAGGTACCGGATTTGATAATCCACAAATGGGACAGATCCAGGTCGCGCTGAGATTTCTCATCGAGACAGGAGAGTGAAGAGGTGTCCGGACTGCGGTCGATCCGGGCCTAACCAGCGCATCACTCGGAGATGAATAGGTTGGTGTGCCATGCCGACTTGCATTGGCATCTGTCTTGGGAAACAACGTGATTTTAGGAGAGGATTTCAGAAATCCTGCATAGAACTCTGTATGATCGATGTCTTTTAGATCAATCCCGACAGAAGACTTTCGTGGATCTTCATTATCGACGTAGCACAATCGATGGGAGGTCAAGTAAGCATGCCCGTTCTTGTAATTCGCGAGCTTGTCCTTCCCTTCGTAAAGTCCGACACCATCTTGCACAAACAGCAACAGCTCGTCATCGTACAACGACGGGCGAAGCGCAGTTGTTAAGTCTAATGGACGCAGGAACATTCGCCTAACCACAAATGGGGGTAATGTTGTGGAGAGAGCGTCACCTGAAGGTTTGACGTAGACATTCACTAGCAAATACCTGATAGAAAGCGGGTTTTTGGTGACAGTGAACAATTCTGCCGATATCTGAGGTGAAGTACAACCGGCACTGACATCGGATCCCGCCAGACGTGCCCGCGTGGAGGTGTGTGGATCATCAGACATGGGGTACAATTCTCCTTACACCGCGGATGAATAAGATAATAAGTCCCAGTCTGCGGCGTTGGAGTTCGAGAAAGTTTCACACCTCACCATCGACATATATCCTATCTGATGTCACGCGACATGATTACTTCACCTGCTTCGCCTCACTCATTAAAAGCTTCACCTGCGAGACGGATGAAGGAAGAAATGTCACAGGGCGATCTGCGAAAGGTGAGGCAAGACATGACCCTAACGGATACAGATATCAGGGCACCTCGACTAGAGCTAAATAAAAACGAGACGAGCTTCCCCCCAATTTTCTCCGTCCTACATCACTCTTTCAAGTTAAATACAATCAAGACCTGTATCTGAGAAAAAACATAACAGGGTGCTATAGGTTTTGATACCATAAGTCTTTCCTACCTAGGTGCGTAAGAAGCTTGTCCCGCATACACAGAGGTAAGCCCGAAGGGGGAAGGGCATCGTGTTAGTCATCGCAGCGACTGGGTGCCGGGTTAGTCATATGAGTGCCCGATTTCAACTGGAGGTTCGACAGACACCCCTGGGCCCCGGCCTACATGGATCTGGGCGAATCATCGTGCACGTGATCCACTCGATATCGTCTCACCTGAGGCACTTCAACGCTGCCCAGCCGTCCAACTTTGCTCCGTCTCCACCATATTCGTCGCGCATCATCACTCTCGGTCGATACATCGCCAACTCCTTCACGCCCGTCGGAAACACACACGCACTCATAGCCACATCGCGATCGCTCTGCTTATATTGCCCTTTGTTTACCATCGAGTCCCAACCGTCTTGCGCCGCGTTCTCGTGGTGTGGCAATGATCATGGCAGCCGAACCTGCGTTCACGCCGGTTGTCGCATCGAGGACACTCACTTCGAAGCCTGTAAATGCCGCGACGCCCCGTTATAGTCAAGATGTGGCTCAATACGTTCAGAAGGCCTTTTTCGATTTTCACAAGTTGAAAAACCAACCAGCGTATGCGCACATCACCGACGCTGACATCCGCGCGAAGCTGGCGGAAATAATCAACCGCGCCACTGCAGATGGCACAATAAACAGAGATTGGCAGCAGACCCCGTTACCGCATCAGCTCATCGTGGAGGAGCGCCATAAGGCCGCGCTATACGTGACACAGAACAATATGCTAACTAACCTCAACCTTGATCACTCCGGATCGCCCGATGTGGCAAGTAAGAAGCGAAAGAGCCTTGATACGGAATCTGCTGGATCAGATAGCTCGACGAGTCCTCCTCCGTGGAAGAAATCCAACAACACAAAGCAGAGTCTTGCCGACCGGATAACTGGGACGAGTAAGACGCTAGACAAAAAGCGCAAAGACAAAGAGCCCTTTCGAGGCAATAGTCTTGATACGAGTGAAGATGCTCTTGCGAGACGTAGACAGCGATTTGGATACATTTCTCCCGAACTGTCATCCTCGCCTACCGTACATAATAGTTCCAGCCTGCTCGAGGCCAGTGCCGGACCCATTGTCGGCACTTGTCAGAATCTAGAAAAGAACTACTTCCGTCTGACCGCACCTCCGAACCCCAACACCGTTCGACCTTTGCCAGTCCTGGAGATGGCCCTCGATCTCATCAGCACGAAGTGGAAACAGCAGCATGACTATTCGTATTTCTGTGATCAAATGAAATCGATGCGGCAAGATCTGACTGTGCAACGTATCAAAAACGAATTCACAATCAAAGTCTACGAGTTGCACGCTCGAATCGCCTTAGAGAAGCGGGACCTGGGTGAGTACAATCAGTGTCAGACGCAGTTGCGCGCCCTGTATAAGATGAATCTTGGACCCAACGGGGGAAGCGGAGGACACAAGGATGAGTTCACAGCGTACCGAATTTTATACATGATTTACACATGCAACAGGACCGACATGAACAACATGTTGGCCGATCTAACAACAGCAGACAAAAAAGGCCCATTTGTACAGCACGCACTTCGGGTGCGAGCAGCACTGGCTAGTGGCAATTACCACAAGTTTTTCAACCTCTACGCTGAATCGCAGGATCAACGATGGAACATGGTTCCATATCTCATGGATATGTTTGTCGAACGCGAACGAGTCGCCGCAATGGCGGCTGTGTGCAAGACGTAAGCGATACTCTTTGGCACGATGGTCCAACTCGTGGCTAACCATAGTATAGGTACAAACCTGAGATCACGTTCAATGATGTCGTCAACACGCTTGCTTTTGATTGCGACAATGGTGAAACCTTTTTCACTGAAGAGGTAATTCGTCGCTGTCATGAATTCATGGTCAAGCATGGGGTCCAGCACTTAGTGGTCCAGAAAGACGACAAACCCACTGCATTTCTCACAGGCAAAGCCGGGAACATCTTTGAGGATGCGAAGCGGAAGGCTTTTGGCAAAGTGGATATCAAAGGCCAAATTTGAGGCATGGGCCTGACACCCTTCTATTCACAAGGCCTGGGTCCTTTCGTGTCTCAGGTCTTACAGCATTGCGTCGTAAAGGTCCCATAGACGTGCGTCTTTTCTTCCTACAGATACCCCACAGCGATCGATTGCACATCTTTTCGGATTTTGGTGGGCGCAGCAGCGGCGAAAAGTATTTGCTCCATTATGGGTGAGCAGGCATCGCCACATTGCCCTCTACAGCTTCAATTTGGGCCGGCGTTACATTTTGGTTATCGACTCTGGGTTGATTTCATTGGGGAGCCGCGTTGATGCGCATCGTTATCGGCTCAATGGCTGCTCGGATTTGCGATCAGGATTGTCAGGAATACTCACACGTGTTTCGACAGATATGCACGTGCAGGGTGCAGCACCCAGCTTCAGGAAGCATTGCGTTACCATGTAGTCGGCCTCGGCTCAAAAGAAGTATTCTATTTGTTTTATTTCTTGACTACCTGGGCAAGTTCATAATTCAATTTCATCTTACACCTCACAACTTGCTGCTCGGGGATTGAAGCCCCATGTCTACATTTCACTTGAATTTCACATCGCACATCTTTACGATTGTTGTGAATTATCGTAGGATGAGCACCCAACTCAATTTGATACGTCATATAGTACTAACAATTTACTGCAACACGGCTGGAAGTCACCAACTCGTCCTAGTGTGATCGAGATGTTGACTTGGATAAGTGACACTACGGATAGGAGTACTTGAACTAAACCCCAAGCGAAAATCTACGATCTGTGCTGCCTGTCCCTGGTGCCTATCTAGGTGGATGTTCTGTAGTTGATAGACCTTTAGCACAAAAGGGATCAACCCCTCCACAAGTGTCGTAGACACCTACTGAGTAAAAGCGACGTGTAGATCTGCTTTCCGCCCAATTCTGGAGAATGGACAGTGAGTGCGTGCCGTATCGGATGAGTTGAATTCTCCACATCAGCTCTTGGGCCGTTGTATGTGTCGAAATGGCTACAATCACTCTCTAGCACAAAGAGGTGATGTTCCCCTTCGAATTCCACAAGTTTTCTCGGAGTGTTGCCTGCGCTGATCACAAGATTTCCTTGAAGGATCTCTGAGACGCTCCGTGATACCGCCGAGAGCCCTAAACGCCCGCGATCTTGATTTCCACAAAATCCTGCGATCTGCATGCGATCCCCGAAAGGCGTCGATAGCCGATTGTCAATGCAGCTCTAACCTGCGGTGACCGAAGATAGCCTTTCATTGTGCGTCGACGCGAGGACGTAGACGCGAGAACGAGTGCGAAAGGACCATCGCCATTCGCCGCTCACTCGCACGATGCCTTAGCATTATGCAACTGCCGATGGTAGATGAGATCCCCAACTGACACTCTCGCGTGGTCGATCGTGGCATTCCCCCACGTCTCAAGCCGTCAGTTAGCGGACTTGATTGCCATGTTGTTAGGGCTTCCGGCTAAAATCGCCGTATACTCGCCTTTCCTCCTCACAACGCGGCTCCGCTTTCCATGACTCGAAACATCACATCGTCACCCCAGGGCCATTCGTGTCAATGGAACGAACGCACGTGGTCGCCGTCAATGCTGTTTCAACGATGCAACTCCATCAACCGTGAATTGCCGCTTGCCATGCATACGCCTCTCCTCCTCACGTAAGGCCCGTGGCTTGAGACATCCCATCGTCAACCCAGGGCTACGGATGTCGATTGAACGAACGCACGTGGTCGCTGTCAAGGCTATTTGCAACAATGCAAGTCGACCAACCGTGAAATGCCGTCCATCATCGACAAGCTGAACATCGGTCCTGACAAGCGTCGATATCGACGTCAGCTCGAATCACTCGTTCTTCGGGTCGCTCCGTCTGTGTATCAAGGTCCTGAATGACAGCTTCATCTCGTCGAAGTGAACAATATATAAGGGCTATGATACCTGCCGTAATGTTGTTTCTGAGCATCAGACAAGCAACAGTCATCAGCAACATTCATACAGTATCTTTCAATCCGTTCCACAAATTATCTCTGCTCCAGCCATGCATTTGACAACGATCACCACCATTGCCCTGACCATGTTGGTCTGTGGCTCGTCCGGACAAGCTCTTCGCCGTGTTCAGCGCGCCGTTGGAGTATCTGGAAGTGCTCAAGGCTTCGGCCGAGGCACGACCGGTGGCTCGGGCGGTCGAACCGTCACGCCAAACAACAATGCCGAGCTGGTCAATTATTTGACCTCCAAGGAGACGTTGACCATTGTCTTGACCAAAACCTTCGACTTCACGGGTACAGAGGGCAGGACAACCGCTACTGGCTGCGCTCCTTGGGGCACCGGAGCTGGGTGCCAGCTCGCTATCAACGCGAATAACTGGTGTTCATCCACTGCTCAGAAGGTACAGGTCAACTATGACAATGCTGGTACCAACCCGATCAATATGGGATCAAACAAGTCTGTTGTTGGCAGCGGCAAGAATGGTGTCATCAAAGGAAAGGGATTGCGCATGGCAAATGGCGTGCAGAATGTCATCCTGCAAAACTTCATGATTACCGGCCTGAACCCCCAATATGTCTGGGGAGGCGATGCCATCACTTTGGATGGCACTGACAAGATTTGGATCGACCACGTCACTGTAAGCAACCGATGTCCTTCCATCTCAAAGAGTTGACTGCTTTTTGCTGACACAGAGCACAGACCTCGCTCATTGGTCGTCAGCACATCGTGAGCGGTTACAATGCCAACACTGGCGTCACCATCTCAAACTGTGACATCGACGGCAACACCGATTGGTCCGCGTCTTGCGATGGTCACCACTACTGGGTGGGTTACTGATCGATTTTAAGAAATACGAGACATCGCTGACGTATCTAGGCGCTTTACTTCACTGGCAAGAACGACCAGATCACGCTTCAAAGCAACTATATTCGCAACACCTCTGGCCGTTCCCCCAAGATTGAGAACGGAGCCGTTGTGCACGCAGTGAACAACTACTGGTATGCGAACTCGGGCCATGCTCTCGAAGGTGAACAGGGATTCGCTTTGGTGGAGGGTTCAGTCTTCCAGAACGTTGACGACCCGCAAGACTCGAAGTCAACGCTTTCGATCTTCGCCTCCACCAGCTCCACGTCCGTCTGCCGCAACACCCTTGGTCGCAATTGCGAGGCAAACATCTTCGGCAGCTCGGGTCCGCTCAGCGAGGGCGACACTGCGGTCTTGAGCAAGCTCGCTGGCAAGGGCGCCGCAGGAGCCACTGTCGCCACCAATGCACAGAAATCTGTGCCTGCATCTGCTGGCTATGGAAAGATCTGAGCTGGTGGCACGGGACTATTGAGATCTGCGCTGGTCTGTCGTTTCGAAACCAACGCCAAGCTGCTATCGCATTCGCATCTGCCGCGGGTTGTTTGTTACCTCCAAAGTACGCTTGAAAAATTTGGGGATTATGACTTGAAAAATTGATACTTTATTTCCCATCGGTACGACTGTAATATTTTGCACCGTGAATAGTCTTGGGGAATCAAACAGTTCCTTGTCTCCGAATTTTTCCACTGGCGCAACCAAAAAAGGACAACAGTATTGAGCCTCCTTCCGAGCTGTGTCAGCTTACTTCAATATCAGTCGGGTGGCTGGTGATAGCGATCCGAGAATAGATAAAGTTCACAACGCTCATACAACTCTAATTTCGCTCACGGTCACATGCTTTGGGCGGTGTATTGCAGCCGCAAAATACTTCTTGTATTTCTTTGGCTGACCTCGCGTTTCACAGTGGTGTGTCCTGATTCTCGGATCCAGGTCGGGATCTCATACGAGAATCCTAACGCCAAAATCAGGCGAACGCAGTTTATCATCAGATGAAGATCTCCGCTACGAGCTTGAACTTGCCAAAGCTGTGCACGATTTCAACCGTATGCTTTGCATTCAGCACAACTGACTCTGAGGGTGTTGTTGCCAACGCCACATCCGGCTGGCGACCGCACAGGTTCTTTGTGCAGCAGCAGTTCGATCCATCTGCCCAGATGGGCACCCAGCGATAGACCTGAGATTACCCATGAGAGACGAATTCTGCTGGTTACCTAGGTACCTAGTAGGTAGTCCCCAAAGATCCCTTTGGGGGGCCTAAGATAGGAACTACATAACGTGACGCCCGTGGACTCTTGCCATTTAGGATTCGAGTATAAGGAATTGCTCTTGCGGAGCTGCTCGCGTGCTGCTGCGCAATACTACAGTAGGCCTTTCCCAGACGAGGTCGTAGGCTTCGGGGAAGCACAAAACTCCCATCCGTCTGACGCTCAGCGCGACACACCACACCACCACTGGACGAAGCACCAACCTGCATGGCAATACGCGATATTTGTACATGTATCTCACTGTGCCATCGTCCGCGACACGATTGCTAAGGTAATGCAGGGGAGGTAGTGTTACCGGCTTGGAGCACAGTATGGGGATATTCATATTACTGTACTGTAATCATTTGTAGGCCCATCAATGCCATTCCAGGCGCATTGGTTCGGATCTGGCACATGTCTGGGCACGAGCGACAAGCTTCCCGCCTAGATAGCACCAAATTTGTGATGATTGGCGAGCGGTTGTGACGAGCTGGCGGGGCGGGGGCGTGCTCTAGCTGGTATGTAGCGCCAGAGGATGTCGCTTGTCCTGAACAACACACAGATGAACACTCGCAACAAATGAGAGCCTCGCGATGGCCCGGCGTGCTGGCCATGCGTTTCTTGGCAGCATCTCGTGAGGATGCCCAATTTCAACAGACGAATCATCCTTAGCCTGTGATCCTTCCACTACTGTAGGGGATATTGGCAACGCTGGTAAGCATCGCTCAGGCGAGTGCAGGTCTTGAGAGGAGGATTGTTCGCGACTCCAGGGCTGCACAAAAATAATAATATATCTGTTTTAGTTTGATGCGCCAAAACGCCTTGCTTCCAGGGTTCCCCATCAGCACTGCCCACTCTGGGGCCTGTTTCTTGCCAACTTGTAGTAGTCATCTTCAGCTTTCATGCAAGGATGCAGCACCATCTTGGAAATTAAATATGTATTCCCTGGTCGGCCCTGTCGCCCAAGCCTCGTAGCTCCTCTTTCCATCAATCCTCATCTTGACGCCAAGAATCTCGGTCGCTCGTTGGTATCGGAGCCTCGCCCGTGCAAAGCACAACATCCACTTGCATCGACCTCTCTGAAGATCCCAATTTCGTACTACCACTTGGACTGTCGACGAGGCCTCGCCGCCGCAGCGACTCGCATTCCACCATCTCGGAAACGGAGACATCATGGCCGAAAATCTCGCCGTGCCCGGGGACGCCCGCGGCCGGGAAGGTCGACAGCTATCTTGGAGCGGCAGGGCCAAGGTTTTCCGTCGCCGTGACGCGCCAGCGCCGACGAGGTCGACTAGCCATGATGGCAACATCTACACCAACCCTCACGATCAAGAGAAGGCAAACGAGCCGGACGATGGAACGAACCCAAATAAGTTGCCGGTGTACAACGCGCATGGACATCGGGTGAACCACCAGGGGCACCGTGTCACAAAAGGTATTCATCCTGATGGCGAGAGTGGCCGGAGGTGGATTCATCCTGGGCACATGGTCAAGATCTGCTGGCGATCAGCTTCATTGACGAGCAAGTGGGTCAACGTCCTTTGGCCATTTACTATCGCGGCAATGGTCCTGTACTTCGCCGACATCGGGAAATTCGGAACACGATCGGTTTTGACCTTCGCCTTCGCCTATATTGGAATGGTTCCTGCCGCTAATTTGGTCGGGTTTGCCGGTCAAGAGCTCGCGCGAAAGATTCCAAAAGTCTGGGGCGTACTTCTCGAAACGACTTTCGGTAGCATTGTTGAAATCATTCTGTTCATGGTCTTGATCACCAGAGCGCACAACGACGCAAGCAGCCTACTCGTCAACCTCCAAGTCATCCGTGCCGCTATTCTCGGGTCTATCCTGGCAAATTTACTCCTGTGCCTAGGTACGTTCGCCTCACAACGAGTGCTTCCTATTGTGACTAATGAGTTTCACTAGGTCTATGCTTTTTCGTGGGAGGAATCTATCACCCTCAGCAGACTTTTCACGATGCCATCTCTGAAGTCGGCTCCAACCTCATGCTCGTCGCCGGTTTCGGTCTGGTCATCCCGACCATTTACTACAATTCTCTGACTGGTACCACACGAGCGTCTACTGACGACCTCAGCCGTGCAGTTCTCAAAATCTCGCATGCGACGGCCATCATTCTATTGGCTGCATTCATCGTCTACGTCTGGTTTCAGGCCAAGAGTCATCACGGACTCTACGAAGACATTCTCGAACAGGATGAATTACGAGACCACGATCGTCACAAGGATCTCGCCAAAGACAAGCTCACGCTGTCAGAGAGCATACTTGCATTAGCAATTGGACTCACCTTTGTCAGCTTTATGGCTGTCATTCTTGTCGACAACATCCATTACATTGTCGAGCGAGGCGTTAGCGACGCCTTTGTTGGTCTCATCCTCGTTCCCTTGGTCGAGAAAGTATCAGAACATCTTACCGCCATTGATGAAGCCTACGACAACCAGATGAACTTTGCCCTCAGCCACATACTTGGGGCTAGCATTCAGACCGCTCTGCTCAACACGCCGTTGGTCGTCATTGTCGGCTGGGGCCTTGGTGTCCCTTTGGACCTCAACTTTGAGCTTTTCGATGCCGTAGTCATCATCATGGCGATCATCGTCGTCGGCAACTTCCTGCGAGACGAGAAGAGTGACTATTTGGAGGGCGCCCTCTCGGTCTTTGTATACTTGTTGATTGCGATCACCGCCTGGTATTACCCGAACCCCGATTTAGGCGAGGCCAGTGGAGGAGAGAGTGCTCACCGATAGCCACTGTGGACGGTCGTCGCCAGCTTTTCTTTCGAAATTTGGTACAGAGATATCATGACATGGTGATAGTGCAGGAGCTCTGGGCGCTTGGTGTGCACATTTACGATTATTACTATTTGATTGTTGTACGGGTAGCTTTCATAAATTCCGCTGACAAAATGAATTGAGTTTCGCTGTGTGGCGGTGAATTACGATTCGCGAATGTGTTCGCAGTCTAAGTCTTATTCACAGAGATTACGCATGGAATCCTCGCATCGCAAATGTACCGTTTGCGAAGTGAGATGCTTCAACCATCAGATGATTTATCATCATTGCTTCTTTACACCGGTAATGTATTGTATTATACCGCCCCAGCATCAATTTCGCCGCTGGGTCCTCGTTCCAAATAGGGCTTTGCGGAACCCAGCCCGAAATGGTAACACGCTGACGACTGCGAGGAATACATACCTCGTGTTCCAAGTTCCTCAATCGACCAAACCATTTCCCCCCTTCATTCACTCACTTTCAGAGCCAGCGCCGGGTCGCATTCACTCTCGTTACAACTCACGAAGTTCCAAGAAAACCGCACAGCACACGGCAAGAGTGCACACCATCCGCTCAGTGTCCGCTCCACGCTGTTCACGAATTGTTCTCTGATCACAAAGCAACCACAATCGCCATGCGCTTCCAGTCTCTTCCTGCTCTGGCAGCGCTTGTGCCTCTGGTTGCTGCAGACTGGTTGATCAAATCACCAGCCGCTGGCGTGCAACTTACTGCCGGAGTTCCCATAGTCGTCACCATCGACGACTCAAGGGCCGCTCCACCGATCTCGACATTCTCAACATTCACACTAGAATTGATCCAGGGTGGACAAGATGAGGGAACTGGTCAGGTAAGTTTCAGGACAGAAGGAGGGAACGCATTTTCCGCGGGCTGGCGTGACGTCGAGATGGGATCCAATAATCGCGCGGGAATGAGGGACAGCACCACAGAAAGACAATCACGATGCGACACACATTCAAGCTGACACCTTCTCATTGATTGCAGAAAATGATCACTCAGTTTGCCGGCGCAGCAGCGTTTCCGGAAAATCGCCAAATAACAGGTGTCGTACCTCTTGTTGCGACTTCCGATCTGGCGAACTCATTGTGAGTAGCACGACGATCATGAGCAATGGTGCGGTGGCACATTATGAGTAGTAGTTAGCTCATGTTTGCATCTGCGTAGCTTCTTCAAACTCACATCATTCGCGGCAACCGGCGGCGGTTCATACGTCAATTGGTCTAACCGCTTCAGCATCACTGGGTTCAGCGGTGGACCGCCTCTTGATCCAGCTGTTATTGCGGCCGTGACAGCGCTCGGCGGCGCGACAGCAGGACCAGACGCGATCAACAGACTAGGACAGGGAGGCGCACCTGGCGGCGATGTCTTTGACATTCCATTCAACCTACAGACCGGACTGACAAAATACGCGCCCATGCAACCCATCCCGCCTACCAAGATCACGGCTAAGGTTTTCAAGCCATTGTTCCCGACCAGTGCGTATAGCATCGCAAAGACATTCCTCCCGCTCCCCACCGTCCAGAAGACGGTGACACAACCACAGACTTTCTCCGCCTCAAGTATTGAGAATCCCGTAAGTCCTTGTCGCCACCGACGCAGTTCACCAGGGTCTAACAGCAGCTCTAGGCCGCTCCGGCATCGATGCCTACCGATATGGCCAAATACCTCAAGCGCTGGCAGGACTAGTGCGAGAGTAAGCATCGGGTCCGGTGCCCTGGAAATTACGTGTTGGTTGGGATTTATCATTTTACGAGGATCATACGTTGTCTTAAGTTTCATGCCTGGTTTGGCGTTGGAGAGGCATGGGCCATTAGAGTTGTCATACCAAAAGGCATACATAGTTCACGGCGCTGGTAGGGTACGGCTCAATGCTGCAGACAGTAATATACAGTCCGTTTTTTGCTTCGATTGTTTCATTTGTTGTATTAATGAGCATGAAGATAATTCCCCCGATCTCCCATCTTGAAATTGCACTATTTTGTCTCCCAGAGTAGGAACACAACGCCTCAAACACCCCGTTGATAGCATCCCTCATCCCAAATTGCGCCATATTTGCGACGGGCTAGAAGCTGCATTGACATATATACATGGTTCGACGATGAGCACGGTAGTGTAAATTCGTAATGCGGCTGCTTGCGATGTTTCCGCTGGCCACGATCATTGCATTCATCCCGAATGCATCACTGACAGGCTTACCGACCTTCTTCAAGCTCCGCCAGGTGGCGTTTGAATCTCTGCGCTTTTGCCTTAAGCAGCCGAATGCTGTCAATGAACAAGACATCGCTCTCAAATTGACCCGAGCTCTCTACTGAGAAGATGAAGTGGTCCCGGATCCGTCCCAACTTGACCTTATCTTTGAACTCGTCGTAGCGTAGACATTCTCTGCTCACAGTATCTTTCATCGGGTTGACTACGACGGCCTTCTTCTGGCCAGATTGCGGGTCGTCCTCCAGACCAATCACACCTCGCGGAAAGCATCGAGCGAACATCTTCGCATCTGCGCCTAGTATTGGTTTCGTGATGTTGATATGTGGGAGCAAACGATATGATGCCGTTGCGACAGGGCTGAATTTGGCGTGATCGCTTCCGACGCCCTTGATGCAGTGACATCTGAGGTGGATGCGTTGACCCGGCCTTAGCTTTGCGATGAGGATATCAGGATTGACGGGCCGGATTGCATTCTCCCCCGAGAAGTAGTCCTTCTGTTTGCCCTCAGGCTCAAACTTGAGCTGGTGTGCATATACATTGGAGTTGACGTATTTCTCGGTCGGATCGATAGATCCCTCCTTCGCTAGCTTCTTGCCGTCACGACCGTCCTGATCTTGTGTTGCCCACCGGCATGTGACATCGAGTGTTATGACGACAGTATTGGTGTCGTTTGGAACGCTTGCAATAGAATCGCCCTCCTCTGCCTCCCACGCTGCCTGGGCAGCGAAATCATCTTTTGGTGGAGGCTTTTTGTACCACTGCATCCACCGCAGTCCCTCTTCCCCGCCAGCCAGAGGGATCAATCCCAGTCGATGTGCGAGGACTTCGTCCTGGATGATACTGGTGTTGTCGAATATGAAAACATCCTCGATCGCAAGGGTTGGCACTTCTGACATGAGCAGTCGTCGATATGCGTTCGCAATGCTGGCGTCTACACCAATCAATGAAAATGTCGCATCGTGAGGTTTATTCTGGTGAAATTCGACCTTCAATTGATCCGTGAAGCGTTGTAGATCCCAGCTATCGTCTTGTTGTGGACCATAATGACCTGGGATATCTGTCGCGGTGGTATCGTCTACTGTTTCGGACCTTACATTCACTATGCGCCGCTCTTGCAATTGCTCCTCCGTCAGCGGCGCCCAACTTGGTCGTTGTTGCGACGGCATTGCGCCGTGTGTGAGATGATTGGTATCAGCGCCAGCGCTTCTCCTTCAGTATTACGGCAATGTCTCGTGACAGGAGGACTGTCAAAGATTATTTCAGAATTTCCTAGTGACTTTCGACGATCGTTTCAACCTTCGAAACTTTTTGGGGGGTCGGCATCTGGGAATTCGCGGCTCGGCCCACGCCGCTGGCATCTGAGCGCGATGCTTTCCACACATCATCGACTTTGCTCAAGCGGCCATTGGTCGTCGAGCCTACTCGACAACGGGATATTCACATTGTCGACGTTCAACCACCAACACCTCTCCACTCTTCGCCATCGCCAGGCTTGTACTGTCGACAGACGCGTTCACAATGGCAGCTCCCTTTGCACGCCTGGCGACAGCAGGTACCCGACGACTGCGCTCGCGCCCATTCGCCTCTGCCGCCACCTCAGTTCACCCTCAACAATTACGATTCCTCGCGACCACACCTGCTCGCCGACAGGCTGAGCCAGTCTCGAGCAATGTCATCCACCCGCACACAGGCACACGCCTCATTCCAGTGGACCCAACATTCGGCCACCCAGTCGACCCCAGCAAGATGAACTTCAACGCAGTTGACGATGCTGCGGGCACACCAGAAGAGCGGAAGATTCGTCACTACACCGTGAACTTTGGTCCTCAACATCCTGCTGCTCACGGAGTGCTTCGTCTGATTCTTGAGCTAAACGGAGAGGAAATCGTGCGCGCTGATCCCCACGTTGGATTGTTGCACCGCGGCACGGAGAAGTTGATCGAGTACAAGACCTACCTTCAAGCTCTTCCCTACTTCGACCGTCTGGACTATGTTAGCATGATGACGAACGAGCAATGTTTCTCGCTTGCTGTGGAGAAGCTCTTGAACATCGAGGTCCCTGAGCGTGCGAAGTGGATTCGAACACTTTTCGGCGAGATTACCCGAATTTTGAACCATCTCATGTCGGTCCTGTCACACGCAATGGATGTCGGCGCTCTCACACCATTCTTGTGGGGTTTTGAGGAGCGAGAGAAGCTCATGGTGAGTACATGTGGCGTACTAATATTTGCATCTTCGATTGCGAGAGAAACGTGCTAATGAGGTTAACAGGAATTCTACGAACGTGTATCTGGTGCCCGTCTCCATGCTGCCTACGTTCGCCCTGGAGGTGTATCGCAGGATCTTCCCATTGGTCTATTGGACGACATTTACCAGTGGGCAACACAATTCGGCGACCGCATCGACGAGACCGAGGAAATGCTTACAGACAACCGTATCTGGATCGGCCGAACCAAGGGCGTTGGTGTTGTTAGCGCCGCTGATGCATTGAACTATTCCTTCTCCGGTGTCATGCTTCGTGGTTCTGGTATCCCATGGGATATCCGAAAGTCGCAGCCATACGACGCGTACGACCAGGTCGAATTCGACGTCCCAGTCGGTATCAACGGTGACTGCTATGATCGCTACCTGTGCCGGATGGAGGAGTTCCGCCAGTCTCTCCGCATTATCCACCAGTGTTTGAACAAGATGCCCGCTGGTCCCGTCAAGGTCGAGGACTACAAGGTATCTCCACCACCGCGTGCCGCCATGAAGGAGAACATGGAGGCTCTGATCCACCACTTCCTGCTCTACAGCAAGGGCTACACAGTGCCTCCGGGCGAGACCTACAGTGCGATTGAGGCGCCAAAGGGTGAGATGGGTGTCTTTGTCGTCAGTGACGGCAGCGAGCGTCCTTACCGATGCAAGATCCGCGCCCCTGGTTTCGCTCACCTGTCATGTTTCGACCAAGTTTCCCGCGGCCACTTGTTGGCCGATGCTGTCGCCGTCATCGGCACCATGGATCTCGTATTCGGTGAGGTCGACCGGTAGCGGGATATTGGGGAAGGAAAGGGAAAATAGTAATTCGATTTGTAAATATGCTATTTGTACAATCGCGTCGGCGTTCCTGGCAATAGACATTCGCAATCTGAGCAGTCATAAGGAGACTAGGTGGTGCAAGGCTTGATGCCAGAAAGGCGGTCTTTGCCTGTCTCGGGTAACCGTTGTTAACCACTCAGATAAAAAACGAACTATTTCATTTGTGAGAACATGGAACCCATCGAAGTTACATTTGTCAATTCTGTGGCCCTGACAGACACTGATAGTGAACTTGGGCACAACGGCGGCCATTACCTAATGTTCGATGCGACTTTCTATTGCCCACCATAGGAAAGATTGCCATGTGATGTGGGCAAGCGAGTACAGACGGTGGTGCTTATAAACCCCTGACTCATCGTCCTGGAGGTTTCGACGATGGAAAAGTGATGAGTATCTAGGTGATGATAAAAACCGGCATGCACGTGGTCCAGTACTGTAAGGAGCAACTCCTTTTCAAAAACAAAATATGTGTATTCAAGAAACTAAACGCCGTATCTACAAGAGAATAGAAGTTATGCACTATGAGTTCGCCTTCTTCTTGTTCTTCTCATCAAGCTGCCAGTACCCGCCATATTGCTGGAATAATTTCTCGAAGCCAGGGATGAGCTCTTCGAATGGTCGGGCTTCGATGTCCTCGAAATCCGTGCACATGGTCGCGCGTTCGATGGGTTTGTATTTGTCCGGCATGTAATCGGCGCCATCAGGGATACCGTTGAAGACGGAGTGCGCCATCATGTCTTCATCGTGCTTGGAGCGCTTGTACCAGCCAAAGGTGCCACCGCGCTCGTCTCGCAGCCATTGGAGTACTTCGGGCGCAACGGTCTTGAGTGTACCACCGTGCAAGAAGGCGACTCGGCCATCGTCCGGGTGATGTTGGGCAAAGGTGTGGCCGCAGTAGAAAGTGCCGCCCTTCGGAAGCTCAGAATTCATGCCGACACTGGTAAGCCACTTGGTCGGCGTTCCGTATGGCGTCTTGAGCGCGTGCCAAGAGAAGCGGAACATATCCTTGTCACCGAGGATGAAATTGTTCCAGTATTGACCATGGACGTTGTTCAACCAGGCCGCCAATTGCAGGTGGTAGAAAAACTTGCGCTTGTCGACAAGCATTTGACCGGACTCCTGCTCCCATTCGTCCATTTTGCACTTGGTGTTGGTGATGACCCAGACTGGGTTGTTCGGACGAGTGCGAGACATGTCTGGCCAGAACACGGTGCCGTATTCCTTGTAGGTCGCCGACTCATACAATTCTTCCGGCTTGATTGTTGGGATGTTGTCACTGTCCAACAATAAGGGTTCGGCAAATCGGCTGTTGATGACTGCTGCAGTCTTCAGATGATAGTTGATGAACAAGGTGGCAGGTTTGCTGTGCATCACATTCGACGGATGCGCAAGATCGTTGAAATAAGATCGAGGCCACAATCGTAGCAGCTCGTCCCGGACCTCCTTCGTCATCTCATTTCCGTACGTGTGGAACTCAACCGGCATTTCTGACTTGAGGTGCTTCAAAGCATTGAGAATCACTTTGATCCGCGGGACTGTCTTTCCGTTGCCACCAACAATGACAATGCCTCTTCCGGAGAATTTGTTCTTGTAATCGCTGTAGGGAAGCATCTTCTCGCGAATCCAATTTTGCCAGACTCCTCGCGGCTCTTGAAGCTCCCAATCTTGCCTCTCGCGGACTGTCCAGCTTGCATTGACCCAACCCTCCTCATTCAAGCTCTCGCCGAATTGGTAATTGATGCGATCCTCCTTCGTCCAAGTGCAAGTTTCCTTAGCCTCCGCCATAGTAATGTTAGGCAACTCGAGTACGGCAGCGAAATGTGGTAGAAAGTCGTTCGCAGACTCTATCCGATGCGCAAATTTGTTGAATGAGGCATCTTTGTGATGAAGACCGAGATATGCTTCTAGATTTATCGCATTCGCGGCCGGATGCGCGATGCCTTCTCGTAAGGACGAGAACGCATTACCTATGCGATTGTATGATGAGGCTTCGGATCGCCAGAAGAGTGTGTAGAATGTCGCGCCCGCGAGCACGAGGGCGATAGTGAAGCGGACGGATAGGAGGCGAAAGGACGGCATGGCTGCGTGGCAAGTCGTCAATGCCGTATTAGAATGTTGTTTGTTGGCTCTTCAAGCGCTCGACATTTCTTCAGGCTCGCTCAGACTTATTCCAATTGCCTGCAATTCACAAGCGCGTTCGCTAAAATGTGGATGGGCAGGAGGTGATAAAGTATGTCAATGCGAAAAGAAAGCCTTCACACTTCGATCATCAATGCAGGGTGGATTTGATACTTTCCGGGTTTAGTGCAGGATGAAGATGCGGAGAACGGATGATCTGCAGACAAGACAGTTTCGTCAAAGCACTCAGCTTCAGCCTGAGGCAGAACTTCCAGCATCACCTCGGTCATATTTCCATCGACATCCACCGCGCGTCCGCCCCGATACGCCTTAACTAAATAGCACATACTGCATCATTTCACCGAGAGCGTTGAGGTTCGACAGACGTATGAGAATGAGAGTTCTCTGGTATTGTATAGACATCTTATCCGGTCCAGATGCCCCATCACGCCTGTCCGCACGAGCATGGTGGGGCCCGCTATGTGGTAGCCTGTGGGAGAATGACGATGATCCCAGAAATTCTCCACTTCGCCGTCTGGCAGCTCTGCGCCAGCGATGCGAAAGGCGATCGGTGCAGGTGTGATGAACAAGAGGTATGACGACTGACAGCACCTAACATGTAAAAGAACAATTTGATCGCTATTGAACCGTACGGGCACATAGCTCGACAGTGATGTCTCCTCCCCCAAACCCCTGTTTCCAGATTCGACCGTCACCGCATCGTAAGGTCCCGGTTTGACAATTCGCGACTGCCCCCTCGTCATCGTGCATGCATACTCAAGTGAGCTTCCACTCGTGATTTCATGTGGCTTCCAAGGTTGTCGACTATATTCCTTGACAAGGAGCTACTGTGCTGTGAATGTCTTGCATGGTGTTCCGCATCAGGTATTCCGACATCTCGTGTTCTGAAATTGACAATAAATTCCACTCATCACTCAAAAAGCCACGAGACGAAATAACTAATCACCATGGCCGAAGCCTGGCTCAAATCAGAAGATAAAGCCTTGAACCTACTCGCCGTCACAAGTCTGGCAGCCACCGCAGAAGTCCTTGGCCTCGTTGCGACTGTCGGTTTGAATACAGAGTCAATACACGATCAAATCGTTAAGTCTAGCGCAAGCGGCTTCGTTGCTTCCGAGCGAGGCTCACGCATACTCTCCAATGGATGGCATTCGGAGTCTTCTCTAGCTACGTCCCTTGGGACGGCGTACGCGATTGCCGATGCTGCAAGAAAAGCCCATGTCCCAACACCTTTGGCGGGCACTGCAGAGCAACTTCTACTGCAAGCAGCTCACCTTGCGACACCCGAGCATGACGACGCGACGCTTGTGCAGGTCTATCTGCCCCAAGGACAAGGCGAGCTTGTTTCCGAAATGAAATCCGCGGATAAGATGATGGTCGCTTCCTATCAAGTTCGCAAGGAGACCGTGATTGATCTATTGGTCGGAATACAGCTTGCGGCGACTGTAGAGGCCATGGCACTGGCCAAAGCGTTGAACCAAAGTCGGCGGGATTTGTTTGAACAGATGGTCAAAGTGGACGGCTCAGGCGAGGTACACGACAAGTGCATTTCGGGGATGTTAGAGAAGGATGCTTGGACACTGGCAGACTGTCCACAGGCGGAAGAGCATGGGAAAAGGCTCGCAGATGCGGTGGAGAAGTGCCGAAAGATCCAATACCCTTGTCCGATGGCTGTGACGGCTCTACAACAGTTTCACTTTGCCATCCAGAAAGGCAAGACCATCAAGAACGAGGGTCGGTAAGCCTCAGATGAATTTATTTTGTTGTAGTAAGCGTTGTCCACCGTCTGTCTTTCGGTAGAAAATCTTTGTTTCAAGACTAAAGCTTGGTCATACGGTGCGCACGCGTGACAGGAGGGCCATCACGTCGGTTCTGCCTTTGAAGAAAGCCCCTTGCATGGCGGTAAAGTCATGATGGCCTGATCTTTGATCTATGTCTGCACCCGCACTTATAAGGGCTTCTACCGCGTCCGTATGACCGGCCTCAGCGGCCGCCAGAAGTGCGGTGCCTCCGTGATAATGACTTCCTGCCACATTTGGGTCGGCGCCGGCAGCAAGTATTCTTTCGACTAGTTCTGGATCGCCATTCAATGCTGCAGCCTGCAGCGGTGTCAAGGCCGTGTATTTGCTAGGTTCCGGGTTGACCTCCGCGCCAACATTCAATAGAAAGTCGATTATCTTTGGATGTTGACCTTCCACGGCAGCTTCCAACGCTGTACGACCTCGATGTCTTGAGCGAGGAGCGTTCACATCTGCACCTTCCACAATGAGTCGCTGAACAATGAAGAGAAATCCTCCTTCAGAGGCAGCTTGTAAAGGCGTACGGCCGCTATAGCGGGTCGCCGGTGAATTCGGATCTGCACCAGCAACCAAGAGTTCGTGGACAATATTGAAATGACCAGCGCCACATGCCAGTGCCAGGGCACTTCGCCCACCGTTTTCACCTCCGGGGGCATCGACTTGGGCTCCGGCCTCCAGTAGCCTCGTCACGATCTCAGCATGACCCTCGTACGAAGCCGCCTGCAGTGCAGTCTTGCCATACCAACCATGAGGCGGCTCATTAGGATCAGCGCCTTCCTCCAGCAATGCAATGACTGCATCTAAGTCGCCTTCGGTGGCAGCATGTTGCAGTGCCGTGCGAATGTCTTCTTCTTCCTCTATGAGATCTCCATCGTCTTCGTCGATCCTTATCGAGTCATGCAACGGACTTCGAGGTATATGAACATCGGCTGAGTGCATCGCGATAACAACGGTATCAAGCGGGCGGTATCACAAGTGTAGGCCATACAGAAGCAGCGACAATATTGTCATATGCCTCTACGAGCATCACCAAACTCTCGTCGGGTGAGGATATCCCCGGGAAGACTCATGTGAAATGCGACAGACATCGCATGAGGCGGCACGACCGGAGAGGTGGTGCTTTACACGCTAGACATGTTTCAGACAGTTGAGTAATAACCTTGGAAATTGTCATCGTTTCTCATTACAGTAGTGGGCAGTGCGCAGGGCGCTTCGTCAGCGGGACACCTCCCTTTTGATATTGAAGCTCCATAATATGATCCCGTGACTGGCCGGAAGACACCAACACGACCGAGCGTCAGCACATAGCAGACGGAGTTTTGAAAATGTCTGTGTCACGCATTGAATATGCCCGCTTTTTTCAGAAGCATGGGTGTCGATGCACAATAACCCCCCGCGGAATCCCTCCGGAAAATCACGCAGAGAGATCGCAAACCGACAACGAGACGAAGCTTGAAATGATTGAGTGACCATCAAGTCCGCTCCGCATCCTTCCTGGCTCGATTACCAACCAATAGGCCGAGGGCCGTTAGAATAGCACGTACGGCAAGCAAGCATCGGGCAAGACTTTCCCGGAGTCCTCGGACTTAGACGGAGCGCAGGGAATGGAGGGCACGTGGCAAAGGTTCTACGGTGATGAGCATGTCCAGGAATTATACTAGGGACCCAACTCTCCCTCGCCCTTTTCTCTCGCCGGCAATAGAATGGCCTTACGCACTCGTTCGTAAAATGTGTGTGTGTAGAATATAGCTTAGATCTGCCAGACCAAGTCATATTCAGGATACTGAGTCGTTGAGCACCTGCTGGTCGCTGCTAATCATGATTATATAATTGTGAGGGAAATGCCTCATAGTAAGATTATTCCAGCGACGGACCTTTCTGTGCTTGCTGCATACATGGCAAAGTGGAGGCGGGGGATTTCCTGGACCCTTAATGAAGATGATGATGGAGCGCCCACTTGACGGTTGTAAAGTTCATGGACGGTCATGATAAGCCGATCACGGCGGCGGAAACTTCCAAGCTTCAACTGGCAATATAGAAAGCTTCAGTATGTTCATTCATGAGAACAGAGTCGAAGGATTCGTTGACTGCCTTAATAATGTTCTAACTGTTGGCCGCTCTCACAGCACGAAGGTCAGTCCACCAACGCGTGCGTCAGATTTGAAAATGTCTGGTCATCATCCGGTGGTGGTGATCTCTGGGAGGCGGGGAGATGGACCTGCGCTTAGATCTCCGAGATGGACAAAGGGCCATTGGCTTCAGTAGTAGTCCGCCATCTAGGTTGGCAAAATTTCATGAGCTCTTGGTGACATAAATACTATATGTCCGTCGTCACCGTCACAGACCTCTAGACTACTCGCCCTCTCGCACTCTCTCTCCCTCTCTCTCTCAACGCTTTCTTCGCTCCAGAGATGAGCTTGTATCTCGGCAGAGAACTTGTTGAATTTCAGTCGAAACTCTCTTCTACCTAGCCATCATCAGCTACGATCAATTTCAAACATCATCCATCACAATCCCTACTATTCCGGACTTTTTGTCGTACGGAATTGTACTAAAAACCCGAGCACAACGAAAGAACTCCTCTTAGAGGTAAGTTAAAAGCGACTCGACTTCACTTACAATGCACGATGTTGGCAGAAGTCATGGACAATCATGTTGAGATATCCTTGAATGGTTGGCATGCTCACTATTTCACAGCACGCGTTGCCATCACTCGCAATATCCGATCTCGTTGACAGTTCTTCCTAATACCACACTGCTGCTTGCAGTCCCGCCACCATGCATATCACGAAGAAGCTGGCGGCGTCCCATGCCAAGGGCCAGGCGACATACTCTTTCGAATACTTTCCTCCCAAGACTGCTCAGGGTGTGCAGAACCTGTACGATCGTATGGACATGATGCACAGCTGGGGACCTTCATTCATCGACATCACATGGGGAGCAGGCGGTCGCCACTCGCAGCTCACCTGCGAAATGGTGAAAACGGCGCAATCTGTGTATGGGCTGGAGACATGTATGCACCTGACATGTACAGACATGGAGCGCAGCAAGGTCGATGACGCCCTCAAAGAATGTTACAACGCAGGATGCACCAACATTCTAGCATTGAGAGGCGACCCTCCACGTGAGCAAGAGAAATGGGAGGCGGCTGAGGGCGGATTCCGCGTCGCAGCAGACTTGATCAAGTACATCAAGGAAAAATACGGAGATCACTTCGATATTGGCGTCGCGGGATACCCAGAAGGTCCTGATGAGAACACCAGTGCCGATGAACACATCGTCTATCTCAAGGAGAAGATTGACGCAGGTGGAACCTTTATCGTCACTCAAGCCTGCTACGATGCCGATATCTTCATTGACTGGGCCAAGAAGGTTCGTGCTGCTGGCATTTCTGAGTCAGTTCCGATTATTCCCGGCATCATGCCCATCTCCACATACGCTGCATTCGTTCGCCGAGCCAAATGGACAAACTCGCACGTCCCGCCGGAATGGTATGCACAGTTAGATCCTGTCAAAGAAGACGACTCCATTGTACGAGAGATTGGCAGAGACCTCATGACAGGCTTTTGTCAGCGATTACTGGATTTTGGCATCAAGCATTTACACTTCTACACCATGAACCTGGCTGGCGGCTCCCGCATGATTCTCGAGAAGCTCAACATGGTGCCGGCTGAAGATGTGCCACATCCTGACATCAAGCCTCTTCCCTGGAGACAGTCCCTCGGTCTTAACAGGCGAGAGGAAAATGTCCGCCCTATCTTCTGGAGGAACCGCAGTCGCGCATACATTGCTCGCACACAGGATTGGGACGAGTTTCCCAACGGTCGATGGGGAGACAGCAGATCTCCAGCTTTTGGAAGCCTGGACGAGTACGGTATTGGGCTGAAGGGTACCAACGAGCAGAACCGCAAGCTTTGGGGTGAGCCCAAGAACATCAAGGAAGTCTCGGACCTCTTTGTTGGATACATGAGTGGAAAGGTCTCATCCTTGCCTTGGTCAGAGTCTCCGATCAACACTGAAGCCAATGCTTTGGTCAAAGATCTGGTGGATATCAACAAACGAGGTCTGTTCACCATCAATTCACAGCCTCCGGTCGATGGCGCCAAGTCCTCGGACCCAGTCTACGGCTGGGGTCCACGGAATGGTTACGTGTACCAAAAGGCATACCTCGAAGTGCTGGTCCACCCGTCGCTCATCAAAACACTCATTGAACGCATGGATAAAGACCCCGAGATCACATATTTCGCCGTGAATAACCGAGGCGAGCTCATCACCAACACACAGGACGACAGCGGTCCAAATGCCGTGACTTGGGGTGTTTTCCCTGGCAAGGAGATCGTTCAGCCTACCATTGTTGAGACCGTCTCCTTCTTGGCCTGGCGAGACGAATTTTACTACCTCGGATCGGAATGGAGCAAGTGCTACGATGAAAGCTCCGAGAGCCGCAGATTGATCAAGGAGATTAGCGAAACCTGGTACCTCGTCAACATCGTACACAACGACTTTCGCAAGGCCCGCCCGATCTTCGATCTGTTCGATGGCCTGCAGGCTCCGGGCATTGAGGAGCAACAGAGCTCCAAATTGACCAACGGACATCACGAAGTGAATGGCGAGAAGTCATTGCCCGAGCTCAACGGCGTGCCCGACGGCAACAATGTCGTCAACGGTGCCAACCATGTCGCCGCTGCCGCTCACTGATTACTCCATTCATCATCTCCAACACCTCTTTTCAACATTTAGAGAGACCACCTCACATAGATATGGTCTTTGGCGTAAAAAAACTGCATTTCAGCATTTGCTTAACCAGGCGCAAAGAGGGAATAGCGATTGCACTTTCTGATGATACCCCATTCAACAGGGATCTGGGAACTGGCCCAGGCATAACGTAAATGATCACATTTTTAGGAGAATTGGCGTTGCTTTTCAGGATCATCGGAGATAGGTGGCAATAGGAGAGGCGCATAGGATCCGATCGAATCAAGGTGAATATGATTACTGATCAGATATCGACCTCTGCGGATTATTCACCCTCATGAAATGAACTCCGTCTGCTCGGAACTGAGGTTCACTTGGTGATATGAAGCGAGGAATTGTGTCGGAATGAAATATTCATCATTGATGGGGAAATTTCACGATGTGAGGTTTGGACACATGACGATGGGATAACCCCAGGTAATGATCATGCTCACTCTGCGGACTTGAAGTCAGTCCTCATACCTTGCTTGCCATTTCTGTGCACACCTGCATGCTGAAGGAAGACTGACACCCTTCGCCCAAGAATCGGCAGGAGAAAACTCCGAGCTGCCTGCCTAGCAGGTAGATATCTCCTCGGGAGGTACGCATGGCCTTGTTATTAGTCATCCCTGTGGTGAGCATCTTGATTGGTCATCATAGTGTCCATTTCAAGGTTCCAGGGTTTCAAGGTTGGAACCGGTTCTAGGGTGAATGTTCACCGATTTTTAGGGTTGGGGTTGGGGTTATGTACAGCATCGCCCACCGAGGTGACTTCAATTCAATCATGGCCTTTTGAGAATTTTCGAATGAACATGGAACTGTTTACTGCTGAGCTTGCAGGCGTGCTGCTATACTTGTAGATATGGTAGAACATCGCTCCACATTCGCTGTCGCTGAGATCGGCGTAAGTACTGTGCTGGTGTATTTGCGGCGAAATATTCGTGTTGTGAGCATTATCGATGCTCGAAAGTTATTGATAACCCGACCAACGCTCACCGCTTTCCCCGCGATCAATCGCCATGAAAATCGTCGCAGGCTGTCGAATAAGAGAAGATCGAGTAGTCTACTATTATCACAGAATTTTACGGAGAGTTGTCCTCGATATATGCACCTATTGCGTGCCTGTAGCATACCCACCTAGGCAGTCAACATGAGCTTTAGTGAAAACATATGGGTGCACAACATAGTGGAGCAAAATAATGTTCTAATAACCTTGAAAGGTTGGGAGTGCCAGCCAGTCAGCAAAGCTTGCAGGCCTGGAGGGAGAGGCGATAATATTTCGCCCCGCCAAACGGAACCCTTGAGAATTTGAGACTAGCGCATTTTTTTCCGCGACCCACAAGCCAGAGCTGGTCGATTTTCGAAAGTAAATACAGTGGCAGAACGCAAAAGTTCAATTGCCTCACTATCTCCTCCTCTACACCCCACAAATATCACAATCATGGCTGACGAAGTGTACGACGGTGCCATTGGCATCGACCTTGGTATGATCATATGGCACGCCTTCAATTCATTTCATCAATACTGACAATTTAACAGGAACCACCTACTCATGTGTGGCCAACTATGAGGGCGCTGGTGTTGAGATCAGTGGGTACAATGGCAAGAGCGTGGAAGAGTTTGGCGATTCTAACGAGACGTTTCACAGTCGCCAACGAGCAGGGTAGCTTCACCACCCCATCCTTCGTCTCCTTCACATCTGAGGAGCGATTGATCGGTGAGGCCGCCAAGAACCAGGCTGCTATGAACCCTGTCAACACCGTCTTCGATGTCAAGTAAGGACAAATGCATTCATGGCAGATGCGACAATGGCTCATTCTGTTTGCACAGGCGTTTGATCGGTCGGAGATTTGACGACCCAACTGTCAAAAAGGACATTGAGTCGTGGCCTTTCAAGGTTGTCAGCGACGATGGCAGCCCTCGCGTCCAGGTTGAGTACCTCAACGAGACCAAGACTTTCTCTCCCCAGGAAATCTCTGCCATGGTCCTTGGCAAGGTACGACGAGGTTCGAACTCCGTTTTCTACGTCCAAACGCTGATATCATTTTCTACAGATGAAGGAGGTCGCAGAGGTCAAGCTCGGCAAGAAGGTTTCCAAGGCTGTTATCACCGTCCCTGCCTACTTCAACGACAACCAGCGTCAAGCCACCAAGGATGCTGGTGCCATTGCTGGCCTCAACGTTCTCCGTATCATCAACGAGCCTACTGCTGCTGCCATCGCTTACGGTCTCGGTGCCGGAAAGTCTGACAAGGAGCGAAACGTCCTGATCTACGATCTCGGTGGTGGTACTTTCGATGTGTCCCTTCTTCACATTCAGGGTGGTGTCTTCACCGTCAAGGCCACCGCTGGTGATACTCACTTGGGTACGTTGGTGAAGAAACCTAACCTCACAAAATTGTGAAGTGAAATATCCTAGGATACCGAAACTAACCATGATATTTGGGATTACAGGTGGGCAGGATTTCGACACGAATCTTCTCGACCACTTCAAGAAGGAGTTTCAGAAGAAGACCAAGAAGGACATCAGCGGCGACCCACGTGCTCTGCGACGTCTGCGAACTGCTTGCGAGCGTGCCAAGCGTACTCTCTCCAACGGTACTCAAACCACCGTTGAGATTGACAGTCTTTTTGACGGAGAAGACTTCAACGCCAACATTACTCGAGCCCGATTCGAGGATATCAACAGCAAGGCCTTCAACGGCACCATTCAGCCCGTTGAACAGGTCCTCAAGGACTCCGGCATCGACAAGAGCAAGGTTGACGAGATCGTCTTGGTCGGTGGCTCCACCCGTATCCCGCGCATCCAGAAGCTTCTCTCCGACTTCTTCAACGGCAAGAAGCTCGAGAAGAGCATCAACCCTGACGAAGCCGTTGCATACGGTGCTGCTGTCCAGGCCGGTATCCTTTCCGGCAAGGCCACCTCGGCTGATACCGCAGACATGCTTCTCTTGGATGTTTGCCCTCTTTCTCTTGGTGTTGCAATGGAAGGCAATATCTTTGCTCCAGTTGTTCCCCGCGGTAACACTGTGCCTTGCTTGAAGAAGCGAACTTTCACCACTGTCTCTGATAACGTAAGTTAATTGATTCCTTCATCTGTGTAAACTCGCTGACCCCCCCAAAGCAACAGACAGTCCAGTTCCCCGTTTTTCAGGGAGAGAGAGTTAACTGCGAGGACAACACTTCGCTTGGAGAATTCACTCTTGCACCAATTCCACCGATGAGGGCTGGTGAGGCCGTGCTCGAGGTTGTTTTCGAGGTCGACGTCAACGGTATCCTCAAGGTAACTGCCACTGAGAAGACATCTGGCCGCAGCGCCAACATCACCATCGCCAACTCTGTCGGCAAGCTCAGCAGCCACGAGATCGAGAAGATGGTCGACGATGCTGCCAAGTTCAAGTCCAGCGACGAGGCTTTCAGCAAGAAGTTCGAGTCACGACAGCAATTGGAGAGCTACATCAGCCGTGTCGAGGAGATTGTTTCTGACCCGACGATGAGCATGAAGCTGAAGCGTGGCCAGAAGGAGAAGATCGAGAGCGCCCTGTCCGACGCCATGGCCCAGCTCGAGATCGAGGACGCCAGCAGCGATGACCTCAAGAAGAAGGAGCTCGCACTCAAGCGTGTCGTCACCAAGGCCATGTCTACCCGCTAAGCGGTTCCCTTTCAATCCTCTTTAGCGATCTTTCGGACAAATTGTCTTCTGGCGTCTACATGCGATGAGGCCCGAGGATTTCAATTTTTTGAGCTTTCTATGTGATGCCAGCCTATTTCTGTGCTTAGTATAGATTCAGGTAACGATATGATGGGATGACCGCCATTCGACATGAAAAAAGTTTTCAATGTTTGAAAACAGCCAGAAATTTTAGTCACGAAGATTTTCCATTTCCATACTCCGCGCATGATTGTAGTAAACGGCAGTGCGCGCAGTCTCTTTTCCATACTCGTGTGTTCGAGAGCGGCTTCTTTGCTCCCACACCCAGCGGACTGAAGTTATATCCATCTCTTCCTTCGGCTATTGGATGTGAAGATTCCACACTGCTCAACCTTCGAAGTCATTCTTTACCTTGTTCGGTAGCAAAGTCCACTTGCAAGGCGAGAAGGCGAGGCTATCTCGCCTTGTGCGATTTGTTTACCTCGTGTAAGTGAAACTCCTACACGAGCTGTTCTATAAACTTCCTTTCAACGAGCTCGTCTACTGTGTGGAGTTTTTCAAATGGGGTCATTTCAGTCCGTAGAGTGTCTTGACCCATCAGCGCGCCAGGACCCTACGAAATGAACAGAGCCCTGGCTTACTGGACTTTGCTACCGAGGTATATGCAGCTCGATAGTCGATACCACCTGGGGATGCAAAATTGTCGAAGTTCACTGACCGCTCTTGTGCATTGAAAACAGTACCTCCCTGCTGGACTTGCATACACTTCGATGATTCCGTGACATGCAAAGGACACAGGGCAGTGGTTTCGCCGAAATTAGCCGCGTGAGACTAGCAAACTCAACAAAGTTCAGGGATGCCTAGGTAGGCGCCCAGTGTAGATCGAAGTCACCCTTATAGTTCTGTGTAACTGCTTTCACCGACCATCTATTGCCTTTTTTACAATCACCTAGATATATTCTTGAATATCTACATTTGATCGCATTAGTCTTCGCAGAACGTTGCGCCTCATTTGTGACTAGAATCTGGACCGGAGGCATCACGGGTCTGTCGTCATGGCGAAAGGTAATTCGTCGCGGTCCAGGAATTCTTCCGGACCTCCCAGTGTCGCTAACAGATTCAAAATTGTAGGCGCAAAGGCTGTAGATCCTCTCTCGGACGAGGCGCTGCAGCACTTCAAGACGTACAAGTATTCTTCGGTCGACAAGTCACCTATCTCGCACTATATCCTGCGACACTATGTAGGTCTTATTCTTTGAGCTTCATGATATGGCCGAAAGAATGAGGTGCCTGTGACACATACTCATACATGACGATAGTGGAATGCGTGCGTTGAATTCCTGCCACTATGGCTCGCTCCCAACATGGTCACATTGATCGGCTTCCTCTTCGTGATTGGCAATGTCGGCCTGCAGCAGATCATGGACCCAGATCTCACGGGACCCAAGCATGCTTGGGTCTACTATAGTTATGCATTCGGTGTCTGGGCATACTCGACAATGGACAACATCGACGGCAAGCAAGCTCGACGAACCGGCACATCATCTGGACTCGGCGAGCTCTTCGACCACGGCATAGATTCACTCAACTGTACCCTAGCCTCTCTGCTCGGAACCTCTGGCATGGGTCAGGGTACTAGTCTGAACGGTGTTCTGACCGCACTCATCCCGACTCTGCCCATGTTCTTCTCCACCTGGGAGACCTACCATACTCACACGCTCTATCTCGGCTACTTCAATGGGCCAACGGAGGGACTGCTCATCGCGTCCATCATCTTGATCTTGTCAGGGCTCTTTGGCCCTCAGATCTGGCACCAACCTGTGGCCGACCTGGTCGGCTTCAGCGACGTGCTGGGTAGCTGGAGCATCAACGACATTTGGGCACCAAGTCTTCTATTCATATTCTTCGCTGCGCACATGCCTGGATGTATCTCCAACGTCGTCGCCGCCCGATGCGCGCAGAAGCTTCCTGTACTTCCCGTCTTCTTGGAATGGACACCCATGTTGATCTTTGTCGGTTCATTGGTGGCCTGGCTCGGTTCACCATATTCTGCGCTGGTGCGCGACAATCATCTTGCCTTGCTCTGTTTGACCCTGTCCTTTGTCTTCGGCCGCATGACAACCAAGATGATTCTGGCGCATCTGACCCGTCAACCGTTCCCCTACTGGACGATGCAGTTGGCGCCGTTGGTCGGGGGCGCAGTGCTCGTCAACCTGCCATACTTTGGCTTCCAGGCGCCGTCCGCTGAGGCACAGCTTTACTACCTCTGGGCATACTTCTTCTTTGCGATGATTGTATACTTCCGTTGGGCTTTCCTGGTGTGCTCGGCCATCTGCAAATATCTCGGCATCAACTGCCTGACGATCCCGATCGAGAAGCAGAGGCAGTTGCAGGCACAGAAGCAGAAATGAGACGCCTATCTTGGGTGAAACTAAAGATCGAACAGGACGAACCAATCTGAGTTCAGGCTCCTGAGCCCTGGCTTGTACCACCCATGTTTGGATGAGACGGGATACAAGCATTGGTCAAATCGGACAGGGCACCCCGATGACTCATCAGATAACGTACCCTATAGGCTTGTGGGCCACTATAGGCCTGTGGGCCACTCTTCGACACCAGCTGCATTGAATACTCAATATTTCTACTAATAATTGAAATGAAGCTATATGATTAGGAATTCTATGGGACAGGATGTCTATACTACAGTAGGACACGTCTTACACGTATGTCCTTCCAAATTGCAAGTGCTACACCGTGGTTTACGACGTGTCTGCTGGCTAGAGCCTGCTTCAGCTTGGCCTTGTTCTTCCGATAACAACGTGTTTACAGCCTTTGCAATAAGAAGAGCCTCGAATCCTTCTTTGTCAACACTTCCTTGAACCTTATAACGCGTTCTTGGACGTTGTTTACGCGCGCTCAGCGTCTGTACAGTCTGGCGGAGGTCGGACACTTCAGCTTGCAGAAGGGCCAGCTGAGCAGCTGCTTTATGATAGCCCTTAGCATTCTGTCGCAAAGCAGCAACTATTTCTGACGGTGAAGTGCTTGAACGCTGCAGCTTGTTCTCAATATATGCTGTCTGAGAATCAACCTCTCGAGGGTTTGACGGCGTAACTGTAGTCCATTGTACTAGTGTTTGTAATGGAGGTGTTACTGTTCTTAATGTCAGCTTCTCTAGTACTGCTTCAGGATTGAATGGCACAAGGCCAGCACCGCGGAAGCCAGCTTGTATATTTGAAGCTGTAAATGCAGCAGCTATCGCGTGTGGGATCTCGGCAAGGAAGTCGTCCTTTGTTATGATATAATAAGACGCTCGGAAGAGCCGTTCAAGCCTTGCTGTATATGCTGTCTTCAAAGGACCGAAACAGCTAACATCGAGAGGCTGTAGACGATGCGAAGAATGAGGTGGTAAGCAGAGAGTGACAATGTTATGATCTTTGCAGTATTGATCGAATTCAGGCGTTAAATGGCTACCATGTCCATCAAGGACAAGAAGCCTTTTAACACCCTTTGTCGCTTGCTGCGTATGTCCATGGAAGTGCTCTATCCAACGCAGACCAAGAGCATTGCTTGTCCAGCCATTCTCGCTGCAGGCTAGAGTCCAGCGTGGTGGTAGTCCTTCAAAATAAGTCTTATTTAGCGTTACGCCTTTGAAGATCACGAATGGAGGGACCTGCCAGCCTCGAGCGTTGACGCAGGCAATAATGGTTACCCATTCAGAAGAATCCGATCCAATCAATGTTGGTCTTCCTTTCCGATCAGCTGTAGTTACAACATGGTGGTTGCCAGCTTGCCCAAGGCGGAATCCAGTCTCATCAAAGTTGTAGATATCGTCTTCAAGGATACCATGGAAATTGATCATGTTCTTCACCAATTCAAACCATTGAATATACGCGTCTTTCTGCTCGTTACGTGCACGCTGCCAATCCAGCCTTCGCGACAACTTTGTCTTAAGCCGTGGTGTCCTTTTAATAAAGTTATGTCGCCATAATTTACCAACAGGTTCAAGGCCCTTCTGCGTTGCAAGGATGTTCGCAATTTCCTCAACATGAGCAAGCGTTGGTGGCCATCCACGCGAGTCCATATCCAATATCCTTTCAATTATAACCTCCTCTTCAGCGACAGTGAATTTCCTTGAATTGACACCTTGCTGTTGTCTGGAAGGTCTGCTGTCAAGGCGGCGTTGGAGGGTGGTCCTTGAGACGTTATACGCGCGCGCAGTTGCTCGGATCGACTTGAATTGACCGGATCTGAATGCAGCGATAGCAGGAGCGTAGGAATCACGCGTCAATCGCGTATCCATTGTATGACGTGGATAATTATCGCGTGTTGAAGGAAAGAATACGTAGTGAGAATAGGAAGTGGCCCACAAGCCTATAGTGGCCCACAAGCCTATAG